TAGTCAGGGAAAAGATGAGTTTTCGTACGGGGTGGGAGCTTGTTGAACGTCAGGTCTAACAGTTCTTAGGTCGTCACCTGGTGCGTGTACGACGGCCCGTACTGTTAAGAGGGTTGCAAGTTGTCGATCGAAGCCTTTGATCCTAGCGACGATCATAGGCCAACTACTTGCTCCCGTGCCACAGCTTCCGTGTACCTGCTTTGCAACTCCAGGTCGATACAGTGGAAGAGGTTCCTACTTGCTCTTACCAGTTTCTTGTGAGGTAGCCTTCTATCAATGCATAGCTGAATACGATGGTCAATGGGCCTTAAAACGTTTGATTCTTGCAAAATCTTTGATCCAACGTTGCGACGGCCATGGTGCACTGGTGTGCTGGCGTGTAGTTCCAAGCAGACAATTGCACCACCGTGCGCTTTTCTTATATCTTGGCTCATAATAGCCATCGTTGCCGGTTCTGTACGATTTAATAGCAATCTATGGGAAACGGGGAGATAGTGTGCCTCATCGTACAGCACCTATGACACCGCTGTCCTATTCCTCTCACTCGCGCCTCATAGCCACTCCAAGTTCCACTTGCGTATTAGATCGTCAGCACCCGTACTCTTCCTGTTGTATTATATTGGAATTTGGCCATTTATTGTATGGCAAATGTGTTATCTGTGGTCATAAGTATCTGGCCGTAGCGCAAGCACCGTGGCACGGCGGGTTATGAAAACTTGGTATTGGTGGTTTAGCTTTAATGGTGGTTATCGGGGCATACAAAACCATACAAGCCGTCATAAACCACACCTAGCTTGAAGCTGGAGTTGGACACGCGTTTGTGTTCAAGAGTAAGAAACACCTGTGTCTACAAACTCACAGAAGCAGCAATGAAGCATGGTAGATTCTAAGTTGCAGTGATACATGCATTTGGGTCCAGGCGAGGGCAACTTGAGTATAAGAATGAGGCTTCACCCGTCCTATTTTCATCATCATCAGCAAGAGTTATCAACAATATAAAACTACACCAATTCAAACACAATCACTGTATACTTTCCACCGTAACAATGGAACCAAACACCCAGTGCATTACCTCATTTCTTCCTCTGAGCTATTGGCAATGAGTAACTATCTAACGGTCTATAGGAACGCCGTTGCACAGGCAACCCGAGTGACGACCCGTCCAGCTCCTGGTGTCAAGGTATATTATCCTCTTTCTATTTTCAATTAAGTCTTGTCTATGATACCTTAATATGAACGAAGCCCTCTAAGGCAATATATGCATTCTTCCATAGGGTGCCTCTTAGTGCTTCTGCTCCTATTCCCTAATGGCATTGATTGCTAAAAGCTAACCTAAATGGCTTTTTAGGTTGCTACTTGGTGCGATTGGCGACATTCCAACTGTTAAGGGGAACGTGGCCTGCACCCCCATGAAGGGGATAGTTAACATTATATCAAATTCACACTCATTTACGGCCTGTCACAGGCTTACTACCATGTTTCCTTGCTTAGCTCTCCTTCATAAAGCGACTATACGTAGATAGTAGCTTGATTGCTACAGAATTCCAAGACACTCCATATGTGCTCTGTGCATGGATGCATATCTCGACGTCTTGCATACTGTATACGGAGGTATTGTTCAAGTTTTGTCGGTGCAGCGAGCATGGGACCCCAGAATTTGTGCACAGGAGTATAAACTCATGTATCGATCACATATAAAATATAAGGGAAGATACACCAGCGATTTGCAAGCAGCCCTGCGAGTGGCTTTTATAGTGGCCCCCACTGACAAAACTTATGAACATAACCTCCGTATAGTTCTATCCTACTGCCTTGGGACATCAGCCAAAAGACAACTGTGCCTGCCAGCACTCTGACCCAGTGAACCACGGAATTTCAACGTTTGCAGCAATAGAGTAGGCGGACCACGAACGACCTATTTTTCCGTTCCATATTCTCAGCGAAGCTGGCTTAATATGGAGATGCGCCGTCCGTAGCTATCCTCCCGCCACTTCTTGCAAGCTTCTCTCGATTCTCGGTGCGGAGTTTGAGCTTGGATACGGAGTAGATCACGGAGTGGTCTCTCCCCGATGAAAAGCAGATAAACATCGAGAATCTCGGAGCCATCTACCTCTCCTCCCCTCCCCATATAGCTGGGGTCTAGCCAGGTAATATAGATGTAATAAAAATCTGCGGAAGATCTTTGAAGAAAGGAAAGGGAGGGAGCGCACCTACGGCTCACGCCATCTTATCATATGCTAAAAATTTATACGGCAGGACCCCATCCGCGCCGGCCCCGAACGGCCGTAGGACTCATGCGCACACGTGATGCAACGTCGATCGGCGGCGGGTGACTCGGACCTATCCGAGTAGGGCGCTGGGGATTGCGCCACGGGAGGGGGGGAGAGGGCAGTCCAGGCGCAAAGTAGAGTAGGGATCCAACGTTACATGCTTGGCCGTGCAATGTTGGGGGGACGGTCGGTCGGATGGTAGCTGAATGAGTTAGCGGTAGGAAAGAAAATGGTGAGAATGTTAGTAGTGGGTGAGCGAGCTGTGGTGGTTGGGTGCTGCCGATCAATAGTTTGACATATATTTGATAGCGGGATTACCCATGTCGCTCAAAAGTGAAGAGAGGCTAGATATAGCTTAAAAGTAATACTAGTAATTTAAACTTATAGCACTTATCCCTTTAGTTTCATTTATTAGTATCTAGCATACTGATTGTAGTGCTGGGTGATTGAACGCCTTTGCTTGAGTTACAGTTGATGTAATTGTTGTTTTGTACAGCCTTTTTTTAGATTTTTGGGATATGATATCCGTGGTGCGGAAGGATCATCACGATTCTGATCTGTTCCCCCTTTCAGCCTTCTGCTGTTGCTCTCTATCGATAACCGGCATTCCGCAGAGCTGATGTTGTATATCCAAATGTTATGTGCCAGCCTCGCCATCCCCCCACCAGCAGTTCGTCCGATCTCCCCGATTGGATCTCTCGTGGTGGTTGTGGCGCGCCAACTATGGCACTAGCGCCATTAGCTGCATGGACTGGGGTAAACCCACGGGTGCGCTAGCAGGTCCGTGCATTTATTTACGCGCCATGCCGCAACAGGCGCCTCGGAGACTGCGGATCCGTGCCGAAAGGGCTGTCGTCCCCCGAACGACGGCGGCTCGATGATCTCCCTCCGTTCTTTCCTCCACAGCGGCACCTCACCGGGCGAGATGAGGTACTGTGTCTTGCACGGCAGAAACCACCAGAGCTCCGCCAAAAGTAATTGCGTTCTTTATTACTGGACGTTACTGCGCTCTCTTGACGCCGAGGAGTGCAATATCCTGTCCAAGTATAGATAGGCCGGGGCGCTCACGGCGAGAGATTTTCCTTGGATGGACGAGTACAGCAAGATATTGCTTGTTAATCTGTAATATTCGTGCTATTGCTCAGTATCCCTTCCTTCCGTGTCTATTGGCAATGGACAGCTGTACCGCTGTACCACTATAACCGTACTGTACTGTAGTGCAGTACCATTCAACATCTATATTGCCGTGTCACTATAGCTGTGTACCCCATACCTGCTCCAAGACTGGCTAACGATCTCCACTCTAACTACCCCTCCCTTCCACCAAAAGAAGAAGAAGCCACCATGCTCCATTACGCTGTCCCACTTCTTCCACAACACCATCATTTTTGTTCCCTCCGACTTCCTGACTCGGTCCTAGGCGCATCACTAGGATATTGCTTATATTGGAATTGGAAGCAAGGGAACTAGAGGCAGCAAACAAAGCAAAGGCGGCCTGTTTCATCCCCAAGACCCCGCGGCTTCCTTAATCCAAAAAGTCCAAACACGGTGCGCACATTCTCCCAAACGGGCCATCCTCGGGACTCCACACCCCGCCATTTGTTATTGCCTTCTAAAGGGACTGGTGGTGAAGCGTTCATCTATCTCCTTCCGCTCCACAACTCGCGGACCTCCTCCGAGAGCTCGCATACTGTAGCAGCCTATGGCTATGCAAACTCTATATCCATCGTACCTAGATCCATGACCCTGCCACCCACTCAAGGCTATAAGACGCCGCATGACTTCAACCCCAATTCCCATTCTGCCGTCTAGCAATTCATCCCACGCTCCATCATCCTCCCTGCCTGCGTGCATACATATACCTCTGCCTGCCCTAAGCTACCTTAAGCTACCCTGGCCACGCGAACTGAGACCGCCTTCTCTGACACCCCGCCGCGCCAGCCACCACGTGCCTTCACCATGACGTCGCATACTACTATTCCCATCAACGAGGACTGGGAGTTCAAGCAGGTTGACTCAAAGAAGTCGAAATGGCTTCCCGTCGCCCAGTTCCCTACCAATGTGCACCTTGATCTCATCGCCAACAACATCATCGCGGACCCGTTCATGGGAAAGAACGAGCTCGATGTGCAATGGATCGGTGAGGCAGTGTGGGCGTACAAGACGACGTTTGAGACTCCCGATATAAACACAGAGGAGGGTTCTGCCGCCAAGGCGGTGCTGGCTTTTGATGGCCTGGATACGTACGCCACAGTGGTGCTCAATGGCACCGAGATTCTCAAGACGGAGAGCATGTTTATCCGGGAACGGGTGGATGTCACGGCCTACCTAAACAAGGACGGCCTGAACGAGCTTGAGATCACATTTGACAGTGCCTTCTTAAAGGGAAAGCAGATCGTTGACAAATACCCAGAGCACAAGTGGGGGTGCTGGAATGGTGATGTCTCGAGACTGGCGGTGCGCAAGGCGCAGTATCATTATGTGAGCAACTTCCCGAATATTTAAGCCGAGGGCTATGCAGCAAAATACTAATTATTACAGGGATGGGATTGGGGACCAACTATGTTGACCTGTGGACCGTGGCGCCCGATTAACCTCGAGATCTACGAGTCGAGGATAGCGGACCTCTACTTCCGGACTGATGTGGAGGAGTCGCTCAAGGCGGCAAAGGTCATCGCAAATGCGGATGTCGAGGGCTCAGCTTCGCTGGTCAAGTTTGACATTACACTGGATGGAGAGGCTGTGGCGAGTGAACAGGCAAAGGTGGTTGATGGGCGTGCAACGGCCACGTTCGATATCACTGACCCGGCGCTGTGGTACCCTATCAAATACGGCAAACAGCCTCTATACACAATTACGGCTACGCTTGTGGCCACTCGCTCTGAGGCGTACGATATTCACGTCGAGAGCAAGAGGTTCGGGTTAAGGAGAGCTGAGCTCATCCAGCGGCCGCTGAAGGACGAGCCGGGAGAGTCATTCTTCTTCCAGGTCAACAACGTCCCCATCTTCTGCGGTGGCAGCGATTGGATTCCAGCGGACAACTTTGTCCCTCGCATCAGCGCTGAGAAGTACTACGATTGGGTGAAACTGGTGGCGGATGGCAACCAGGTTATGATCCGCGTGTGGGGAGGCGGTATCTTCGAGGAGCAGCCGTTCTACGATGCGTGCGATGAGCTGGGTATTCTAGTGTGGCAGGATTTCCTGTTCGGATGCGGCAACTACCCCGCGTTCCCCGAGTTCCTGGATCTGGTGAAGAGGGAGGCGGATGATAACGTGAAGATCCTGCGTCACCACCCATCGATTGTTATATGGGCCGGAAACAACGAGGATTACCAGTATCAGGAGAGCGAGAACCTGACCTACGATTTTGAGAACAAGGACGAGGAGAGCTGGCTCAAAACTGACTTCCCGGCGAGATATATCTACGAGAAGATCCTGTCGGACACATGCAGGGAGCTCATCCCTGATGTGCCTTACCACCCCGGTAGCCCGTGGGGTAAGGGGCGCGACACACACGATAACACCGTTGGAGACATCCATCAGTGGAACGTGTGGCACGGCACCCAGGAGAAGTATCAAAACTTCGACAAGCTGGGCGGACGCTTCGTCTCCGAGTTCGGAATGGAGGCCTTCCCTAATATCAAGACCATCGAGTCCTTCCTACCACTCGGCAAGGACGACCCAGACCGCTACCCACAGTCCTCAACCGTCGACTTCCACAACAAAGCCGACGGACACGAGCGCCGCATCGCGCTGTACCTCGTGGAGAACATGCAGTACTCCCCCAACCCGATCGAGCAATACATCTACTCAACACAGCTGATGCAGGGCGAGTGCCTTGCGAGCGCCTACCGCCTCTGGAAGCGCCAATGGAAGGGTCCCGGCCGCGAGTACTGCGCCGGCGCACTGGTATGGCAGATCAACGACTGCTGGCCCGTCACCTCGTGGGCCATCGTCGACTACTACCTCCGCCCCAAGCACGCCTACTACACTGTCAAGCGCGAGATGGCGCCGCTGTCGTGCGGAATCACGCGCACGCTGACGACGACGCCGCGAGACAAGCACACGCGCGTCTACATCGATACCAAGCACACCATTGAGATCTGGGGCTCCAACTTGACGCTTCGCGACATGGTGGTTGATGTCGTTGTTTGCGCCTTCGACGTGGAGACTGGCAAGGAAACCTACCACAAGACGGTCAAAACGGCGTTCTCCCTGCCGCAGAACCAGAGCACCGAGATCATCGCCCTCGATGTGCCGGTCAAGAAGCGCGATGCCGGCGAGGAGTCCCGCATCGTCGTCGCCGCATACCTGATTGAGGACGGCGTGCAGGTCGCGCGCTACGTGAACTGGCCTGAGCCGCTCAAGTACGCGCACTTTACGAAGCCGCAGTGTCTCACGGCGACGCTGACGGCGGACGCGCGCACGGTGGAGATTAGCGCCGAGGTGCCGATTAAGGGGCTCGCGCTGGAGTGTGAGGATGATGAGGTGAAGTTTGCGGATAATTTGGTGGATATTGTGCCGGGTGAGGTGGTGAGGATTGGGGTGGTGGGGGCCAGGAAGAATACGGTTATTGGGACGAGGTATTTGGGGATGATTTGAGCGGCTCTTACTGTGGAGATGGTGGATATCGAGAGGATGGGGGTCGTACAAGTAAAATCATTGTATGCTTTGGGAAGAATCACTCCGGGGGGGTGAGAATGAAAGGAACGGGAAGGATAGAATGCGGGCGTTTCGCACATACATTGAATTATCAAATGACATTTGACATTGCCACTACAACTGCTGCAACTGCGCTGCAACTGCACTGTCATGGCCACCATCACGGGATCTCATTTTCTTCTTCTCACTCACCGCTCTGTATCCCACCCACCTTTCCTCTGATCTCCCGTCATTTGCTCCTTCCGTTCTAGAGCTTGTCGATTCACACACACGTGATACCCTTACTCGTCGCGATCAATTGACCCGGTGGCATTATCTCCGTAGCGGAGGCTAGACCGCAACATGCAGCTCGCCTCGCCGGCTAAAGTGAAAGAGAGCTGATCAGACCCGCATCTTTCTCCAACTCCCGTGGGGCACTGTCAGTTTTTCTGCAGCCTCCAGTGGGGTACATATACAGCCTCTTGGAAGAGGTGGGTTGGTTGGTCGTTGGAACGGCAGCCCTGATAAAAGCCAAAACACAATTCCATGTCGTATCACCTAGGGCGGCCGGTTAAAGTCGAATTAGTGGAAGGGTAATTCTTCCAATGGCGCTAGATCGGCGGAGGGTGCGAGGTAGCGTCGCATTAGAGGTGGGTACGTTGGTGGGGGGTGAGTGATGGTGCTGCTATTGTGGGATGTCATAGCTTCTTTACTACATGGAGAAGTGTACAGCACCTTGGAAAGCTCGAGAGGCGCGTGCGAATGGCGGTGGGGGGTGATGGGATGGATGGATGGATGGGTACAATACAACTAACGACGGAGGAGGAGGGGCAGCTGATGTGAGCAACTTTTTCATGCTGTCTCATCGACTTAGGGGTCCTGGTTTTGTTGGGGACGGCGGGGGAATATCGGGGATGAGGGGGGGGAGGGGAGTTATTGCTTCTTCTACTACCTCCTCCTCCTCCTCCTTCCTTTTCTTCATTCACCGTTTCCTGTTGCTGCCGCTTGTATTCTATAGCTTCTTGCGTATATAAGAGCGTTGGGCGTGCTGAGATCATCGATCATCTTTCAATTGCAAGTTTGGTGCGCGCTTGTTCTCTACTGCGTCATTGGCAAGGTACGACTACGACATTTGAAAGGTACGACGCGACTGCCATTGTGATAGCATAGCACTGCATTGAATTTCTCACAACTCAATCGCGACGACCACCACGAAGCACACGCCAGAAAAAACGACAAGAACCGTCAAAATGACTTCTCTCACCGAAGGAAAAAGCGTACGCCCCAATTCCCCATCCCCCGCTCCAACGCCCCTTCTAACACCCCCCCAGAACCTCTCCTTCATCCTAAACTCTACCCTCAATGTCTCCTATGAAGAGCGCCCAATCCCCACCCTCACCGACCCCCGCTCCGTCCTCGTCGCCATCGCCTTCACTGGCATCTGCGGCTCCGACGTGCACTACTGGCAACATGGCTCCATCGGCCCGTTCGTCCTCAAATCCCCCATGTGCCTCGGCCACGAATCCTCAGGGACAGTCGCCGCCATCGGATCCGGCGTCACCACCCTCAAACTCGGCGACCGCGTTGCCATTGAGCCCGGAACCCCTTGCCGCCACTGCGAGCCCTGCCTGAGCGGCCACTACAACCTCTGCCCCGATATGCGCTTTGCCGCTACCCCGCCGTACGACGGAACCCTCACTGGCTTCTACGCCGCTCCCGAGGACTTCTGCTACAAGCTCCCCGACCAGGTCTCCCTCCAGGAGGGCGCCCTGATTGAGCCTCTCGCAGTCGCAGTCCACATCACAAAGCAAGCCCAGATCTCCCCCGGCGCCTCCGTCGTCGTCATGGGCGCTGGCCCAGTCGGTCTCCTCTGCTGCGCCGTCGCGAAGGCCTTCGGCGCCACCAAAGTCGTCAGCGTGGATATCCAGCAGGATCGTCTCGATTTCGCAAAGGGCTACGCGGCTACGCACACGTTCATGCCGCAGCGCGTTGCTGCTGAGGTGAACGCCGATAACCTCATTAAGGCTGCTGACCTCGGTGAGGGCGCTGATTGTGTCATCGATGCCAGTGGCGCTGAGCCGAGTATCCAGTCTAGCATCCACGTCGTGCGCCGTGGGGGTGTGTACGTCCAGGGAGGAATGGGGAAGCCGGATATCACCTTCCCTATCATGGCGTTGTGCACCAAGGAGATTACGATGAGGGGAAGCTTCCGTTACGGCAGCGGGGACTACAAGCTGGCCGTGCAGTTGGTGGCGAGTGGATCGCTGGATGTTAAGAGCTTGGTGAGCAGGGAAGTGCCATTCAAGGATGCTGAGCAGGCATTCGAGGATGTGCTCAAGGGGAGGGGAATTAAGGTGTTGATTAGGGGCCCAAATCACGAGGGAGATGAGAAGGCTTTGGCGAAGGGAGAGGAGAAGAAGGAGGAGGTTGAGGCTCCTGCCGCCGCTGCTGTTGCCGAAGAAGCCGTGGCTGAGAAGTCAGAGGAGGCTGCTGCTGCACCTGAGGCCGAGAAGGCCGAGTCCGCCGCACCAGTCGAGGCTGCTGCACCAGCTGAGGAGACCACCAAATCCGTCGCCACTGAGACTGAGCCAGTCGTCGAAGCCGCAAAGGTTGATGAGGCCACCGAGACCTCCGAGCCAGTCGTCGATGTCGCAAGGGCTGGTGCGACCACTGAGGCAGCTGCAGCACCTGCAGCTGAGGGGTCCGCACCAGCTGTCGTCGAGGAGAAGGCTGAGGCAGTACCAGAAGTGGCTGAGTCCGCACCAGTGGCTGAGGAGTCCGCTCCTGTCTCCACTGAGGCACCTGCGGATGCTGAGGCTGCGAAGCCAGAGGAGACTGCCGAACCAGCGGCACCAGTGGAGATCCCGGAGCACGTTTCGGTGCTGGATACTATTCGTAAGATTGAGGAGACGGCGAAGAAGACGGATACGCTTGGTTAAGTTCAAATGGGTTACTGGCGGGGTGTAGTGTAGTGTGGTGGTCTGTGTGTTTGGCGTAGGAGGTGTTTTTTTATGTTTGGGATAATGTATGGAGTGTGAAATGATAAAATTGAGCGTCTTGAAAAATATTTGTTGGAGAGGAAATAAATGTGATTTTCTTAAAATGTAATGACTGATTATTTTCAACGAAGCCCTTTCCTCTTATAGCCCAATCTCACCTATCGGCAAGAGAGAAGTTTTCCCAAGCTTTCTTATAGAAGAAAGATAACTACACTACTAAGGACAGCCCATGTAGTATTCAGCCCCGCATAACGAAATGTAACTTCAACCGCAGGACCCAAACCTAGCGGGACTAGATGTCAATATCTCCTGCTGGGCGGGCGATGTTGGCACGCCAATGGTGTTTGTTCACTGGATTCTTCTGGTAGATGTTGAATTCGAAGAATTTATTGTGGCTGTCGCATTTGAAATTCTTATATCTAGTTATCACAGCCGTCAGTTAGTAAGCTGGGCGACGACAGGAACCACAGACACTCACGCATTCAGCTTCTCGAAATTAGCCTCAATCAAATCTCCCTCTGTGATTTCGCAGAAATTTGTTCCTCTTCCGCCATCTCCAGAAACGAAGTATCGCTTGGACTCAAGTGGGCCATAGTTGACTTGCCGAACCACTTGGATGGCATATGTGGAGCTGTCATCGGATAGGATTCTTTTGCCCTCAGTGGTCCCATCTGTGGATGCCTCTTGAGCTGCCGGCATCCAGCGAAGAAATGCCTCGAATTTTGGTTCGTGACTGAGGATCTGTGGACGGTAAGGCTTAGGGCCCGAAGGACAGCAAAATACTGCCGTCATAATGTACTGTGATGGGCCACGGCAAGGCTGGGAAGATAACGAAGAAGTGGGCTGTATTTCGGACTTTTAGAAAGTATCACAATGGGAAAGGAGGACAGGTCGAGGATATATAGATATTCTGATGCTGAGAAAGGCGACATCTAATTAGAATCCCGCAACTAGTTGGATCGAGGATCATATGGCAAATATTGAATCAAACAGTCTGTTGCATAGCAGATCTTGAGTCGCGTCAGTCACATTATGAATATGTGCATGAGTAAAACCAGTAACAGGAAGGGAATGATGCATTTTTGAGGCCTACTATCTCAGACAAGTAACCCGAGCCGTAGTATGGCACTCTACAACAAACTAGAATTGAGGCCTACTATCCTTTAGCCAAGCAATACGAGCAGTATAGCAATATGCCACTCTACAAAAACTAAGTTTGAGGCCTACCATTTCCAACCACCCAATAGTAACATATGACGGTGCAAGGTATAACAAGCTAAATTTGAGGCCTACCAACGGTAAGAACCAATCAACATGAGGGGACACCACTGATACACCATATATAAGTGAAATCCCCGAACCTCAAAAATATTCTCTTTCTTCTTCACTGCACATCAAAGCGGGTGTGCTAGTCATCACTCTTTTGAAAACTTACCGCAGTCACTCATTTATTCTTTAGGCTTTGGGCCATCTATTTATTTTTCTCGCAGGGTTTCCTCTGCACATTACAGAGGAGACCCAGCTCTTTTAGGCAGATACAAAACTCAGTCTACAGTTCTAGTCCAGCAAACGTCGAAGAACAACATCTACATCGTACTATTGACCCACGCCGGTTGGATAAAAGATTCCACGTTCCGCCTGAAAGTCCCGTGTTTGCGCAAGAAACACAAACCTTTAACAATCACACCTCTACACCTTCAATTCAAAATGACGCCGCAGAGCCTAACTCTTTACAAGAGGGATTCACATCGTCGTCATCGGGTGATTCCGCCCCAAGGGCAATTGTGCAGCAGCCCCTTGGGAGCCTTCAAGCATCACAAGGGCCACCTACCCCACCATATACATGCAATTCCTGCCGCAATAGTTTTGATAAGCTTCACAAGTTAAAGTAAATATTCTCAGTTGTAATTCTTCTGTTTATATCTACTAACGAGGCACCTTAATCTAGCACCCACCAGAAATCTCATACTCTGCCGTTTAAATGCACCGCACCACAGTGTGACAACAAGGGCTTCCGGTACAAGAAGGACCTTGAGCGACATATCAAAGAAAGGCATCAAGATTCTGTGCCAGACGCTCATCGGTTCTACTGTCCGTACCCTTCCTGCAAATTCTCCTTGGGTGGAATAAAGCAGGGCTTTTCAAGACCCGATAATTATCGAAGGCATATGCTGCAACATCCAGATGCAAAGACGGGGCAAGTTAATTAAAACTTCCTTCTCACGGTCGAAGTCATCATATGTAGCAGACAAACGAAGAGTTGCAATCATTGCAAACTGCGCTGTGGGCTACCTTCCTATCGATATGTGAATTGATCCGACTGTTTACCCTTCCTCCACGGCGCCACGCGCCCACTCCCCATTATGCATTACGTATTCTAGCCAATGTAACGTCAGCGCCCGCTGAAACGAACACCCGGCGCTCAGCGCCATAACCCTCTCTTTGCCTCTTTCTGTATGTGCCCGCACCCCAAGCAATATGTGCAGCCCACCTTATCAACAACATCTCCCCCTCCGCCTCGCCCGTCCACTCAATGTAAACACATCCTCCCATTCCCTCAGGCCCCCTCTTCTCCTCTCACCGCCAGCACCACTCTTGATACTCGCCCCGTCCTCCCATCCGCCTCCGCCTCCCATATCACCATACTGTATCCCACTGAGCGGATCATCCGGGTCAATCTCCCCCAACTCGATTTTCGTCAAAATCATCCTCGCCAGCCGATGGAACACTTCATCCACCCCCTCCCCACTCAACGCGCTCACCTCGACCGCCACTGGTATTTCCGATTTGCTCGCCCACCGACTCGCCTCCTCCCCCCCAACCTCCCTCCCCTCCGGCGCCTCAGAAGCCTGTAACCTCGCCCCAAGCCCCCTCACGCTACCCCCCGGAAGCCCATCACTCCTCTCACTCCACCCACTCCTCTCGCTCCTCGCACTCGCCGAGCTGGGCGCCACAGGAACCGCCGAATCCAATAACGACTCTCCACCTCCCCCACCCGCCAAATCCTCTTTATTCCCCACCAACAGCGTTGTCAGCCGTGGCGACGCCAGTGCCCTTGCATCAGCCAGGAATGGCGGAAGTGCCGCAAATGTTGCCGCAGACGTGATGTCGTACACTAGGATCGCGCCCGCGGCACCGCGGTAGTACGAACGCGAGACGGAGCGGAAGCGTTCTGTGCCAGCGGTATCCCAGAGTTGCAGCTTTATACGCTTCATCCTCGAGCCGGTGCCGATACGAATTATTTTGCTGGCGAACTCGACGCCGATGGTTTGGGAGGAGAGGGAGCGCCATTCGTTTTTGATGAAGCGGTGGAGGAGGCATGATCTGGTGGTGGGTTAGCGATCAAGTCGTGCGATAAGGGGGGAGAGGAGTAAACGCACTTCCCACTGCCGCTGGGGCCGAGCAGAACAATCTTCGCAAGGTAATCGTACATGCTTCCGAGCTCCTGCGGGGTCTGTAAGTGGGTTGCCAGGGGGTAGGAAGGGAGAGCACGCACCTGGTCCCTTGCCGTGTGGCCGGAGTCCTCGCTCGCGGCGGAGGAACGGCGTTGGCGCACCATCGTGGGATGGATCGTGAGCTTCGCTGCACGAGAGGGATGGCGTACGGATGTTAAATCGGTACTGTGTGCGTTGTGGTGACGGTGGTGAGAGCCGCGATGTCCTTCTCCGAGATACCTTATCGCCTGGTGGTTGGCGTTGATAGAAGGCTGTCACGGGCGGGCTAGGCTTAATGGGGATTAGTGATTGTGGAAATGGGGACCGAGGCAGTTCCCGCCCATCGACTTCTGGGGGAGTTTGGGGGGGTATATGAGACTTTTTCCAATGGAAGTTCTCATCTTCCTTTTAGTTTCTTGAATATACATTTTTCAAGATTGCAAATATGAAGATCCAAGGCAGAACATTCCTCATTAGCGGCGGGTAAGTCTATCACGCGCACCTCTCTCATGAGAAACGTCAGCCTTGTCTAACACTCCACAGCGCATCAGGTCTTGGCCGCTCCTGCGTCGTCGACCTTGTCAAGGCCGGCGGCAATGTCGCTGTCCTCGACATGAACGAGGAGCTCGCGGCTACCCTCATTGCCGAATACCCCAAATCCACAAAGTTCTTCCACGCCAACGTCCTTGAGACTGAGTCCATTGCCGCAGCCGTCAAGGGCTCGCTGGCATGGATCAAGGAGACCGGCTATGAGCTCGGAGGCGTTGTTGCCGCTGCTGGTGTCTCTTCTCCCGCGAAGGTAACCATTCCCACAATCCCTCACCCGCACGAGGCAGCCACTAACTGTCATCCCCCCAGATCATCGACAGGAACGGCAACCCCTTCTCTCTCGACGACTTCGACTTCGTCATGAACGTCAACGTCCGCGGCACGATCGACCTGATCCGCCAAACCCTCCCACATCTCACCACCGTCCCCCCCGTTGGCCCTGAGGGCGAGCGCGGCGTCCTGATCATGGTCGCCTCGTCCGCGGCCTTTGAAGGCCAGCCCGGCCAGGTCGCCTACGCTGCCTCCAAGGGTGCCATTGCTTCCCTGACACTGCCGCTTACCCGCGACCTCGCCCGTTACGGAGTGCGTGCTGTGACTATTGCGCCCAGCTTGTTCAGGTCAAACATGACGGCTGTGATGAGTGATAAGGTCAGGGGGAGCTTGGAGAGGGTTATGGAGTTCCCGAAGAGGGAGGGTCAGCCAGAGGAGTTTTCGGCGCTGGTTAAGCATGCTGTTGAGAACGTCATGCTGAACGGCACGGTGTTGAGACTTGATGGAGGTATGAGGATGCCGAGTAAGATGTAAGTGGGGTCTTTGGACTTCCAGCTTGGAGATGATGGCTCGAGGGTAGCAAATACAGTAAGATCTCGAGACGAGGTCCTGTAGATCAGGATATCCGGCGATGTGGATTAATGGTTACGGAAACTTTACACAAGGAGTTTTGGATATGAAAATCCATATCCTGCGCCAGAAGTATCCTTATATTGAGGTTTCATTGTATGCCTTGTATCTGTATATATATAAACCATTGTGTCATATACTATATAGCGTAAGTATTTATACCACATGTTATGTTCACGCGGCCAGATCAAAGCAGTGTACATGATTATAGATTCCATGTTGGGGTTATATTATCTTCTTATATTAAGAGTCCCCCTAATTAACCTTTCCTCCCCTTTAGTTGTTGAATGGCCAAGGCCAGTGGGGGTGCTTTCCTCCACTTGCCAGCGCCTTAACAACACCCCAGTAAGCCGGGTGCTTGGTGAAGTCCTCAAAGTACAGCGTCGCCGCTCCCTCGCCCGCAAACACACTTGGAACCCAACTGTATGGGTCGTAGAAATCCCAAATGGTGGTTCCGACGCATCCCTTCACGGCGACGCAGGCAGCGACGGTGTTCTCGTAGTCAATGCTCTGCTGTGCCAGGTTGGTGGCGTTGGCGGGGAGCGCAAGGCGGATATCAAGCTCGGTCTGCGCAACCTCGACGCCGGTAGCCACGAAGTCCTGGAGGTTCTGGATTTGCGCCTCGCGCGAGGGGGTGGAGCCGACGATCAAATGGGCCTGCGCGCCGACACCATCAATCTTGACCTTCTGCTTCTTGAGGCTGCGGACGAGTTTCTGGACGGCTCTGGTCTTGTCGCTGCGAGCCTCGAGGTTGTAGTCGTTGATGTAAAGCTTCGTCGACGGGTCAATCTTGGCGGCAGTCTTGAAGGCGAGCGCGAAGTAGTCCTCGCCGATGACGTTGTAGAAGACGGTCTCGCGGAAGGTACCGTCGTCGTTGAAGGCCTCGTTTATGACATCCCAGGCGTAGCACTTGCCCTTCCACTGGGTGAGGACCTTGGTAATGTGGTTGACCACCACGGCGGAGAGAGTCTCCTTGGTCCAGTTGCCGAACTCAACCCATTCGGGAAGCTGGCTGTGCCAGACTAGGGTGTGGCAGCGGAGAATCTGGTGGTTCTTCTTGGCCAGGTTGCCTACAACTTCTCCGTTGGTGAAGTTGAAGACGTTTTGCTCTGGCTCAATGTACATCCACTGATATCATGTCAGCTCGGGCACATTTGGTCGGCCAATTGGCATATGGATTTGGCTTGGGGGCCTTACCTTTTGTCCATTGGAAGGAGTAAGCTGTCCGAACTGCTTCTTGTTGTTCAGGATCTTGGTGTAGTCCTTGTTGTTCAACTCGCCGTTGTCGGTCGCAGTGCCGAAATACTTCTTCCCTGCCTTCACGGCTAGAGTATGAAGCAGATCGTTGTCACTGTTCTTGCCGCCATGTCCAATTCCATTCGGGGGGGATATCCACGGCCACCCAAGTGTTGCGGATACGGCGGGAATGGCAACGAAGGCCGCGAGTGTCGATGCTTGAAACTTCATCTTGACAGCTGTGAGGATATCTCAAGTCCACGAGAAGCAGGAAGAAACTGATGAGCAACTGGATGACTGAAAAGGAACGAAAAAAGAGGAAATCCTGGTCTACTTAAATTGAACTTGCCATCCAGCCGGGCCAGGGTGATGTGCACGCAATCATGGTACCTTGCATCTTTGTGGAAATTGGTGATATAGCGTAATGGAGCAAGTGAGGAGAAAAGGTCTCTGATGCAATATCGACGGATTGGTTATATGCCGGGTAATTTACGAGCGTATTCTAGCCATATCAATGCACGGGTTGGCATATTTACCAGCTGTGCTAGCCAACAAATCTTGGGGTAAACCTTGGGGGTTATGGTTGGAAATGCCGATCTTAGCTGTGAATATCTCATACGCAGCCGTAGCGGCATCCTTGGCTTCCACCTTGCCCTTCGAAGCTGGTAGATAGACAGGGCCAAAGCGAGGGGACCGGAAGAGGAGGGGTTTCTGTTGATCCGGAAGGTCCTGGATAAAGACCAAACTGACATGCAACAAGACAGGGAGACTGCCGAAAGTCTGGGGTAATTATCCGCTTGTACCAGTGTACTTCCTGCTCTGCCGCTGTTGCGGAGAACCGGCGCCGAAGAGACGAGAACGCCAGTAGTCAGCTTGGCATCGTGGAGTGAAGAGAGAAATTGCACTTCATCTATGAGAAAGCACTTGTAGATGCACGGCAATTAAGCAGGTGCGGAGTACTCGAGTTGTTGTCGAATGAGGCGTCTTGAGGCTAAAGTCAGGGAACATTCCATGGCTTCGATAGACGACCCAAACCCTATTCAGCCTGAAAATATAGTAGGTACGAATGACCCGTCCCCCGCACCAAGCTTCAGGGGTTCGATGCTCTTTCCACGTGCTGGAGCTTCGGGAATATCTTGGTGGACCTGGGAGGGAGTATTCCGACTCGTTAAACTGTCACTACTCGCCTTCAGCCGATTCACCTGAAGTCCTCTAATATCAAATAAATGCCTTCGTTATAGCTTGGTATACGTCCGCAGCGCGGCAGGAAGCTCTCACTCGCTCTCCCGAAATGCTATGTGCTAGCTCCAATTACAAAATGCTACCCTTCATATACACCATAAATATCAAAATATACAACCATCGTGCCAGCTACAATATGTGCGGCTATCCAGCCGTAGTGAGCACATAGCTTGTAATAGCACTCATCCTCTCTGTGGTCATCTTCAGTGTGATCCGTAGAAGCTCCTGTGCCACATCCTTATCCTTCTCTTGCAGCTCCTCCCATTGCCCCCGGTCCATCAGCCACACGACACAATCTCGCTCTGCAATCACCGTCGCCGTCCTCTCTGTTTCGGAGAAGAAAGGTAGCTCGCCACAGGTCGTCCCCGCGACGATGCTTTCAAAGTATCGTCCCTGGGGTAGGTCGTAGTCTGCCCTCAGTATACCATCTTCCAGGAGGTAGAAACCGTCTGCAGGTTGCTCGCGACGGAAAAGCGTCGTGCCCGCTGCGTACTCTTTGCGAGTAAAGTAGGGCACGGCGCGGAACCAGAAGTCCTCGTTTTTATCAGTCAGTCCCTGGAAGGTTTGGAGGATCAGACGGAGAGGCTCCTTGAAATTCTGCCATTTGTGTGTGGAGTTTTCATGCTCCGTCTCCAGAGACTTGGTAGCTGCAACGACTAAGTGGTTGCCGCGCGGGGAGCCAAGTAGAGTGGGAAACGGCTGATGAGAAGATGTTGTAGAAAGGCGCCGTGCATTGACATCCCTTGACAAGGCGCTCGCGCTACGAGCATGCTGCGCATTCCTTTCATCCTTGTTGTGGTAGAGAGCCTTTAAAAGCCCATTCTCGCAGCTTTCAAGTGCGGAGTTGAGGTCTGGAAGTAGGGTCACCTCGTTTCCCCCCTCACCAAGTCCAACATTCCGAAGGCTCAGGCCAATTGGGCTTTCTGAGGAGACGCCACTCATGACAATAGTAACACCCTTCTGGCTAAAGATTCTGTTCAAGCGATTGAACGCCTCGGCCGCGGAGTAATCTATGCCAGTGACATGCCACAAATCGAATATTAGATAGCGAATTGGGCGATGGTTGAACGCCTCCTCTTTGATCAGACTCCTTATCCTCGCCTCAACGTCAACAATAGTTCCAAAAAACAGATATCCAGCAAGCTTCGTAACATGGATTTGTCTTCCGACCTGGCGCAGGTAGTCATGCTGGATGGGGTTCCTACGAACTGTCGAGCCGGCAATCTCTCCTGAATAAGATGCCCGTACTGCTGGTACACGCGAAGTTTGCACGACTAAGCTGACGAATGCCAGTGCGATACCAACAAATATGCCGACAACGAAGTCATAAGTTCCCATGACCAATACGATGGCAATGACTGTTAGGTATTCAAGTGGCTTGAGCTTCTTCCTTGGGTCCCAGACAGCCTCGAACACTAGCTCGAATCCGAGCACGAAGATGAGGACCCCGACCATCATCACGGGAATGTACCCGATGAGCCCTGGCCCGGCCAGAAGGACCCCAAAAGTTGCAACGGCAAGAATGAAGCCGGCAACTCTGCTGTTTCCTCCGGACTTGATGAAAAGCACACTGTTTGTGTAGACCAGGTAATTCTGGATGCTCCCTGCAAATCCAGATAGCGCATTGGAGATGCCATGGGCCACAAGCTCTCTGTCAAGATCCAAATGATCTTCTCCAATATTGAAGGCAAGGGCCGGGATATTGATAGGGACATGTAGGACACCGAAGAATGTCAAGGCAAACATTGCAGGTATGTTTTCAGCAACCGCGCCCCAGTGGACAAGCTTGAAATCTATATAGGTTAGTGTATCCTAAAGCAAATCTGGGAGCTAGAGCATACCATATAAAGTATAGAAATACCACCACGGTTCATCCGCATCTGGTGCGTCAAAAATCCACCCATCTTCTCTCAACTGAGGTATATCCAACTGTGGTAATGCAAATACAAAAAAGTAGAAAATGGCGGGTATTAATAATATAAATGTCGGAAGATAGTATTTGCCAGTAAATATCTTTGAAGAGCGGTACAGAAACAAACCTAACACTAGTGGTGTTACCCACTGAAACACCGTGTCGAACTGGATTAATTTGTGTAATGTTTTCCAGTTGTACTCGAGATTGCCCTCGAGGCGAGCCGTAACTTCCAGCCCCGTGGCAATCAAGAACCAACCGACACCACCGATGCATCCGATCAGGATATGGCGGGGGATAAAGCCGACGATATATCCAAAGCGACAGACTCCCATCAGAAAGAACACTAGCCCAGTAAGGATAGAGCTTATGGCATATGAAGTGATGGTGGTTGAGATGACAGCTTTGGGATTGTCCTCCCCAACAGTCGCCAGGATAGTGAAGGCCATCTTATGAAAGAACGGCACAACTTCAATCATCTCGGAGCCGACGCCTCCTTTGAAAATACTACCGCCGAACGAGAATACGAGTTGCGATACTATGCAGGAAACGTAAAACATCGATATGCCTGCAGGGCCTAGCTTCTCAAACAGCGGCTCCCCGAGAGGGAAGAGAATCATGCCGTACGAGAGGGCATCAAGAACATTGAGCAGCGCTCCTAGAACAACGGCTGGGATGTACCCTGCTGGCTCAACAACTGACTTCTGCCATATGACCTTCTTATCCCACTTCTCGGGACTTGAAACTAATCGTGCTGCATGGTGCCCTCTCCTCAGCTGCTTCGAGAGTATCTTGTTGACTTTGGGCCAGGATTTATTCCTTCGAACTGGCTGTGCCTCCAAGTCATGACCTCCACTGAGATAATTTGGCCGTTGGCTCTGTCCTTGTGACACCTGGCGAAGTAATGGGGTATGCTCCGTGGCGTCCGCTCCACCAGGTGCCGAATTCTTTCCTTGGCCAGATATCAGGGCCTCTTCATCACCTGTATCCTCTGCAGTATCTCCTTCACCAGAATCAATATAACCATCCGGTGGAGATGCAGCCGTAGAGGCCCTCCGTAGCATATCTGCCAATACAGAAGTTCCCGGGGACCTATACGGCTGACCCTCATGCATTGGAGTTCCTGGTTCCGACAATTCCTCAATAACTGATGGTTTTGTAGGACCATGGGATACGTGTGGTGTGGCGCTGTCATCGTCTACATCTCCCCACGCATCTAAATTTGATCCAATATTTGAATGCGTCGATGAGCTTCGTCGAGGCGAACTGCCCATCATCGAGCGAGATTGCTCCGAGAGCGCATACGAAGCAAGCTCCGCTGTGTCTTCTCGAACATCGCGGGCATATTGCTGGCTATCATGGGGTGCTGTAGAAATGCGGCGTCAGCAATGCACAATGCGACCTATGCGCCTGGAGTATACTGACCTGGCTGTCCACGGAATGAACTGTGGAAGAAAGATCTTGTCGGTTCCCTTTGGCTGTACACATTCGACGGACTTGCTGGCATGCCAATGGGATCTGATGGCTCTCCAGTACGAGCAGACAATCCCGGCGATGGCCGAGCACTGGAATCTCCATGGCTACTGCTTAATTGGACTGGCCAGAGGAGGTTCTGTGCGGTCGTCGCGGCAGACAATGCCCTCTGCCTCCTCGATGGCGCGAGTCTTTCGGACGCTGGCAGCGACATTCCAACGGTGGCGCTCGCAGATGCCGTCGCACGAAATCAAGCACTATCCAGCAGAGCAAGCTCTATCTATACCCATGGCACGAATGATAGCCGTGTCGCTCAATAAGCGGGTCTTCGAGGTCTAGAGCAAGGCGGGGTCCGTGTGGGAGATAAGTGACAAGATTTCTTACGTAGCTAGCTCCCGTTCCATGGTTACTGGCGCTAAGGGGTTTGGGAAAGTGGCGATATTAAAGGGTCCAAGACTGCTCTCACTTTTATTGCTCTATAGATTCTATTTTCTATATATGAGGGGATTATTTGGTAGTAAATCCGATAAATGAATGTTCGTAGTTCTCACGAGGATGCAAGGCTATGGAATGTCTCAAATAACCTGCACTACGTCATGGTAGCCAATGCGAATGATTGGGCTGGCATGGACCCCAACTGTCAGGGTACAATTTAGCTTAAATTGGATACTTTGCATATTTTATCCTGATGCAAAAATATCGATTTGTTCACTTAGAATATTATCACCGTTCAAAGGGAGTGGCATCGATATCAGCCTCGTGCGGAAATTGTGGCCCATGGCCACGTGTTTGTAGAACCATGCATATTATACAGATAGAACCAAATGCCAATTGCCATGAATCCACGATGCTACCAAATCCACGAGCGTGTTGAAGGGACGTGTCTTCGATCCAGTATATTTCCGCCACGGTGGCTGACTGAAAGATATCACACCAACAATTGAGGATTTTAAGCTCTTTCTCCTGACGCCTTGACTCTGGTAAACCCCACCATCTATCCTCGGACACATTGAGAGAGGACTCTTGTCGTCATCCGAAGTCCAACTTGGCTGAGTAAATGCAACGGGAGTCTTTAGCCGCAGCCCGGGGACTCCAAAGAGTGACACTCGGAGAGGAGCGTCTCCCAGAAGATTCATTCGGATTGCTCGACTGAACCGCGACTATAACCAGGCTGTCGCCCGGAGATATTCAGCGAGTGACATCCATAGAGCAGAGCGTCCCGTCGAAGACTCCTTCGGTTTGCTCGACTACAGCGTGACTGTGATCATGATATTGCATCCAAGGTTTGGTTTAGCTGAGCTTTTGGAGATATCCTTGAGCGATGAGTCGCTCCACATCGCCTTGTCGAACATAGAACTGGCTATTCTTGGTCAGAGTTATCGACCTGGATATCATGTTAGTCGCTTGTGTCAACAGGACCAGCTTGGCTGCCACAATGGAAGCTATATCTTACCCGTATTCCGTCTGTATCTCTCCTGCATCCTTCAGGACCCTCACATCTATGAACAAGTCCCTCGGCGGCTCCAAACTGCCTGCCAAGTCGACATCCGTCCACTGCCCCGTGTATGATGACAAAAGCTCGCTGTATTTTCTGACATACTCCTCTTCCTCGGGGCTGAGGTTATGCTTGTTGCTTTCTCCATTGCCCACTTCCCCACCGGCCGCATTTCCGCTTTGAATCCTGCTGTTGTAGCTCTCCTGGGCCTTCTGTTGTTGAACTGGCGCATCAAGAATATCCTCGCCGCTCCAGACCAACTCCTCTAGCTTATCAGTCCTGACCCTATGGTACGCAAGCAAACAGCGCTTATTTCGTCTCATGAATAGGTGGTTGACGAGCAGCGTGCAGGCCGTAGCCGGGTCCTCCGACGGCGTGAAGGATCCATTGAGAGACTGCGTGATCGTTTCAATGTCTTTGTGTAACTCGCGAGCTTCACGGGTAACAGCGCGAACTGTCTCGGTCTGGTACGGCGGCAGGTTGGCGAGGCCTTGAGTGCGCTTGGCGTGCTGGGCCTTGTGGTTTGTTAGGAGAGTTCAGGTACCGCCAATGCTTCATGTAGACTTACGAGCTTGTTGCCCAGGTCGCCATACATTTGAGCAGATATGGGGCAGGTTTGTCGAGCTTGTGGTTGAAGGGTGAGGGGCTGTAGTACAACACGTCACGTCCAAGCGCGTCGCTTGGATGCGCCAATCGCGCTTTCTCCACAAAGACTCTGTTCCAACGACATTCCCGCCAACATTCTTCCCGAGAGCATCATTAAGCAACCCGCAATACTCGATGAAGAATGGGAACTTAAAGTGGTTAACTACGGTTTCATATTTTATTAAAGGGGGTTATTCATAAACAATCTTCATTGTTCTCAGTGAGCCGAGGCCCTCCAAAGCCATTGCCCAAATGATGGATACTGGAGATTCATAACTGGAAATTGATTTCTAGTTTCTCATGCAAGTGCAGCGTCTCACAGATGCAATTTTAAGAGTATCATTTCATATTTCTTTCAATTGGCTTTACAAAACCATTTACAAACACCCTATCTACGCGTCGCCGAAACCGCGATGATCATTCCAAGTCGCCCGTCTATGGAGTATCAAATCAGACCATCCCAAAAATGAAGACGCTTCGATGGTTCCAGTGAATCCTCCCCCATAGTAAAGACGCTTCAGTGATTCCAGTGGATCCTCCCAATAATAAGGACGCGTTGATAGTTTCAGTGCGCCCTCCCCAATAATGAAGACGCCTTTAGTTCCAGTGCATTCTTCCCAATAATGAAGACGCCTTCATGGTTTAAGTGTCTCCTACCCGACAATAAAGACGCCTTGACAGTTTCAGTCCCCCCGCCCAAGAATAAAGACGGCGCTTTGGTAGTTCCAGAGTGTCCTCCCAAATGATGAAGACGCCACGATAGTTCCAGAGTGTTTTCCCAATAATAAAGACGCCATCATGATTCCTCCCGCTTAAACAATCAAAATATTCACATCAGTTTTCTTGCCCCAATTCTGGGCCCATCCACTTATTGAACTCGTCTCCGGTATCCAAGCTATCGACAATATGCCACACGTCTTGGCTGTTCGGATCATCCAGCTGCTGGTTTAGGATTGGTGTATCAGGAATACCAGTTTGCGATCCTGGATAATCAGGGTACTCTGGGTACTCCTGTTTCACTCCATCTGTGACTATTTCCAGTGATTGCTGCAGAGGTTGCTGATTTCCGTCGACAATTGCTAGCTGCTGCTGCTGCTGGCCTCCATCAGCGATTCCGAGTGGTTGCTGATAGTATTGTTGGTTGAACATGAACGCGTTATTATCCAAGAATACTTCATTATCATCGGCGCTGTATAAGTCGTCATAGGGCTGGTCATGGCCCATGAGCGAAGGGTCAATCTTGTTCTCTGGCTCGTCTTGGTATCCATTAAAGGAATGCTGAGGGGTTCCACCATTCATGGCTCCATTGTGTTCATTGAAGGAATGCTGAGGAATTCCGCCATTCATGGCGCCATTGGGTGGGTAATACTCTTGCTGGTAGCCTGGATGCGGTGCAGCATTCATGCCAGGGCCCCTTGTCCTTCTCAACATCACATCATGGATATTAGGGTTTTGCATGTTCGGCACGACCTCTTGCTGCCAGTACTGTCCGTCGGGGATATTCGACCTGTACGGCTCTGGCACGTGCCTTCCTGGGTTGGATGCGTGGTACGCTGAACTTGGAAAATTGCTACCCATCCCCGGCTCCATGCTACTGCCTCTCGAATCGATATCGAATCCATAGTACGGCTGATTTTGGAATTTTGCAGGAGGAGTGTGACTTGGTTTGGGGGTCAATCTCTGGCGCTTCGGCCCCTTGGCGTTGCTGCGACCGTCCTTCCAATCGAATTCCTCGAGCCCTGATTCTTCATCCGACACCGAGGCCTTTCTCTTCGGCGCCTTGGCTGTCCCGGCTTTCGCGGGCGAGAACTTGTATCCTGGGTGGGCATTTTGGTGGTTCTGTCGCTCGATTCTAGCCCATTCGTTGAATTGTGCGCGGACATCGTCTGGCTCCAGCGGCCAACTGTCGCCACATACTTGGGAGACGACTTGGTGGTTGTTTTGCAGACACCAGTTCTTCGTTCGGTTTTGGTATGCTTTCCGGTACAACATAAAAGAGTTCATCGGTCTCTTGACTTTTCCCGGGTTCTTCCCCTCCTCAACTTCCTGCCGCCTGATCTCTGCTGATCGGTTCACGTACGCGTCAATATCCACTACTGGCACGTGTGTCCACTCCCTCGTCAGTACGCTCAGTGGCTGTTCCAATCTGGCGATTTTATTCTCCGCCTTGACTTTCTTCTCCTTCTTGACCTTCTTGGCCTTTGGCTTTGGCGATGTCGCCCGAGCAATCGGCTTTGGCGATGGCTTCAGCTGTTGGATCGCTCGGTTAATAGCCTGTCCACTTCTGGTGCGCCTCACGTTTGGTGGAGGAGACATTGCCGATGGCGCTGGAGAGGCTTCATGGCTCCCATATCCGTACTAAGATGGTCAGCTAGGTTCTGGGTCAGACCCAGGTTGCTTACGAGTTGTGCATCATCTGGCACCGGCGCATAGCGAGAGTTCTCTTGCTTCATGTCATACTGCAACTGCAAATCTTCCTGTTCGCTGTCAGGGCGGGGCCCGAAGTGTAATGGAACTTGAACCTACATATCCAGGTCCAACTGCAATGTTGTTTGGCGACAGGCCATGTTGGTAGATCTCTTGGTCGTTGCTGTATTGGTGGTATCCGCCGTCGCTATAGAGCGTGTCATCCAAGCCTTGTTCTGGCGATCCAGCTGGCGACATCTGACTCCCTCCTCCCTCAAATGAGTTCGATTGATGATGGAAGGAGGAGTTATGCTGTATCAGATGGCCAAAACCATCTTGGATATCTGCGGCGTTTGACGATGGAGGTGTCGGAGGAATCGTGGTTGTCCTATCTGACATTTCGACCAGATGTGAAACAAGTGGCTACTGGGTTGTATTCTTTAAGATCCAAAGGTGAAAGATCAAAGATAATCGGGGGTGCCGGGCTAGCTATAGGGAACCACCAAACTCCGGAGCCTATATCAGTTGGGATTCAGAAACGCCAGAAACAGAAACATGACCCCGGCAATCCTTCCCCACTTGTTCATGTAAGTAATTAACTAGAGTACATGAATCTCAAAGACAGTTTCGCCTACGGACCTGTCCCCAACTAGCAAGGTTATTATCAGTCACAACGTGTCTCTGTCTCGGCAATCTCAGCGGTAGCGAGAGTCTCGATTGCATCCCCCCAAACGACCTATCAGACGACAACGCTCAACCCAGCCGCATTCCACCTCACGATCGTTTTCGGACCCTGCGCCCGCTTTCGTGGACGCCCATCTCGCACGCCCGCACACTCCCTCTGATTTGCCATCCCTACCGGCGCAATGCCGGCTTCAGGCCCATCTGCCCGCGCGGCCGCCCTGGGAGATGGACAGGGACAGGGTGGGACCTGCATTTGAGGTGAGAGATTCGCGCGCGGCTGGCTGCAGTAGCGTCTTCTGCGCTTAGATGCATGGTTTCCTACGGTTGTTTGGACGTCTGTCTCACTATGGTGCAGGGTGAACATGGCATTAATTGCGCATCAGACGGTATATTCATAAGGTGAGTAGCTGCTGCTGCCTCTAGACGCGCCTTTTCATTCTCCTCCCATCTCAACTTGTCAAATTCACTTCACATTCACTCTCGTCGTTTTTGTTTTTGTGGCTTGCCTCTTTCTCCCCCATCTCCGCCACACCATCCCTCACGCTCTCATCCTAGCTCTCACATCATTCTTTGTACAGCTCGGTCCTATCACCCCAGCACCCTCTAAAAACAGCCATCTCAACCCATCACATCACAACCTTACCACCAGGAACAAAGGATCCTCTCTTACAAATCCCCCATCTCGCCGCTCTGGTCATAGCCACCACAACCATCGATCGCAAACAGCCCTTCCCTCTCTCTCTCCCACCGACAGACAGCGCCGTGAATGCCAAATCCCCGCCCCAAACTCCGCAACATCCCAGCCCATTCGACGGCCTCACACCGGTGCGATTTCTTGGTTGTCATCCCCCCACATCAACCGCCATTAGATCTCCCGCAGCGACGCACCCTTATTCGCCCCCACTTGAAACTGTCATATCACCCCCCCTGCCATCACAGCGCAGCCTCAACAGTAGGATCTCATCTTACAAATCCCCCCTCCACCGCCACACCATTCCCCCCCCTTCCATATAATCCAGCAAAATAGCGCGTGCCCAACGCCCCCTGCCCCCAGATCTCCCACATCTTTTCCCGTGGAATGTTAGCAGGTGCCTCCCCCTGCCGGGACCATTCTCTGTTTCGGGACTGGTGTGTAGTTGTGGTTGTGGTTGGGTTGGGGTAGTCACGTGATATCCCTTTTTCTTTGGTTCGCGCTTGGTCTTGGCCACCCCCTTACTTCCCATACCCGTTTTTTAGGGACCGTTTTTTAGGACTGGCACTCTGGGGGTGGGGGGGGGCTATTTTGGACGAGGCTGTGCGCTGCAAGCAGGTGCGTGCAGAAGGATGCAGGTATTTGTTGTTGTTGGTGTATAATTCTACTGTGGTCTCGCCCTTTCGTCATGGTGTTTTTTTAGATGGTATTTGAAATTCGTTTTATTTTCATTTTTCATACGAGCGTATTCGGCCCTCTTGTCCCGTGCTTTTCTGCATTCGCTCTCAGGAGTGGCTGATGTGCAGGACGTCCAGAGGGCAAAGCTTGTCATGTGATTACCCTTTTTGGGGGGGGAGGTTTGTTGGTTTCGTTTGCTTGTGTGGCTGGCTGGGGCGTGAAGCGTTTCGTTGACGCGCGGGGGGAGGGGGCAAACGACGCGGGTGGAGGGTGGGATAAGCGCTATGTGTGGGGTTGGGGGGGGAGGAGGTTGGGGTTTGGAGTTTGGTGATGCGTGGTGCCTTTTGTGGTGGTATGATGCGGGGAGAATGCGTGGGGATATCTGTGCATTTGTCTTTCTTGCTGGATATTGGAGGTGGAGATGAGGCACTGATGGGTTCAGACGCACGTCTCTCATGCATCAATGCGGACTCCTTTGTTGTCCGCTGTTATTTATTGTCGTATATATAATGCTGAAATCTCGCATCCTCTGTCTCTTGGCCCCAATCTGGACCACGTCCGTCCGGGAAGATAGACGTGCATTTACCTTCATCAACCCCCTCACACATCTCCCCTCCCCCGTTCCCATATATCACCACATCCCCCACTATAGCACAACATCATCCCAACAGACAAGCCCCATTCATCATCCCCATCAACCATCACCCCCTACCCACCACCCATCCTCTCCTGTCCCAGGAAACCGACCCCATTGACCATCAATCTCATCCCAACCAACAACCCCATTCACCGCATATGCCCCCTCAAAGACTGCAGTGAACGAGGTTCACGAGCCGTCCCATCCGTCCCTGCTTGTCATGTCATCCCAACCGCGCTCACGCAGATGCCCTTAAGCGCCCCGCGTCGCACAACACGCCTCCGTTACACCCGCGCCGATTAGATTCCCCCATCACCCTCCCGCTTGCCCCGTGTTACACACCACTCTCCAAGACACTGGAATATGCACGCCATCCAAAGCGTCCATTCGCCTTATCACTCGGCGGTTCACTGCTGCTGCTGGGGAGGTTGTTTTCAGCCCGCATCTGCACCCGATCTGATAAGTCTTGGATATTGGATATCCCTTGGCTTGTGCGCCCACGGGGGGGGATGTATGGATTGGAAAAGAGGAAAGCTGGGTCTTGGTATGGTGGTGTGAGGGGGGGGGAATGTTGGGGGATGTGGGACGGCAGGGCTCGGCGGAGGTAAGGGGGTTGTGCGACGGTGAGAATTAGGGCGGTGGTATCTTGGCTTGGTGGAGAGGAGGGGACGAGATAGGGGGGGTAGATTGATGTGATGAATCTATTAGGAGGGTGTTTTGGAGATGGTTTGGTGAGTGTCTGTCTGTCATTAGTTGGTTTTGTGTTGATATAAAAAAGAATAATGAAGATTAATTTAGACGTGGTTGGAAGTATAAACCCCCCCCTGAACTATTTAATTATTTTATTATGAAATATACCAGCAAACACAATATTCTTCACCACCCATCACAAGTATTTTATTTAAACGAGCATGCATACACAGTCATAATAGAAGAAGACATAAGAAGACATCAGCACGCTCACGAGTTAACATTCCCACTAACTACCGCAATAAAGCAAGCAAGCAAGGAGATGTCATATCATCATCACTTCGTGGCCATTTTCCCGTCCCCAATCAATCTCTCCCCTAAGAAAGCAACGAGAGATCCTCCAACAACCATAACAGACTGTTTTAACTGTTTTCTCAACGCCCATAACACATAGCCAACCACCAAACCAACCAATCAACCAACCAGCCATCCCAGCAGCCATCAAGGCAGGCAAACACACTTCCTCCATCCCTTAACAATTCCCAAAAACGCCTCGCTCGCTCACTCACGCTCACTTTTCATCCCCCAGTAGCACATAGTATCTCCCACTCACTCAACAGCACTCCAATCCCCCTCCTCCCCCCCTCCCCCCACATGACCCAACCTCAAAAACCTCCCCCCAACACCCAAACTCACAACCGAGCTACTCCGTCTATGCTCCACCGGCGCCGGCATCCCGACCGCGACCTCCACCGGCAGGAGGGGGATTATCGAGACACCCCGTGCTGAAGCGGGGATGAAGGGCGAGGAGGCGGGAGTGGTGGTGGGGGAGAGGGAGAGAAAGGTGTGTGGGGCGGGGAGGGCGGGGGGGGTGGTGACGCTGGTTGTGGGGGCGAGGGAGAGGAAGGTGAAGGGGGGGGGGATGCGGAGGGTGCGGGGGGCGAGGGGGTAGTGGTGTTTGGTGGACATTTTGGAGGGTGGTTGTGAGTGTGGGTTGAGTGGTGAGGGTGTAGGTTGAAGGTAGGTTGAGGTTGGAGGTAGGTAGGTTGGAGGTTGAAGGTAGGTAGGTAGGTTGGGTATAGATTCGTTTGATCGGAGTTCGGAGTTCGAAGTAGAGTAGTAGAGAAGGGTCGAAGTAGAGATGTGAAGTGTGAAGAGAGATGTCTTTTTACAAACCGTAGTCTCGGGGGGGAGAACAGGCAATATAAATAATCCTCCTAGCTCTAGAAAGCAATCGAAGCTCTCTCCCTCTCTCGTGTCAGCACCTTACACGCGGCGCGTCTGACCTTGTTTGTCTCGGCGGAAGCGCGGGGAGAGTAGCCCGGTCGGTCGGTGTGTTATAAATCGGTGAGATCTACTTTCGCGGCCAATTGATGGGAGGCTTGGTATGTCTCGGTGTTATCTCTCTTCGATGTTGTTTTTTCTCTTGGGTGTTGTTTGCGGTCGGCGATGGGAGATGAGACGTGGAGAGGGCCCACGTGGAGGGATGAGGGGCGAGGGAGGGGTCAAGCCACCAACAACAGGCAGGATGGATAAGGTGGTGATGAGGGTGAGGGCGACTGGATTGCGGAATGTAATGTGAGGGCGGGTGTGATTGGTGTGGGCCGGCTTACGTGTTTTGAATTGGTCGATGGATTGTTGAGCGGCGAGGTCGGCAGGTTTGTTTTGTGTGTGATGGTGGTGACGGGTGACGGTGATGATGGAGATAAGAGTGTAGAGTGGAGAGTAGAGATGAAGATGATGATGAAGAAGAAGGAAGACTTTGGGGAGTTGAAGGAAGATGGGGGGGAACCTACCTATATAGAAAACCACACCCATACTCTCCGTATATACCCCATAACTTACATGACGATTCTCTCACTTTGACAATTTTTGTTAGTGGTTGTTGGTGTTGTTGGTCGGCGGGCGGGCGGCGGGCGGTGGTCGCTGTTTGTCAGTCGTCGCGAATCAGGATAGGGCAGGAATGGAGGTACGAAGGTACACACCACAGGAACACACACGGGTACAACATTTCACAGGTGCACACACATACTTTTACATACTTTTACATACTTTTACGTTGTACCTACCTGTGTTCGGTCTGTGTCCCTCGGCACATGATGAACAAATATCCTTTTCACATCCGCCGTCCATCTCCCCACAGCCTCTCATATCCCCCCCACGGCTTCTAAACCGCCCCCTCTACCCTCCTACCCTCCTACTAGCCCCTCCATCTCTTCGAAACTCTCACACCCATCACACACCCATCTCGAAACTCACAACTCACAAATACCCGATCCCCTTCATTGGCCACATATACACACCACACCACCCTACCGCCGCCGCATAACTCGAGAATATCCCGGAAGCAGAACGAGAAGACGACGACTTCACAGGCTTCCGAGATCCTCAAACCCTCACTAACACCAGTAGTACAATTCCCTTGACAGTTCTCCACATGCATGCCCACCGAAGAAAGAAGAAGAAGACACTGCAAAGTCTCTTCCCCCCCATCCCCCCCTCGGTCCCCCGCCCCGCCCCTACCCGCCCTCCCCCATCCCATCCCCAGCACACACAGCACAGCACGCACCACCACCCCCCGTCTCGGGCCCCGGCCGACCAGCCTCCATCTAGCCAAAATCCAAACACCTTATCCCACCGCCAAGCAAGCCCCCTCGCATCAGCTGAGGCCTCCCGACTTTCGTGCCCCCTCTTGGCGCGTCTCCGGGGCGCTGTGGTGCGGTGCCCGAGACAAGTCGATTTATTCCCACTACTACCACTACAAACACTACTACAGTACCTGCTACTAAGATTACTACTATGGGAGGGGAGGGGGAGGGGAGGCGAGTTATGCAGTAGGGTGCGTGCGTGCTTAGCTGCCTTGGCTTGTGCGATGTGCCTGAGCCAGGTGAGGTGAGGTGGGTGGGGGGCAAGCATGGGGGTAAGAAAGGGGCTTGGCGGGGGGTTGCGCGAGACCTCTGGTATCTGGGCGAAGTTGTCGTGGCCGTTGGGAATGGGAGATCGACGGAAGAGCGTTATTGTGGTTTTCGTTGCCAAGAGGGACGGAGGGCGGGCAGAGGCGGGTTGCCTTGTGAATATGCGGTTTTGTGTGAGGTCTTTGTAGAGGACGAGGACGAGGACGAGGACGAGGATGAGGTGGAGGGGGTTGCACGTCATTGTGGAATTTATCGGTGGGGTGAAACGACGCACTGCACCTTTACTCTACTGGACTGCGGAGGGAGGGAGTCGAGTGCTGTGTGCCCTGCGGTAAGTGCGCTGGGGAAAAGGCGAAAGTGGCATGTGAAATTTCGAGATCTTGGGGATCTATGCGCTAAGACGGGGAAATGCGGGGAGTGGGTATCGACGGGTCGTGCGGTGCGGTGCCTGGACGGAGAAGGAAGGGTAAGGCCGGGGGAGGTAAGGTTGTGAGTGTCTGCGTGATCTATGATTTGAAGCTTATATTTCCTTCTATTTTGGAAGACTGGCCGTTGGGAGCCTAGATGGATGAGACAGTCATTTCAGAGGAGACAGATGGATGGATGCCAAGTCTGGAGGAGAGGGTAAGGGGGTAGGAGAGGTAAGGTTGTGATGTCTGCGTGATCTCTGATCTTGAGCTTATCTTCTTTTCTATTTTGGAAAGACTTGGCCGTTGGGAGTCTAGATGGGTGAGACAGTCATTTCAAAAGGAGGCGGATGCCAAGTCTGGAGGGAGTTACGGATGGTAAGGTTGTGAGGTCTGCGTGATCTCTCATTTGAAGCTTATGTTCTTTTCTTTCTATTTTGGAATGAGTGAGATGGCCGTTGGGGAGGTCTAGATGTGTGGCCGGCTGGCTGGATGAGACAGTTATTTTAAAGGAGGCGGATGCCAAGTCTGGAGGGGGTTACGGATGGGAAGGTTGTGAGGTCTGCGTGATCTCTGATTTGAAGCTTATCTTTCCTTCTATTTTGGAAAGACGACTGGCCGGATGAGACATCATTTCAAAGAAGACGAACGCCAAGTCTCAACGTAAATTTTGTTTTGGATTGCAGGAACAGCCCGTCCAGAACGCCTGATGGATGAATTTTAGATGCCCGTTTTGCATCACAGTACCCGTTATAACACAATATTCTATCTCCCCCCCTTACTCTACTCATCATCCTCCTCCCCCTCATCGGACGACTCAACCACATCATCCATCTGCACATCCTCCCCCCTCCCCCTCTTCCCCTTCCCCTTCTTATCCTCCTCCCTCCTCCCCGCCTCCAACACCCTCGCCTTCTCTTCCCTCTGCTTCCTCTGCCCCACAACATACGCCCCCAACGGCGTCTTCTCCCACTCGAACCCCTTCAGGAACCCCTCCACCCCCGCCCTATTCCCCGGCGCAAACTCAACCTTCACCCTCCTCTCCTCCACCCACCGTCCATTCGCCTCGATCTTCTGCACCAAGATCCCAAGCGCCGCATTAACCTTCCCGTTCCGGTTCCCCGTCTTCGCACCAGCCTCCTTCAACCACCGCTTCAGCATCACAATCACCGGCAGCCCCAGCTCCGGCGCCGCAACGCTCGTAGACCACAGCACGAAGAACTCCCCCAGTAATTCAACGACTTGCTCCCCAACGCCATCCTGGTAGACGCGCGTCCGCAGGTAGACTTTAGGCGCCTTATACGCGACCGAGAAGTCAAGCGGGCGCTGCGTGCTAGGCTTGGCGTGCTTCTTCATCTCCGCCGCGGAGAGGACCTCCAGCAGCAGCGGCGCGAGTGGGATGTACGTCCCTGTCGCGCGGGACAGTCGCAGGAGCGACCGCACGAGGTGGAAGCGAAGGGGGAAGTACGTCGCGGTGGGGATGAGACGCATTGCTCCCAGCGTGACCTGGACGGCGGGGTAGATCAGGGCGCGGAGTTGGGATTCCTTGCCGCGCGCGGCTTCCTTGAGGGGGGAGCAGTGCTCGGCGAGGACGCAGGACCAGAAATCCAGGGAGTGGATGTACTGCCAGTTGTAGATCGTTTTGTAGGATTCCTTTGCGTTATTGGTGATGCTGCTGCGGAGATGGATGGCGAGCTGACGGATGAATGTGAAGCCCGTCGTGTAGCCGATGGTGGGATCGAGACCCCACAGCTCGGCGGCGGAGTTCTTCATCAGGTTTATGCCTTGGATCGTGTGGATGGTCGTGTTGCGCGCGCCCTTGACGAGGCCTTGGTAGACGGTCTTGAGGACGGCTTCGCGGAGACCGGCGTCGCCGATTACGGCGAGGCGGCGCACGACGAGGAAGGCGGTGATGCGAGTTGCTTCGCTGCTGGAGGCGTCGGACCAGATGTCGACGACGGTCTTGACGATGCCCTTGAGCACCTTCTTGAAGGGGAGGAGGTAGGGGAGGAGGGGGTTGATGGTCGAGAGGGTCAGCTTGAGGGTTGCCTCGTCGGAGAGGGTGGTGAGCAGGTGCTGCACGGAGGTCGTGTGAGACTTGAGTAGCGGCGTGAGGGTCTTGAATTTCTTCGAGTCGGTGGAGACGCGGATCTTGCCAGCGGCGCTCTCCTTCACGGGGAGGTGGTGCTGCAGGACCTCGGGGACGAGCTGGAGAGTGACGACGAGAAGTTGGTGGTAGACCTCGGGATTCGTAATCGTGTATTTGTAGTCCTTGCCCTCATCCTCATTGACGTGTGCGGCAGCTCTGAAAGCCAGGACAACCTGTCGCATTGCTCGTAACGAGTGCTGCTCAGACATTGCCTTCTTCCACTTGGCGACCATCTCCTTTGTGACTTCAGTCTCGTCGAGCATCTCCTCCTCGGACTCCTCGTCCACCTCCATCTCCTCAGCCTTGGCCTTCTTGCTCTTTTTCGACTTCTTCTTAGGCCTCTCTTCCTCCTCCTCGCTGCCGCTAAGGCCATCGACCTCAGCTAGGTCGGCATCCTCGTCGAAATCGAGTGTCTCGGGGTCATTCTCCTTGAGGTATTTGTAGAATTCCGGATCCTTCTCAGCCAGTGCCTCCATAGCCTCCTTGCTCATTCCCATATCCTCATCCTCGTCCTCACTACCCTCATCATCGCTAGCCACAGGTGCCTCCTCATACGAAGCATCAGAGGAGTCGCCCTCATCCTCCTTCTCTGCCTCCGGCTCAGAGCGCTTCCTCTTTCCGAGTGCCTTCTTCGCATTCTTCTTTGCCAATTTCTCCGGGACCTCGAAACCCCCAGCAAAGAAATCATCGACGCTCATCTGACCAAAAGGATCGGCCTTAGGCTCAGGCGCACCCTCCTCTCCATCCTCCGCCTTGCCTTTTCCTAAGAACTCAGCATCCTTTGCATTCCTCAATGCCCTCTTCTCTTTGATCTGCACCTTCTGCTTGATCTTCGCGCCCACCTTGCGGCGCTCAAGCGAGTCCTTCAAGTGGTTCTTCTCGAACTTACGAGTTGCTTTCTTGCTCGTCTTCGCCATTGTTGTGGTTGGGGGAAGAGAGAATTGCGGTTTGTTCGAGGTTTTGCGTTCCTGGCAGCAGGGCTCAATCGCAGCCTTTGCAGAAAATTGTTATGGGGAATTATTTATCGCGACGCTAATCAAGCTAGATCAGGCTAGCGCCGACGGCAGAATCACAGACCGCCCGGACGGTCGCTCTGGCCCATGGGTGCCTTTGGCTTCACGAACGAGGGATGTGAGAGTGGAATACTTTGAGTTTGAGCTTCTTTAATAATCTACTGCGAATATACTGTCATGTATCCGAATAAGCAGGCGTATGCGCCGACTCCGCACAGCTATATTCCAAATACAGCTCTTTCTGCCACTGTGAACCTCGACGAAGTAAGGGCGCCCCCCCCCCCAATTAACGAGAGCCAACAAGCTAACTTGCGCACCAGGAAATTAAACTTGCGACCACGCGCGCTGAGAGAGACCTGCAGGACTCGCTGGCAGAAGTCTTCAGCATTATTATCACGCTCGACGAGCTCGAGAAGGCGTATCTCAAGGATGCGATCCCCGAGGCGGACTACACGGAGATATGCGACAGGCTACTGAAGCAGTACAAGGCGATCCTGACGGACGAGACCGTGGCCAAGGAATTCGTTGACCTTGAGACCTTCAAGTACGAGTGGGATGTATGTATTGCGACTTCAAAGAGACAAAGGTCTGAGCATTCGGCTGATTCTTCTAGATGGAGGTACCTCGGGCTACAGAGAGAATACGAATCGGCCTCCCATCCACGGTAACGGCACCGACTCATGCAGCGACAAGTGGGAATACCGGGGCCAATGGAAGTCTGATCCTGGAAGCGACGCAGGATTTCATCACATTCTTGGACGCACTCAAGCTGGGGCTGCTCGCGAAAGATCAGCTCCACCCGCTGCTCTCGGACGTAATACAGTCGGTCAACAAAGTTACAGACAGAGACTTTGAGGGGAGGGGCAAGATTGTGCAGTGGCTCATTTCCCTCAACCAGATGAAGGCGACAGAGGAACTGAGCGAGGATCACGCCAGGGAGTTGGAGCTGGACATGAACGCAGCGTATCAGGGATTCAAGTCGACGCTGAACTGACCGAAATGTGTGACGGACAACAGACACTGTGCAGCTCATTTATATATTGGTATTCTGCATAGCGTGGCGCTGGGAATGACCTGGGAATGCCTGGGACTCGCCTGGGTAGTATAACCAGGAAGTATTTGCTGGGAATTGCATCACACTAGGCCGCCTATCATGGCCCGCAACAGGGCTCGGGACGTACATAGCCGTCCGCAGCCACTAGGTTCCCCTCCATCAGACCAGAAAGGTCCAGAAGCTGGGGTATACAAATTCATCCTCAAAGATGCGCCTGACCTGTTCCAAGACAAACTTCTCGACCTTGCCCACATTCTTCAGAACCTGCTTTCCGTTCTCCCGCTGGCCGATCTCACTCTCGACCTTGATTTCCTGTAGGAGTCCCCCCATCTTGAGACCGTTGGGGGTGCCCGCAGGGTCATCCAAATCTTCGGGCCCAATGGCATTCAGCGCATCTTCGTGTGACAAAAAACAAAAGTGGGCCTTCTTCCTAATGTATGCCAGCACTGCCACGCCATCGAATGAGAGCCCGGTAATGTTGAGTTTCAGAGGGATTCCGACAAAACTGGGCATGGGATAGTCCAACAGGATCTCCGCAGTGAGTGACAGCCTGATGTCGCCGGAGTAACGGACGCGGAAGACGGTCTGCAGGTCTTCGACACGGGGCTCCTTGAAACGACGGGGCGGTGAGGTTGGCTCGTCGTCGATGGCTTCGTTCAGCAGACCATCCTGCGTGGGAGGACGTGTGCCAGGTGGCGAGAATGTCGACACGCTCCCCCGCTCCAAGGCCTGTTGGGCAGCATCCCCGATGGAGGGGGCCATGGAACTGCCACTTGCAGAGTGACGGTGGCTGATTCTGCGATTTCCTAATTGGGCGCTGCGATCCGGCCAGCCATGAGGAAGGTGTGCCCCCGCCACCGCTGCAAGAGGGGTCTGAGTCCCCGAGAGGCCAGAAGCAAGATGGGAATGAAAGTAGTTAAGATTTGAAGTACCTCCTGATATGCCGGGGGTGTGTGGGCCGAAGAATGAATTTCCCTGCTCTGAAGGTTGCAGACCTCGACTCCCAGTAAACCGTGTGTCAGCGTAAAGGGCAGAGTTCCTGTCATGAGGCGGTCGGCTGGAACGCGCCTCTCTGTCGGTTCGCCGTCTCTCCCTAAGAGTGCGGGCTTCAGGGGTGGTGGTGGGTGGCTTCCATCCTACATCATCACCTCCCGCCTCCTCATCAGAGGCGGACTCCTCGTCATTTTCCTCGTAGAAATCCGCCAATGGGTCACAGATGTCCTTGAGCTCTATCTCCGGGGCCACCGACCCGAATTCAAATGTGTGGACCTTGACCGACTTAATGAACCGGGGTAACGTCACTGTCTGGAATCTGTCATGTATGAACGTGCGGATCGTCTCCGCCAAGGCAATTCCGTCAGGGCCAGATGTGACGGTTTCCCAGTTGAGATCAATGGACATCTGGTAGCTTGACAATTGTCATCACCTTGTTGTGGAGTTATGTTGTTGGAAGCGTCAGTGTGAAATGTTCCTATCGCTGCTTTAGAGTGGGTATATGGTCACGTGAAATATACCAAGGTGCGCCTCCGGAGACGCAGGGCCGCTGATAGGGCCGCCGCCAGCAGGGTTCTAGCCGCCATCAAGGTGATAGTTGGGCGCCTCGAGATTCGATTTCCTATCTGATAATTACCGACACCCCAGATTGCTGCAAACGAGGCGAAATGGCAAAATGTGATGAATTACGGAAAAACTGCAAGGGCAACGGGATTCTACGGGGGCGTTGTAGTATCATGTTCCCTTGCATTCCAAGATCCCTTCTAAGCCGGGGTAGCTCCGGAGTCACCTTCATTTCTTTGTGAATGTTGTCTCGTTGTACTTCTACATCATCTATCTATTTGGCACTTATGTGAGCTCGATCCCATCGTTTCTGCAACTTCAGCCGGCTTGAAGCAAGGATCTGGCAGACTATCTATCGTCGAACCCCTCCCCTCTGCACCAGTTATCACCAACATCATCAAAGCAAATTGTGCCGTCCAAAGCATCGGGTCCACCAGAACTCCTCCTAGCGAGCCCACTGGGCAGACCAAGCAAATTGGGCGTTGATCTGGATACCGCGGCACCTGAAAAATGCCCTCAAAGCATTCCATTATCCAACATCCAACAGACTCCACCGGGCTAGTGTGGGCAGATCTCGGACGCAGCGTTCCTGTGAACTTGGGGGCCGAATACGCCGCCATCATGAGTTGCTCTGACCTCTGATGTAAAAAATGATTTTTCGGAATGCCGCGAAGCAAAGATGCCTCGAATGTGCCTTCGTGTTGTCCTACCCAATGGCGGACGCCTCGTCGCGGCATAGCCGCCCGGGACGCTGCAGCAGGAATCTTAAACGAGCGCACCTCCCCCAACCACATTTTGCTGCTTTCTATGCATGAGAAATATCACATGATTGACATTTTATGCGACCCAGGCAGGGTTGAGGGGCTACGTCAAAGATGAATGCATAAAGTGATTTGGGCCGGATGGCAGCCCATTCCTCCCCGACCAATATTATTTAAATAAAATGTAAATTCTTTTTGTGTTGGAGAATGCTGCGGGGAACGGGGGATCGACGAGACTACTGTGGCCGGCAAGCACGAGACGGCTTCAGCCGGTGTACAGCATGGTGCAGCGGGTACGGCCTCCCTCCCTCCCTCCCGTCTCTCGTTTGCATCTCGTTGCATTTCGTTCCCATTTCAGTCACCGGCCCCACCGAGCTTTTTGCCCACGTTGGCTGTCGCCGCTGTTAGACGGCTTTCGTATCACTGGCACGTTGCACCCGCGACCATGTCTCTAGCAGCACGTACTGTGCTGCTTGTGGGGGATCAGGCGGCAGTTGCAGCGCTCACTTGCCATATGCTCGGAGATGATGGAGGGGTGCAGAAACACAAATTTATTATCCAACTTTGCCCTGTCTGGCTCTATGTGAAAAGAGAGTCATTTGACTCGGGTTTGCTAAAGAATGTCCAAAATAAATGTGCCCCTATGGGGCACTATATGAATTAATGGTGGGCGTGTCGTGCAAAACAGACAGAGTATCCATAACAACGCGGCAGCCCTAGAAATGCTTGCGCCACTGATCGTGGGCAGAAAATAAACAACAGATATCCACTCAAACGATGCCAGTTTTCCCATAACCAAACTCCTTTAAAAATGCTGATAGCGTTCTTGTATGCGAGACTGTTCCACCGCCGAGAATTATAACCCATAGCGAAGCTTATAAAAGGTTGAGTGGTCCGGACCAGAGATACAAAGGTTGATCAACTAGCCCAAAGGGCCGTACAATGCCGCAACGACGCAGCATAATTCAGCTCTGATGAGCCTATCGGAGTTTAGTCTTTGACCTTTCGCCGTTCTCGCCGTGCTTGTCGCAGGTATCATCGTTCTTAAATGAGACGGATTTCTTCCGGTCACACTTCTCACCATCGCCAGAGCAACCTGACGTCTTGACCCAGGTCACCGCTGTGCACCCACATTGGTAGGTGGTCGTAATCTTTTGACACATATCGATGATTTCTACTCTGAGCCTTGGACCTGGATGTGCAGGTTCGGCGATATGTGTGAAGGTGGGCTGCTGAGAGTGGTGCGAGCTGAGTAGGTTCGAGCTGGACAACGTTAGAATCTTCTGGGCAACGGGAGGAGTTTGAAACGGTTGACTTCGCCCATCCTGAAGTAGGAGCCATGGTAGTTTGAGAGCATGGGAATTATACGTACTATATGATATTATTCGCGGTCTACCGATTTGGATATGTGCAGTGGTGGTGAGCTCGCGGGTTTGCTTTGAGGATGGGAACCTTAAGAGAAGGTTGGACGAGATATTTATCTTCGTTCGAAATGGTCGAACGAGAACATGAATTCAGAGGAGACAATGGTTTGGTTTATAAGGTATTTCCCTGCATTCCGAGGGGCCGGGTATTGGTCTGTATGAATTCAGTCCGTGTAGTTGTTTGCCATGCCTGTGGGATGGATGTTGTAGAGTGCGTCGATGAGAAATATGCCTGTCCTGTCCAACGGCCGTGTGCCTTATTGGTGGTTGTTTGTCTCTCAAGTTCTTAGTGCCAATGTGATGAATGAAATGAGGAGTTAGATGCAGCCATTGATATTATCACGCAAGGCTATGTATGTAGTAGGGTAGGTTCCAACGGGTTGAGATAATATATCAATCAGCCCCCAGGGAGAGTACTGTAAAAGGGAAAATGGAGGAAGAAGCACACAAGTGTGGACATGGAGGACCTTGTAAGTATATGGGTAGTATTTGTACATGGAATGCCTTTTTAGGGCAGAAATAATTGAAAGCCGATAAGGTTGTTGGCAAAGAGGCCAGGTAGTGAGTGGATGTATTGATGGAGGAGGATAGTCGAATAAGAGAAGAGTATCAGAGGAATGATAGTCTGCAGTGTCAGGGAAGGATGACAGTAGTAGGCAGTAGTATATGGGGGTAGTTGGTTGTTCAATGTGGGATAGTGGAGGAGGAGAAAGAGAGGGACGAATAGTTGTAGGGGTATAATAAAGAGACGGAGCCACTCCTAGAGCTCATTGTCGCCAAGAAACCAGGTACTCCTCACCCCGTCCTCACCCCGTCCTCACCCCGTCTATCCACTAACAGCACATACCACATTCACTATACTAGTAGCACTAACAGCAATTAACAGCACTAAACAATACTGTAACAGTACTAACTAACAGCACTAACTTACTATAGAGAACCGGGGAATGGAACAGTCAGGCTACTGCTGCTTTAATGTACTCTACTGCACTCTACTGCTGCACTCAAATGCACTGCACTGCGAACAGAGACAACAAACAGCATGAATATCGACTATCATTGTAGGTAATGTACTCCACGGTCTCCCCGACTCGTCTCGGACATGCAGCATCCCACATAAATCATTTGTATTTTATTTCACGGTATTTTACGGTATTTTAATTTTAATTCCTATTATTTCTATTATTTTATCCTTCCCTTCCCTCTCATTCCCTCTCACTCGCCAAATACAGCAAGAACGATAGATTCTTCGCTCGGACGATCGAGCCAGGTGCGCCTTCCTAGAGCCAGAGCGAGCATCCGGGCGATGTAACGCTGGGCGATATGCAGCTGCATATGTATGTTCTATGCTGGACATTCCCGGCCTCATGCCAGGCCTTCAAAACTGGTCACTGTGGCTGGGACAACAAACATTCCACACGTCTTCTTTCAACCGATATTGCCCAGGTACTTCTCCTAATACTTCTGATATACCCTCCGGGATCTCGCCACCTCGACGCTTCGCGGCTGACCCATGATGCCAGGCCAAGGGTGCCATGTGCGTTCCTATTAGCTGCTCCTCGATCGCGGCGCTTAGAACCTCCTTCCCCCCTCCTCGTCTGCCTCTCCTCACCAACGACCTTTCTCGACATGGTAAGCTCTTACCAACAACTCCAGCCAGAGACGGCTAGACTTCCGCAGATGCTCGTACTTCAAAGTACGGGACTAGGTATTCTGCCCCCCCCCCCCCTGGAAGGGGGAAGCCTGCACCCGGCGGAGATCTCGCAGTGTGACAAGACGACCCCTTCTCATCTCTTCTCCATACCTTGTCAACGCTCACCAGACCGCGTCACGGAAGAAACCCATGGTACTTGGGCGTTACTTCTCTCGTCTCTGACCCCCAATCGACGTGCAAGGACGGCGTAAATGTCCGTTATTGACTTGATAAAGCATCACTTGGTGACTCTACTATTGGCTGCCGGTGACATCTTCATCCAACAGACGGTTACGAGGCATATGTTGTTGGTTGCATTCTTCGCATCAAAAGGTCCGAACCGTGGCCGCATGGCTTACGGCCCACGCACGAAAGCCGTTATATGGAGATCCCTCAATCTTGAGCCATCTACGCCTTTTGTTTGTGAAACTCGAGATTTTTTAGATTACTGGGTTGGTAGTTTTCAGTCCCTGGCGTGGAAGGACGCAAGGGCGACGACGACATGACAGGTAGCATGCCCGGCCGGCACTGCATCATTCCAACAATGCGAGCAAACTGAAATCCCCGGGGTCACTCAACACATACCGTGATAGCCCCCCCTTTCCAATGATGGCCGCTCTAAGCACTCTCAAGAGCTTTCCCCTGTCCCTGGCCAAGCGTGCAAGCATCAAACGGCTGGACCGCAGGTGGGCGATCAGTTAGTGGCACAATAACGCGGACGACGTCCCATCTCGTGTTTGCAACACCTCGTTTACTGGCGGGGGCCAAAAACGCAACAGTTGCAAGACCCCCGCTCCCATACACATGTGGAGGGGCCGGCTGATAGACTGACGACGGACGGAGCGAGGCCGCCACCTCTCTGATTCCGGAGATCCCCCTACTCTGCCGCAGCACGGCACAGAAACATCGCACACTCCACTCCATATGCAGTTGTCCGGCGACACCTCAGCTCGCTTCCCCTAGGGTCCTCTTGGGGCCAAGCAACGTCGGTTCCTTCCCTGGGGAGATGCTCCTACTGTGAATTTCGTGCGGATCCATGTTTCAACATCCTCGCCTCCACCCCACAGCTGTGCATGCCTGGCGTCTGACGACCAGGTTCATAAACGCGACATTATTATGGTCTGATCTGCTATAGTACTTGCCAATGTTAGTGGTCGCAATTAAATGGGTCTGTCAGCTCAAGGGTTGAACGGCTCGCTGATTGTTGCGCATCCAACAGCAGAAAGGTTGACGTTCAACGGTAACGGTTAATCTAAGTTTTGCGGATGGCTGCTGACTGGCTGCTGATCACCCAGGCGGCACAAACGACCGCAAAACCGTGGCATTATAAATATAAATATGCCCCAAAATTAACTGTATCTATATCGAAGGAAGCGGGAATTTCGACAGACATGGAAATCCGAAATCCGAGACGCCATTCACGCAAACACCGCCGCTACCGACAAATAAAGAAAGTGACACGTCCCTTTCTTTTTCCGGCGAGGTCCAAAAAGTTTGTGCCGGCTTCGCGAATGACATGCGTCTCCTAAGCGCCGTTGAAAAACACAAAACCAACCCCCAGGCCTCCCCCGTCCAACAACGCACAACGGCTCGCTCGCTCGCACGCGCGTCAAGCCATAGCGGAGCCCCCGGCCGACTATGCGACCATTGATGACCCGATTCCCGCGTCGCCCGCCCCAACTGCAACCCTCCTGCATTACCACATCCCTCTCCACCCCCGTGACCGCCCTCACAGGCACACACAGCCAGCAGCACCACAAGCCCCCATCCCCTTGGCCCCCACGACATTTTCCACGCCAGCAACAACGCACCAGCGTGATCTCCGTGATCGCCACAACCTCCCCCTAGACACACCTCCACCGCCCTCCCTCCCCTCGGCCCCCCGACGCTTGCCCCCCCCACCGCCCCGCTAACACACAAACAGCCCTCCTCCGACCGCCGCTGTTGGAACCACTTAAGCTTCACCCCCCCCCCGGACATGCCCTCTGCATCCCCGGCCTGCCCTAGGCCTCGCGGCTGCGTGCCTCCTGGCGCAGCAGCGCGCTGTCCCTCCGCCCCACTGCGCCCTACGCCAGCTGGCAGGCAAGCAAGTGCCGCTGCTGCCCTCTCGCCTGGGGCGCGCGGAAACTCGCTTCCGGTATCTCGCCCCCGCGCGCGAGTCTGGAAGTGTCATCCCAGAGGTGGTGACCCTAGAAAGGTCGGCGTAAAGGGCTGTCCCAGAAGGGAATCCCAGAGCGGCGTGGCGCGGTTGGATCATTGCCGTGCGTGCGTGTGCGTGTGTGTGCATCGGTGTTGGTGATCCCGCTGCAGCTCGCCGCGCCCTTGACCGAATCGACTCGTCTCGACGCGGTTGTTTGTCTGTTTGTCCAAGCGGACTAGCTAGGCTGAGGAACGCATGTCGTGTTTGCAGCGCTGGGCGCGCGGGATCGCGTGAGCGAAGGCAGGGTGGCTGCGTCTGCGTCTGCGGCCGTCGGTCAGGCACCAGTGGGTGTAGGTAGGTAGTAGGAGCGGGACTTTTGCGAGAGGTGGGTTCGGGCGCTGGGGCGGAGAATATGCCTTGCGGATATTAAGGGTGTTGCATACTCTATTTCGTAGCCGGTGTTGGCGCCAAAAAGGGGTGTGGTCCGAGGTGAGGATGGGATGGCTCAGGGGCTGGGGGGGGTTCACGTGATGATTTAGCTGATGCATGTTGGGGATTAGGGGGTCGGTTTATGGGTTGCGTTACATGATATAGAGTAGTTATTCTTCAGCGGATGCATGTTGGGAATATCAGGTCTGATTATGGGCCGGTCTACAAGGTTCAGATCATTAATTCTTCAGCGGATGCAGTTGGGAATAGGAGGTCTGATTATGGGCCGGTCTATAACGTACAGATCATCAATTCTTCAGCGGATGCATGTTGGGAATAGGAGGTCTGTTTATGGGTCGGTCTACATGGTACATACAGAACCGGTTTTTCAGCGGCTGTATGTTGGGAATTTAGGGGGCCTGTTTATGGGCCGCTCTATATTATTCAGCAAATGCATGTTGGAGATTTAGGGGGTCTGATTCTAGGCCGGTAAAGATCACCAATTCCTCAGCGGATGCATGTTAGGGATGGGGTGGTCGGTTTATACGTCATGTTGTTGGTTACATGCTACAGATTAATTATTATTCAGAGGATGCATGTTGGAGAGTGTATGATGGGGTCTGTTTAAGGGCCAGTCTCCATTCATCGGCGGATGCATGTTGGAGATTTAGGAGCTCTCTCGTTACGGGCCGCTCTATATTCTTCAGCGGATACACGTCAGAGATTATAGGGGATCTGTCTAAGGGCCAGTCTACATCCTTCGACGGATGCGTGTTGGAAATTTAGGGGGTCTCTTTACGGGCTGGTCTATATTCTTCAGCAGATACATGTTGGAAACTTAGGGGGTCTCTGTATGGGCCAGTCTATATTTCAGCGGATGCACGTTGGGAGCAGGAGGCCTGTTTATGGGCTGGTCTACATGGTTCAGATCATTAATCCTTCAGCGGATGCGTGTTGGAGAATTAAGGGTTCTCGTTCTTGTTACGAGCCGGTCTCTATTCTTCAGCGGATGCATGTTGGAAACTTAAGGGGGTCTCTTTCTAAGCCAGTCTTCATTCTTCAGCGGATGCATGTCAGAGATTTTGAGGGATCTGTTTCTGGGCCAGTCTCCATTCCTCAGCGGATACATGTTGGAAACTTAGGAGGTCTCGTTCTAGGCCGGTCTCAATCCTCAATTCTTCGGCAGATGCATGTTGTTGGACATTCAAGAAGTCAGCGTATAAGTCTCATTACATTGCTACAGAGGTTAAACACACCACCACCACAACCCCGCCCATTCCCACTCCTCACTCATATGCCCATTTCCCACCCCCCCTTCCAGCGCCAACACCCCTTCCCAGAACCGGGCCGTTTGTGTGCGTAAAAAAAAAAGCCATCTAATAATTACATTGCTCCATGCGTGTATATTCCCATCCCATCATCACATCATCTCTCATCCATCCCAAGGGGGGGATCTCATAACCTCCCCCCCTCTCCCCCCCGCCCCCATTACAACCCTCACAATCACCCCTGCCGTCCCAACATCCCCAAACACCCCGCCTTACACCCCACCTTCTCCGGATCGCCCTCCTCGCTCCTCCTCGACCGTCCCCTCCTAACCCTCTTCCCCGCCTCCCCTTTCTCCTCCCCTCCCTTCCCCTTCTCCTTCGGCGACCCATCCCTCTTCCCCAACAACGGCGCATTCCCAACTTCACCCTCGACTTTCTGCTCTTCTTCGTCCAGTTTCTCCATCATACCTTTACACCCTTCCTCCCCCCCAACGCGCGAGAACCGCCGGTTTCGTAATGGTGGTGGGCTGACTACTCGCGCTAGCGCGGCGCCTTTGCATTTTAGATCCTCTAGCACGGTCTCGAGCTTTTCTTCCGTTGTGCGCGGGCGTTCTGGACAGGGTGGCGGCGGGTTAGCGTCGCGGAGGCGTTGGGACGCGCGACGTGCTAGGGTTTTGGGGTCGGGGATCTCGGACTCCGGGAGTTTAGGCCGGGGAGGGCGTGGTTTCCGCGCTGAAAGAGACTCGCTGGATGTCGTCTTGTTGGGTTTGAGGGTGGGTGTTGATTTTGATTTATGTGGTGTGGGGTGGCTGGAGGTGCGTTCTGGTGGTGCGGAATCTTCGTTTGATTTTCGGCGCTGAGAGGGCGTGATTCTGGAATTTTGGATTGAAGCCGCGGATTCGGGTTTGAGTTCCTCGGCGCCTCCGCGCATGATAACAAAGGCTGTTCGTTCTACCTCCCTCGCGCCGACACCGAGTCGTTCCATGAGTTCCTTAGCGCGCACCTCGAGCTGCTCATACTCTTTCAAACTATACTTGATACTCTGTTCCTTCCCCCCGCAGACGAGCCAGCGATACGCCTCATCGGAGAAGAAAATCACGTTGTCGGGGTCGTGGACGGAGAGGAGGAGGGAGGCGGTGGCGGGACCGACGCCGGAGAGGAGAGACATGGTGCGGATGGCGGAGATGTTGTCTTTCATGGCGAAGGCGGCGAGGGAGGTGGAGGCGACGCCTTGGGGGCTGTTGCCTGAGACGAGCTTGAGGAGGTTGGGGCGGAATTTGCCATGTTTTCTGGGGGAGGGTGTTAGGAGAGGTTTGATGGTAGGTGGGAGTTGTGAGTTGTGAGATGAGAAATCAAGAAGCTGTGGTCGCGATGTGGTCGCGCTGTGGTGACGAGGGTGAAAGAGGACTTGAAAGGCAGGACTGGAAACAAAACAACGCGAGAATAACGAAACAGACAATGTGACCGACCACTCCTCTCATAGAGATGCTCACATACATAGAAACGATGGCAAACACCAAAAAATGACGCCATGCGGGGAATCGCCATGATAACAAACAGAAAAGTACCTACAACTTCCACTTCACCAACCTCACCACATCCTCCCTGTCGAGCGGCACATCCCTCTTATCGCCCTCCCTCTTCATATACCGATTCGGCGCGCTCATAAAGCGAAACCAATCGAGCTCCTCCAGACTCTCCGCATCTCCCTTGACTGCAATCCCGGCAAAAACAGCGCGTCAGCTCAATCTCACAGCCGCGTTATCTCATCGCTGCACCTACTGCCCAGGGTCGGCAGCATGGGCGCGCACGTACCGGTCTTACTCGCTGACAGCGCCTTGAGCAGCGCAGGGTAGCACAGGAGCGTGCTGTCGAACTGCGCTGCTGTGATGGTCTCTGGCAGCAACATGATTTGATTGATGGGGGTTGGGTTGGTGGGGTCGGTCAGACGTCAGCGTCAGCGTCAGCCTTGTCGAACAAGCAGCTTCGTGGCTGTCGCTGATAGATAGATAGATAGATAGCTGTATAGCTCGAATGTTTTTGGCAGGTGTGTTTTCTTGCCCAATTAGAGGGAGGTGATACTGGAAGAGGAGCGAGCTGAGATGGGGTATAGATATTGCGCGGGCATACCTCCGGCTGTTGGTGAATGGGGGTCGGTCGTGCTTGGTTCGGCTTGTTCTCTTGCGCGCCTTCGCGAAAATACGAGTAACACACGTGAACGTGGAAGGTGGAAGGCAGATGCCACTATTTAAACAATGGGATTCTTGCCGATTAATTCCATCTATGTCACTTTGTTATTTTTGGGTTTTAAGTCACTTTTTTTTCATGTTGATTCTGATGTTAGAGACACGAGAGAGGCACAAGAGACATGAGAGAGACAGAGACAAGACAGGACAAGAGAGACAAAAACAGGCCGAAAGACAACAAAGATCCTCCGAGCCCGTGGGGGGATAGACAAGTTAGTGGGCAATAGAGTGCTTTAGCGTGGACCTGCCAAAAACAATAGTTTGTCAATGTACCCTTTGTAGCAAATTGCAGTAGTAAAGGTACTTAACTCGTTTAGAGAAAGTTAGTGGATGTTAGTGGTTTTAGCAGAAAGTTAGTGGTTGCTCCAGGCTCTCTCTACGCGACCTTCCAGCCTTTCCAGGGGCGGACTTAGCAGACACTTAGCGGACAACTTAGCGGAACTCAGGCGGCCGCATCGGCCCTGGCGAGAATGAGAACCTGTGACCTGACCATGTCCTTGTCCTGATTGATTGACAGATTCCATTAGTGCGGGGCGATCCGGGATTTCTCCCTCCCCCCTCCATCTACGAATAATTTGATTTTCCCCTCCCCCAAAAAAAGAATTCCCACCTCCTCACCACCTCCACGCGCCACCCTCTACACATCTCTCAGCTACAAAGATCACCACCAAGTCTCAACTTACTCGAATCCGCAAATATGGGTGGAGGAAACGTAAGACATAACCCCCAACCACCTTGCGCACCGTCGCTGATCAAAAAACCTCTCAGGGAGCCAAGGCAGCGAGCAAGCGCGAACGCGCAGCCAAAGACGCCAAGCCCGCCGCAAAGTCTCAGAAGAAAGTCGTAAGTTCAGCCACATGATGTCCACATGCCGCTTCGACCCCGTGTGACCCCATCCCCGCTCCTCGTACCTGGGAGAGTCCAGTGCGCAACAACCACGCGAGGGTGGGAGGCGCCGTGACCTGATCTGGCGAAAAGGGTTGGGTGTAGACTTTTTTTTGCTGAGTGATGATGCTGACATGAACGGCAATACGGCAGAACGAGCAGGCTATGGATGTCCAGTGCAATATCTGCAAGGCGACTTTCCTGAAGACGAGTCGTGCGCCGGCGCTGACGGAGCATGCCACGAATAAGCATAGCAAGACGCTGCCGGAGTGCTTCCCGAACTTTGTTGTCGCATAAACGAGGATTGTCGACATGATAAGCGTGGAGGGAGGGGTATACACTGGGAGGAGATACGAAAATGAAGGAAGGCTTGGTTGGGTGCGACGAGGGAGATGGGAGGAACATCACACATTTTGATTTTTACGGCAGCGATAGGCGCTCTCGGGGCGTCTGGTGGTATTAGATGAGACGAGTTGAACGAGGCTATGATATACCGTTTGGGTTACGATTCCATGTGCTATCTATCTCTTGACGACTGAGTGCGCCGGATGCATATATGAGAAGTGGATGATAGTGGGGACAAGGCCATCTATTTCAAGGAACCGACTCCCAACTCTACCCCTCTAACTCGCCTCCACAGCTTCCCCCCTCGCCACCCCCCCCTCCTTCTCCTCCCTCTCACTCGCCTGATCCTCTCTAATCTGCCTCAACAACCCCGGATACCATCTCTCCCCCACATCCGGATGGCTCTTAACCCTATTCATCAGCGTCGCCTCCCCCAAATGCTTGTATTTCCCCGTCTTAAACGTAAACTCCACATCATCCAACCTCCCCCCATTCCTCTCCAGCACCTGCCTCCTCAACTCCTTCAGCTCTGCAGGGATCGCCATGCTCTCAAACGTCGCATCGTAACTCACACCCTGAAAGAAGGGGATCGAGTACCGCGCCCCCGTCCCCGGAGGGGGGGATAATACGCGATGCGTGGTTGACGTACACACGCCCCCCGTTAAGGCCTCCATCCCCTGCCCGATAGCAACAACAAGCGTCCCTGCAATCGGCGGACAGTCAACCCACTCCCCCGCCGTATTCTGCACCTGCAACCCCCTATGCTCTGATGCTTGAAGCAGGTAACTACTCAGCATGGAATCCTTATGCGGCCCAACACCCTGCCCTTCCCCTTTGATCCCCAGCTCGGCGAGATCGGGGTATTTCACAATCTTCAGCTTGTGCTGCTGCGAGGCATCGAAGTAGTGCGCGAATGCATTGGGAGGGAGGCCGATGGCTTCGGCGATTAGAGTGGTGAAGAACATGGAGATGGCGCCCATGCGGGACATGTAGTCTTCGAAGGTGGCGCGGAAGGCAGGGAGGAGCGAGGGGGAGGGCCAGAGGTTGGGGGCGAGCAGGTTGTGGTAGAGGGGGGCGGTGGGGAGGGGGAGGGGGTGAGGCGTGGAGATGTCGATTTGTTCGCGGTGGTCGGTGGAGTGGGCGGTGGTTTCGGCGTCGAGGCGGGAGTAGCCTAGGAAGGAGGCGGCGGTTTTCATTTCGATTTTGAGTCTGCGGTGGGGTTAGTATAGGTTCAATTGCGTCTTGAGAGTAGCTGTGAGCTCGCTTCTGCCTAGGTTCATATGCTGTGAGCTCTTATTGAGACCCGTGATATGATAACCACAGCCTGGAGAGACCACGAACGCTCACCCATAGGAAGTCATGCTGTCAAATCCACAGCCCCCCTTGAAATATTCAATCCGCACAAGTATAGAGAGGAAGAAAAACGAGACATAAGAGATGGCACCTACTTCTCCTCCAACGGAATATCAAAGAACCCCACCCCCTCCTTAATAACCCTCTCCGTCAACTCCTCCGGAATCCCCACATTCTTCAAATACAAAAACCCAACCTCAAGCAATGCATGCCTCAGCTCCTCCAGGAACTTAGGTTTCGTCTCTGGGTCCCGTGCCAGCGAGAGGTCGAGGATGGGGATCGAGCTGAACGACGACATTCTCGGGTTTGTGTGCACAGATGCAGGTGTCGTCAGAAGTTGTCACCAAGCTACGCGTACAATATGAAGCAATTAGAGGAAAGATGAAGAGTATGAAGAAGAGAAGGAGCGTGTGCTCCCCCGGCTTTACATTGTTAAACCGCGGTTGTAAACTAAGGGCGACGCCGAGCCATAGACGCGGGGTAAGGCGTCATTCCTCTTATCATCACGTGCTACATTTTTCACAAAAGGGGCAACAGTATCAAACCAGTGGCATCGTTCAAGTGTAGTTGAATGTTCATTCCATTCAAAACTCTACAGCAGTGCCCTGCTAGACAAGAAAGTACTCCTCGCTATGTAACAAAATCCGAACAACCTAGAACACACCCCCCCGCTCACTGCACCCCAATCGGCTTAGCAGAAAACAGCCCCGCGACCTGATAGAACATCTCCTCAATAGGCGGGAGAGCAAACGACGGTCCAATGTCAAAGATATTCGCAAGCTGCTGCTGCGAAACAACCGGTGCTCCATCATCATCCGCATCCTCCTCCATCGCCTCAACATCAGCCATCTCCTCATCCTCCTCCTCAGCCTCCGCCTCCTCAACAAGCTGCATGAGTCCCACAGCTGGCTCCTCAACCACAGCCTCGAGTCCGAGATCCGCGATCGACTGCGCCATCACTGCAGACGCCTGGCTTGCCTTGGGGGTGATAGTCGTGATCTCAGCTGCTGCATCGATGGTGACGTATCCTGGGGAATTCGCTGATGGGACGAGGGCGGTAAGTAGGTGTGGTAGGCTCTGTGCCATTAATGGGACAGCTCGTGCGGCCTCGAAGATAGCGATTTGGCTGTATACCCCGGCCAGAGTGCCTGCGATGTGAACGCCTTCCTTCTCTCTGCCTTTGCATGGGAGGGCAGCGGCGAAGGTCTTGCTTTGCCTGTCGACGCTCAGATGGATCATCTCGGTCTTTTGTTCGAGAGTTAGGGCTAGTTGTCTTGAGCCTAGCTTGACGCCGTATTGAAGCTCGTTTGAGACGATGTCGTAAACGCGCACTTCATCTGCTACTGTGACGAGGTATTGGGAGACTATCGCCATTCGCACGATATCGCCGGTATATGATGTAGGACGCGAGAATTTGACGGTACCGACAGATGGGTCGACGAGGTGAATCACAGCATCGGGTCCGCCGGTCAATGCAGCCGCGAGGACGGAGCCATCCTCGGAGAATGCAAGGCATCCGTGATCTGGTCTTTGCGGAGCGCCAGGAATAGTGACCTCAACCTCCGAAACCGGTTTCGGCAGCGTAACCTGGGCGCGACAGCTCCAGCTAACCAAAGCCTCTCCATCCTTCCCGCGCACAGCGATGCCATCGCGTGTCCTCGTCTTGGGTCGCCAGATGCGGACAGTGCTGTCTTCACCGATAGTAGAGAAGGCGTGAGAGCTGGGGTCTACGACGAGGTCGAAAATTCGGCCAGCGCCGCAGTTCTCGGGCGCCATTGTGTGAGGGGCGTCGATACGCGAAACTAACTCCCAGGTCTCGGCGGTCTTGCTCCATTGCCAGAACTTCAGGTAAACTTCGCGACGCTTGCGTTGCTCGTCGGCGAGGTTAATCGTCGAGTGGCCTAGGTACTCTAGGTCGCGGCGAGGAGGCAGCCATTCATCCACGGTAGCTAACCACAACCCGTCGTGGCTGATTTGCATGTGAGTGACTTGGGGCTCTGAGATGCGGTGGGCGTTGGGCCCAACATTGATATTGGTGATGTTGGTTCTTGACAAGGCCTGGCGGGAGATGTTGTGGGAGGATGCAACGTCGAAGGTCTGGAGATATGGGGTGCTGAGGATTTCCTTGGACAGGGGATTGATTTCTTGGTTCTCTCCAACGGCAAGGAGCAGGTGTGATGGTTGGAGGGGGTTGATAACTGCTGGTGCGTGCTGCACGAGTATCCCGTCACGCTCGTCGTCCTTAACTCTTGAGACCCTGGCATCTAAGGAAACTGAATCTCTAATAACTTGGGCTTGGAGACCAGATATGCTGGTGGTGGGCTTGAGCTCAGCAGTAGAGAGAATCATGGCGGAGTTATCGGCCAGGCGAACAGCGTAAGAGGATCCAGTCGGCGACACAACGATGTTCTGGATAGCCGCTGAAAGATGGGGAAGGAATTGCTTCTTTCCTGTATCGAGTTGCCACAAAACCAAGACAGTCTCGCTACCACCAGAGATGAGATAATTACCATCCAGCGACCACTTGACGCTCTGGACAGCCTTTCTGTGCCAATGCAATTTGCGAGGCAGCATATCAACAGCCGGCTTCCCTGATGCGACAGCATTCTGCGACTGAATCATCTTCCTCAGGAGATCGTTGTGGACGAAAATAGAACCCTTAACATCTCCAACCACAACATCCACAACACCAAAGGTCTCCGCCTTCGATTTTGACTCCTTAGACTTTGACTTCTGGCCCTTGTTTGCGGAGGTGACTCGCACGTCGATGGAGGAGATGTAATCGGTAGATTCGAAGACGCGGAACTCGTATCTGATCTTGTCCACGCTGTCAAAGTCCGTGGTTCTGAGGTTGGCCACCAGGACTCTGCTCTCGGACGCCGCAACAATCAAACTTCCGTTCTTGACGACTTTGAGAATGTGGATGGGCTGCGTAGAGGTGTAGATTGTCCGTGCAACAGTCGGGATATCGCTGCCAGGTGGTGTGAGCTCGTGTGCAGTTACTCTCCATCCTCCATCACGGCGCTCCTCAGTTGTGAAGACAATATCGCGAGTTCGACCGGCGGATGTCATGGAGGATGCCGTCATGTGTGTCATTCCCATCGATGAAGTAGTCCAGAATTGATCCGTTCCACTTCCTGAAACCCAGTTGATGTGATATACAGCTCCATCTGAGCACGCTACCCAGATCATGCTTGGGTCCGTCTCCGAAAGGGCGTACGCAACGATGCGTACATTGGCCGGCCTGGAGCCATTGACGCTGAGGTCGATGGAGCGGTGTAAGAGAGAAGTTACAGTCGAGTAAACGTGAATCGACTGACGGTGTGCGACGATAAGAAACCTATTGCATTTATTAGCCACTGTACAGTCGGAAAGAATCTGTGTGCCCTTACTTTTCGCCATCTGTAAATAAAGGGTCTACGTCGATCATTCGCCCTCCAATCGGTGCTGAGACTTTCCAGTCGGAGTCCTTCAACTTGGAAGTTTTTGACTTGGATGCTTTCCTTGCCTTTTTCTCATTTTCGTCTTCTTTCTGTGCATATTGCTCAAAATCTTCTGCATCAGAAGAATCTAATTTGTCATCGTGGGCAGCAGATCCATTGACCGTTGCGAGCTCATTGTTCTGGTTGATAGGCGCAAAGGCTGCATCCCATCCGCCGCCAGAAATCACAGACGCTGGAGCATCTTCCAGAACATCCGTACTTGCTTTCGCCCGTTTGAGTGTTTCGACTCCCTGCGCCGACCCTCTCTTGCGCTTCAGAACTGAAGCCATTATCGTTGTCAGAGGTTGCCCGTAGCTGGTAAGTTGTGACGTTTCCGCCTCGTGAGCACGTACAAATTGGCTCTTGGGGGAAAAGTAAAAATAATTTTGGCGCTAAGATTGTGGCAGCCTCGCGATTACGGGCTGGTAGCGGAAAAAGTTGCAACGGAATCACCGCGCGCGACACCACCACAAGTTATCTTTACCCTCCATTTCTTCTGCGCGACAACGTCAACGTCGGAGCAACGACACGAAAGTCAGATTTTTTTACAGATCTAGTAACACAATTCAGAAGTCGCGATGATTATTCCTGTGCGCTGCTTCTCTTGTGGCAAGGTGCGTGGATGGATTCACCCTCCTTGGCCACGCCTCTTACTGACCTCGTGCACAGGTGGTGGGTGACCTTTGGGAATCATACATCAAGCTACTTGAGGATGGAGAGGAGCACGGGTGAGTTTACTGGATGATTCTTTCTGTGTTGCTTCTTACTGACGCCCTCTGGACAGAGACGCCATGGACCACCTCGGCCTCAAGAGATACTGTTGCCGCCGCATGGTCATGACCCACGTCGATTTGATTGAGAAGCTCTTGAAGTACGACCAACACACCTAATTATAGGATCAATCCCTTCAATCCAAAAGCGCCTATGCTAACGGCCTCACAGATATAACCCTGCGGAGCGCGACACTCGCAAAGCTGCGTTCGATAATTAGGATTCTTTGGCTGGTTTTGGCGTTTACACAATGGGGCATGGTGGAGCACTCGCAAAATGGCAAGGCGTTTTTGAAGACTCGTGGAAGGAATAGACACCTAAGATAGGAAATGGTAGAGAAGTTCTCCGCCTTTTGGGTCTTTTATCTGGCACCGTGTGTGCCACGAATATCCGATGGCCGTGGTTCGGGCCGCATGGCCATGGTGTATATTAATATACGGCGGCTGGCCGAGAAGGATCCTTTGGGTCAACAACGAGGTCACGCAGTGGAAAGGCGTTTGGAGGGGCAGTGCGCGGCCGAGCGAGCTCCATCTGATCGGCTACTATTAGCAACCTGTGGCATATGGTGTACCAATGGATGAAGCGTGACTTTGATATCCTGCGCTGGTTCATGTAAGGCTTTCTTTCAATTGCGGAGCTTGCCCGGAAAGGAATATAGACCGGCCATTCCAACAGCCCGGGAATTTCGTCTGAGATTGCTTTTGTTGGATCTAGCCTCTAGTGACCAAATTATGTGCATCACCATCGACGAAGTCCAACAAGCGGAGGCAACAACGCATGCATGCACGAGTAGGCGCTGAAGAATTTGCGTCTAATCCACGTACACCGCTTAATCGTTTACACATAGCCGTTGGAGATGAGCAGGAAGTGGAGAAGTATGCCCACTTCGACGTTATCCGGATTTGAGGGTCAATTGCCATCCTATGGAAAACCAACAGTCCTGCAAGACTCTTGCCCGACGATGCCCCAGACCGCCACATCCCTCTCCACCATGCATGACCATGTGTTCCCAGACAAGCATACTTATTTGACCCGGGTCCCGCGGCTGTACACGCGTTAGCCCAGCGGTTCTGTAATGATCCTTCTCCGTAATCCCACATTAGGGGGTAGGTTGGAGGCCTCGAGATAGGCGTTGGGGGGGCGGGGAATTGACGCAGTCATGCACAATGCTTGTAGGAGTTGGCATATCCAACGTGGTATATTGGATGGGCTAACTCGATAGATTCATTGTTGCAGCTTGCCGCGGCGCTTGCATGTGTGTTTTCTGTAGATATGTACTGTGCAGACTGGTCGCACCTGCGGTGTCATAATCTTGATCGAACGCAGGAGCGAGTCAACGTGAGGTGGCTTGAGACAAAAGCAAGCCATGGTGTACTGAACTGGATTTCAAATGGACCGGACCCCGAGGGTCTCGTCTTTCGAATCCCAGTCTATCGGACCCACAAACCCATCATCCAACGTACTGGATACAAAGGAACGACCGGGGCACGGTAAGAAAGGCTATGGATCAGCCCATTGTCGCCACGGGATTTGTTACCAGCGGACGAGCATGAGAAGGGCAAGAAGCGGGCTCAGCCGCGGGGGCACACCCGGGCAGACTATGGTGGTGTGAAGGCGTCAGTTTTCTGGGTCGGATTCAGGTCAGAGGAAGGAGAGTTTTGGGGATTTCTGACATACAATTGGTCTGGAGTCAGCGCGGGATGAGCTTACGGTCGTACCATGATCGACATTCATCCGCCGCATTAGTCCAGTCGGCCAGTGCATGAGTATGTACTCTTCCAAGCCGTGTCACTGGATTCTGGGCGTCAGGGAAGGAAGCACCGACCGGCATCGACGGTACTGTACTACTACGGGAACAGTAGCGTGCGAGAAAGAACGAACAACGATCTTGGAAGGATTGCAGCATGTAATCCGGTATCGACCTTCCAATTCCTTCATTGAAGGATTGGGGGCATTGGAAGGCGTCGAGGCACGGACAGATGGAATAAAGCATGGCACAATACGTGCATATCCACCAATAAATGGGATCTGGCGTCGATATAATCAAGGCAAACGCATTGCTTCTTGCACCGGTGAGAGTATTGTGTGTATTCAGCGTATTATATTGTACGTACAATGCACAATCGCGCGGGTTGTGGCGTGTAACTAATCCTCTTGCCTGCTCAGATTCCTATTCTTTTTGTTGTTGTTGTTGTACTATACATGGCGGGGGCCTTATCCCATCGAAGCGGCCCTCTACTCTACTTTACTACTGTGCTCTAAGCGCCGACATGCCTGCAACCTCATGCACTGTTGAGCCCCTCTACCTATAGCTTCACCCTTCTATTGGCCGTTTGTTTTCCCTTATGCGACCTGGGAGACGCGCATCTGCATCTCTGACTGGTTCTCCTCTCTTAAGGCTAGAGTAACTCTCCCCCTGTGCATCCAACTGGAATCCACCCTTTGTGTCTACCTACCTGCCTACACGCCAGTGCTTCGCGATTACAGGAGGCTCGCCGGCGAATACACTCCAAAATCTATGTCCCGCGACTCATTGATTCGACGAAACCGCGACAAACAGAACACATAGCCCACCAGAGCCCAGAGCCCATAGTGATCCGACTGACTTGAGGCCCGATCAAAGAGCTAGACTCGCATGCAGGCCAGTGCTCAAGAACTTGCGACCATCACACCCCACAATCAATCACCCAGGCGCACCAAGCGCACCAACAGCTGGAGGAGTAGCTCAGCTCTTTTTTGTCTCTGTACGTCGACGACACCACTTTCCTCGAACCGGACAGCGCAGCTGCATTAGATCAAGTGGTCAGCTTTGTCTGCAGTGTAGCATCGTGCATAGATTGCACGAATAGCACGCGGGCGGGACAACCGACTCCCCCAAGCCATCGCGGACATTCATATATCGCTTGTCACTCGATACTTTTAAGCTACCAACCTCGACAACTTTTTTTGAGACGCCAAAAGGCCTTGGATTTGAGACCCAAAAGCATCAGCCTCAGTTCCGCCAGGTCGCTCACTGGCAGCCAGCAGTAACCCTGGAGCCGGCTACCTCTTCCACGGCCCAAGCCAACGCCCCCGCCTCTAGTTCCGAGGATTATTCCCAGTCAACAGGAGCCGGCGGTATTGGTTTGCAAGGCGCCGCTCCTCAGATATCTATCAGAGATTCCTCGCCCCAAGGTGAATCTCGAGAACAATCGACCGACCCATCACCAACAATGGCCCTGGAGTCGCCCTTGATCTCGTCGCCAGCCAACATGATGTCAGCCTTCTCACCATACACTGAATTCTCACTGTCTCCCAACTCACCGGCAATGCCCAACACACCAAGATTCCAGTCGCTGTATGTATAAATCATGTCGGCTACAATATTGGCCCATGCTAACAGCGCCATGCAGATCTGCTCGGAGCTCTACTGATGCCACCTCGCTCCATCCGAACGTTATTGGGGGTGGCCGATTCTCTTCCATTGATGCCCCAAGCCCAAGCGACATGGTTGGACCATCGCCAGTAACTTCGAATGGCACGGAGACAACCGATATAGAAGATGATGCTGTAGAGGAGGAACAGGAGGCACAACCCGCCCCCATCAACATAAATGGACAAGTTAGTAGGGACCTGGACCCTGAATGCGCCAACGCTAACAGTACCAGAAACCATTGAATTCGTTAACTACTGCGCTGCCCTCTCACTTCCGCAGTAAACTCGAAGATGAGCCAGCGTCAGTTATTCATGCGCCGCAGGGTTATATGAATTTTGTAGGTCAAATTAGAACCAAACTGAAAGATCCACCCAACTAACGGCCCGGCCCAGGCGAATACAAAAAATGACAACCCCCCACAACAACCACCGAATATTGACCGGTCTACACCCAAGCCGTTCCATCACGAAGGTGGAGCTCTCACAATTGATTCCTCGCATGGCGGCGATAAGGTAATTGCACTATGATACCATTCACCCATCCATTTTGCTAATATTTAACAGACGATCACACCAAGTCCGGTATCACCCCCACCAATCTCAACCGACATTGCACCTACATCCTTCACACCAGATAATACCACGCCAAGAGCTCAAACGAGGCAAGAGCTGGACCTGATTTCAGAGAGATCTCGATTACGTTCAAGTAGCGCAAGTAGTCTAGAGGGTATGTTTGGAGAGCAAGCCTTTCGGAAACTGTAGCTAACGTCTATCAGGTATCCCCGAAGATGCTAGAGAGTCTGATGAAAATGCCGATGACGACCAAGGCTTTCCTGCGCTCAATGACCCTGACCACGATGTGAATGCTTTGAAAACGGCACTCCATGAATGCTGGACACTGTGCAACACATTGGCTAGTCTGAGCTCTATACACCGAGAAAGAATATTCAGTTTCTCGGGGACTGGAGACACCCATGAAAAGGCGTGGAAGTGCTGCTGGAGATTATGCCAGAAGCTGTATGATAACCGCGACGACCATCATGATTTCCAATGCCGGCCCACTCTCGACCTGTGCCGAGAGTTTTGCCAGGCGCTATTCGATGTGCGCGAGCGCAACAACGATCTCGCAGACTCAGTCCTGCGAGTCAGCTTTGAATTGAACAACCATCTTTTCAACACTCATGATAGGAACCTCCCCGAGGCTTTCCGTGAGCGGACGCTAGATTTCTATATTACCTTATGTCATCGTCTGATGAAACAGAGGAGTGACCAAACACAAGAGACTGATTCTCTGCTCCGCGCGTGCTGGTCTCTGGCTGAGATGCTTTTCAGCCTTCGCCAGAACCGTCTTGAAGGCAAGGACGCCGACGAGGAGCTTCTGGGCTCAGCAGTACAGGCCTGCTGGGAGCTCTGCGACCTCTTCCGCGAAGGCTGGACGCAAGTCCGCCCAGAACGAGGGACGCCCCGACCGAGCCAGACAACCTTCACCCAATCCTTCGACCAGCTTAATCGCTCTTCCCATTCCGCACACTCCACCCACTCCCACCAAAATAGCAATAGCAGCATGTCCAGCATGTCTAGCTTACCCAGCATCCTCAAGCGCGTCGAGCCGCGGCGCATTGAACCGGAGACCCCCACCACTGAATTCGAAGACACGCCTATCTCCCCAGAAGACCACTCACCATCTATTCCCAACATCCTCGTCCTAGGCACCGAGAACGGGCGCAGCTCAGCCCGCTGGTCCAGCAATTCCTCCAACCTCTCCGGCTACTCCCAAGGCAGCAATAAGACATCCAGCACTGCCAAGGGCACCACCTCCGAAGACGTTAATCTCACCCGCCTCAAAATCCTCATTCTCAAAGCTGCCATGAATGTCGGATTCGAGCGAAACCAACCTTCAAACGGGTCTGTCTCCGGACCCGCAAATGCACTGCAGGCCTACGTCAAGGCGCTGCCAACAGGGAGTTTCGGCTCCCTACCCTGGCATGCGAATTTACTAGCCAGTTACAAGGACCTCGTCCTCAGCGACCCCACGTTCCGCAGCGCTGTCACGCTGCCGCCGCAGGGAAAGCGCGCTAACGCCCTTGATGTGAGTAAGAGTGTTGGCTGGATGATGAAGAGCGGGCAGTATCTCTGGCTTAAAGACTTGTACCGCCTCGTGTTCGGGTTCCAAGTCGATGATGCCGAGAAGCGGAAGAGTACCGGGATTGTAGTCTGAGTACAGTCCTGAACGAGGCGGTACCAGTCTCTTTTATGAGAGGAGGGATCGGGATCGTCTTGGAGAAAATAATCAACTACGTCAAAAGGCATTCACACGACAATCCGTCTGGGCAGCACATCCCCGGGCGGAGAAATGAAACGAACAACATCTATCTATCTACCCATCTACCTATTACTATTTTTGAGACGATCTTTTTCACAGCATCTACTACTTACTACTACTACCTACACACATTTACAGTCGTTTCAGCGTTCGCGGCGGTATTGTTGCTTGCTTTGCTGGATACCCCCTCACCCATCTACTTCTCGCGAAGTGGGTATGTTTGTTTTCTCCTGAAACGGGCGCAAAATCGGCGTCTATAGTGGGAGCTGGCGCTATTTTTTTGGTTTTACTTTGCTTTGTTATGGTTATGGTTGGGTTGTTTTTTGGTGGGTTTGGTGACTCGGCCCCCCCTGACATGATTTGGGGTTAGCGATGGGGGTTTTTGGGGGCCGATGGGAAGCGAGGGGTTGGAGGTTTGAATGGATTGGGCGCGTGAGTGGTAAGAGGCCACGGGTTGATGGGAGAGAAGAGATGTAAGGGGGTTTGTAGACCGCTGTAGTTTGGACGCATTGCGGAGAGCCTACATATCTATATCTACCTGCATATATATATCTCTATTACAAGTTACCATCTCTCCTGCACACCTTTTCACATTCTCGCCCTTCAAAGCATAGAAAGTCATCGTCTCATTGTTATCTATCTTTATTTCCTAAACTAGGAAAGAATCCGAAAAAAAAAGGGAATCCGGAATCGAAATAAGATAAGAATCCATTGAATCCATATCCCTCAGCCCCGCACGCTGTTAACGTACACACCCATTCCACCCAACCCCTCCTGGCCCCCCCTTTTTTTTGGTTCGAGGAGGGAAAAAAGAAAAAAAAAGTGACAATTTTCTATTTCCGGGATCTAGAAGTACAACCTTGTTTTTTGAAATGGGGAATAAAATCCTCTCTGTGGAAATTCTCGCTGCCTCTCATCCTGAAATCGAACCCGAGTAACCAACCAACCAACCAACCAACAACCAACCGGTCCGAAAATCGAGAATCGGAAATCGGGGATCGGTGAAAGATCGAGCGATGGGATTTACCACTCGTACTCCCCCGACGCCTTGTGGAAGACGTAGTCCTTGCCATTAATGGTCAAGACACCATCCTTCATAACGCACTTCCTACAACACAAACAGTCAGTAAACCGAAACATTGAACAACACCCAACACCGTAGCCGCCCGACACAAAGTTACACGGGGAAAGGCGGGGTAATGCGTACCACTTATTCTTAACCCGCTGCACCTTGTCATACATGCACAGCATGACCTGCGGCGTCTCATCATCGCCACTATCGTCGCTCTTGGGGTCATCCGGGTCATCGAGATCAGAGTTGATGGCGTCCTCATCGTCATCCTCAGCCTTGAGCACCTTATCATCGTCGTCATCATCATCGTCGCCCCCATCAGTCTGTCCCACATCCGCAGCCTTCTTCCTCTCGCGACGTCCGCCATTGGACCCCTTATGCTGTTTAAGCGGTAACATCAACCCACCCCCCTCCATCGCCTTCCCCCTCGCCTCAATCTGTCGGCGAATCAACCCATCGAGCTCAACACGTCCCATGTTGATTTCCGACCCATCACCACCAATTTGCTTAATAACGCCAAAGTGGCGATGACGGTCCTCATCCTCGTCATCAGCACCACCATCAGTCTGTGCATGCTGCGCCCCATTGGGAGCACCCTGGCCCTGTTGCTGCTGCTGCTGAGCGGCAGCTTGCTGTCTGGCCTTCGCCTGCTGTTCAAGCTGCTGCTTCTGGTGCGCTGCTTGTTGCGCTAGTGCCTGCTGGTACTGCGACGGCGTCATCTGAGGTCGCTGGATCGATGGTCCCTGTGGTCTCTGTTGCGCCTGGTGCATCTGCTGCTGCTGAGCTTGCTGTTGGCCCTGTTGTGGGCTAGGTTGCTGTTGCTGCTGCTGCTGAGGCTGCCCTTGCTGTTGTTGCGGCTGCCCCTGCTGCGGCATCCCCTGAATAGCATTAATACTCGCCGCCGCCCTCGCCCCATAGCTCGCCTGCAAATTCTGCGCCGCGCGCTGCTGTGCCGTCGTCGCATTACCCATCCCAGTGTACACGGGCGGCATGCCGCCAGTCTCGAGGCCAGGCTCCGCCTTGATGCGTGGACCGGCGTTCATCTGAGGCATCTGCGGCATCTGTGGGAACTGCGGCGCTTGGGCTGGGATCGGCGGGCCGGGGCGGTTCATGTACTGTCCCTGTTGGGGAGGAGCATGTTGCTGCTGCTGTTGTTGCATGGGAGCCGGTGTTGGCTCTTGAGGGTAGGGGATGTTCGCCATGGTCTGCTGCTGCTGAGGAGGGGGTGCCTCTGGCTTCGGGTCCCACGGGAACTGGGCCACGTTCAGCGCGGTCAACTTTTGTTGCCATACCTATTAAATCTCCATTAGCACAAATCCTACATCAATCCCCAAAAATATATTAATTCAAACGCAAAGTTATGAGATTCCGTTAAATGGCTGTGCTGTGGTGTTCCAAGTCATGTGAGGCTGGGCCCCCTCAAAAGCGCGCTAGTCCAAGCGAGACCGCATCTCCCTGTGAGCATAAAAGCGACCATATACCGCTGGGCCCCCGCTGATTCTGAATTCCTCGCCTGTGCAGCGGCCAGCGCCCGCAAGGCAGAACAGCAGCCACGACGGCGCAACCCGACGACAACGACGACCGACTGACTCGCCGATCTAGGTTTTCGCATCGCTCGTCGAGTATATTTGATACGAAGGAAATGATGATGCGATGAAATATGTCGCCATGGAGGGAATAACAGGTACAGCAGAGTTGGAAGGAACTCACCCGACTCAGCTCATCGAGCACACTCTCGTCAACGCCACCCTCCTCGAAATCGACCCTCGAACTATCAACAACATCGCGGATAATCTGCTGGTAAACAGCTCCGACTGTGGTGTTCGACATCTTGCCGTCTAGATGAGTTCGCTATGAATCCCGGGTGAGAATATATGGCTGATGGTGTCGCGCGAGGTCGTGTGAGTTGCCGACTTCTTGTTCGATGCGGACGATAGACGGGTGAATATGCAACCCAGTGTCGACGTGCTCGATATTCGCCTGAATCTACTCTTCAGAATGACGCCAACGATGTAAATGCAACCCTCTCGGTCCCTTCACAGTCTCTGGTCCCCGAGCGAACCGTACAAGCAATCCAGCCGATCTAGCCTCCCTCCTCCACCGCGTGTAGAGATCGTAACCCGGCGAACCCTCCCTATCCTTCAAAAGCCCCCGTAATGCCGCGCTGAACTCACCGGGTTTATGGGTGTTGAGGTGAGCGAGAGGTGTTGCGGTCGTAGGCCCGTTCTGTGATGTTTCTGGAGAGCTTGCTCGGCTGGTGGACTGATTGATGGGTATGGTTCGCTTACATAACCGGTGAGTGGCCCTCACTAGTTCGCCGAGCAATCGTCACAGGAGAACGTCGATTTTACTGTAAATTCAGCTTGAACAATCAGATAATAAATCTTCACTCCGTTGTTACTTTTGCCCTTCTCTATGGCCATTGATACATCAATTGACTATATTCATTGATATCTATATCAATTCACTAATCCATACATGTTATAGCCCGCCCAACGCTCCCCGCATCTGCTAGTAGCCGCCCCCGCAGTTGACACTGGAGATCAGTATTTACATGATAATAGCACCAAGAATCACAAGTAAGAGCCAAAGTATATGGTTAAACCAAGAGATACATTATCACATACCCCTAGCTAATCACAAAACATAATCTAAAACACTTCTCCCCCTTCTTTTATAAGAAACAACAGAAACAAATTTCGAAATCGTAAAAAAAACCCTCATCCATCATCATCCCCATAACCCCCCATCATCCGTCGTGATATCCAGCATAACAAACAAGCTCGCAAAATAAACCAGGTGAAGCACTTTCGGCCATGGACAATCGAGTGAGAGAAAAACCGTCATACATAATCCCCACCAACTCCACGCTCAGCAAACAAGACCAGACCCCGCTAAAGCCAGACCCAAATCCTATTTGAAATTTTTGTGATACTTTACCTGCGCCCCAGGCGTAGAGGGTGCGCATAACAGCGAGCAAGCTCGGTAGACATCAGGTTAGTTTAGCGGATAGTCATCTGCTTGACCATCTCGGCCTTGCCCGAGGCAGTGCCGGAGAGCGCAGAAGACGCAGCGCCAGCCTTCTTCTCGAAGACCTTCCAGAACTTGAGGGACTCGTCCGCGGCGGCGGTGGCGAGCATTTGTCCGTCAGGGCTGAGGCAGCTGTGGAGGACGCGGGTCTCGTGGGCGGGGATCTCGACGTTGCGGACCAGAGTTGGGTAGCTCCAGATGCTGAGAGAGTTGTCGGGGAAGCCGCTGGTGCTGACGATCTCGCGGTAGTGAGGGCTCCAGCGCAGGGAGGTCACCTGGGAGCCGGTGTCAATGCTGTTGACGCGAGCACCGGAGGTGGAGTTCCAGAAGTGGATGTGGCGATCGTAGGATCCGCCGCCGGTGGCGAGGAGGTTGGGTTGCCATGGGCACCAGCTGATGGCCTTGACGGCAGCCTTGTGGTTGGTCTTGGTGAACTTGGGGACGGAGAGGGAGCGGGCGTCCCAGATGGAGACGAGGTTGTCGTTGCCGCCAGTAGCGAGCTGGGCACCATCAGCGCGCCACTCGAGGCCACAGACCTCGGAGGTGTGTGAGACGAGCTCGGCGGTCTTGTGCTGGGCGATGCGCACATCGTGGTTAAAGACGAGTCCGCTACGAGCACCGGTGGAGAGGGTGTGCTTGTTCCATCCCATAACACCAACACGGGTATCGTGTCCGTGCATGCTGCGGAGCTTGGTGCCCTCCTCAACGTCCCAGATCTGGACCTCACCCGTGCCGAGTCCAACGCCGACGTATGCTCCGTCGCCGGACCACTTGACGCTGCTGACATAGGTGTCTGGGCTAGTCTCGAGAAGAGAGCTGACGGTTCCGGACTCAGCGGACCAGACGTAGACATTGCGCTCGAGGCCAATGGCAACCTGGTTGTTGGAGCTCCAGTCGAGGAGATTGAGATAGTAGTCATCGACGAGTCCAGGGGCATCAAGAACACGCTCTGGGGCAGTGGCGACACGGCGTCTGAACTGGGCCGTAGTAGAGCTGGCAGGCTTGAGAGGACGGTTGTATTGGGAGCGAAGGTCGATTGGCTTGGACGACTCCGGAGGCGCCGGCTTGAATGCAAGAATGCGGGTGTTTTGCGAGATGCCGCAGGCAGATGCCAACGAGTCTTGGTAGGCGACAGAGTTTGGCGATGGACGTGAGTATGTAGTCGCTGGCTCCTCATCGGCAAGGTTCAGGCCGTCGAAAGCAGCGGCAACATCGTCATCAGCGCCACGTCCACCGACGTCGAAAGCGCTAGCACCAGAAGCAAGGACCGAGGATCCATCGCCATTGCTGGTCTTTGGGCGCTGCTTGTCGGCAGCATCGAGCTTTCCAGAACCCGCTGTGACAATACCAGAGCTAGCAGTTCTGTTCGGGATGAACCTGTCACCGCCGTATGAAATGGTAGTCTTGTTCGACTTCGTGCGAAGCGGGGCCTTCCTCGACTTGGAGCTGGAAGGGGTCTTGGCACCAGTGCCGACGAGAGTGAAATCCGAGACGCCGAGCTCAAGCGCGCGACGAGGAGTCGCCACAACGCGAGCAATGTTGGACTTGGGCGAGTCTCTGTGCGTCCTCGACGAGGACTTGGTGAAGTGTGAGGCGAGGTTTCCGCCGCCGTAGGTGGACTTGGATGCGCGGAGGCTCTCGTCCTTGGAAGCGGGACGCTCGGGGGTGAAAGGAGACGAGTTGTTGACTGGCTGGGCCAGGGAGCGCATGCGAGGAGAGGGAGTAAGTGGCATCCGGCCGCCGGCGGTCCTCGAGGAGAACATGCCGGCGTGGGATTTGATGGGCGTGCACACGGCGGTTGCCATGATGTGCAGTCGGTGATTGATCTCGGTCGAAAGACAAGTTAATGTATCGATCGATGGCGGAGATTCAATAATCGAGCAAGCTCCAAGAGACTCAACCTAATGGTTCCTGGTAGTGTGGGGTTAGTATATTCGGTTTTTGTGCTCGATAATCGAAAATGGCTTCGTGGAGAATGGGCCAAGTCGGAGGCGATCAGTAGGCTGCAAAGCAATACTGATCTAATGGACTTTTAAATATTCTGAGGAAGCTTTGAAGATGTTTGGTAGAGCGGTAGAGGATGAGGAGGTAAGCGGATATAGATTGTACAAGTGAAGTGGTGAGAAAAGTATGAGAGGTGAGGTGTGGGCGAGACTTTATGGGCCTCGTCAACAAAGCAGGTTGGCACAGCAACGACCCCCAGGGTAGCACCTAGACTAAAACGAGCCAAGTCGACGTGCTGGCCAGACGACGACGACAGTAAAACCCTCAAAAGAAATTGGAGGGGTCTTTGTTCATAAGTATAAGAATTATCCATTGCACTTTTTAATGATTGAGTAAATTTACTTCGTACACAGAAACCGAAAATACTCAACCACCACCAACATCGTCGAAGTCAGGCCCCTCACATCTCAGCTTCTTGTAGCACGTCAAACTTGCTTGACTATTAATTGGCCTATTCTATTCATATACCTCTAGAATTTGTTGTCTAATCCTCCTCCCATTCCGTCCCATAATGTCCCAACTCGAAAGCTGCCCAGCCATGTGTATCTCCCAGATGCGAAACTCCAAACTTCTTTGCTTCAAAGGCAATCGCAGCAACCAGACCCAGCTAATCTAACTCAACTAACCACCGCTCGCTGAAGTGAACTATCACGAAAGGAGGATCCTTATAAAAAAATCCATCACAATCTAACCATCCATCTCTTGAACACCCGCCCGAAAACCCTAGCTACCCAAATGCGTTTTTGCCCCGTATTGCATGCACGCGTACTAACTACAACTCCTCTTCCCCGCAGTCATTTTTCCAATATTTGTCCTCGCCCTTAGGCGTGAGATCGCCGTGCAGACCCTTTGTGTTACCTCCCACAGTCCCATCTCATCGGTCGGTCTTTCTAGTCCGGTGACGTCCGCGTCATGGCTGATGTGACAGGTCACCATCCGAGCGTCTCCCGCCCATCACCAGGGATATAACCCGCCGCCCACCCCCCAAACCTGAAGTATATGCCGTCAAAAGTCACATCTCGCCCACCTCGCTGCACGAACACGTCCCACGTACATTCCACCACTGCTGCTTGGTATCTCTTGTTTTCGCTCTGAAAAAAACATAATATTTCGAACCCTTGTTACCTGACCTGCTGTGTCCCAATCCCAGGACGCCGGATTGCTGAGACATTCTCGCGGTGCACAACATATTACTTTTCGTGTGATGTCACCTTGGTCTGCTGCTAGATTGACCGTGTCGGAATTTTAGGTCATAAGTGCTGGGTCGTCTCGAGCCCAACGATCAGTCTTGTGTGCGCTTTGGAATTGCGTGAAGCTGTTCCAGATCGCGCTGAGTGACATAAAGGGCCGAATACGACAGAGCACAGAGCCTACAGGCCCGACGATTTATTGATTCCCGGCGTGTCTGGTCGATAAATAAAAATCCAGTCCTCACAAACCGAGGCTGTATCGAAGGTGGGTGTCGATACCAGAATCGAGGGGTGTCTGTAGTGGCGCAGAGGGACACAAAGCTGAGGCCGCATCGACACTCTGGTCGATAAATTAAGGATGGTTTCGTATTGGTGATGCTCGCAGCAATGTGGCACTTGGCCCGTGGAATGCGACGAGGCGCTGATTATGTGAGGGATGGCGGGGTTCATGCGGGACGGCGCGCTGTCCATATGTGCATTTCGCAGTAGACCTCATGCCTCTTCGTGCAGATCTCCCTCTTCACGTCCGCGACCAATCTTGCAACACGCCCCCGATCCCAGTTAAGGATTCTAGTCATAGGAGCCAGAGTGAAGGCCTCAAGCCCTTGGCACAGGCCCAGGTTAAACCACCTGCCGATATCCCTCTCGTGTGCATCATGCGGCCAGGGGTTGAAAGGTATTTTGATGATTTGTTCTTTGATTTCAACAAATCCCGTATTCTGGAGCATTGACCTGGTTTCGGTATTGTAAGCCATCGGCTTGTAGGCCTGCTCCGTCGCACTCATGAGGTTGTTCGCCCACTCATATAACGCGGCATTGCGGGGAAGGCTCCCGTTGTCGCATCTGGGAGTGAAGTCGATCTCGATATGCTCTATATAGCCGAAATCAGGCTTGAGATGCCTATAAACTGAGTAAGCAGCAGTCCAGTGCCATGTTTACAGGTGTCTAACATACCGAAAGATATTTGCGTATAGTATTTGGTAACTGGATATCGAGCCCGCCAGCATCCGCAGATGTATCAAGTCCCACGAATCCATAGGAAGGCCACCCCATGTTGCTTCGAAATCGCGTCTCCTAAACTGAAGATTTGGGGGAATGCTGCGCAATCTAGTCAGCCTATGGACTGCTGCATGAGCACGGCTGAGGCAAGTGCGGCTGGAATACTTACGTTTGCGGCTGCATCAGTGAAATGTCGAATCCCATAACCTCAGCATGGGGATACGCGCTACAGGATCGCAGTCAGCTCTGTGCCAGCTCGAGAGGGCAGTATTTTTCTTACTCAGCCATGTCAATCGCCCATATCCCAGTGCCAGTGCCCAAATCCAGTATCCTGTGATCGTCGTTCTTCCTGTATGGTGCAGAGGAGTGCACGCCTCGTGCTACAAGGAAGAACTGGTGGAAGATATCCATGCGATCCTTCTCTTCCTGTGCGCGCGCAAGATGTCAGTCCAGTGTGTGGGGGGGCTGTGAGGCTGCACGAGAGAAAAGTTTTGTGAGGGGTTCCGTACCTCGTCGCATGGGAACATGTAAATGCCCTTTCGGTAGCCGTGATACAAGCGCCCATTCTCTTCGTAATCGGGGGGGTTGCCAGCCATGGTATGCTGCTGATGAGGATGAGTACTAGGCGCCAACGATATCTGTTAGTGCGGCTGTCCATGAATGAGGGGCGGACAAGGTGGTCGAGGCAGAGTGAAAAGTGATAGCGAGAGGGGGGTGAGGGAAGTGAGGAATGCGATCATTGAAATAGGGACTCGATTGGCACACGGGAGGGAGGGAAGCACGTACCCATTGGCGGCCATCACTACGACCATTGAGCCAGACCTGGGAAGGGACAGTGTCTCAGGATGCTATGATGGCGACATGAACTGTGCTCGGCTGGTGGACCTTTGCGTTTCAAACGAAACGACGGGGGTAAGGTAAGGGCTTCAAGAGCTTTTAAAAATAGAGGTAGAGGTAGAATGGAGGTGAAGTGGAGGTTCAATAAGGTAGGGAGTTGGAGATCGTGTGGTGTGGTGGTGTATGTAAGTGTATATAAACGTTGGTGGTAGTAAAGTAGGGTCGCGTATCTGAAAAATGGTGGAGGCGGGTGTGAGGGGTTCTTGTGGCCCAACGGAGGGGATGGGTGCAGGACGGTAGCAGGTAGCAGGCTACTTTTAAGTGCGAACCTGATTCCCAAGCGGCAATTGATGGGGTTCGGCGTCTAAAATAGTGTCGTTCGCTCCCTCGGTGTTGGCTCCAAGGATAGTCTGGGTAGTCTCTGGGTAGTTTGGGTACGGTACGTCTGGTACTCTAGTAGTAGTGTAGTACTCTAGTAGTAGGGTAGTAGGGTAGTAGTAGAGTAGTAGAGTAGTAGAGTAGTAGAGTAGTAGGGGGTAGCAGGTAGTACTACTTTTATACTCCACAATAACGCCCAGCGCGAGCTAACGTCGTACTTCGTAGTCTATGACTTGTATTGTAGAGCGTCGTTGAGTAACTTTGGGGGCTTTTTGGGTATAGCCTAGGTATAGTCTGTCCGTACTAAAATTGAGCGGTTGTTGTTGTTATTGATGCGGTGATTGTGATTGTGCCTTTGCCCCTGATTTTCCAAACGTACACCACAGGAGCGTTATTCATGCAGCGAGCTACTGTACCTTGCTCTATGTGCTGTATATTACTCTCAACCTTGTGGTAATGTGTTGGACTCCTGTGTGTGGGATCGTGGGATTTGTGGTAGTTTGGTATTTTGGTATGGATGGTGGTCTATCCTCCCAGTGGGTCTTCGGAGATATGGGTCAGTTGAAATATACTAGCCCGTGAGGCAGTTGGTCCCCGCTCCCTGGCCCCGTCGTGTTTGCTGGCCTTGTGGGCTGCTTTCTCAAAAAGTATCTGCTAGTCGGGAGGGGACAAATGTGGAAATCGACCTGCCAGTATTATTGGCTCTTAATGCGTAGAGTCGTAACGACTATATCCGTCCCAGAAACTTGCCCCAGAGAAGTGTGTGTTTGCACCGTGGGCATTTGCCCTTGTCAATATGTGCTAGGATGGTAGCGTTTAAGCGTTGTTTCGTTGCTCAAACTGCTGGGTTCCGTCAAGGGAGGGGTGAATTAGCAGGGTCAGTGATGAGCAGGATGCCGAGCAAGGGCTACGGGACGGTGGTTTTTGGTGGAGATTTGGTCTTGATGTTGAGAAAATGAAGGCTCTTGGCGAACAACGTTTTTGTGACGCAGAAGTATGGAGAAGAGATGGATGGATCTTAGTAAAGGATAAGGGGGGACGGGGGAAGAGGGGATCCACAGGGCTTTTCAATGCATGGAACAGGCCATAAATTAACCAGCTGTATCTGCCTGCGTCTGTGTCTGCGTCGTGTCTTCCTTGTTGGTCCCCCGGAGGAAATGATCTGGAGCTTGGCGATGATGACGATGATACGACGATGGGTGCAGATACCGCCGCAGGCAGGCAAGGCAGGGACAACCCAGGAGAGACATACGGGAAGGAAGGGAGCCGGGGGGGGAGGAAGGGGAGGGTGTGGTGTGTGGGCTGAGATTCTCTGGCAGATTCAGGAAGGAGGAGACATGAATCCATTGAAAGTAGACCGAGCAAAAAAATAATAATCTGTTGTGGGTGCATCGGGGGGAGTATGCACTCTACTCATACTCTACATACACTCACATGCATACATCTGCATCGCATGCCTCTGCCCGTCCAAATCTACTACCACAGCGACCCGATCCAGTGCAGAGTTGCGATGGGGCGGGCAGGGCAAGCCGCATGAGTGCATATGCGAGGCATGGGAGGCAGGGCGATTCGCTTTTGATATTACAGTACATCGCATCGGATCGATCCACGGCCTCGCGTTGGATGTAACTTGATCGTCTCATTTCTCATTGTTGCTAGCGTACTGGCTGGATGGAGCATGGTCGATCAAGCGTGCTGTGCTGTGCTGCGTGCTCTCCTGCGTGTTCTCCTGGACTCACTCGACGCATTCGACGACTCACTCGCTCGGGCCGCCGAGCTGCAGGAAACAATTGGTCTGGTAACATCGTGCCAGCATGCTCCAGCCCGTTTCTTGTGTGCTGTCTACCATATACTGTACTCTCTTCGAGCGTTTCTTTGAGCATCAACGACCAATATAGTACACCGTGATACGGGTACAACACCCCTCCTCCCCTCCTCCCCAAGCGTCCACGTACACGTACGTAGTGTAGTGTACATAAGAGTTCCAATACGTTGCACAGATGTACCCGACTACAATATGCAAGATGCTGCAGTTGTACGCAGTGGGCCAGAAGTGGAGTATGCATTTGCCCAGTCCCAGCCCATCCCAGACCATCCCAGCCAGCCCTTTTGGAGGGGGAAGGAGCATCTTTGGGGATAGCGGGCGGGTGGTTAGTCCCCCTTCCGGCTGGTCTGGGTGTGCGGAATCGTGTGACAGGTACAACAAGTAAAGAACGACCCAAAAGACAGCGAGCCAGGTGGGTGGGTTGCCCGTCGCCGTCGTACCTTGGGAACCGGGCATGATTGGCTCCCGTTCCAACACAGAAGCACCATACGCCTCTCGGGAAGGGGAAGGGTTTGGGGGGTACCATACTCCGGCTCGCTCGCTCGTGGTTTTGGGGATATGCCTGTAGAAAGGGAGTCCCATCATTGGCTGTGCCGATCTCATATATGTACTCGACACTCAGTCGGTGGTTCAGCCGGGCGTAACGCGGCGGAGGGTCCTCGGGATTGGGGTCGGTGATGTCTTCATCTTTGCGCGTAGAGAGTATAGCGTGTATACTGACTGTATTAGGATCTTGGAATTGCAAATCTCCTGCCTATAATTCCGGGCGGACCATCGTTCCGGCATGTAAGGTCGGGTGAAATGCCCTGGATGACTAGCAGCAGTAGCAGCAGCAGCAGCAGTGGTACAGTCAGCGCACTGCCCCCCAACCAAAATCCACATCACCGACAGGAGACAAGACCAACAAAAACCCACTCCTGCATCGCGATCAGAAGGGCAACTACTGCAATCCTCAAACGTACCTAGGCATGTGCATGATAAAGTGCCAACAAGGTGATTTCGGCCCCGCGAAACATGTTTCAGAGTGCTCTGGGCGCTTGCGGATCCTGGCGTCGGCGCGTATATGTAAAGGAGTTTACCGACCGAACGACGGGGCTTGTTGAGTCGGCGATTTTGGGGATTTGGGGACGAGAGACTTCACCACTCAAATGCAGCTTTTTGTTGGCTTCTGACATGTGCTATGGTAGTTGTGATAACTACATAGTTTGTTGTCTACTTCAGCACTATTCCAGCATTCATGAAAGACATCTCATTTTCGCCAAGCATTCCGGGCAATAAAACATGGTCTGAAGATGCTCCCAATCTTGGATTATCGCCATCATATCGTCTTGCTTATCCTTAGCTTCAGCCCAGTTCCCTAGATTAGCTTTGGCTTTCCAGTAGCTCTCCCTCGTTGGACGGTATTGTGTGCAACCGAAACAGAATCTCCAGTCTTTTGAGGTAGGGCCCAACCGATAGTAGAGTGAAAGGGCATCCGGATCACTAACATCCAAGGAGACCATGGTAGAGACTTGCAGAAGGCGCTTGCAAGACAGTGCAAGACAAAGCTGATCGATAAGATTGACCTCGTCGAAAATGGTTATGAGGATCTCCGTTGGCAGTTGGAGGAGAGGTGCAACAGTACATGCGTTCGGCAGGGTTGGGAGCGCCTAGCCAGCTATATTAGCATCATACGGACAGGCAAAGGTAACGTTGTTAGAGCTCACTTCACTTGGAATTATGAATTTGTCCCATTTCTGGTACCTAGTACCACAACTCATGGCGATGATAATATTGGTGTTTTGAAAATGCGGGTGTTGTAAGGAGCAGGGGTGGCGATAGTGCAAGGGACGAGTGCAAGTGAATTTGTTTGTCGATGGGCCATACTCTACAGCCTGCATTAAGCGTTCTGGTCCATACAATTCCAACATCAAATTTATCTCCAACTAGAAGCGCGAATCGCCTTGCGAACATTTGTTATCTTCTGACAAGTTCTATAGTAGGGTCACTTTGGTAGGCTACGATTATATGATGTCCTCCTTCGAGACCACGCAAGACAAAAATTACTTCTTCCCCATACGCAATCTGGACAGACAGTGGCATTTTTGTTATATTTCCACTCGTTGATCCCCCCGGTCATCGGCACTTCCTTTCCTGCCTTAACCACATCCCATCCCTGCAGGACTGCTTTGGCTTTCCAGTACTTTTCCCTCGTTGGCCGATATAATGTACAAATGGTACAGATTTTCCAGGCGTTCGTGGTAGGACTCAGCAGCCGAACCAGAACATCCATCATTCGATGTGGGCTTACCAGGCGCCCTGCCCAGATGCTAGTTTTCAAAGAAACGAGTGTAGAAAGCTGAAGAAGGTGCTTGCAAGACACTGCAAGCGCAAGCTGGTCAACATCATCGACCTCCTCAAAAATAGCAATGAGAATCTCCATTGGCAGTTGGAGAAGGGGTGCACCACGGCTTGCGTTTTGCAAGGTACCCAGCAACTGGTAGGACGTAGTTAGTATCACTCGTGGAGGTAAAAGTAGCTTTCTAAGTCTCACTCCGCTTGGTACTGTGAATTGTTTCCACGGCCGCGCAAACGGGTCGAAATATTCCATATTGGCGGTACAATAGGTGCCCCGGGGACGTGGACGACGACGGACAAATTGATGTGTTGTCTACAAACAGGGGCTCCAAGGCGCAAGGGAGTGCGTTTGTAAAAATCTCATGCAGCCTGCGTCAAGTGATCTCTTCCATACAGGCATCCAATCCAACATCATAATATATTCCAACTATAAGCGCAAAACTGTCATTCCAACATCGTTCCAACACATCCGCCTGTTCCAACTCCAACAAACGCCGGGATGCCCCTTACCTACTGTTATGCCTTATCCCTTACTTACATCCACGATAAGCCAAATCAGACTTTGTAATAACTTGATAATCGGTTGGATAACCTATACTACAGTATAACCTATATTACAATGCATGCAAGAGCAGTACCTCTGGCGCAAGCTGCTCCAAATACAGCCGAGTGGCTCTTACTACTTACTATATTACAACGACATATAGGGCACAGACTCTCACATCTCCAACCGGCCAATGCTCTATCCCGCCTAAGCCGAATTTCTTCAACAGTAGGATTTAGCACGCGCAAATGACCGAGCATAGCCAACAAATCCTACACATCCTACAAATCCGGTTCGGTGTGGTGGTGGAGGTCAGACAGAAATGCGAATTCCGACAGTGTGGTTCAGACGCTTTTCAATGCGACTTTGCCAGGGGTTGACATGTGGAGCTTTCACAGTCAATAGTCGCACTGTCGATCGCTCGGGGAGGAAGATGGACAACGCTACTTTTTTTCAGCTCATCCACCAGCACAGCCCTTTTTGCTGAATGACCTTCCCCATTGAATCCTGCGGGTATATGGATCACGCCGTATCTGACGCAAAGGGTCATTCTCCGTCCCAAGAAAGCAAGGAAAGTTCCGAACGACTTGACAGGCCAGGCCCTCTCCTCCAGATGCGAAGAGTTCAAAGCATATGTACCGTACTTGGTATGCCGAATACGCTGTGGATGCATCATCTGTATCTTTATGGCCCCTTTCCGACTTCCTAGCATTCTTGGCCGTGTCTCTGCGCACAGAACTCGAGCATGTCGTCTCTTGAGTGCTAAGACTCTACTCACCTTGGCTGCCCCATCCACCGTCTAAAATGATTTACACCACGGCCCGCCGGACGCGCCCATAACTGCCCCCTCTTGCGATCATCAGGTCACATTACGACGGTGCTCCCGAATCTCGCACAGTCCTCTCCATCCCCTCCCCGCTGCGCTCCACCCCCACCCCGACGCCAAGCCCGCTCATCCCATTACTCGCCCCCCTGCACTGCTGACCCGAGTGTGTGGGTGGGAGTCCTCTGTTCCAGTCTAGTGTGACGGCCCTGATCCCTGTTCCCTTTTCCACTACCACCCGCTCCCAGAAAAAGTCCCATGCCCTTGGCCGACTGTCTATCGGAAATCGCGGATTCTGGTCTTTCTGGGAGCATTGTTGGACGCTAGGGAACTTGCTCCTGCCGAGGGCGGCCTTGGCACGAAGATGGAATGTTTTCCTTAAATGGTTTCCGCGACTCCTGCTGCAGATGTGGCTGCTTTGGGGAGAGATTGGCATCCGCCTGGAGTGTTCCTACTTGTCTAATCTCCCCGGGCGCGGTAGCCTACAGTGCCTCGCGGGACGACGGTTTGGAGATGGGTTGCAACCCGGTTTGCAGAAAGGTCGGTGTGAATAGGGGGTGGAACATTGTGTTGGTTCACTATGCTATAGTTGTAGGGTCGCATCCACAAGGCCGACCGCCCCGCGTCGTCCCGTTAGTGCATGGATACCCCGATCGTCTCGCGTCGGAAATTTGAGCCCCCCCCCCGTTTCGCATTGTCAGGGCTCTCTAAATTCGGATTACCTGGCCACTGAGCACAAACGGGGCCTGACATGGTTATCATGCAGTCCAAGACACCGGACTCTTCTCGTTCCCAAGCTGCTGGGAATTGGGACTCCAATCTCGGACCCCCGACAACTGCGTCAGACCTGCCTGCCTGCTGCGCGCATTTTCTTGCTTCTGCATGCGAGGCGGTTTCGAGTATATCGATCATCGGGCATTTCTGCAGTGGGATCAGATCCCGCAGCCCCCTAATCCTGATATTTGGATTTTCTCGTCGACGCATACGGATGACCGTCAGCCGTTCAGGTCCCAACGCAGGTGAAGATAGGGGATGTAGGGGACAAGTCCCTGGTGCGTGGGCCTTGCTTGAGGCGACCAACAGCCCAAAGGCCCAACTTTTCAGGTTATCACGTACGTATGGCGTCTCCAACGCAAACTTTTTTGTCTCTGGAAAGTTTCAGATAAGTTGCCAACGTTATGGTCAGGTGAGCATCTGTACTACTGGGCCAAACGCAGTCAGTTACCTCTGTTCATGTCTTGGTCCTATTTTCTCGGGATCAAATAAGACACAGTGAGTGTCGGTGAGTGGTTTGCATCTTCCTCAGTCATTCTCCTTTTCACATATTCAAAAAAATCCAATCCCCCCTGACGCATGGCCACACCGGTGTGTCATGGTCCGATATCGCCGCCTCACAATATTCGGTAACACGAAACTTTGCACTCCCGAAATACCATCAGCCCTTCTCGCACCCAAGCACAAGTCGGATCCACGGTATCCCCCCACTGAGACACATCTGGTGACAGCCCATGCTGTCCTCGCCGTGGTGAGCCGATGATGTGATTAGCCGTCTGCCTCACCCCAAGATTGGGCCCTGCCTGCACCACCCACCCGTCCGGATGCAGGACGACGGTGGCCCCAATCCCGTCATGCAGAACTCATGCAGTGTCATTCCGCTACCGCCGGGTGGGCTGGATGCGGACATGCAGACGGTGCCGGTAGGCGGTCATTCGGCAGGGCGGGATTGGCTATGCTGCTTTTGTTGGGACGGGAGGGTGGGAATCCCGTGCAACTGGTGGGATGCATGATTGTGTTACCCGAAAGGTCTGCAAAGGGGTTTGTTGGTACAGGGGCGTTATATATAGAGGAATTCCACCCAGTCAACTGGGTTCTACATGGGAAGCCCGGAGGAATGCATATGATAGGGCAATGGCAACCTATTAAGTAAGTGGGTTATTTTTCAAGTTATTTTTCAAGTTATTGTTACAATAAATTCCGGGAATAGGTGGTATAGACATATATTTTGGCAACCCATTCTAATATCCTGATAGACTACAAAGATCACACACCTCAAGTAGCCTTTCAGTCCACAGATCAGGCGCCCGCCGCACAACTTTCACCTAAGAAAGGTACGACGTATCAACCCAGCTAGCATAATCGCTTCCCAAAATGTTCGAGATGGTGAGCGCGCTGCTAATCTTGCTCGAGAAACTGGCACGCGTCCCCGAAGCTCCAGCCCCCGTGTTGCCGTACTCCTGGAACGTAACGTGCCCAGTCCTCTCATCTCCCGTGTTCCAGATCTTCCACCCAGCGCCGTTGATGATGCTCGACAGCGCGGTGTTCTGGAAGCAGACCCGTGCGTACTCGCCCCATGGACGGCCGAGGTAGACGTTACCGGTTGTGGGACCGCCGCCCGAGTCAGCCGCGACGTTGGACTTGTTGATCACGTAGTAGGAGACGTCGGTGCTGGAGGCGCGGCCGGAGGCGGTCACGTAGCCGTTGCCGTTGACGCGGATGTCGGTGCCGTCGATCCAGGCGATGCCGTGCTGGCCGAAGATGAAGTCGGTGGCACCTTGGATGAAGCTCTTGCCGAAGAAGTGCTTGCCCTCGTTGGAGAGGAGGGTGTCTTGGTAGCCGTAGAGAGCGACGCCGTAGTAGCTCTGCTTTGTGCCGTAGCAGCTCAGGGCGACGGCTTGGGAGCCCTTGCCGTAGGTGTTCTTGATGTTGAGGTTGTAGAACTTGGTGTTGGCGGCGTGGTTGGAGATTGTGGCTGGGGATGATTAGCATGCTTGACATTGGTAAAGAGGAGACGTGCGGTAACCTACCAGTGCCATCATTGTTGGTGCCGCAGCTGAGCTGACTGCATGATTGCTGGACAGTCACCTTGTTGCCCGAGTATGACGAGCCGGACGCCGAGTAGCCGTAGACTTCGAGGGGACCACTGAGTGCTGGGATCTTGACCTGCTCATTGTAGGTTCCAGAGTAGATGAAGATCTTCTGGGTCGACGACGAGCTAGTGCTCAGCGCGTTAATTGCCTTTTGGATCTGTTTCCCTATTAGAGAATAGCAATAAGCTATGGATAAAATACTAACCGTTGAGTACGTTCCGCCTGAGCCAACCGTAAGGGCGCCGGATGGAGGGGTTGTGATGGCAACAACTGAGCTCACGAGAGCACTCAAGGTGATGGAGAAACGCATGATGGCAGAGTTTCGTAGAGAAGGTAGTAAGGAACAGTATCTGTTGCAGCGACGACAGCAACAAGAATTGGAGAAGCCATTGAGGCGTTCTTAAATAGTTTGAAGACGTCAATAGACCACGGGATCTACAATTGTACGTGTGCTTAAGAAACGTCTAAAACAATATAGATGAAGTTTAAATTGAAATACAGTGGAGTTGTTTCGTGACAACTGTGGGGAAGGGGTTGTGGTTCGTGGAAATTGAGGCACCGACCGATCCCGAGATCCATTCCGCCGGCAGTTTCCCCTGCGCCAGTTCACAACCTCACGTGGTTCGTGGGATAATGGAAACGCGGCAGATCTGTCAGGTCTGGCTCCTTGCTTGTTCCTGCCATAATTACTATAATATATGTCGTCGACACCTGGAAACTTTACGGGATTTTGTAAATTGCGGGGAAAAGGTGGGCGATTCCCGTTGATGGCGGGGAAGGTTGCAATTTCCATTCGCGGGTTAGTGTCCAGGCAATTCATTCAAGCATCGCTCTGGAATATAATAAAGCCATAGCCGCAGAACGGCGAGGTACAGCCGCGAAGCTTCATTTAACCGGTCTAGAACTTGGCATCTCTAAAGCAAATATAGCACGAAAGAAAGCGAATGTTGAAGTTGAGCCATTTGGACCACAACGCTTGATCACCCAGTTGCCCCTCAGTGTCATGATTCTCTTTACAAAATTGTGCGAGTATATATGTCAATGGCGTCTTTGGGTACTGAATATCGTGTCGGTTGGTCCAAGGCAGGGCGACAGCTTTTACAACTATGGTTCATAACTTGGAGACAAATATGAGAGATTTGGCGGGTGGAGAAACGTTACGATTCTACTTCCCGCACCCGCACCCCCCCTTTTCCATGTCTCAAGAATGTCTCGCTATATTGAGCATACTGAGAAGAAGATTTCTCTACGTTTTATTAGCTGTTAGTTTTCCTACAATTTAAATCAGAGGTCTAATAATTCTATGCACCAAAATCTGCGGCCTTTTGGGGCAAGGAGTAATCAAGGTCGCTCGTCGTTAACCTCGCAGTCGGGGTTCCATCACATCGTTTACCCGTCTATTTTGCATCTTTCATTTGTTTCACGGGTTATATGCTCCATGATTATAAAAAAAAGTTGCTTCTAATTGGACACGAATCCCGAAGTAAGACTCAGCTCTACCGGTCAATGCCACTTAGCTCTGTACGCCCCTTGGTAAGATATCGTACTGGCATCACCCCGCAATATCCTCATTGCAAATCCAATAAAAAAGGCCCACGATATATGTTGTGCAACAAGATAGCAGGTTAGGCAAGATTGTCAATTCCTTTATAGCTGAAGTGGTTGATTTTGCATCCGGTGTTGCGTTGAATTGAAACTAAATCCAGTAGAATGGGTTTCCAAGGTGCAAAATACGTAACGAGATGGCCATTTGGGGACAGCTGTCGATTTATTTAGAGCTCAAACAACACCCAAAAACAATAGGTCTACGTTGAAGTGCAGCACATCGGATATTTCAGCAAAGAGTACGCGTCTATAAGAACAAGCCCCCCCTAAACCCAATTCCAATTCCATTCATTAAAGTTTAAAAAATCGCCATTAGACCATCACAAGAACAAAGCCAATTCATTCCTAGAAAGTTATTTCCACAACTATGGAACGAAACACCCAGTATGCACATTGGCCAGCTTTCTAGATAGTAATTTAAGGGCATTTAGCTAATATGCTTCAGCGACATAGGCAAATCTCTACTGAATTAGTTAAGGCGGCAGCGTCTCTCTCAGCAGGAGTCAAGGTTTAATGTCTAATCATACGCGCACTGTTTATCTCTAATAATCGTCATAGGTTGTTTCTTACTGCTACTATAGCCATTTTCCCAGTTATTGTTAAGCTGTCACAATAACATACTCTCATGGTAGTCCCCTCTACCCACTCTTAAACTCAGTCTAATTTGCAGACAAGGTCGGAAGATAAAAAGCGCCGCACTTATGACAGGTGCGATGCATTTATGAGAGTAATAGCTAGTTCTCCAGGCGCGGTTTTTCCTACGGGTTTTCCACGCCGCTTGCGCAAATGCGGGAGTTCATCTAATTGAAACCATTTAAAATGCCGTTCGCCATATCTCTCTGCGCTTTGCAAATGTGCTTTGTGATATATCATGTCGACAGACTTAGAAACTGAAGTGATATAAGTCCCGTTCAGGATGGGCTGCATATCCTGAATATTTAGCCCATCCTGAACGGGACTAATAATTAAGCTCTGAATAAAGTTGGTGGGTGATGGCGAAGAAAGAAATATACATGATCACAACACAAAACCTACAGCGTCTACGGTGATATTAGGTTGATATCAACGTCAACCTACTGTTACCCTAAAATTTGGTCGGGCATAAAATACAGAGAAGCAGGCCACAGCACCACGACGTCGGTCACTTACCTTAGAAGCTTGGCATCATAGACTTGTGGCGCAGCGCAGCCAAGTCATCTCTCATTCACAGTCTACAACTTTTGGTCACCTTTGTGCGTTTACTCCCTGGGAGAAATAGGATTAATAAAAGGCGAAAATAAAATAGTGGCCAGTGTTTATGCCCGCATGTCACAGTGTGTCGATGTTGATCTCCAGGCTTTGAAGGGGCTCGGGTCGCCGCGCGAAGGGGTCGGCTCGAAGTTTGCCCGCATTACTGCTATCCATCAATTTAAAGCGGATAGGCAGCTGAGCACTAGACTAGTCATAGACGCATTTTGCTTTTTCAGCTCGCAGAAATGGGGCATTTTCAATATTACAAAGGATATTACGATTGTCGTCGTTGGGGATTCTCTCGAGGGTATACAATCTCGTTGAGAAGGCACGATGGTTGAGTTATCAGTCGGTGAAGTTTCTGGCCTGGTCGCTGCGGGGGTCTTCTTGGGTATGGCATCTCCATACTTTTACAAAACCTGACAGAATGCGGCTGACAGCTGATCGTAGTTCAAATCTTCTTCCCGTTGGCAATATCTGCCATATTGATCGCCTTTGTCTCGGAAGAGAATAACCTAGTGACATGGTGAGTAGCATGATGATCGCTCTATCAATTTCCCCCCTATTTACTTAAGCTTTCTAGGTCTGTTCTTGGCCGGTATCTGCATTCAACCTTCTGGCCCACCATCCTCAGCACTGATGCTGCCGCAGACACGGCCGTTCGGAGGCGAGTCTTCAGGACAGGTTGGGTCCAGACAATCGCTTTGATATTAGTCTCCGTGGCTTCTATTGTTACTCCGTTAGGCCTGTATGATGTTGTTGAGCCTCCGAAATTGCAGACCAATACGCCATTCACTTACATTGAGGATCATTCTGCATTTGGTTACGGAACGCCGCCCCGGTCTGATGCACCCTTCACTAGAGTCTGCGAGGGCACCAAGATAGCCTGTCCAGGCACTACCAGGACAGACAACTGCACGACAAAGGGGTTTGCCGAAGTGTGTACTGTAGATTATGACGTCAGGATTCCTGACGATTTGAAAGAGCTCTTTAGAGATGGGCCGTCTAGTTTCGGTGCCACTGTCTCTAGCATATTTGACATCCAATGGAGGTCCTATAAAAATGCGTTAGGGTCTATGATTGGGCCGTATCTAGAGCCAGCATCGCGACAATTGGCCCTGTTGGTTCTCGATGATACTGTGAAGCCTTACGAGGGGCTAATAGTCGACATGAAAGAAGGGGGGATTGGGTTCCGCAACCACACTATACCGCGTCCCACTTATCAATATGGGAGCACGTGGGATGAAGACATCCTGTTCGTCGAGCCAGAGACGCAATGCGTGAATACAAACCTTACCCTCGATTTCACTCTCCCCGACGATGACACCTCGCACGACTTTGTAGAAAAGCTTTTCTTGACAGACCGCGGTGGATTTTCGGGCTTGGCCCGAACCAGTCCAAACTATGCTGTGCCTCCAAATGGACAGGATATAAATCTTCGGGAGAGAGCATACAAGGCTGCCTGGCTGAATAACTTCTACACAATGGTGTACTTCAACATCACTGACTTCGATCGGACGAATATTACGCGCATAGATACCGTGGAAGGCTCAAAGTATCCCATCAGAACTGACGAGACCACTACCAAATTTCGGGTAAGCCAAGATGTTATCAGGGCAAGCATGATTTTTGGGCAGTACCTCAATCTCGATAGTCCTCTACCCGGTGGTAATGCATCCCAGTCACACATAAACCCATTCAATATCAGCTCGGATTTCTTTCAATTCGTCAGTAAGTTACCTTCTGACCTACCAACCTCGCATGTATGGAACTGACCAGCCTAGCCACCACTTGTGCCGGGACCTCGCCATCTAGCCCTCCGAATATCAACGGCTCCGTTGTAGGGTGCGCCCTTCTATATGGCGCGGCCAAGCGCACTGACGGTGGTTCTTCACTTGTCTTCGACCCGCGGTCGACCTGGTCTACCCCGATCTATAGCTGCGCCACGGCAGTCAAAGCCACCATCAGGACCACTTCCTTCCAGTACAATGGTACCACTCTCAGCTCTCTAACCATCAACGAGACCCACCCAAAATCCTACCCAGAACCCTCCAACCTCCCCCTCTGGGGAGTCGAAGACCTGAAAGCACCCTTGACCATGGAAGGCACTTCACCCCTCTGGGGCATCCTCGGCCAAGCCAACACCACCCTCCCCCCAACCCCCTACAACATCTCCACAATCGCCGCCTCAAGCCTCTACCTCCCCGGCTACCTCGACTGGGGCGGCTCGAAAGGTCTCAACACCATCCCCATCGTCCCCGGCCAAAACCTCCCCGGCACAAACTTCTACGCCCAAGCCCTCAAAAACGCCCTCACCATCACCAAGCCCGGCGGCACCATATCGGAATCCAAAGCCGACAATGGCTGGAACGGCGGCGCTGATTTCTCGGGGTACACCAGCCTCGCGCTCTTCGCTAAGTGGCAGCAGCTGTCGCGCACTCCTGAAGACGCGGCGAAAATAATAAACCTCATCTGGACGGATGTCTCGGCGAATACGGTTGTTGGAACTAAGGGATGGGGCCTCACTTCCGCTGCTGCTGTAGCGAGGGCGGCGAAGGTGGGCGCGCGCGCTGACCCGGCGCCGCTCGTGACGGAAGTCGAAGTCCCGATTATCATATACAAGATGTACATCCGTTACCGGATCCCGTTTGCTGTGCCTGCATTCCTGGTGCTAGGACTGACTGTCACGGTGCTGATTGCGCTTATTGTGTTGTTGATTTCTGGGCGGACGGGGCCGAAGCTGATGAGAAGGTTCTTGGAGGATATTTCGGTGGGGAGGGCGATGGGGGTGTTGTTGTGGCCGGAGAAGAAGAGGGGATTGGGGACGGAGGAGTGGATTGAAAGTGTTGGGACGAGGAGGGTGAGGATTGGGAGGGAGGGGATTGCAAAGGAGGAGGAGAGTTTGGTGGGTGGGGAGGAGAGGAAGAGTGGGGAGTGGAGGGGGAGTGGGGAGGGAGGGGAGACGAGGAAGAGGGTTGTTGTGGAGGATGTGGGAGAGGTTGGTGATGGTGATAATGGTGTATAATGTGTTTACAGAATGGGCTAGATCTGAAAATAAAAAGGGTGCGTATTATTATATTTATCGCATATATTGTACAATATATATATCGAAAATATTAGAGTAGTAAGCGGATATTAATTGAAACTAATATATTCCTAAGCTATCTAAATATATTTCTATAAATAAATCAATATTTTATCACTACCAAAATTTCTAATAACCATATTACTATAATAATACACACCACAACTATCCATATTGTCACAAAAGTGATCTACCTTTTCCCATTCGACGGCATGGAGCCCGTTACCAATCCATCCCAACCCTAAGTTCTAGACTCCCACGCTTATAAACGCCCTCCCTCCCTCCCGCACCCCATAAAAACCCGGGGTACCCCACACTCCACCTCCAACATCCCACCACCACACCGAAATCCAGCCCACTACAGCTCAAATTAATCACTATGTCCACCCCCGCTCCTCCCCCACCAACAACAACAAACCCCGGCGCCCTCCCAACCCCACAAACCCACCTCCGCCTCGCTCGCCCCTCCCTCTCCCTCCCCGCCGCCGAGACCTTCTACGTCCACGGCCTCGGGCTGAGCGTTCTCTACCGCTCTCCTCCCCAAGGGACGCACCCCGACCAACACCCCGAAGACCTGCTTATGCTCGGCTACCCCGGTGGAGCGTGGCATCTTGAACTAGTCCACGCACCCGACGGGAAGGGAGGGACGGAGATCTCATTCCCGGTGCCGAGGCCGACGGAGGAGGATTTATTGGTTTTGTATGTTGAAGGGCCGGTAGATGAGGGGTTGGTGAGTAGGATGGTAGAGAAGGGGGGAAAGAGGGTGGTGGCGAGGAATGAGTATTGGGAACGATGGGGGGTGACGGTGGAGGATCCGGATGGGTATAGGGTTGTGCTTTGTACGAGGGGGTGGGAGAATGTTGCTGTTGAGTAGGCAGGGGTGGATATTGGCATTAGGATTTATTTTATATACTCGGGCGCTTACTTACCAATCCTTTTGCTATGTTGCTTCTTTTATATGATATGAGAACTATTACAGCATCGCAACTCCTAGAACACCCATCGCGACAACCATAGCACCACTAAGCGCATTCGTCACCGCCGCACCTGTAGGCGTACTAGTACTCACTCCCGTCCCTGCCGGTCCCCCATCCGTCACCTTTGCTGTTGTAACCCCCCCAAGCCCAGCAGTCGTCATGCTCCCCGACGTCCCAGCATCGCTCGAGGAACTCGTTTGCTTCGCTCCACTAGGAAACGGCGTCGTTGCCTTTGCGTCCTGTTATCCATTAGCATCTTCCCCCTCAACTTCAACCCATCCCCTCCTCTCTAGGATTAGAGCAACTCACAACAAGCCCACAGCATTCCTTCCCTTCGCAAATCGACCCATCTGTACAACATGTCTGCACCCCTGGCAAATAACACCCCACCGACTCTGGACAGAAACTCCACGTCGTGTTGTACAGTTTACAGCACTCTAGCCCATCATTATGTATCGCATTGCTCGCGGAACACGTCACAATCGCGCCAGGGCCGTGGCCTGTTGCAGTGGGCATCTCGAAGTCGGTCGGGAGGGGGGCGGGGACGCCAGCGTGCCCTGTTTTGCCGGGTCCGCCCTATGAGGCATTAGTTCATCTTTTTCCTATCAACTATTCTATCATCCGCCTCGAGGCTGGGGAGAGGGGCGTACAATCGAGTTGCAACAATCGTTCGAAGCAGCAATACAATACGCTATCCTTTAATTAGTCTGGCACCTTGACTGGATTTATTGGGAAGAGGGGCACGAACATCCATCTACGCAACACTGCTGTCCCTTTCCGGGAGCGAAACAGTAGTGTTCGGCGCAGATCACGTAGCCGTCGCCGTAACACTCGTCGCATGTGCTGTGGGTTGTGCAGCCGGCGCGGGCAGCGAGGAGACCGTCATTGGAGGAATAGCCTGGCTGGAGCTTTGGGAAGGCCGCTGAGGCGAGGGAGGGGAGGAGGAAGAGGAGGGGGATGAAGATGTGCATTGTCACTGCTGTGTTGGACGGAGCTGGAGCTAGGTGAGAGAGCGGTATAAGGACTTCAATGGCGACGCATCGAAAGAGAAGAGAAGACGACAAGGAAACGCGGGGAAGGAAAGATAGAAAACAAGCAAATACTCTCCCCAAACTCCTGCACTTCCCCAAAACTAGCTACGGCTCAAAACTAGCTACGGCTGAGGACCGCCAGTTCATCAAGCCGTCTCTTGAAATCGTAAGGCGGGCTAACTTTCGCCGTCGTCTGGGCAAATTAAACCCCTGCCCTGTCACCTCGGCGGCAGGGTCTCCCACTAGGGGTCCACCTGCCAAAACGCCTATAGTGCGAACGGATCGGCCGTGGGATAAATTCTGCGGTGGTGAGGGGAGATATCATGAGGGTCTTGGCGTCTTTGGAGAAGATATGAGAGATCAACGTGATCGTCAGTTTGGCGTCATGGAGCGGTTGAGGCGTAAAGCTTGGTATCCCTTGCCATCTTGGTCGTGTGTCGTGTGTCCCAGGGCGGGATCCGCTGTCAGGCACCTGTCTGTCAGCCTTACAAGGTGCACAGCCACGATCGCCGACAGCCTTGTGAGGATCTCATGGTTGAGTAGCGGCAGCGATGGTGTTCCCACCGTGGTATGAAGACGAGGATATTGTGGAAGATATCATGAATAGTTGGATAGTTCTGTCGCAACGGACAGGGTGGCTCCCCTTTGACTGATACATATATTCCACGACATAGAACTGACCGTACTCTCTCGTTCTGGCAACTCTGCTGTCGAGGACATTTTCCGGCGCTTCTTTGAGTATTCCTCAACCGCCCTGTCGAGTATATACAATCCCGTATGACATGACAATATGCGCCGACGTGGTATCGTATGCATCGTGTGGCACTCTATGCATCGCAGCCCAATGAAATTCTTGGCCCTCACCATTCCCTCCACCACAGTTGGCTCTTGGCGTGGCTGAAGGCGCAGTCACCAGCCAACATCTCGACCAAAAGTGGCTATAAGCGTGGCGCAGGTCGCACATATCACGCATTCACATCCACACCTTCATATCGAGTATGAATGGAGAATGGATATACGGCACTGCAAGAGACGGACCGCGACTTGGCTGCGACACTTGGCTGCGTTAAAGCTGAGTCTCCCCACCTGCAGTGCTTCGTAGGCGCTGTAGCGTTAGTTGTTCATCGTCGACATTCACAAAAAAAGACTAGAGGGGTTGCCTGGCCACGAGAAGGTCACTCTTCCAACAAATGTGAGTCTGAGGTAAATTCTTCCAACAGTCTTTCAACAATCTTCCAACAAGCTTCACAACCTCTACTCCAACCTGTACTCCAACCTTCACTGCACACACTACACCTTCACTACACATACTACACCCGACCTCATCCACATATCTCCCCCCCTCACTCACCATGCCGCCCATCTTCTTCTGGAGGGACACAAACCCCTCCTTCGCCTTCCTCTCCCAAGATTCCCACGCCCCATTCCACGACAACGAAACCGAGACCGTCTGGCCCACCACAGAACAGTAAGTTTACCCCGCCATCCCCCGCATCCCCAACACCCCGCCTAACAACACCCCCAGCTACATGCTCTCCGAAATGGCCATGCTCTTCGCCGCCCCCGACATCGCCGCCCGCATCGCCCACGAGCCCCACGTCGAGGACATCCGCGCCCTCGCCCGCGGCGTCGACAACTTCGACGAGAAGATCTGGGAAGAGGACCGCTACGGCATCGTGGAGGAAGCTACGTACCACAAATTCGCGCACAGCCTGGTGCGGGAGCGGGATCTGAAAGCGGCGCTGCTGGCGACGGGCGAGGATGAGCTTGTTCTCGCGTCGCCGCTGGATGGGATTTGGGGGATTGGGTATGAGGCTGGGGAAGCGGTGGGGCAGCGCGAGACGTGGGGGACGAATTTGCTCGGGAAGGCGCTTATGATGGTTAGGGCGTGGATTAGGATGGAGGAGACTGGGAGCGCGTCGTGGGAAAAGGGCGGGGCGTTTGATGTGACAGCTGAGCAGAGGAGGGTTGATATGCCGTTGGAGGTTCAGACTTATGAGGCGTCGAAGGGGTACATTTCACCGAGCGATCACATGTATTGGGACACGGAGCGTGGTGAGGGGTTAGCTGCTGAGTATTACGACAAGACGAGGGAGTTCGGACCGCCGGGGGGCTATCCCGACCATGGGGTCCCTGAGGAACAGACCGAGGGGAGCAGGGCTATAGAAGGTGCACCCGACGCTTCAGGCTCTGATAACGCACTTGCTGTTTTGGGCGCTCTTGGAGCTGGAGGTCTTGTATTGCACGAGGCGCGTGGTGGATCTTATGGAGTGGAGGAGGAGGAAGAGGAGAATAGCGACGATGAACTGCGCAAGGAAGTGATTGAGAATCTCTTCCGGAAGAAGCCTGAGGAGGAAGAAGAGGAGTTGCATGATTCAGAGGATGAGAAGACGCCGGAGCCAGAGTCGGAAGAGGAGCCGGAAGAGGAAGAGGAAGAAGAGCCAGAGGAGGAAGAGGAGGAGGAGGAGGAAGAAGAGGAGGAGGAGGAGGAGGAAGAAGAAGAAGAGGAGGAAGAGGAGGAAGAAGAAGAAGAGGAAGAGGAGCCAGAGTCGGAGTCGGAGTCAGAAGAGGAAGAAGAAGTAGCGGAGGAAGAAGCGGAGGAAGAGGACGCAGGTTCAGATTCAGATGGAGATTCCGATTAGGAAGGACGAACTCAGATATGAATGTAGTGGACGTAGTTCGCATCCATCCGGGTGTATGATTGACGATTAAGAGGTCACATTGCAGGAGATTCCGCAGCCGCCAGGCGACCACTTTAACTAACGATTTTACAAAGAACTTTACCCTTTTACCTTTTCACCTTCATCGAGGCGAGCCCTCTTAATGGACTCTTCATATGATTTGTCAACCGTGGCAACATTGGTCCGATCTATTTTATCACCATTATGAAATAAATGGGAACGCAGAATCCTAGTCGAGCCGAATTGCAGCGTCGTCGTGCGCAATCCGAACGAGATCGTGAACTCCAGCGTCGTCGCGAGCAATCCGAACGGGATCGAAGAAACGATCAAATACTACAACTGACCGTGAAGGCTCTGCAATTGCGACTATCGCGAGCCACTGTTTTGCACAGTAAACCCGCACCTTCGATAGGCACGAACTCTTCTGCCGGGGCAGCCAATTCCGACACGATGGCCGAAGCTCCGTCGGCGAGGGAGAAATCAAGACGAGCATTTGACAGGTGAGGCATAGTAGGGGATGTTAGACTCATGAGACTGATATTGGACAGCTTATTTAACAATGAGAAGTTCTCCGATGTGAAGTTGTTAATCGGCGAGTCGAAGACAGCATTCCCTGCACATCGAGTAGTCTTGGGGATACGTAGCTCATACTTTGACGATGCACTACAGAGCGAATTCAAGGAAGCTCACACCACTGAATTTATATTCGAGAAGGACAGCCCGCATGCTCTCTGGAGAGTGCTTCAGTACATGTACACTGGGTATTACGCTGATGATTCATCTTAGTCTCTTAGCTCTGAAGGTAGGCTCCCCCTTGATTCAATAGGTATACACTAAAACCCGGCAGGTGATGATATTGAGCTGCTTAGACACCCCTGCGTATATGCACTCGCGGACATGTTTCGGATGGATGATCTCAAAACCATCGCTTGCAAGAAGTTCCAACTCTAGCTACAACATCATTAGATTAGTGATGCCTTTGTTGATTGTATTCGTGAAGTATATTCGACTTCGAAAGACTCGGATGATACAAGGAAAGCGGTTATAAACAAAGTATTCTCGCACAAGGAACTTGTGAAGAAGAAGCCGTCTCGAGACCTCATTACAGAAGTGGGAGACGTTGCAGTTGACCTCGTTTCAGTAATGGCGATGAGCAAGACAGGGTTCTAGGGAGTACGTTGGATACAGAAGAATGAGAGTCCAGCATAGCGCTATGTTGGCGTAGTGTAAATCGTCGTCACTCTGAAATGAAGTTTACGTCTCAGTTGGTATTCAACAGTGGCTTAAATCCCACGTCCGGTTACCATCTATGCCCGTGAAAGAGTGGCAATAAGCTGACGGAGATAATGGCTCACAATTTGAAAGAGCAGCGATCTGCTGGTCACCACCCGGTGATATCAGATGTTGACTACACACCTCAGTTTTCTGCTGCAAGGTGCACCACGCGTAAGTAAACCACTACGACCACGTAAATATAACATGGCGCTATAGCGGCAGTAAAATATGTAATTGTTAAAAATGAACTGCCCTCGAACCAGCAACCAGGAAAGGGCCAAATGGCGAACTGAGTGCAGGGAGAAGTTAGCCAGTCACATTCGTGAGCTTACAATTCTCCCAACCGATGTCAAGCTCATAACAAAACCAGAGGACCTGTACCAAGGGAGTATCTTAACAGCTGGAAAGGCTGCACTGTTCAATAAACAACTAAGCAAGCACTCGACTGGGGCCTATATAGACCTGTGCAATGGAGTAGGAGTACATTTTACGGCTGTGCTTGCAGAAGGTGCCGCAGACTACGGACAACAAACGCGACTCGTTACGACAAGCATAGCTTTTGACGCACTAGAAAAGAGCACAGAACATCCTTCCAGCGATACAATTACCTCTCAACTTAGATATCTGGGCCATAGTAGTGGGTGTCATTGTCGAGGTTTGCTCCACGTGAAGCAGGCGATCTTGCGTGAGATGAAAGCCCAGGACTTGGAGAGGTTGCGACGGGGATTTCAATGAGCAACTTTTATCCAGCACGATTCATTCCTTCACTGTCAATCTCTCGGTTGCATGGTATAAAGTCTCCAGCCATTCAGGTAAGTTGATTCTTCGCGCCAACGCATACTTGCATCCCAAGGCCAAGACCTCCAGCGACCTCCCTAGGCAGAGATGGATTTCAATTCATCGATACCGGTCCGAGGAATACCGAACAAATATGGACGACTTGTCTGACAACTCGCTCAATCTGATCATCCAGACCGCGGAGCTTTTGCAGCATCGCAGCGACAGGTATTTACAGATCTCCGGCGACGTGTTAGAGCGCCTTACACCACCCAACTGGTAAGACCTCTGCTAGTGCCTGCTCAATGCAATCTTTCCCCCTTCAGCGTATTAACCGTTTGACACGGCGAGAAGTTCTCAAGCTGACTCATTTCTGCGACACATGATACAAAACATAACGTTTCACAACAGTTATGGTGACGGCGAGACAACATGACTTTATATTGCTGATCTTTGACTGATTCTCGCCACACTGTATACAATAGCAAGGGCAATCGGTTCTATAACTCAGGTTTAAATTATATTACTGCCTACGGTGAAGTCGACACAACAAACATGGCTCTATATTGCCAGTCTTGGATTGAAAGTCAGCACCAGAGTGATGCGGTGTCATACACAGAGACAATCGCTTCTAATTCAGAAGGCTCACTGTGATTTGAGCATTCCCCCCAAGTTTACCGGTTGACCATACCGTGAAACCTTGCCAGCAAAATGACTCGGAAGTTAGCCATGGAAGACCTTGATACACCTGACCGTATTCGAGTACTTCGCACTATCGACCAACTTCGGGATCTTAGAGTCTGCGAAGACATCTCACTTCCTCAGGCGAACAAATTTGAGCTCCTTCGTGCCTATTACTGCGGGTCTTTCTTCGGGTTCTCTGTATACCTTAATGAGACACACTGGCTACTCTATGACTTCAGATTGGCTACGAGCTCGGGCAGAGTATCACCTCATATTACCCCGCACCTGTTGTGTAACATTAAAACAACAATGCTCCATTAAGAAACCTTGATCCTTTAACTGTTTTGTTGAGTATACCCAACGAGGCTATCGGGCATTCCTATGGATGGCATTTGTTGAGTTTAGTACATATAAGTTAATCAATCCTCCCTTTATTCTTACGAGTGCCATGATGGTGAATTACTCTAGGAGGCACAGGAACGACAGCAGTACTATATAAGGATCCTGTATTTCCATAGTCCCATAATTTTCTATGTAAGCAATTCAATCATTTTACTTACTCAGTTCAATACTAACAACTTGTAGAAATATTTCCACAGATACTGTTTGCAGCGTTCGAAATCCAAAGCACTATGTCTTCATCAAACTTGTTAGCGTCGATGAAGGCCCTGGATCTTAGTCCGTCGCAAGGTGATAAGGATTCAAAAGTCATACACGTCAAGAACGACAAACCGATACCGAAACCCCGAGCTAATCGCCGATTCAATGCAGAAGGAAGCTCACCCAAATTATCAAGCACTGAACAATGGGACACTTCTCTTCCATCTGCAGCAAGAAATGCTGAGTCCGGAACTCTGGCTACGTCGCACCGAGCGCCAAAATCACGGAGGAGACAAAAGCCGAAAGCGCGAGGTTTAGATAAATCGTGGTCTATGTATCCAGCATTGCACGATAGTGTAAGCCACCTATTAGAGGAGGACGATCTCTCCTTTACTTTCTTCGCAATCGACGAGGACAAAGGATCTATTGAAGAATACGATACTAATATCATGGGACGCTTCAAATGCTTGAATGAAGTTTGCCCCAAAGCCGGATGGGCGAGCAATATAATTGCAATTACGATACGAATGTACTCTGAACAACAATACAATGCCCGAGTCTATCACCAACGCTGCAAAAGTTGTGGAAGTCTTAGTCAACCATTCCCGGATGATTCATACGCAAAGAGAATTGCATATCGTCTCAAAAAGTGGAGTGGTATAGAGATGGATCGACCCTCTTATACGGTTCGTGGGAGTAAGCGTCCACATGAAAGTGCTCTGTGCGAGGGTTGCAAACACGGGCATTGCAAGCTTAGTCTGGTCTTAGAATGGAAAGGAGTTTAGGAATGGAAATCTTCCTTACGCAATCTTTGGATGTGGTAATTTTTTCAAGAATTCTTAGTCTGTAGTTTAGTCTTTGATTTAACTGTCCGTTGACCGTCTGATTTGCTCTCTCTTTGTGAACATCACTTCCATAGTTACACTAGGATGGATGAATGGATGGCTCCATTTGCCCCGACCTCTCCCCCATGGGGATATGCAGGCATCCTCAGCTTGAACTATCCTCGTATCTCTATTGTACATGGACCCATTTGGTATGGGCGAACTATGACAACTCATAATTGAGAAGTGCACACTGGCCTCGTGATAATAGTTTCGCCTGCCTGAAATATACACAGTCACGTGACTTACGCGTCAGTATTCTGCCTCAGCGATTCGCTTACACACAGCTGGCAAGCTAGCCGCGTTGGAAGCTCGCCGCCATGGAGCTCACTGCACCTCAATAACTACCCAAACCACAATTCCAACGACGAGCCATCCATCCTCTTCTCCACGAACCCATCAACCCCTGTACCACTAATAACCCACCACCTAATTCACCATGGCCACACTCGAAGATCTCGACGACATCGAGAGGGAGCTGAAGGACGACAAGAACGACGGAGACAAGGATGGCGACAAGGACAAGAAGAAGCCCGAGCAGGGCGGCGACGCCGAGATGAAGGACGCCGAGCCCGAGGAGGAGGACCCGATATTTGAGGAGATCGAGGCGCTGTCGACACAGGACATCGACACGCGGAGGAAGCTCATCGAGAACGACACCCGGATCATGAGGAGCGAGTTCCAGCGCCTGTCGCACGAGAAGTCGAACATGAACGAGAAGATCAAGGATAACCTGGAGAAGATCGAGAACAACAGGCACGTCTTTCTGGGTGGTTTACGGTGGTATTTGTTTGATATGGGGCTAACGTTTGGTGTTCCAGGCAACTACCGTATTTAGTCGGAAACGTGGTTGAGCTTCTCGATCTCGACCCGACGGAGGAATCCAAGGAGGAGGGCGCGAACATCGATCTCGATGCGACGAGGGTGGGGAAGTCGGCGGTGATCAAGACGTCGACGCGGCAAACGATATTCCTCCCATTGATCGGGCTGGTCGACCCCGAGACGCTGAAGCCGGGAGATCTGATTGGTGTGAACAAGGACTCATATCTCGTACTGGACACATTACCTGCCGAGTACGATAGCAGAGTCAAGGCTATGGAGGTTGATGAGAAGCCAACGGAGAAGTACACAGATGTCGGAGGACTGAACAAGCAGATTGAGGAGCTGGTGGAGGCCATCGTCTGGCCCATGAAGCAATCAGAGCGCTTCAAGAAGATCGGCATCAAGGCACCAAAGGGTACGTGTCCATCCCCAAATACAAAATATAACAAACTAATACTAACTCCCCCCAGGCGCCCTCATGTACGGACCCCCCGGCACAGGAAAGACCCTCCTCGCCCGCGCCTGCGCCGCCCAAACCGACGCCACCTTCCTCAAGCTCGCCGGCCCCCAACTCGTGCAAATGTTCATCGGCGACGGCGCCAAGCTAGTCCGCGACTGCTTCGCGCTCGCCAAAGAGAAGGCCCCCGCAATCATCTTCATCGACGAGCTCGACGCCATCGGCACCAAGCGCTTCGACTCCGAGAAGTCCGGCGACCGCGAAGTCCAACGCACCATGCTCGAACTCCTCAACCAGCTCGACGGCTTCGCATCGGATGACCGCATCAAAGTCCTCGCCGCCACCAACCGCATCGACGTCCTCGACCCCGCGCTGCTGCGCTCGGGTCGTCTAGATCGTAAAATCGAATTCCCCCTCCCGAACGAGGAGGCGCGCGCGCAGATCATGCGTATCCACAGTCGCAAGATGACGGTGGATGATGCGGTGAACTGGGCGGAGTTGGCGAGGAGCACGGATGAGTTTGGGGGTGCGCAGTTGAAGGCGGTGTGTGTGGAGGCCGGGATGATCGCGTTGAGGAATGGGAGGAGCAGGATTAGTCATGAGCATTATGTGGATGCGATTGCGGAGGTACAGAGTAAGAAGAAGGAGACGATTGGGTTCTATGCGTAGATTTGGCGCTGGCTTGGGGGTGGGCGTGGGGCGCGGGGGTGTGTAAGAATTAGATAGGGAATGGAGTCGGTATGCGGTGATTATATTATGCCGCTGGCCTGTTTTCATGGAGACGATGTGTTGTATCGCTGTGATTTGAGATACGAATCCGAGAACTAAGTTGTATCTTGTAATTCCGCCCAATCAAGGGAAGGCGTCACTAACAGATTGGTTATATAAACAATCAGGTCTGGTGGTCATGAGAATCTTACCCGAGCAGCTGGCATTCAAATTGTGACTGGACCAATGTAGGACTTGGACAACGGGTTCGACAGATCCAGAAAGGCCAGGCTCCTCTTCGACGTGAGCAAAGAGACATCCGTAGGATATGCACCGGGGCAGTGGCGGTGACAGGAATGCCGCGACTACAGCCAGTGCGGTGACAGCAAGAAGGAAAGGGGCGACAGTGAGAAGGGGACGGTGGTGAGACTACAGTCGAGATGCCCGAGAAGAAACCAGCCGTGGCTGGCAAAGCAACTCGCCCATGATTGAGATGGTTGACAGTGAAATTGGCATCGAAATTGTGTTTACTGGTGTCCGAAGAACCAAATACATAACTCCTGGCTGTTGTATTTATAGACATCTCATAGCGTCAATGGGGTATTATTATATGCTATGCTACACTATTCTACACATCCTCTGAAAATTTCGTACAAATCTATCCCCATCTATATACCCCCCCCAACCACCCAAAACGCCATCATCATAATCAAACAACCCCTCTACCCCCACTACCTCCCCATCTCCCCCTTCCTCTCCATCTCCTTCGGCAGCAACGTCTCCACCCCCCGAATCGCCCCCTCCGCATCCCCCTTATTAACCAAAAACAGCCCCTGCAGCGCCGCCATACTAATCCCCCTCTCCAGCACCCCCTCCTCCTTCAACTTCCTCACGAACCTCTCCCTCCCCGTATCCCTCTTCTCCACCACAACACCCTCCTCCACCTCCGCCTCCCGGCCATAAAACCTATCCCACAACTCCCCAGCCTGCCACTCAGTAGCGGACCCAATACACTCAATGACATCCACCCTCCCCGGCCTCACGAGCGCCTCATCCAACCTCCCCACCCAATTCGTCGTCAGGAAGACTACCCGCTCCTCCCCCCCCGCAACACCATCAAGTGCATTCAGCAACCCACTGAACGTCACACCGCCCCACCCCCCATCCCCCCCCTTCCTTTCCACAAACGCCGCATCCGCATCCTCCAGCAACAATATTGTCTTCGGCGGAACCTTAGAAAGCAAAACACTCAACCTCTCATCCGTCAACCCCCTCTCACTCAAATTCACAATAGCGACTCCACACCCCACCTCCCCAGCTAAGGCCAGTATAAACGAACTCTTCCCACTCCCCGGGGGACCATGGAGGAGGTAACCCCGTCGATACGGTATCCCCCTCTGCTCGTACCACTCCCTCGCTGCCCAGAACTCGCGCACATCATCTAGTACCCGTTCCGCAACACCTTTATCCAATATTACGCTCCCCAACGGCCGTTTCCTCCTCGCCTCGCCGAAGGGCGCCCAGCCTGTCCCAGAGGCGGAGAGGACGGGTGTGCGATCTTCCCCTGCCTTGGCGGAGAGGGCGTATGCTTCGCCGAATAAGTCCTCGAAGACGTGGCGGTGCGCGTACAGCGTCGTGAGCGTTAATGTCTCGAAGGGCTCGCCGGTGTTGAGATTCGCGCTCGCCTTCCTCTCCCTATGCACCGCCAGATACGCCCCCCCAAACCGCACAACATGCCGCCCATACCCAGGCTGCAACAAAAACGTCGTAGCCACCTCTCCATTCCCCAGCGGCCGGCGCGCAGTCCTCATGCTAAGATCATGAACCCTCGTCAACGCCGCCGCAACCCTGTTCGTCGGCGGGCGATGCAGCGATAACCAAGCTAGTAACATAGGATACGCATCATCATTCTTCGAAACCTCAAGCGAAACAAGTAATCGTCGTTTCAGCAGCGCGCCGGAGCGGATGGCGACCCGCCTTGCAAGCGTAGCTGCGTAGCCTAGAGATGCGAGACCGAGACCCCCAGCGAAGAGGGGGTTGGAGAAGAGGGTGTCGAGGGGGAGGAAGGAGGAGGAGCCTGCTGTTGCTGCTGCTGCTGCTGTCCCCGAGCCTGCCCCTGGGGGTGTGATAGTCGTCATTTCGTTCGTCGTCGTGAAACTCGCGCCTGGGCGTGGTATATATTTTTTTTTTGGGGACGCCCGTCCCTGGAGCTCGGTGGTTGAAGCTATCTCGATTGGCGGAGCGGAGCGGAGCGGAATCTCTGCCTGGGCGGAAACAGCAATCACGTGATAGATCCCGGATCATCGTTCCCCCACCACCAGCACCTCCCCCAAAATCTTCAGCCTTACGCCAAGATAATCCCTCCGCCAAGACACCGGAACAACAGCCACCCGCGCGCAGCAGGCACGGGGATTTCTATAGCTCCGCTCCCGTGTCTACATATTTCTTTATGCACAGCTGCACGGATCGGATCCTTTGACACGTCGGGATCGACGCGTCTGGACGGCGCAGTGGGTAGTATTTGAATTTACAGTACAGTAAAGGACAGGGTAGGGTAAGGAGGACGGAGATGGGACGAGGCCAAGAGTCCGAACCCCGAGGCATTGCTGGATGGATGGCAGGTGGGTAGGGTGGAAAGGGGAGTGAGGTTTGGCCGTGGAATCTCCATGGAGGTTTGGCCAGAGCTATAGTACCTACCTACCTGGAGACTCCGTGGGATTTGAACACACGCGGGCAGTGGGTGGTGAGGCATTTACCCTCCTCATCATCTGTGCGCGCGCAGTCAGTCTAGGAGGTCGCTGCTGCTGACTGTACCACTACCAGTAAACCGTGTCATCAACACAACCCCCCCTCGCTGTCATTGCCCGCCATCAAGGATGCATGCATCGCATCCAGACTCAAGCATTTTAAGAACGGGATGGGAGGGAACACCCCACTACTTCGAGAGAATCGACCCCTGAACTATATACCCCCCTGGTGCGTGAGCAAGTGAGCGAGCAACCTGAAGGCGCCGATCAAAGCATGACCCAACCTGACCTGACCGCCCCAACCCAGCAGCTCGGCCGACGACGGCGGTTCGGGCCCGACGCGGCGCCGAGGGGGAGCGAGGAGTTCCGGTTTAAGTGCTGATTTGGATAGGGGTGAGTGGGCTATTTGATTACTCGCGCGTGTGTTGGCGCGTGATTGATGAGGGATGGGAAATCGGCACAGCGGTGGGTGGATATAGGAGGGTTGTGGAGTTTTAAGTGAGTGTTTTCGTGGTGGAGTGCGAAGTTTCTGATGGGATGATGGAAATGGAGACATCAGATGGAGACGAAAACGGGTGATAACGGCTGCTTGATGCAAAACTCTAATCCGCACCCATCCATCCACCCAGACCACCCATCCAGACCCAGACAGACAGACCCAACCAGCCAGCCATCTAGACAGGACTCCTGATCGAAAATCGATCGGTGGTCGACGAGCGAGCCGTAACCCGCGCGTGCCGTCTACCGAGTTTCGTCTGTGGTCCGTGGGTGCTTTCCGTGGGGGCGTGATTTTTTTTGCCGTCTCTACTCTCCGCCGGTGTACAGTACAGTACAGTACAGTATACAGTATACAGGTATCATCCATCATGTCACTGTCACTTCCTCTTCCACCCGTAAATAAATCACCTCTCACATTGGATGATTCCAACGCGATGTGATGCCAAAAAACCGGGGAAAGAAGAAAGTGGGAAGTGAGATCGGGAAATGTTCCAATCAAGATGGTGTGGCGCTAGCTATCCACCCATGGGACCAGAACACACATACGCCCTTCGGTCGACCGACGACGGCGGGCGACGAGGGCGGGCGTGGGGCGGGCGTTGCGTGCGCGCTTGGGTGTGTGTGGTGGTTGGTGGTGGTGCCACTGTACTGGTGTGGCATGCTGACTGAGCGGCTTACTGAGGGAGGAGGGACTGAGTCATCGGCGGAGGGGTTGGCTGTGTGAGGCAGTTTGTGCGCGGAGGAGGTGGTTGTGGTTGATTACTCTCCCTCTGCGTGTGGCTAGCTGCACGTGTGTGGGGGAGGGATGGGGATAAAGTGCGCCCTTTGGGGTGAGGCATGGTGCAGTAGTGTTTGTATGCCGTATCTCTGATTACTCGTGGTGACATATCTGCGGTGATTTGCGTGTTGGCCATGCCATGCCATGATTAGTTGGTGGTATACAGTACAATATGTGCCGCGGTAGCATCGACGACGAGGTTAGTTGGTGATGCGACGCCATACCATGGATGTAGCGCAGTGTAAACATCTCGATGCATCTTCTCGATGCATCTTCGCACTTTCCCGTCGTAACTTTCGTACATTTCGTACATTTCGTACTCGCGTGCCATACCGTACACCTTTCCTTTCCCAAACAAACAAACTTTCGTATTCCCGCTGCCGCTGTCCGATTGGGCCTCTGCAGCCAGCATCTCTCCAAAGACGCGGCGCCCAGCCCAGCACAGCAATAATACCAAGCCATCTCTGTCCTCTCCAAACAGTAACGCCGTACGCCGTGCATCTAGTTTCGACCTTCGTACTCGCATCCAATCCCCCTCCCCTTCCACCCTGTCATCACCCCCTACCTCTCTGTACTACCCATCGCCAAGCTTAGCGGCCTCATCATCACTCACGATGACGAAGCAGTCACCCCCCTGCTTACAAGCAAACCCAGTAAGCCGACTAAAACCCACTAGAACCCTCCCGAGCACCACCCCGGCCCACAACCCCACACTGTTGCAAGAAAAAAAAGAGAGTAACAGTACTTCAAACAACCAAAAAAGTATCCACAATCCGTCAACACACCCGCCGCCTCGGACATAGGGTTTTGCGCTTATGGGGGGAGGGGGTTGCCGTAGTTCCGGGGCGGGTGGGCTTGCATAACGTTATGTCTGCATATCTCTGGATAGTTGAGACAGCGGGAAGAAGGTTATCCCTGTTGCCCTAGGATGTGCATGTACCAAGAGTTAAGGAGGGTCTGGACTGGTGGTTGTGGGCTTGGTGGTGGTGGTGGCTGTTGCTGTTGCTGTTGATGTGAGGTTTGGACAGTCAGAGAGTACTGTAGTTGACACACAGGTATACGCGTATAGAGGAGAGGAGGCAGAGACAGAGACGGCGTATAGAGGAGGCAGAGACAGAGACGGCGTACAGAGACAGAGCAGCGTACAGAGTACAAAACACAAAGCATAAAGCACCCCATACCATACCATACACCCATCGTTACGTTACCCAATGCAGGTAACCCTGAAGTGTAAAGTGTAAATAGGAAACAACCCAACTCTGTAGAACGACCACGTGAACACCCATTACACAAGCACAGAAGCACACCCAGTAATGTAGGTAGGGTACAGTAGCCAGCCAGCAAATAAGCCTCGCACACAAACACACAAACCAGCGCAAATATCACACACGCAAACACATATACCTCCGTACAGTACTCTAGATCTTTCAGTTCTCGGTATCCTTAGTAACACACTCAGTCCGGTAACACATGCCCGACCTACTCGGCTCATCCACAATCCACCGAGGACTCGAGTAAAGTGTTATAGTTGGTGTTATAGTCCTATAGTAAGGCGTTGTTGTGCTACTCTGGTTACTCAGTAACCAGCACCGGCACTCGCACGGGTGGGACGGCACTTGGCAGGTGTCTGTTCTGTCGGTCGTCTGGTAGGCGTTGACTAGGCGTCTCCCATGACCCTTATCGTGCGAGAGGAGATACACATATTAGTTATGAAAGTAGTATGTCTGTATATCTGTATATCTGTACGTCTCTCTGTCTGAAATGTCACGGACCACCGAGTACCTGCTCGCATGCTCTCTAACTGGCAGTACGTCCATATATCCATCTCCCTACCTGCATGCATGCACGCTCTACAGCATATCCCCCCTTCCCACATACATCCCACTCTACAGTACCTATGTGTGCATATGTAAGTGTCCATAATCAGTAATAAGCGAGGAGAAAGAAAGGGAAGCGGCTATCACTGCAGCCGGTTCAGGCATATATTGGTGTGTGAGTAATCAGGCGCAAGTGTGCTTGCCTATGCGCGCCAAGAAATTAACGGGCGGGCGTTGGTAAGTAAGTGGATGTGGAGTGTGGGTGTGGGATGACGAGGTGGGGAAGAGAAGAGAGAAAGAGAGAAAACCTTGATGGGCTTGATGGGCTTGAAGTCTTGGTGGTGGAGGTGGTGGAGGTGGTGGGATTACTGTATTGGGAGAGAGAGAAGGGAAGGGAGTGAGGGAGGGTACTTGTGTTGCCTGGTTGGATTGGGTGGAGGGGGTTGTACTGTTCATGGAGTGCTACGATGGACGACTTTCTTTACTATGGATATTGTATGGGATACTCTACTACTCTACTACTTATTATACTGTACGGTGTACGTCACACGCCCATGAAACACTGCAGACTGACAGGTCTTCATCGCACAGCACAGAGTACAACAGACACCACAGAGAAACATGCAGAAGCACACATATACCACAAGATATACATGCACACAGAAACACACACACACTATAAGCATACGCACAAACATCGACACCTCTTGCTCTCTCTCCCTCTCCCCCTCCCTCTCTGTCCCTCGAGCTTAACTCCAGTAATCCATCATCCACCAAGTACCAAATACCCTCCCATCCAAACCCAGCCAAGGTACCAAGATCCCAATCCCCCCCCATGTCCTCTTTAGCGCCCAGTGCCATGGACAATCTTGGTAGAAAAAAAAGTACACGATTACGGTATTATCGAGTACTGTAGCATAGCATTAAAGCCACTCGGACTTTCCCTAATCCCGAGATCCACGCCAAGACCGCCCAAGAACCACCAACTAATAGTCAAATCAATCCCGGAGATCGGTTGTCATCGAGAGTCCGACCCGCCGGCCGCCCCATGAGGAGGGAAGCTAAGAGCACTAAGGGGACTAGGGGGAGCTAGGCATTGGATTACAGTACTCTCTCTTTTCTTTTCTCCAATTATCGATCAAAGGATGGAGAGATGGAATCTCCGACTACCTCGTCGTTCCCACCATTTTGTTTTGGGGGTTGCTTCTTGGGTGAGATCTTGGGTTTTTGGCTGCGGACTGTTCATATCAACTCATACTGCTCACATCACTCTTGCGACTCATAATACCTTTCTCGGTGGACGGGTAGGGGAGGGGGTTTTATGTGTTTATGTGTGTTTTGTACAATTACACTATACTCCCCAGTTGTACTCTCTACTCTACTCTACTACTATACTCCATGTACACCTCTCTGTCTCTCCCACAGACACCACACACCCAGCCCTGTACTATCTTACATTGTGATTGTGCTTGTCTGCTGTCTGTACTATCCTCATTACGCCCTGTTCTGTTCTGTACTATCCTCTCCTCTATCCTGTACCATCCTCTCCTCTGCCCTATCCTATCCCCGTCTTCTCCAATTCCGTGTCAGCGGCGTGCGAGAGAGAAAACCAGACAACAAGACGGAATGGACAATTGGTCGCCGGGATGCTAATCCCCATCTCATCATCATCCCTCTCGCTCTCTCCAACCACACAGAGCCATCATCCACCAGCCACCAGCCACCACCCATACAGAACCAAAACATCAATCTCACTCACTCTCACAAGTACTTCCCCTTCCCGTCATCTACTCGCCGAAAGTCACTCTCTCCCTTCCCTCTCTTATTAAGGCTTACATAGCCCTCCTCCTTACGTATACCTCTTCCAATAACTCCCCCAAATACACTCAATAATACCCATAAAACAATCCCCAAATAGCCCTGCATATACCATACCATACCATACCTTCTTCCATCATACCCCCCTCCTGACACCCATCATCACCCTTATACCCGTTCCTACTTTTCCCTAATTCCTTCCCTTCTTCTTCCTTCCCCTTCCCTCGCATCTTTCCCAATACAGTACTATACCGGACCGGTGCCCTTCTTTGGCAATAATCCTTACATACGCATATACATACTATAACCCTCTAGTTGACTCTACATACTCTACATACGCACGCACGCACACACCCCTACCTGCCTACATAACAACATAACCATACTATACCCACTCACACTCACATCGGACTCGGACTTAACCTCACATCCCCCACGGACATCGTCGCTCTCGGCGCATATCATATCATAACTCCACCACCGCCGTCAATCCTGCATTCTCTCATCCAGCCACCTGATCACCGCCGTCCCATCAATCTCACCTACTACCACCACCACTACACCACACTACCACCCCACTCAATCCCTTCTCCCTCAATCGCGCCAAAATCCCTCTATTCAAAAAAAATACAGCACAAACAACTCACAACTCCCAATACACACAAAACCCTGGCACCAAGCGTGCCGTCCACCCACCCACCACCACATCAACATCCCGCTTATAAATCCACACCAAACCGCACCTAAACTCCACCACCGACCGACCGACCGACCGCCCCTCCAAACCCACGTTTTCCCTACCGCTCGCCGACCCGCTGTTATTCTTCTCCCTGGAACGACACTAACCTAACCACCACTACACTTTCGGCGCGGCGTACTGATTTATCATCCCCCCCCCGACCCCCGGCTCGCTCGAGAGGGTACATCCGGCGGTACATACTTTTTTATACAAGGTGTGGTCCGGAGGTACGAGGTACCTTACTCATCGATAATAATACTGGACCTTTGGATTCTTGTGGCTGGCTTTTTTTATATAGCAGTCATACCCCCACCACTCTGAGGGGTCTTAATACTTTCTAATACCTTTTGGAAGTTTTGGATATTTGGATTTATCTTTTTGAAGGAAGGATATTATTTTTTTGAGGAAAGGAGGTATTTACGCGGCTTTGCATATATTACGGTTTAAGAAAAGGAGCTTCGAACTGAGAAGGGGCATATATTATTGTACGGCAGGAAGGTTATAATAATTCGAAACGCCACCAAAACGGAGACGGGACAAAACACATATTGGACAACAAGTTTGGACATTCAAGATATTGGAGAAAACAAATCACACAACGCTGATAACTCCGAACACCATACCGCCCCCACGAACACCCAACCAGGACAAGTCCTACACATCAACAGTCGTGGCCGGACCAACACCACCCCATTACGGGAATTCCGAGGGGGAAACAGACGAGAATAACCACTATTCTCACATTCCACCCATATAAACCACAACAACGACCTGGTCACAACCCACGTCCCACAATCGATTTAAATCACACAAACATACGCATAAGCATAAGCAAAAATGCCACCACCACACCCACCATCACTCCCCTCGCCGCCGTCGACGGATAACGATGTCACGCATAAGAAAGCGGCTAAGCGGACGAAGAGCTCCAAGCCTGGACCGAGGGGGGCGAAGAGGGTGACTGCCGCTGCGGCGCCGAGTGGGAGTCGCAGTCCGGAGATGGGAGATGGGAGGCATAAGCGTGTATGGAAGGCATGCGAGAGGTGTAGGATGAAGAAGACGAAGGTTAGTTTTGTTCATTCCCCCCAAAAACCAATTAAAGAGAGAATCCATGCTAACTTGTATTTTCCCCACAGTGCGACGGCGAATCCCCCTGCAAACGCTGCCGCGACGACGGCCTCGTCTGCACAGCCGGCCACAGGAAGAAGGCGGAATTCAAACAGCTCCCCCGCGGCTACGCAGAGGTCCTCGAAAACACCCAGTACGCCCTCATCGCCACAGTCCACAAGCTCTACGCCATGGTCCTCGCAGGCGAACAATGGACCCTCGACCCCCCCGTCGTCAACGCACGCGGGCAACCCGTCATCCACGACATCGCCGCCAAGCTCGGGTGTATTAGAGCTGATCCGTCGAGTTCCACCAGCGGCGGCGCCATCGAGTTCCCGGCTGATGCGGCGGAGTTCGCGGCGCTGCAGAGGAGGTTGGAGAGTGAAGAGCGCGCTAGCTCCGGGGAGATGGGCGTCCTGAGCGCGGTGACGGGGCCGGAGAGTCAGTTCGGGGATGATTCGTTCTGTGAGGATTTTGATCCGGGGTTTGAGATGGAGGATGATTTCCCCGACGTTGACGGAACGGGATACGGCGACATGTCGCCTTTCTCTGATGGACCGGGGGGCTTTGGGATGGATGGGCTGCAGAGCCTCCAACAGGGGGGGTATGAGGAGTTCATCCCCGCATCCTCATCATCGCCCGCTCTCCCCACTGCTGCGGTGGCGGGGGGACAGATGCAATTACCAACACAATTGCAGTTGACGCCGCAACAACAGCAACAACAACAAGCAGCCCTCCGAGCCCAACAGGCGCGCCAGATGCAGATCCTCCAACAACAACAGCAGCAGCAGCAACAACAACAGCAACAACAACAAGCTGGTCTCGATTTCAGGGAACAACAACAACTGCCGCAATGGACCGGGCCCGCAGCGATGGAGGAGCAGATGCGAGCCCTGATGCGGAGTGGGATGTACGCAGGCCCTGGGTCGGGGATGGTGGGGATGGGTGCTATGGGGGGGGATGGCACGATAAGACCGAATCTTTTGGAGTGTGGGTTTGGGGCGGGGGGGTATTGACAATGAAGGATGATCTTGTCTGGAGTGGAGGAGGGAGGGAAAGGGGGGAAGGGGGGTGTATGAATATACTATCGATCACTCAGCTCAGCTGTTTTCTTATCTTTTTGGGGTTCGGGAGGGCGGCGCGCGGTGAGGATGGGAGGCGGCATGGAATTCGTCGTTTTTGGGATGGGCGTTAGGGTAGATTGGTTGCTATGGCTGCTGTGTGGCTTTTTGGGATGGTGGCGTTTTGGTGGAGGGTCTGGGTTTCTTTTTAGGAGAACGGGAGAACGGGTGGGTGGGAGTAATGACGATGATGAAATGATTTGGGGGATGGGGTAGATATTGAAAGGCTGGTGGCCGGCTGAGAGAGTGGAATATAGAAATCTCGTTCAAATAACTCTCGCTCTTATAATTATGAAGTGTTGTTTGTATCCTCGGCGTAATATGTCAGCGTTATATGGTAACCTTGTAGCGCAACCGACGACGAGGCTGATCCGAGGCTATTCCAACAAGGCTACACCCCCCGCTCTAGTAGAGCCTTGGTTAGCCCCACTATAAATAGATTCCGAACTTCAGACCTCCAATCTTCTAACAACAACTGCATTTTGAAGAGTTATTGCGTAGATACAGATGAAAGTATATAACTAGGAGACGGGCCTGTACCATGGGATATTCTAGTCTAGTCTATGCTAGGAATTATAGGCTTTCGTAGGCACAGCCTCGTGGTGTCTCGTTGTGCCTTAGGCAGATATATTCTCTCGTCAACCTCGACTCCATAAACAAAGTGCAGAGGTAACGACACCAGAACCTCATGTAGATCTTACAAACGCGTTTTTTTACCCAACTACCCTGATCTACCACCAGACTTATCAATCATCATGTCAACTTCTATAAACCCGAAAGTAACCGCGCCAGCGTCCTCCGGCATGCGCCAGAGGACCTGCACTCGCGTATCCTGCGCTTCCCCTCAACCAGGGATCAAATGTTGCGACGGTGAACCAACCCAGCCGCCTCCCTCTGATTTCCCCCAAAACCCCCCAACTAACTCCAGCAGACACCTGCATTGTCAAAATCGCCCGTCAAGACTGCAACAGCGACCCAAACCACCGGCAGCAGCAAAACAACGCGAGAACCCCCAGCGCTGTTCATGGCGGCTCGTCCATCCCGTCTCGATCCGACGAGGAACCATGCGAAAGCCACTACCTCAAGGCCAAAGCGGCGTATAGCGGGATACTAGAAAACATCGGCTGTATCTGCAAGGTACTGCTCTCCTTGAACCTTGATGCGTGCTGCGTCGCCCTGCCGACCCCGCCTCTCCGCCCGAAGCGCTCGACCGTGTCGACGAGCGAAGGCTTCTTGGCGGAGGTGAGTAGGGCTTCGAGCGCCCGTTCGCTCTGCAAGCCGCAGGAGGGCACTGGTTGTAGCAAGAAGGCCTGCTGCTCTGATGCGTCTTCGACCCAGTCGAAGCAGAGCGCCTTGCTGGGGGGGAAATGCACGGATGCTGGTGAGAATGGTTGTTGTGGCGATGCGTCTTCGACCTGCTCGAAGCAGAGTGAGATGCTGGGCGCGAAATGCGCTGATTCTGGTGAGAATGGCTGTTGTGGCGATGCGTCTTCAACCCACTCAAAGCAAAGCGCAATGCTGGGGGCGAAATGCGCTGATGCTGGTGGGAATGGCTGTTGTGGCGGTGAGCCTTTGAGAACTAGCATCGACCAGTATGCTAGAACTTCAGGTGTCGAAATTAACGGTGGCTACAAGACGGGCTGTGGCACTGGGACCGCTTATACGGTGGCTCGTGATGATGACCTCAAAGATGGCTGTTGCAGTCGTGAGAAACGCATCGACAGCTCCAGCTCTAGTAACCTAGACTTTGCTACCCTTCCACCGAAGCTCGAAGATTGCTCTAAGAAGGAGTGCTGTTCTGATAAACCTTCAGCACCTACTGCTAGACAAACTATCACTGAAGTCTCTTGCAAACCAGTGGTCAGTGGTTGTGCTAATGGTAGCGGAAATGTAGATGCTATATTAGACAGCTGCTGCACTAGCGACACACCAGGAAGAGTAGCAGGCGGTAAGGGGATCAGTTACACTCGACCCGGAACTAATGATTCCGACCTAGAAAAGGGTGAGTTGCCCGTTGAGCATGTGTTGCTAAGTGTTCAAGGTATGACTTGCACTGGGTGTGAGAAGCTCCTCTACAGATCGCTAGATACGATCCCCGAAATCTCGAACGTCAAGACCAGTCTCCTCTTAGCCCAAGCAGAGTTCGACCTCAGACTGTCCTCCGCTGCCATGGACACTCCAAGCACCATCAAGGCCATTGAGAAGATGACTGGCTTCACCTGCACAAAGATGACACAGTCTGGACACGTGCTTGATTTAATCGTAGACGGCCTCGCATCAGACTTTGCTACGAAAGACCTGCCTTCTGGAGTTTCCGACATTGTCGTCCTCGACACACACCATATCCGCGTAACCTACCAGCCTAACATCGTTGGTGCCAGGGACCTGATGTCAGATCCATTCTTTCAGTCGGCAAAGCTCGCGCCAGTCGCAGATCGTCCTCTGATCGCTTCTGGCAGAGCTCATGTCCGCCTAATGCTCTTTAAAACGATTGTATCAGCGGTGTTAACTATCCCTGTTCTTGTTATGGCTTGGGCTCCCATTCCGCAGCACGAGGTCATTTACGGAGCAGTCTCGTTGGTTCTCGCTACTATTGTTCAGGTTTACATTGCAGGGCCCTGGTATATTGGTGCTTTTAATGCCTTGGTCTTCTCGCGCTTGATCGAAATGGACCTACTCGTCGTCTTAAGCACTACTACAGCCTACATCTACTCAATCATCGCATATGCCTTTCTCGTCTCTAAGAAGCCCCTATCGACAGGAAGCTTCTTCGAGACGAGCACTCTGCTTGTCACCCTCATCATGGTTGGACGTCTTGTTAGTGGCTTTGCACGTCAGCGAGCAGTAGAGTCAATATCTATTGAGTCACTCCAGTCATCGACTGCAATCCTTATAGATCCCAAGACTCACGAAGAGCAAGAAATCGACGCACGTCTCCTTCAGTATCAAGACATCTTCAAGGCCTTACTTGATACGTCAATCGTTACTGATGGCACCGTCATCGCTGGTACATCAGAAGTCGACGAATCTATGATCACAGGCGAGGCCACACTGGTTGTTAAAAAACCCGGCTCTCCGGTCGTTGCCGGCTCGATCAACCACTCTGGCACCCTGACAATTCGGCTTACACGTCTCCCTGGCGAAAACACCATCAAAGCCATCGGGCTAATGGTAGACGAGGCGAAATCATCGAAAACTAAGATCCAGGAAATCGCCGACCATGTAGCGGCCTACTTCATCCCTGCCATTCTCATTGTTACCGTTCTGGTATTTGTAGTCTGGGTTGCTGTTGGCAAGGTCGTTCGTGGTTATGATGCCACTACCGCCTGCATTAATGCCATGACATACGCAATCTCGGCTCTCATCGTTTCTTGTCCTTGCGCAATCGGCCTCGCGGTTCCAATGGTGCTTGTGGTCGCAGGAGGTGTCGCGGCTAAGCATGGCTTGATCTTCAAAACCGCAGAGACGATTGAGATAGCCCGGAACCTTTCCCATGTCATCTTTGACAAGACAGGTACACTCACACAGGGCTTACTTACAGTCGAGGCTGAGATATACCCGACTAGGCAGGGCGACATACTAGGTCCAATGCTTCTTGCCCTGACGAACAACAGCAAGCATCCTGTGTCAACCGCTATCGCGACTCACCTAAAGACTTCTGGAGTCCAGTCTGGGAAGGTCGAGGGTGTTGTCTCTATTGCCGGGAGTGGCATAGAAGCAACTTGGAACGGAAGTATCATTCGTGCCGGCAATCCGTACTGGCTAGGCATCGAAGACTTACCAGCCATCAAAGAAACTCTCCTACTCGGCGTTAGTATGTTTTGTGTCTTGGTAAACGGAGAGCTCGTTGCAATCTTTGGTCTCAAGGATCTCCTTCGCCCAGATGCTCTTCTAGTCGTCAATGAGCTGAAGAAACGATCAGTCAAAGTCTCAGTCGTTAGTGGCGATAACGAGGAGTCTGTTAGGTCTATCGCTATGGCCCTCGACGTGCCGGAAAGCCAGATCCGCTTCAGATGCAGCCCCGCGGATAAGCAGGTCTACGTCAAGGAAATGCTTGCCTCTCCAAAGAGTGTTGTAATGTTCTGCGGCGATGGCACGAACGATGCCGTCGCCCTAGCTCAGGCAAGCATCGGTATGCATATCAACGGCGGAACAGACATTGCTCAAGGCGCCGCGGACGCTATCCTCGTTAGACCCACCCTTGTCGGCATTATCACTCTTATGGACCTCTCGGGGGCGTTCTTTCGCCGCGTTGTCTTCAACTTCGCGTGGTCGTTTATCTACAATACTTTTGCGGTTTTGCTCGCTGCTGGGGCGTTTCCTAACGCTCGCATCCCGCCGGAATTCGCTGGCCTTGGTGAGATAGTAAGTGTCTTGCCGGTAATTGCTATTGGCATGCAATTGAAGTGGGCGAAATTTCACGAGTTAATTTGAGTTTTGATTCGACGTACTTTTTTAGCTTATGTCTACCATCTCAACATGCCTAGTCTATTAATAGCATTCAACATGACTGTATTTCGAACGTATGACTAAATGAATTAACTGCCTAATGTGCTTATATCTTTCTCATTTGTATACTCTAGAGAATATGATACTAGTCGTACTGGAGAAAAAAAGGACGCTAACTATGTTTAAGACAAGGCTACATATAGCCCATTTTCGGATTGTGTACCACTTGTAATGGTGTTAGCTCACCCATGAACTCGGCTACACAAACCCCAACTCATAGACCTCGGCATTGCCCCCATCGTACGTAGCCGATTACCCCAGATGGGGTAACTCCCCCTCCTCATCCACAGCAGCCCCATTTATATGGGCTTATTTATATAACGTATATAGCTCCCCAGCTCCCCCGAACTTCTTTCAATTTCCAATTGCACATTACTACCTACTACCCATTTAACGAATCTTTCTTATATAACGCCGCCATCATGAGCAACGCAAACCCCGGAGCTGGCTTCGAGTACCCCGCCGTCGAGGTGTCATGGCTTAAGCGCGACGTCCTCCTCTTCGCAACCAGCATCGGCTGCACAGTCGATGAGCTGCAGTTTCTCTACGTACGTTCTCCCTCTCCCAATTCCAATCCCACATCACTAACGCCTCCCCAGGAACTCCACCCCAAATTCGCCGTCTTCCCAACCTACCCAATCCTCCTCCGTAAGCCTCCCCTTCCTCCCCACCCCCCTCATCCACCCAACTCCAACTAATACCCCACACAGCATTCAAAAACACCACCCAAGAGGTAATCGACTTCTACGCCTCCCAAGCGCAAACCCCCATCCCCGGCATCCCCAAAATGGACGCCCGCCGCGTCCTGGACGGCCAGCGCTCCATGACCTTCCTCAAGCCCCTCCCGCCTACCTCGGCAGGCAAGAAATTCGAGATCCGCGCCAAGGTCCTGGGCGTGTACGACAAGGGGAAGGCTGGGACTGTCGTCGAGACGCAGCAGGATCTCGTGGATGCGGGGACGGGAGAGGTGTATACGACAGCTGTTGGGTCGGGATTCTACGTCGGACAAGGCAACTGGGGCGGCCCCAAGGGCCCAGCGACTGTCAACTTCCCACCCCCAGACCGCGCACCAGACGCAATCCTCGAGCACCAAACCACCGCCGAATCCGCACACCTCTACCGTCTTAACGGAGACTATAACCCCCTCCACGCGACCCCCGAGCCAGGAAAGGCAATGGGTTTCGGCGGCGCTATCATGCACGGGCTTTCGAGCTGGAATTTCACGGCGAGAGATATTCTGAGGAGGTTTGGGGGGAGCCAGCCGGAGAATCTGAGGGAGTTTCAGGCGAGGTTTGCGAGCCCGGTTTTGCCGGGGAATAAGCTTGTGACGAAGGCGTGGAGGACGGGGGAGGTGAAGGGGGGGTTTGAGGAGATTAGGTTCGTGACGCAGGTTGAGGGGGGGAAGGTGTGTTTGAGTAATGGACGCGCGCTGGTGAGGATTGTTGATGGGAAGGCTGGGAGTAAGTTGTAAATTGCGGGGTGTGTAGTGTAGGCTGAATAGATTAAGATGAATTCAAGATGTTCTTGTAATGTTATTCGTTTTTAGTCCCAATGGGCGTGGTTTTACATGGGAAGACAATCTAAATATCGTGAAAAGCCTTGCCATCAACCTCCTGTTCTGGGATCACCGCGAGGCTTGGAGACGGCGATCTCAAACTCCATTTAGACCATTCAATCCGTGCTATATTTATAAGTATCGATATTGTACACTCATGTTATGCGCATAAGGTAGGTACTATACACTCCAGACAAGCTGGAGTTCCGTAAGGAGCGTGTCGATGCAGCGGCCACATTCTAGAACAGGTCAGGAGAAGTCAACGAATGTGAAGCTCACCGAGGCAGGCTTTAATTACACTACTTACTGTCACCGGAGCCGTACCACCACCCCCTCTCGCTGTCACAGCACCACCTACCACCGCGGCATTGCCATCACCGCAGCCTTTCCACCACCAACCCCTATCCTGTCATATCATTCCAAAATGTGCAATGCCCCCGAGCAATTCCAAAACACACATACTTTCCAAAAAATACAACACTCCTTTATTACAGCACATCATCAATACGCAGTGAGGGGGCTAGAGAAATGTCTTGGCTTCTGCGTATTCCACTCCCGCAGCTATATATATATGTTGGTTGAGTCGCTCCATTTTCGAGCACGCAAGTGAGGCAAAAGGGAGGGAAGCGCCAAATCCCACCAGCCGCATAATTATTCTGGCTGCCACTACTTCAGTCGCGCCTTCCCTGATTCCATGGCTCGTTTCTTCCCTCCTAATCTTTCTGTGGGTCGCGCTTTCCTTTTCTTTTACCTCGCTCTTTCCTATCTCCCCCGATTGCTCTTTCCTGTTTATTTTGATCGCTCCTTCCCGAATCCCAACGGGCCCCATTGCTCCTTCCTTCCCACTCTCTTTCCATGGGTCGCTCTTTCCTCGTCTCTTACCTCGCTCTTTCCTGCTTCCTCTCTCTCGCTCCTTCCTATTTGCCTTCATCGCTCCTTCCTGTTTACCTTGATCGCTCCTTCCCGTTTACCTTGGCCAGTCGTTCTTTCCCGTATCGAATGCGCATGTCTCATAGACCTCAAGCATCAGATTCCTTATTCAGAAGTTTAAGACCTATACTCCAAGCTCCAAGATTTATATTCTGGTATTGAAGAAACAATGGCAATGGGCATAAAACTTTGTAGTTCACAGGTCTTCTGGATGTGGTGAGTACCGTGCGACCTGCTCATATGTGAAGGGCCAAATGACAGCGCAGAGAGTGCGCAGATCCCATTTGTTACGAGCCGAACGAGGGATTATTCGAGGGCAAAGAGGAAGACAGAGGAGGATAAGACTGATGAGGACAATGTCAGGGTGATAATAATGCTAGGGCGAGGAGAAGGAGCGTTGGGTTGTCGGAAGGGTCTCCTTTCAAGAAACAGAACAGGCTTGCGGTGACAAGAACTCTCCACCATATTGGAGACCAACTGTGGGAAACAAACGACAGCAACAGCTCTGTGGTGACAGGAAAATACCCTGGCGCTCGAAACTCTTCCTTTCCGATTGTAATTGCTTTGTCGACTAAATTGAGAATACTTGCAACCTGGCTGCTTGTAAAGGCCCGCTGAGAGAACCCGAAGACGAAGTCGGGCTGCACTATTACCTAAAGAACAGCCCAGTATAGATGGTAGCATATCAAGATCACCTTGGTAGAACATAAAAAAACTTAATGGGGTAGGCAGTGGTCTAAAATAACCCATACGTAGAAAGCGGTCACAAAAATGTTAATGCGCACCCTGGTCACCTTTATTTCGTATCAATTCTTTAAGCTTCTAAGTTCTATTAAGGCTTCAAAAAGTCCGACCCATTAGCTAATCCCGCTGCTTTGTCTAACGTGAAAGTCCTCGCCTTTAACAGCCAAACCAAAAAGCTCGGAACACTCCACCCAAAGAGTACACCAACACCACCTTCCGGCCCCACGGGAACAATCCCCATATCTTTCTCAAACTGCTTGTATTTCTTCTCCTTCAACGTTGCCATTCCTACGGTATCTTCCTTTAGGGATCCGTCTTTCGTTGCAGCCCTGTGTAAATCTGACCAGATAGAATACCCTAAAGCGGGAACTGCCCAAGTGGCGTCCGGGACGGTTCCTTTAGAATACGATGCGGCATCGCCGATTGCGTAAACGCCAGCAGGAGCCTTGGTGCTGCGAAGAGTACCCATGTCCGTTGCGACACGTTTGCTGCCATCGAGCCACGCTGTTGGAAGGAAGCTGGTATTTGGCGCGCCGCCCGTTGCGTCGATAAACATGTCCACAGTTCTGGCAGTGCCGTCGCTTAAAACTACCGACACTTCATCCCCATGGGCCGTATTTGACGATGTGATGCGAACATTATGCAATATTCGCACGTTCAGCGATGCCAGCTGTTGCTCTGCCTTCTTTCCCGGCTTGTCATTCTGAAACCTTGGTAGCAGACGCATACCTCCAGACAGAAGTGTGATATCTTTGTTTCTGTATAGATAGGCTATCTCGCCTGCTGTTTCAACGCCCGAGGGACCGCCTCCGGCGATCAGGATTGTTTTTGCGGAGGGCAGGCTCGTTTTGATGTCTTGAAATGCAGCAAGGGTGACTTTGTGGTCACCGTGCAATGTCCATAGTGGACTGGCCTGTAAAAGTTCTTTGGTTAGTATGCAACTACCGGAGGGAGAAGTAAGTGAGACTCTACGTACACTTGTTGACCCTGTAGCAATTACCAATGAGTCGTATCGAATCAACTGCCTGTCAGACGTCACAACGCTTTTGAGGGACACCGTCTTGGCTGGCCCATCTACTCCCACCGCCTCGCCTTGGATAAAGGTAAACTCGGAAGACTTGTATTCGCTGAAAGCATCAAGGATGGAGGCGAACGGCTTGGCGTTCGCGACTTTCTCCGATACTAAAGCTCGCGGGGCTCCCACATTGAAGAAGGTCTGAGTAGATGGGGATACGAGCGTAACCATGTATTGCGATTTCTCATTCCTCAGCAGAGGCAACACGTGTCGAAGGAGGTAATGTGCTGTGGAAACGCCAGCCCAGTTTCCGCCGAGAATCACTATGTTATGCATATTAATCGGTAGTGTCGGTCGGAGGTTTACCCGCGGAAAATTGAAGTAGTAGGAAAAAGGAAGGGAAACAAGTATCTTGAGGATGTATCTGAAATTTTTAGTCTGCCAAATGTCCAAAACGGAGGAGGGAGGGTGGAGCGACTATATATTGCGAGGACGCAGACTCTGGTGGACGCGCAAGAGCAGCTCTTTACAACTACTGACCCTTCACTCAGGCTTAGAAATACTGTCTGACATTTCTGAAAATTGGTAACTATATAAAAATGGGTTTCAACAAGCCCTTGACACTTGACTATGGTCTGGCACGCTGGATACAAATCCTGGCGGGATGTGGCAGGGCCAATACAGCCACTTAGGGTCGAGCACGGCACCAACAAATAATGGATATAACCTTGAGAAACCTCGTTTTCCTTTCGTTTAGAAAGCATGGGAACGGCTGGTGCCGTTCCTGCATTTCAGCTAAATCTTTAATTGGCCGAGGAGTACAGCTACCAAAACCGACGGTTCCATAGGCGAGCAGCTAACAACACCGCGAATAAGCATCGAGCACGGCACCGTCGCTTTTGCTTCTTTATCGCCACCTTAATAAGTGGATGAACTTTTGCTTTGCACTACTTATCTAGAACGGCACCCGTCGTTCTGAAAAGAGCGCCTTGTTCATTCCGCTGCTCGTATTTCCCAAAAGGCATTGCAATCGTTTACGGCGTAAACGTCATGCCTGCCGCTCCAACTGAGCCAACTGAACTGCTCCATTACCTCCCACAGCACCGAGTTTTAATTTGCAAGGAATGCCAATATGCAATCCAGCCATCGGCTATTTCCCGCCACCTGAAAGAGCTCCACAGGATATATCGCTCTAACCGCCAGAAGTTCATGAAATATGCTGAGGGGCTGGATCTTGCCGACCCGGCATATGTTATTCTTCCAGGACCCAACGAAGGCCCTGTGCCTTTCTTACCCACGATAGGTGGCCTCGCTTGTGTGGTTATCGGATGCCATTATCTCTGTGCCACTGACAAGCGCATGAAGATGCACTGGAGCGCAGAGCATAGTGGGGTTGTAGCGGGCGATACTCAGTGCTATCTGGTTAAATTACAGACGTTCTTTCGAGGCAACCAGCTGAGATACTTTATAGTACGCCATTCGCGTACAGCCCAGTCCCAGCCAGAACGACACTCAGTTGTCGGCAGCAAGACCACCACTTCTGGAATCAGCACACTAGACACGTCGTTGAGCTGCGAATCTCCCGTGGCCATTCCTGAAGACTCCAGGCTCCTCGAGCATTTTCAGAGCTCCACGTGCTTCGAACTTGGAGATAGTGCAATTAATATATCCTGTTGGCAGTCGGATGTCCCAGAACTAGCAGCCAAATACGCCTTTTTACAACATGGCATTATAGCTTGCGCAGCACTGCATTTCGCATTTCTTAACCCCTCCGAAGGGCAACGGTACCAGCTAATAGCAGCACATCACCAGAACATAGCGTTACCAGAATTCCGCTCTGAAATAAAGGACGCAAACATTAACAACTACCTTGCGCTGCTGGCATTTACGCAGCTCCTCATCATACACTGCTTTGCCGCGGATAAGCACGATGAGGACCTCCTACTCGTACAAGGGCGGGACGACCAGTCTCTCCCAGACTGGCTGCATGTTATCCGTGGCAGTTGTGACATCTTTAAGCCAGTATCGCAATATGTCGCAAGCTTACCCAATGTAGCTGCGATGATGGAACTCGATCTCCGAGACCGAAGCCCCGAGAGGTCAGATTATGATAGACGTCTCCGCGGACTCTTCGATTTAATCAATTCTAACATGGCGCAAAACATAGAGAACGTCGAGGGCAGTTTCTCCCATTTACTATCGACTCTGCGTCTTCTCTCCAGGGCGTTTACAAAGGCACAGGTGGCCCAGTCGCGAAACACCTACTCACTGTGGGTTGCACTACATGTATGGCCGGTGCGAGTTTCACAGGAATATTTGAATCTTTTGAAACAGAGGCATCCGATCGCGCTTATTTTGCTAGCACATTATTGCATATTGCTTCTACCGCTAAAGGTAAACTGGTACATGAGTAGCTATAGTAGGAGATTGATAACTCGTATTTATGGCCAGTTGGATGAAGAATGGCGACCATGGTTGCAGTGGCCGTTGGAGGAAATTGAACTGCAGTGTGGCTGAGTGCGTGTAGGATTAAGACGATTATACCCTTTATGCAGGAGGAGAATGAGAGTAGTGGGTGATGAGAAAAGGCTATGAGAATGGGACGGTGCTGCTTGCGATTCGATTGTGAGTATATGGCGGCGTTGTGATCTTAGGAAGCATGCAGTTTATCCTACAGCGCGTGGTTAAGAGTACGTATAGGAACGTATAGGAATTTTCGATCCGTCGTTGTGATGTTCGATATGTTAGTGAATCACATACTTTTAGATTTCTAGCAGATAGCTAGCTTCCCAGTTGCCGGCGTACTCGAGACCCATACCTGTCACTTATTGACAAAGCAATGCCATTAGTCGGTGCGATCTGGCCTTATCAACCAAGTCTCAGTGGGGTTGTACTGTATGCACATCTATGCTACTTTGAAAACACCAAAACTGTGCCATGGAGTGAATTGCTATCAAACTATCAAAAGCTCCTAAGTTCTAGCAAGCGGTATGTCCCTATCGATTGCCAATGACGATCGATGACCAATGTTGCTCCTGTCATGAAGTTACTCGCATCACTTAACATAAAAAGACCCGCGCCCCTAAATTCTTCAGGCTTAGAAAGCCTTCCGAGCATAACTTACTATATAGTACACACTACTATATAGTAAAACTACTTGTACTCAATGAATTCCATGCTGGGGCGTTGAGAATCCCCTTCGGAACACACACTTTCTTGTGAATCTTCTAGTCTGCCTTCTGATGCTCCCCCCCGTAGAATGCTACTACACGCCATGTATTACATCGCCTGATTACTAAAATTATGGAGGTTACAGCTAGGTTTCTCTGGTTCACTGAGCTGAGGTAGGGACCTAATCACTCCACGTAAGAGGAGGAGATGATTCAAATAGACACATGACTAGTGTCATTCGAGACGACTTTGCACTCTTCAACCACATCGCAGGCTATCTAGGAGGCGCAATTATTTGTATTTTTCTTCCTTTCATCTATTAACAATAACTCCTCTAGCTAAGCATGACTACTTTAAACAATAAACATATATAGTTATAATCACGTGGTTTTAAGTGTTTTTGCTAAATAACCACTCTATTATTGCCTTTTTTATGGGACTATAGCTAGTTAATTACTACAGCTTTTCTCCTTAAAGACTAAAGGCTTTATATAAGCTATAGGCTAGCACTCTTATAATAACATAAGTAAAATTACATCTAGGTCATTTTACACTAACTAAAAATCGTTAGTTACGTTAGCTTAAGGTATTAATTTTGTAGTAACCATGTATAAATTTACACTATATAGCTGCTATAAGGCTAATAACAATCTCCCTTATTATAGTAGGGCTTTAAAGCTTAGATAGGACTCTCTTATAAGTATTTAGAGTAATAAGAGCTTATAGTAGTACTATAGGCTAAGGGGTTCTATTATACTATGTATTAAATGAGGGGTCGTTCCTAGCGCCTAATTTCTTATAGCTAGAGAGTAGCTAATAACAAATTAGATGGGCCTATAAGTACCTATCTATTTCATAAATAGAATACGCACTACTTCTTAGTGTATTTAAGGGGGGAAATGGGATTAAGGGGTCTGAGCTTAGGGGACTCTTATTTGAAGATACTTAGTAGATGAATGCTAATGTAAAGATGGTATCGTGAGGGAACCTCATGGCATTTGCAGATAGCTAGCATAAGTCCGGCGACCTAAATGCAACGCTTAATAGCATTCTATAGTGTGATATCTATAACGCGAGGACAGATAAGATCGACTAACTACGTCCTCTAATGCTTAACCGCCAACCTGGCGTGCTCTTCCCCGTGCTATCAAATTGTTATGCCTCTTAATGTCTTCTATTAGACAGCAGCAGAAATATTCATCTCAGTATTCTTAGGAGATAATGCCTCGGCGCCTAGTCCTCGCACTACTGATTGCGACAGTAAGTCGCTGAATTTCTGCCTCGATGCTTGTCCCCCGAATTCCGCACGCCCGAGCTTTCAATTGCAAACCATGATATTTTCTCGGACTCTTATGAGACCCCGCCTAGCTCCATCCGTAGTTCAGACAGTCCAAGTGAGTAGGAGCAATTTCCTCACTTTTGGGACCGTCTTCGGACCGTACCAAATTTATGTGGCGCGCCGGTAAGGTAGTCCTCGAAGATGGGCCCACAGATGGGCGGGGGTAATACATGAACTGTTTGTTGAACGCATCGCACCCTTCCGTCTTCCCATATTGTCACTGTCAAAGATGCTTCTGAAGACATAAAAAAAAAACACCAGACTAAAATCTGTAAATTCCACCTACACTACCTATCCTATATCGCCAAATCCAAATACCCCCTATCCCATCCCTCCTTAACCCCCCTCTAATTCCCCCTCTCCGCAAAACTCGCCACCATCCCCTCCAAACTCGTCTCCTGCACCTTAATCGCCACCTCCCCATCCTCTCCCAGCTCCGTATTAGCCTGCACAAACACCTTCCTCGGCTGCTTCTGCTTGATCACCTGTCCCCTAACCTTCTCCGCCCAGAACCCCTCCTCCACCCTCGTCATCCTCTCATACAACTCCGTCCCCGCCACCACATCGGCGGTGGACTTGAAGATGTGCAGTTTCAGCAGGTACTCCTCCACCGCCTTACGCCCTACAGTCAGGATCTTAGAGCGATCAATCTTAACCGCCAAATCACTCATATCTCCACCCTCCTTATACGCAAGCTCGCAGAACCCATCACCAGCTTCAAGGAAGCACTTAAGGATGCTGAAACGCGCCTGACTATGCGCCTGACCCCACTTCCTGCTCTTAGGATCCCACATCTCCAACGACGCGATGCCCGCACGCGCCATGCTGAGGTAGCTCACGTATAGCACGTCACCGGCCTCACCATCCATGTCCACCTCCCCACTGCCGAATCCAAACACTTTAAGCACGCTAAACTCGCACCCCAAAGCCATCGCCACGCACTCCGCGCGACACTCCTCGTAACTCGACGCGATCGCCCCGAAGACCCCGCCGAAGGTGGCGCCGGGCTTGTAGTAGCTCTCGATTGCCTTCCCGGTGATAGGCGACACAGGCGGGTTCGCGCGGTCAAAGTTAAACTGCCCCGGCGCAGTCTCCTGGAGGAGTTTCCCGGTTCCGTGACCGAGGAGCTCATGCACGCCAACTTGCACCTCAAACGCCTGTCCACGGTATTTCTCGTACAGCGCCAGGTCTTCCGGGCGGATGAAGGGGATCTTCTCGTGCGGTGCAACGGCACTGAGGACGTTACCTAATGAGACGTTTTTGAATCCCTCGGTTTGTCGGATGTCGTCATAGTTGGGAATGTTGATACCCGCTGGGATACCGGAGGATGCAAAGGCGAGGACCTCGAGACTCGTGAAGTCGGGGCTGAGGAAGGTGTCTTTCTCGAATGTAGGACCCCACGGGAGTTTAGGGATTTCCGTCTCAGCGCTGGCGACTAGCCCCGTGAAGGCGGCGGTGCGCTCAAGGTTCACCGTCGCTGCGAAACCTTCCCACTCACCACGCACGCCGTGGGGGTCACGGTACGTCTCCACGAACCCAACATCACTCTCAACCATCGGCCCCTTATCGCGGATCCAAAACCTCTGCGAATCTTTAAACGCCAGCAGCGAGCCGGTCTCAAACGACTTAACATACGCAAGCTGCATCAGCTTCTGATTCTCATTCTCCGCCTCCTCAGCCGCCTTAGCATGCCACCCCGCAATGGCAGCCATCTCCTTCGCATGGTCGCCATACACGAGTTTAATCGTCTTCCCTTCCAGTAGCCCCTCCTTAACCACAAACTGCGTCTCCTTCCCGATATCCCCACCCTCAGCAGGGACCTCCGTAACAGCCGACGCGATCAAGATCTCAAACTCCCCCGCCTCATTCTTCCTCAACCGCGTATTCTCAGGCAGTAACCCCACACCAACCATCCACGCACTCACCGCCTCAATCTCCACCTTCGTAATCGAAGGACTATCGGGATAATAAGTTGTCATATGCCCCTCCTCCGTAAAGCCAAGGTGCATCAAATCCTGCCTCTCCGTCGCAAAGATCCCCCCCCTCGTCGCCTCATAATGCTTCTTAGCCGTCTCATCCTGCGCCGCTAGCTTCGCAAACGCCTCCTCCGGCGCCCGGGGGATGAACTTCGCGTCCCCGAATCCCTTGTAGTTCCCGCTATTCCCGAGGAACTGCGCGGCGTACTCGAGGAAGTACTGGAGGTCTTGGGCGCTCACTCCGGCCTTGGTGGCGTACGCGGACCAGTCGCCAGCGCTGGCGCGGTAGAGAGAGAGGATGAAGTCGTAGATGGATTCGCTTTCGGGGGAGACTTGGCGGAGGATGATGCGTGTGCCTGCGAAGGAGGCCCTGGGGGGTGAGGGAGGTTAGCCGGGTTGCGGTGGTGAGGGCGGGAAGGAGTGGAAGAGGGAGGAAGACGAACTTGGAGATATAATGAGCATATCTCTTCTGCCTCGCCGTCAAAGCCTCAAAATGCTTCTTAATCTCCAACGGCACAACCGTCGGCGGCGAGTCCGCCAGATAATTCGCCAGCTCGGCTGCGTCCATCGTGTCGATATGATTCTGGCGTGTCTGTTGTATGCTAAGAGCAAGCAGCGTCGTTCGCGGCCGTAATCGTCGTAATGATGATGTGGTATTTATATTCGTAGAGTAATAATACTTCCTTGTATCCAAACTGGAGTTGTTGCTGTGCTGATAGACGAAGCTCCTCGACAGAGGGGTAGGCGGGGAACCCAGACCGACGAGCTTACGAAGTGCGAGGCTGACGCGGGGTGTTGCTGTCGCACCACCGCTAAGAGTGCGGGGCAGGGAGGAGCGGTACATTGCCGAAGTGTGGTTTTTATAGGAAGGTGCATGTACTCCTCACCTGCATTTTAGGGAGTGGTTTGGTTGGTTTGGTTGGGGGTAGTACAGGTTGGCTAATGGTGTGGCTAATGGTTAAGGGGCGGTCGGAACCCCTGTGGGCGGCTAGAACAGGATAGTGAAAAATGGCCCGAGATATTGCCAAGAGTTTTTGTTTTTGGAAGGTCCGTAGAAACCGTAGCGTTCAGGCTGTCGACAACAGAACAGGAGAACAGAATATGGGGGAAAAGGTTCAGCGAAAATCATGGATGTCTAGGCTGTCTGTAATAGAAAAGGGAACAAAAAAATGAGAACAGAATATGGGTGAAAAGTTCAACGAAATTCATATCTAATATATAGGTAATATAACAATAACAGTAACCCCCCTTTCTCTCGCTATGCGTCTGTATATCTCCTGACAAAATATCCCATCTAAAACGCCTTTACCCCATGACTAGTATTACACCCCCATCCATCCATCCGCCATACGCACCCACAATGCTTCATTCAACTCCAGGGTATATCCCATTCCGCCCCCCAAACCCTACCCATCATACATCTCTATCTCCACCACACAACCCATTACCTCACCCCGTGCACGTCATAATCCTTTCCATACCCCTTCGACTTGTCCTCGCGCTCCACATGCGGACTCTCCTCCTGCCTCATCAGCCCCTTCATCCCAGAGATGACATCCGCATCCGGATCTTCAGTGTATCCTCCCCTGCTAGGTGCCCTCGACGCCGCGGCGCTAGGCGTCGCATCCCTATCCCCGTGAGGAACCGGCGTCGGCATGTCCTCTAAGATCGGGGCATCGCTCTCATCAGCGTCTTCGTTGATGTTACTGATATCAGCCGTATCGTCCTCCTCGTCGTATTCCTCCCCATCCTCCTCATCGTACTCATCGATCGAGTCGCGGCTGATATAGCTATCCCCCATATCACCCACATCCTCATCCCCATCATCCCCATCGTCATCCCCATCATCCGAGCCCCCCTCATTCCCATCCTCATCTTCATCCTCATCCTCATCCTCCGACGCACTAAAATCCTCCATCTCCATCGGCCTATCGCGCCAATAATTAAAATCCGTAAACTCCTCCCCACCCCCCTTAATCAGCATACTCACCGGCGGAAAGTAGTGATCCACCACCTCCCTCATATTGACATAGCTCAACTTCAACTTATTCAGCGACAGCAGATCCAAGCTCACCTCCGCATAGCTATTAATCGTGAAGATGCGATTACTCGGAATGCTCACGCTGCGGTAGGACAGCGCGTCCGTGAGCCTGTTCCCGAAACCCGCGTAGAACGGCGTCCGCCCATCGCCGTAGAGGTTCTTGATGTCACGCAGACACGCCATCTTGAATACCTCCGGCTTGCGGATGTACAGCTCGCGCCGCAGCGCGGCGATCGTGCGGTCGGGACTCATAATTGTGGGGCCGCGGGGGAGGCGGTACCCGTCTTGCACCACGCCGGCGACGTAGGCGCGCGTGGTGTCGGCGAGTCCGACGGAGCGGGAGGTTAGGTACATGATGTTGTACCCGTTCGCTTCGATCTCCGTGTAGAGCTTTGCAACGCCGATGTGCGTCCAGTCGCGGCCGATCATGTTGAGCACGTGGCCCAGGGCGTCGGACTTGGTGATCGTGCCGTCGATGTCGGAGATGACGATTGGGACATCGTGGCGCCAGAGGTACATGTATGCCGTGCACGTCGCGCGGTTGACCGTGAAGGACATCATGTTGGGACCGGGCTGGAGATTCAGCGCCTTGAGCTGATCGGAGGTCAGGCGCAGGGTCTTGGCGTAGTTCCTGTTCGGGTCGCCGGCGGTGCTAGCTTCTGAGAGGGGAAGGAGCGGGGTTTCGAGGCCGGGGAATTGGTCAGAGTCAGAGCGGAGGCGCATTGCCTTGATCTCGGCCGAGTCGCTGTCGCCTCCGTCGCTGTGGTAGCCGGGGTCGGACGCGACGTCGCTCGTCAGAATGCCAGGGGCAGGACGGATTCCGGCGAGCTGGGCTCGGTGGACAGCTGCTTCCTTTGCCTCTTCGCTGCTGTAGATCCATAGGTTTCCTTGTTCGTCGGCTCCGATGAGCGCTCCGATGTCGTAGTTCCCCTCTAGCTCTTCTGACAGTAGTTTGCGGGCAATAACCTCTGCCCGTAGTGCATCGTCGTCGCTGCTCTTGTATCCCGTCATATCCAGCATCAGATCTCCTGTGTCTGTCACATGCGAGGGGATATTCGACACGGCCAGCTGCTTCGAGAGCGAAATCGCCCGTTCGATCGCCTCGCGTGTAGGCAATGGAGGAGGGCTTTGTGAGCGTTCGGTAAATGTATCGGAGGGCCCATCTTGTCCAGGAGGTGGTACCACAGATCGGCCTTGGCGGTCTACTGGATTAGTCTCTTGATTGCTATATGTCCTTCGCTTCTCGACAAATCTATCGCTGGCGGCGCGCCGTTCGAGAGACAGCCCCGACCAGTCCCCTGATCGCGGCCTCTCGAGTGTGACTTCTGGAGGTCCCGCAAGCTGTCCGTATATATCTGGGGTGATATTAGTACTATTCAACACCCCCAGCAAGACCTGCTCACCTAAGTTGTTCGCGCCCTTCCCGAGAGCCGGAGACTGCAACACTGACGGCGGCGGCCTCTTCCCCTTCTCATCCGTCGTCAGGTCCAGGAAATCCGGCTCCTGCAGCCCAACAACCACAGACCCCTCCGGTTCAAGCGGCGGGCTCGACGTCGGCGACACCAACGGCGACGTCTGCAGCCCCTCGGGGATATCGTTGCTAGTCTCAAAGACGAAGAAGGCCTCGCCCCCATCTCCCAGCTTCATAGCATAGTCCTGCTTCGCGTTGTTCACGCGGAACTCGACCTTCTTCTCCGACGGCCGCAGTAGCGAGAACTTGCCAAATCGCACGTGAAAGGGCGAGCAGGCCAGCGAGCCGTCCTCTCCCTCGACGACGATGACGTCAATTGCGCCGCTGAGAGTGGCTGGGTTGATCGAATTCCATGTCGTCGAGACGGAGCCGCTGATGCTCCGCACGTACTGCATTGTGTGCTGTGGAGGAGGTGATCAGGAGGGTGTGTGTTGGTCGGGAGGAGAGTGGCGTGGGTTGTTGGAGTATGAGGTCGAGCGGTCGTAGGGACCTTTGCTTATGGGTCAGGTCAGAGGTAGTGTGCTGGAGGGTCTGTTGAGCAAGGGTGAGGGCGTCAATGCGTATGTATGCGACGTGTGATTGTGATGGATGTTGGATACAGATGTGGTCTTCGCTTTTTGGTGGGTTTGGAATGTATGCACTCGGACGCTCGGGGGATGAATATTAATTGTTGAGTCTTCTATTATAGTATTGCACCGCTTGAAAGAAAGTAATAAAGCACGCCGAAGGGTAAGGAGAGTCGGTATGGTCGTGGTTGAGGGGAGTTGAGGGAGGATATGAAGGTTGGGGGGAGGGTTGGGAAGTTGGGGATTTGCTTGGGGGAGACGTCACTTGTGATTATTTGCCCTGTGACGAGGCCGATGAGATGGTCCGGTCGGTGTCTGGGCGCTGTCTAGGATTTTGGTTGGAGCGGAACAGCGATAGTGGACTGTGATACGCTAAACACGCTGGAAAGGACAGTAATAGCCCAGTAGTAGCCCTGCATCCTGCAGCCTGTGTTAGCCTTTTTCTTTCTTCTACGGGGCAAACAGCGGCCGTTCCGTGAGCCACGAGGGCCAGCGGGGTGGTTTACATGGAAAATGCCTGTGGAAATGCTACTCTAGTTCCGCGCTGCCTCGGCTCGTGGGGATGGTGTGGGATGGTGTGGGATAGTACAGGTGAGATACTTTGGGGTAGCATATGATTACTGCTGCCTGAAAAGTATGCAGCAGGTACTATCCCTAGCTATCCCCGTCTGTTTTCAGTTCACTCAGACACCAATAGTGTGAGTTGGTGTCAGTGGCGGGTGACTGGATTTTCATAATGGGAGATTTTCACTTTCGCATGTACAGTAAGATACAGGAACAAGTCTTCTAAGCAGAACAAGCCTTGGAGAAGAGTACTCGAGTATTAAGTAGAGTGTATCTTAAGAGTACTGTGCCTGTTACCACCCTCAAGCTGTTTAGTCGCCATACATTCCAACACATGCACTCTCTCTCCCATGTTATGTTTGCCCGTTTTGTACTAACTATAACTAACTGTCCTATAGTTATGCATTCCCCTCACTTCATAGAAGCATAGAAGGCCATCCATCCTCTGCATACATACATACCTGCATATAGATGGTTACGTCAGTTTACCTACACTTTACCTACACGATTACTTCCTCAGGCCGACTCCTCCCGATATATCGCTTCTCCAGCCGTGTGTACTGTTGGAAGTCGACCTGTAGTATTAAGGCTCCAACGGGATATGGGATAGGACCAACAAGATATGGGATAGCACTGCAGCTTACCATCTCCATAGACCAGGATATACCGCCGCATAAACTCCTTGCTGTTAACGAGTAGCCCGCCCTCGGGGTGTTATCCTCCTTAACGGGAAGCCGCGATGGACCACCGTCGTGCCTTCCCTACTAGGATATACAAACAACATGTAATGGGTCGTTGCTGCCTGAGCCGTTCCGGGCCGTTCATGGCGTTGAGAATATCTTCATGCCAGGTATGCTCATATCATTCCAGATACTAGCTGGTCACCGCCGGCTCGACTTGCAATATCGCTCTCACCTCCCCCACTATAGATGCATGCTCCTCCCCCCATAGATGCATGCTCCTCCTCATGGCGAGATAGCTCAAGCTCTAAACGCCATAGCAGCTGCAAGCCATCTAATCAAGAGGTGGATCAGATACTCCTCAAACGGCCCTCTCCTCCTCCTCCTCCTCCTCTCCTTCTCTCCCCCCAACCGTAGTCCATGTATAATCTATATATCCCGCATTCACTTATATTGCTTCCTGCATATCCTCTAACTTATCCTGTCGGTCCGACAGCCGCGCGAGGCGCTTTTCCCTCTCTCCTACTCGCCAAGAATTCCCGTCAAAGAATATATATTTTGCCAAGAATATCCGCCAAGACCATTCCGCCCCGCCCCACTCGTCCGGGTCACCGTTGCTTGTCAGTGAAAGGGAAAGGAAAAAAGAAAATGCGAGGGCGAAAGACGGCCGACAGGTCTTTAATCAAGCTGCAAAAGCGGGACCGAAAGGGTGTTTGTGTGTCTCTGCTGTCTACTGTACTCTGTGCCGTGTGCCTCGATCCTCCCAAACGTTGTTTTATCCACCACTTATCCTCATTCCTCACTCACTCCTCACTTCTTAACGTATAGCCTGAGTGGAATTCCCCCGACTCACTATACTCCTCGCCCATCCTCACGCCCTCATAATTCCCTCATCACCCACTCCAGCCCTCGGAGCCATCTGCATGAATGCGATCACTTACTACAGTGAGCTCACGCGCTGGCTGTTGAGCCATGCCACCGACACCGATATGTCTCTCGTGCAGTCGATTGTGACCTGCGGCGCCCTCTTCTGGTCAGTCCACACGCGAGCAAATACCTAGAGAGGCAAAAAACTAACCCTACCCTGCAGGCTCCTCCATCGCGCATGGCTCACCCTCTGGAAGCCGGTCCCAGATCTCATCACTATCCTCGGCGTCGAAGTCCCAGAGCCTCCGGAGGTCTCGTTGGCGGGCATAAAGGCCGATGCGGTCACTCTTCACTGGGCTGGGCCTGGACACACGAAGGTGGTGCTCAAGAAGTACTTGATCCAGGTCAACGGTGTTAATGGTAACTACAACCCCGCTCCTCACCGCTGAGGCATATTGCTAACTCTCGTTTTACAGTTGGTGAATCATCACGTCTCGAGACCGCCATCACCGTAACTGGGCTTAAGCCAGGCCATTTCTACAACGTCAGAGTTATCGCCGTGGGAAACAACAACTTCCAAGCCGGCAGCCGAGTCATTCGCCTACGAACCTACAACCGCGATGGACGACCGGACCTAGGCGGGCGCATACTGAACAACCTCGCGAGCGAAGACGCAGCAGGCGCCGTAGTCGACAGCAGCGACGAGTCAGCGGGCGTCCGCAGCCATGGAGTTGGGATTGAGGCAGCTTCGATGCCCGAGGGCTTATCGGCGTTGGCGCGAGAGCCGAACAGTCGTGCTGGCTCGCGGAGGAACACAGGTGCACGGAAACACTCGCCGTCGACGGCGAGTGAGCATCCACCCTTACCGTCGAATTTACCGGAAGGATCAATGCTGCAGCTTACGGAGCGGTTTGAATCGATACGCGGCGAGACGGAGGAGGTGATTTCGCAGGTGGCTAAGGATGCGGATGAGTTCAAAGCGCAGATGGCAGAGCTGATACGGGAGAGAGACGAGAAGAGGCAGATGTTGAAAGAGAAGGAGGATGCGAGCGAGAGGTTGAAGAAGGAGGTGCATTCGTCAGAGCGAGTGAACCGGCAGGCACAAACAAGGAAGACTCAGAAGGAGAAGGCGGTGAGAGAGCGGGAAGCGGAGAAGATGAAGATGAATGATGAGATGAAGAAGTGGGAGAAGGAGATCCAGGAGATGCAAGCCGAGAGAGAGCTGTGGGAGAAGGAAAAGGATAAGATTGCGTCGGATGCAACCAAGAAGGTGGACGAGTTGAAGAAGATCCTGAGGAAACGGCAAAACTCGCTTAATTCTATGGAGGAGGAAATCCGTGTCAAGGGACTACAGATTAAAGAGCTGGAAGAGGAGAGACAAAAACTCCCTGGCGCTCAGGACGAGGAAGCAAAAGCCCTGGAGGCTGCTGACAGGCTTCGGGATTTACAATGGGACCATACGGAACGGGAATTAATGACAAGATACAACGCGCAGAGCATCACCGTTCGAAACCTCGAGACAGACCTCCACAAGGCACAGGCGCACTTTCAAATACTGAACGCACGTCAAATAGCCAACCCCCTCATTCCAATGGGCGACAGCTCTGGGGTGTCGTTTGATATCAGCGGACAGCCAAGGCCGAAGCGTAGGAATCGCCAGCGCAAGTCACGTACGAACACGATATCCTCGCCGGTCGATGCGTATCCAATTACCGACTCGGCGTTTCCCAGCGCGAGTGTATATAATAACATGGCTCTAAATGCGGCCCCAAGCTTTGCTCCGGGGCCGTATTTCGACATGAGCGCTAATTCTGGTGCTGGCACTTCCCCTGACCACCACCATGGCATGAGCGAGGCGGATATCCGTTCCCTCACTGCTGGTGCACCACTCAGTCCGACGGCGACATCTCTACTGCCATCGAATATATTTATGGACGATGACCCGATGGAGAGACCCATGCGTTCCTCTTTTGGTCCCGCCCAATTCCCTACCCTTGGCCCGTCAATCTACGAGGCTGAAGAGCAGCAATCTCCAGGATCATCAAGCCACTCTGACAGTTTGGTCTCCAGCCCGCGGAATTCTCAGCAGAACCTGCGTTTCTCGCTGCAATCGCAAGACAGCTACCCTGATTCGGACAGACGCCCTGTTGGCTCCCGCAGCTCTACTGGCGGTGCTTTCGGCGTTATTGGCTCCCCAACCTCCGAACCCCCCCAACCACCCGTAACGAAGCGCTTTGGCGACCTCTTCGCCTTCACCGGCAAGCAGCGCGCAAAGACCTTGACCAGCGACATTGGCCACCCCCTCGGCTCCCTCAAACCGGGCCAGAGTCAATCCTTCCCACGCCAAGAAGACGTCGACGCCGCCGCCGCCATCAAGAACCGCCGCACGAGCTTCACCTCCGGCTGGGGCGGAATCCCCTTCCTCAACCGCGCGAGCACCGTCTCCGAGATAACCGAAGGCAACGCCCCAGCACTAAACCGCAATCTCCCCCGCCGCCGCCGGGGCTTCAACATGTTCGGCTCCAGCATCGACGACCCGACCCTCACGGACCGCGACCCGACCAGTCCCCGCCCCGCATCGATCGCTTCCTCCGACCTCCCACGCCCATCCACCGACAGTGCACCCTTCGGCTGGGCCCCATCGGATAGCAACATCCTAACCCGCAACTCCCCCCTCGCGACCAACTGGTCCCTGTCCGTCGCCCAGCCCTGGTCACGCACCCCCTCCCGCCGACCTTCCATCCAATACGCCTCAACCACCCAACTCACCACCGGCATCGCAACTGAAGATGACGATTTCCTCCCCCCGGACACTCTATCCACCGCCTCGCCGCCACCCGTAGGCGTCATCGGCACCCGTCCCGCCTCCCAGATGTCAGCGACTGCTAAACTGAACCCCGCGGCGCCGACATTCAAGGCCATGTTCAGCCGCGCAAAGGATAGCACACATCGTCCCCGCCATGGCTCAGACGAGCACGACGAGCACATCGATGACTACCCTAGCAGTATCAGCCGCGCTAGTGTTCACACCGCTGACAGCGTGGCGGAGAGCTACGATTCCCTCGAGGGCGCGGTGAGCAATACTGCGCTTAGCGAGGTTGCCTCTGGCTCGTTTGGTGGGAGCAGTGTCGGGAGAGGCGAGAACTCGTTCCAGAAGCTTCTTAGGAAGGGGTCGAGTAGTAAATTCTCCATCTCCTCGTTCCGCGGAAAGGAAGTCGGCTTGTTCAGCAAGAGACCTGAGAGGAACGCTAGTGCGGACCGCTCGAGCAGTTTCGGGGAGGGTGAGGAGGAATTGGCACTTGGTTCCGGTGGTGTGGGCTTGGTGAGTGTTACGAGCTCGCCTATGCCGCCTACGCCTGCTGGTGGAGCCGAGAAGGGGGATAAGGAGAAGGGTGTGGAGAAGGGGGAGAAGAGCGGAGATGGGAAGGGAGTGGGACGGGAGGGGAGAATGAGTGTTAATTGGGGGAGGTTTGGGATTAAGAAGAAGGAGAGGGGGAGGGTGAGTGAGGATATGGAGAGGGCTAGTGAGGCGGAGGGGACGGAGGATGAGGGGAGGGGGAGGTAGGGGGGTAGTGAATGTGAGTTAGTAATGATGAGTTGATTCCTACTCTATTTGATGTTTGGTATTGTGATGAATGTGAGGGCTTTGTGAGCAGCTGGTTAATCTATAGCATATCTTCTTCGATTATTGTCTATATTTTAGATGCTATATATGAAGGTATGTAGGCTCCCAAAGACCTCCAGGGGGTGCGTACCCCTATCAGAAGCCCAGTCTGGACAGCCTGCAAAACTAGAGCATGATCTCCTATGGATGCGGTGTCAAAACCACCTTCCCACGCACAAGTCCATCAGCAGTAGCTGTAACAGTTACTGCTCCCTTCTGTCCTGGCTTAAAGCGCACAATAGCCAGCGCGAGCCCGCTATACGCCTTCCGCTCCTTAGACGCGAAAGATACCATATCAGCAGGATCCCCATTATCAGTAGCGACAATCTCCCCCGGACCGCTGACGGAGAAGGTAATACTCGTATCCGCCTGCGCCACGAAGTCTCCCTTGCGATCAACAACCTCGACAGTGATAAACGACAGGTCAAGTCCGTCGTTCTTGATAGAAGTCCGATCAGCAGTCATCTTCAACTGCGCCGCCGGCCCCGTCGTCCTCACCGCATCCCTCGCCCACTCCTTCCCGTTCTTATAAGTCACCACATACACCTCCCCAGGCTGGTAAACCACATCATCCCACCGAAACCGGTACGTATACGCCGCCCTCTTCTGCCTACCCTGGGATTTCCCATTAACGAATAACTCCGCCTCATCACCCGCCGTGAAGACATGCACAGGCGTCACCTTCCCTACGCGGTCTGGCCAGTTCCAGTGGGGGAGGATATGCGCGGTGCGGAGGTCAGGACGCCAGCGCGATTGGTAGAGGTAGAATCTATCTTTCTTGAAGCCTGCGAGGTCGAGAATTCCGGAGTAGGAACTGCGAGCAGAATAGTAGGGGGTAGGCTCGCCGAGGTAGTCGACGCCTGTCCAGACCATTTCGCCAGCTACGTAGGGGTTCTTGTCATCTGCGGCGAAGACTTTGTCGGGGGATGACCCGAAGCCAGCGGTGTAGAGCTCGTAGGCGCTGACTTTTTGGCCGACGGGGTCGCCGCCGGAGGTGTCGTTGACGGGGGCGCTGCTGTAGCCTGTTACTGGGAAGACGTACGTCCCGCGCGTGCTAACCGTTGATGCGGTCTCAGAGCCTACAATCATTTTATTGGGAAAGTTGGCGTGGTAGGCGGGGTAAAGCGGCTGTCTAGCAATTCCCGCGAGGTTGGAATATGCTTCTGTGTCTCGAATGCCCGCGCCTTGGTAGTTGATCGAGAGGAAGTCCACGATGCGTGGGAACGGCATGTCAGGGGTAGCGTAGTTCTCCGATGCAGTAGACATCCGCGTCGGGTCTTCTTCATGAACAATATCCTTCAGCATCTGCGATATCGCCGCCCCAGCCTCATCAGTATACTGCTCGCCAACTTCATTGCCGTAGCTCCACCCAAAGATAGAAGGGTGGTTGCGATCGCGCCTTACGAAGGAGCGGAGATCTTGCTCATGCCAGTCCTTGAAGATAAGGAAGAAATCCGAGGCTGTCTTGCCGATCTCCCAGGAGTCAAAGATCTCGTCCAACACAAGGATGCCCATCTGGTCAGCGAGGTCGAGGAGTTCGGTCGCGGGGGGGTTGTGCGACATCCTGATGGTGTTGCAGCCTAGTTCGAGGAGTTGCTCGAGACGGCGTTCAGCGGCGCGAGTGTTGAAGGCTGCGCCGATGGCGCCGAGGTCGTGGTGGTTGTTGATTCCTTGGATGACTACCTTTTTACCGTTGACGGAGAGGCCGTTAGTGCCGTCTAGAACTACGGTGCGGATACCAAAGCGAGTCTCGTAGGTGTCTATCACATCACGGCCAGATAGGAGACGCGTCACGGCGACGTAGAGATTGGGCTTCTGCGCTGGGACTGGACCCCAGAGTCGCGGGTTGTTGATCTTGACCGAAGCCTTGACAGTTTGCTTCTCGCTGGCTTGGACACTCGCTGACGCCTTTGGGAACGAGACTACTTTTGCCCCAGTGCGTCCAGTAACGGAATCGAAGATGTGCACGTCTGTCTGTACATCGATTTTCTGGCTGTCTTTTGCTTTGGTTTCAACCTGGACAACGAGGTCCAGAGTGGCTGATTTGGTGGACACGTCTTTCGATATGATATATGTTCCTGACTGACCAATGTGCGTCGGGCTGACCTTTGTGAGCCAGACGTTTCGGTAGATACCACCGCCGGGATACCAGCGAGCTGAATTAGGGGGGTTGTCGACTCGAATGGCCAGCTGATTATCATTGCCCGGCTTAAGATATGGAGTGAGATCCAGACGGAACGAGTTGTATCCGTAAGGCCACCCGCCGACTAGATTGCCATTAAGCCAGACAATAGCATAGGACAAAGCGCCATCAACGTCGAGGTAAATTGATTTCCCTGCGTCTGTTGGGGCAACCGACAGCTTGCGGCGATACCAGCCAACTCCATGCACAGGAAGCCGGCCCATCCCACCACCAATTATGGGATTCTCCTCAGTGTAAAACGGACCATTGATAGCCCAGTCATGCGGCAAATCAACCGCATCCCACGTACTGTCATCGAAAGTCTTCTGCACATATTTGACATCGCCACCAGGGTTGCCAGCAGGGCGCACATGGTGTTTGGCAGGGTCACTGATAAAGTCATTCCCCGAAGGGAGGATCCACGGCTTCAGTATTTTGGCCGTGAAATTCGCCTCGCCCAAGTCGGGGCGCTGGTCATAAATCAGCCCGTCCGGATTGAACTCCGAGCGCCAAAACTTCCAGCCGGCATTGATGTTAAGCTTAACGCGCCCGCCGTCCGTGCTGGGCGGCTTCGGCAGTATCAGATTGGCTTGGACAACTTGGTGGCTGAGGAAAAGCCACACTAAGATGAGTCCCCATGCATTAGTTACGTGCCTCAATGCCATTTTCAACGATGACAATCTTGAAGATAAGTATCAATTCTTCATGATCTGACTGTCTTTATATGGACATGCCGAGGAACGGCATTCCGGGTAAATGGACCAAAGCTATTATTTAGTATATAGCTCTCCATGGCGATATCAAGGTCCTCTAGACCAGCTCCTACGCATGCTAGGATATTTTCCACGAAACAGAAAGGCGATCTCCCAAATGGCATGCTTTATCGTACTCTAGCGGGAGGAGTTGTGTCTATCTTGCACTCTATAGTAATAGTCTTTTGCGGGGTTACCACTATACGGGACAAGCGGTGTTCGGCTTCAATAGCCTAATTTCGGTGACAGACATCCGGGGATTCGCGCTAAGTCCATCCGCAATAGCTGTTTACAGTGATCGCCGGATCTACCTACAGTTTGATCATGCATGGTGGGTTTATAACTGGTTACAGCCTGTGGCTTGGTAATAAGTTCCTAAGACTAGAGGCTATACGAGTGCTATTCTCACATCATATTCCAAAGGTCCCGGGCACATTCTTCCCACTGTTCCCTGCAATATCAGTATAGACAATCCCCCTCCCAAACATACCAATATAGACACGTCCATAAATCCTCGGATCACCCTGAATAATCGACGCTCCTCCGTACTGATGAGTATCATCATTGACCCTCACCCACGTTGCCCCCGCATCATCACTCCTATATAACGCCTCGGACCCACTAGGTGAGACCTTGCCCCAAAGGAACAATGCGGGGTTTGAGCGCCCAGGTGCTGACTTCCCAAGTGTAAAATAAATTGCAACTAGGCCCTTGGGTCCAATCCTTGTCCACTTAGTGCCGAAGTTGGTGGAATGCCACAGGCCGGACTTGCCAAGTGGAAGCCAGAGTTCACCAGCTTTGTCGAAACTCGTCACTGGGACAGCGGCAGCATCAGCTGGAAGACCTGTCTTAGACGCAGGGCTGGATTTGTAAGAAACGCCGCCATCCCTGCTGATATAGAAGACTCCGCCGTGAACGGCGTAGAAGGTCTTCGCTTGAACATTGTCTGCGGCAACATTCATTGTCGAGACAGTGAGCCCCTTTGGCACAACCCAAGTCTTGCCAAAATCCTGTGTAGAAGGAGGGCCAGTTTCGTTATAGGGAGCTTCTGTTGGCAGGGTGCCCCAGACGAAGGACTTGCCAGAAGCATCGAGTGCGATGGTACCCGCGAGATGGGTTTGGTTGCCAACCCCTGGCGGGCACGAGCCGAACATTGACCACTTGATTCCGTTGTCCTTTGAATAAAGCCCTGATCCGCAACCGTCGGGGTACGAAATTCCACTGGAGCCAACACGGACAACGACATCGGGGTTTTGGCCTGCGTAGTCGAGATTGTCGCAGTTGGAGAACACTGGCTTTTCGTACATCGGTTGTGGGACAGTGAGATCTACGTGTCTCATGCCCATGATGTCGCCTACACCGCTGAAAAGATGAGCACCCTTGGTAGGACTCATCAATGATAGAACAGCCGTTTCTTCAATTCCCTGTGCCTGGATGTACCACTCTGGTGCTTTGTTCTTGTCAACCTTGTTGAGTTCATCTGTTGCCCAGATAGTCGCCCCTGTTCCGTACATGACATGGTTGGAGTCCCACGGATAGATGAGAACAGACGACATCCACCAACCGAACTTTGCTAAGCCAACAACTGGGGATGGGGCTCCATATCCTCCCCATTGCGAGTTCCAGTTGAAACTGAGCCATGGGACGGGCGTGGAGTCCTTCAGCTTGGCTTGAGAAATTGGGTGCCCCCAATATCCACCGCTTCCCTCGGGTGTCGAAAGTTGGGAGACGTCCTTGTATGTCTTGCCTCCATCGTGAGAGTAATACATGCTATCAAGTGCTGGACCCGGATCACGGTCGAGCGAGATCACAACAAAGGTGTCTGGGTCCTTGGAATCAACCGAAATTCCGCAGAACCCTCCTGGAGGCCAAGATTGGGGCTTGAAAGGCGCAGGGTAAGTGTTGGAGGCCCCAGGTGTGATATCAGTCCAAACTTGTGTCTTCGTGTTGTATTTCATGAAGATTCCGTAATTGATAGCATATGGGCCTGGGAAATCGGCGAATGATACGTATAATATCCCATTCGGAGCTAGAACAGCTCTCATGGGCAGCGGTGCAGTGCTGGCTGGTTCGTGGCCTGCATGTAGCAATGCTGGGTCCCAAGCTGAAGGCTGCCCAGGGATCGAATGCCAGGTCGCGCCATTGTCTTTTGTGTAGTATAGCCCATTGGGAACATTGGCGCCAACATAAATCGTGCCACTGTTCTTTGGATCGAAAACCACAAATAGGATGCCAATTCCGTCTCCGGCTGCATCGGGGTAATTTGTGACGTTCTTCCAAGTCTTCGCCCTGTCCGTACTCTTCCATAAACCCTCTGTCCGTGTTCCAAACCACAGCTCGTCTGAGTTGAAGGGATTGACGGCCAGTCTCTCTCCATTGTTTCTCCCAAGACCGTTCGCACCCATGGGAAACGGCGCCTTATAAATATCGAAACTCGCGCCTTGGTCATCAGACACGAAGAACGCAGCTGGATCCGTGTCCGTCACGTACCGACCTTGAGCGAGGTACAGCCGGTTTGGGTGGTGAGGGTCGAGAGCGATACTCTCAGTGCCCATCCAATTGACATTTTCTGCGGCGATGAAGTCGGTGAGAGGAAGCCATTGCTGTTTGGGCTCACTCCAGCGGTAGGTGGATCCGATATCAGTGCGAGTGTACATCAGATGCTTCTCCGTGGGATGGGCTACGATGCCAGTGATATAGCCGCCCCCAGTTATAGCCACAGAGCTGAATTTCTGGGAGTAGTCATGCGTGCCATGCTGAGGAGGAGCAGCGGCAACTCCTGTGACGCAGTTGGCCGCAAGGAGGAGAGCGCTGAAGATACGCAGCTTGAAACTGCCATTGCTGCTACCCATGATTACAAGCCGCTGCGATTGGCTTGAGTAACCGCTTTAGCTATCCTTCCTGTCAAATCTCGAGGGGACAGTGAAGCAATCCAGAAACCAGGAAAGGCTCGTGATATATGAGCTCTTCCCCAAGCTCCCCATGCTTTTCATTTGTATAGTACCCCATGCTTTTCATCTGCATAGCACGCTAGAATGCATCTCCATGCACGAAGGATAAACCCAGCCGGCGCGCCGCCGGGCTTCCTTGTGGAATACCATTATGGAGTAGGGCGGGAACAAATGAAAATAGTCTTGAGGTAGTCTAATGACGCGGAGTAGCACCGTCTTACATTTCCAAGAGGGGAAGATAAAGAAACGATCATTGATGGAGAAACGTACTTCCCGTCCGCAACTGTACCTGCATACTGGAAGTTCAGCCTGGACGCTGGCAATTTACCCAAACCCCACATCCATCTCCGTCATCCCCTCTGGACAACATGTGGGGGTGGCTGACTATACTGGACATGGAGTTGTTCAGATGATGCCAGTCCGCAATGTTGAGAGAGACTAACTGATCCTGGAAATTTCCCACCTGTAGATGTTTCGGAGGCTACTATACCGTGGCTTCCTTGGCAGTAACCCCGCATCCGATCTGACCTTCTCAGATTGTGGCTGACGCGGTGTTAGAGACTGATGGATTGGAAAGCAAACATTAAAATCCCCAACAAATTATCTTAGTAAATGGAGGAGCCTTTTTAATACAAAGGAGGATCAAAGACAGCAGCTTCGAACCTTCTACGGGAGCAGCGTGGGAACAAGTGCAATTGCGTCGGGTCTAATAGTTTCTATGGTACATCATTAATTACATTAGGTCTCTCTATATTAAGTTAAAGTTAGGACCTGTTACTGAACTTTACTCCGCAAAAGCCTGCTCCGTCAGCCACTTCCCCGCTTCCATGAACATTTCCTCCGCCACTGGCTTCCTCAATGCCGCTACCTTCGGCGCCCTTAACCACCAATGCGTGAAGCTGTGCTTCGCATCTTTCACCATCGTCCACCGGAGCTTGCCTCCTTCCCTCTCGAATGCGTATTTCTCACTCTCCGTAAGCTTCTCAATGCCGGCTAGCTTTACCATCATTCTCCTGGACTCATCACAGAGCATATCATACTCGGCACCGATCGAATAAATCCACGGTGGCAGGACCTTTCTATCGGCATACAGCACGCTGAGTAGAGGGTCTCTCTGGTCCGTGCCGGTTGGTAAATAGACGTTATTGAAGATTGGCGCCAACGCTGCCAACCCATCCACATCCTTAGCGTTCTTGTACGGCCGCGAGGCGCACTTATAGTCATAACCAACGCTCCAGTCAACGGGGGCGTACCACGCAATGGCGGCCTTGATCTTCCCCTGAAGAGCCGGGAACTGACTTGCGGAAAGGGCGAGGTTACCCCCGGCGCTGAAGCCACCGATGGCAACGCGGGACTGATCGATGGGGAGCGAGTCATCGTCGAGGATGGCCTCCACAACGGCAGCCACGTCCTGGGAGGGCACGGGGAAGACGACCCGCGGCGCTAGGGAGTAGTTGACGCTGATGACGATGAGGTTGAAATGATTGGAGAAGAAGTGGCAGAACTCGTCGTCGTGCTCCGGGACGCCGAAGGCGAACCCTCCGCCGTGGACATCAATGTACAAGGGGAGGGATTTTCCGGCCTCGTAGGATTTGGGGAAGAAAACCCGGTGCGTGAGCTTTGGCCTGCATGGGTAGGTCTTTGATAATGTTGGTTTACCACTTGATAATGATTTTCCGCCAAATCGGATAACCAGTTTGCGAAGTAAGAAACCGGTCGTGAGAATGAGCTTGGTGAAATATATACTGAGCAGATATCGCAGGCGCGTGAAACGAGTAATCGGGGCCCAATACAGGGGGTCTAAAGTCATCTGCTCCATTTTTGAAAAGCGACCACGGCCAGGCACCAATCGAAAATCTTAATAATAACAGGAGAAAAATATCAATCTTGCAACAGCGAAAAGAACCATTTAATTGAAATATAAATCAAAGCACCACACGGCGGTCAGGAAGAATTTCCCAACAGATTTATTTTCCCTGATAGTGGAGACTCATTATCACATGCGAAACCGGACTAACCTTTGTTCCGACTATCTCGGTGATGGGTCCATCGCCGAGCAACCCGGACGGGTTGATTACTCAATTCAAACAACATAATTGGGTTTTCGTAATCATTATGAGGGACCGAGCCATCATTGCTGGCGTCAGTGCTGTCGTCATCGGGCTCTTTTATGAGTTCTTCCTTAAAGATATTCTGTTTATCGCGATTGGTATAGGACGAACTATCCAGCCAATCGAGGATTTCCCTTACAGCTGTCACAAAATATATGGCCCTGAAAATATACTTGAAAGCTGCGAAGATCTCTGGCTTGACGATGAAGGCCGCACCCTCTATGGAGCGTGTGTTGATCTGAAGTCTCGCCATCAATGGAGTCCAGGGTAAGCGCTTCGATATTTTTGTGTCCTCACTGTATCCCGCCCTTATCTAACCCCCTTGCCAGCGGTGACAAGTTCAACGTGTCAGGGCGAACCACAAATGGACGCTTTGTAGCCCTTAGCATTGATTCGCCGGGGTCAGACGGCAACTATGGAGCCCACAGACTTCAAATCACCGGCAACTACCTTGGGCCAGCGGGATCCAAGGCCATCGACCCCAACGGATTTGACGTGGAAATCCTACCCAATAACCGTTTGAGGTTTTGGATGACCAACCTTCGTCCGCCCGTAGATGCTGTTTCAGGAGAGTTTCTGGATGCTATGAACATCGGCGCCAATGCTACCGTCGAGTCCTTTGAACTTGTTAGGGGTGAGAACGAGCTAAAGTGGACGGGAACATTTGGTGCAAATGACGGAGTCCTGCATTCTACGAACAAGGTTGCTGCGGATTTGAATGGAGGATTTGTAGTGTCCAACGATCACAGCGTTCCAAGTAAGTTGTGGTCGCCATTTCCCCGCAACAACTCTCAGATAGTGCGTGCCGCTAACAATGTGCCGCAGGTGGTCTGGTATGAAACCCCCGAGCATGAAGATAAACTTATTTGTTTTGGTATCTAACAAACTCTCCAACCCACAGCGCCGCTCCCTCGACCTTATTCTCGGAGGAGGATCCATCGCCCACTGCACTAGCTCCAACGATTGCAAAATCGCAGTTGACGGCCTCTCCTTCCCCAACGGCCTAGTCCGGGGTCTTGATGGCCTTTTCTACGTCCCTTCTTCCATAACCGGTCGCATTGGCGTTTTCTCGCTCTCCTCGACAGGTCTGACTAAAATCGATGAAATTGAAGTCGGGATGCCGATGGATAACCTATCCGTCGACGCCAACGGTGATATCTTCGCCGCAGCCTTCCCAGACTCGCTCAAGCTAGTGGAGGTAGTAAAGTATGCTACTGATACCATACTGCCGAGCACTGTGTGGAAGATTACGAAAGTGGTTGGGGAGTATGATGAGAGTGGAAAGGGGAAGAAGAGTGGTTCTGGCAATTATCGTGTGTCGAAGTTGTTAGAGGACAGGGAGGGAAAGTTCATGCCGAGTGGAACGACGGTCGCGGTGCACGATGCTAAGACGGGGAAGATCTTCCTTGGGGCTGTCTTAGGTGGACATGTAACAGTTTGTGAGCCAATTCCCGTTGCTAAATAGTGGCCCGCATGAGCTCTGCAGCATCACGGACAGTCTTGAAGATATTTGTTATCCTCTGGAGCAGAAAGGGAGAGAGGTAAGCGATAGGGAGGGTGGAATTCAAACTTCGGTGAGTTTGAATTCGCCGAGGAAATGAAGAATAGAGGATGCCAATCCACTCAGTGTACGATAACTGGACGAATGTACAAAATATTAAAACAGCAAGATCTGTGGATAGAAATGTGTGTTTATCAACCAGCAAGAAGTGTTATTGTCAAATAAGAGGTGGTAACATCCTACTCAGTGAGGTAATACAACAGCCCTTAAGTAAGGGTCTCATCAGACCAGAATTTTATCAGATGTTAGAAAACAAACCTAGCGAGACGTATGATCCCTCCGAACACACGCAAGTCGCACATTCCTCCCACAACATCAAATCTCAACACTCAAAACTCAAAACTCAAAATGTCATCTATAGCCATGATGAATAGCAAAACGAAAGGAGGCCCCGCAAATCCACCACCACAAGCTCCCTCCATTCCACCCGATCAACTCGAAGCCGCCAACGCCAAAGCCGCCCTTGACCGCCGCGTCAAAGCCGTGGCAGACGTCTTTCGAGAAAACCTTGCCTACGAATACGAACTTGAAAAAGAAATGGCAAAAGCCACCGACGAATTTGCGCAGAAAAGACGGGCTGAGGACTATCGGGCGTTCGTTGGACATTTGAGACGGTTTAGAACACGTTATATAATGGCTTTCTCGGCTGTCCTGGGAATCGTTTTTTTGTGGATGTATTTATTTTGATACTGTGGGTTATATTAAATCGCCGTATTACAACCTCTAACAATGCTGATTCGTTAAATAGGACCAACGGCAATGACGTAAGGATAGGAATGCGGCAGGAGTAGGGCGTGCAATTATGAGTTGGCAAACATGAGCATAGATTAAATTTCAATGAGTCCATCGGAAAAAAATCTATTTCGCCTTGATCTATCCATCAAGATTGATAGTTGTGTCTCGAATAGAAAAGCAATATCCACTATTTCTAGTGCAAGCAACCGACCACACACCATGACGCGAGTTTGCAAAAACAAAGGGAATGCCGCTGGAAAAGCACAATCACAAAAAGCAAAGAAAACGAAATGAATCGTGAACTTCATCAGAATGCCCTCCCCGGTAACTTATGGGTGTAACTTGCATCCCACGCACGGCTCCGCATGCTCCTTACTCGTCGTAATCTCAGTCTTCTGCTGCCCCGAAACATTCAAATACCCAACCGCACCCTTGTCCAACCGGAATATCGCATGGTCCACCAACGCATATGTCCCGGGAACGGCCATCTTCATATCCACGATCGACGCAGAGCCTGGTGGAACGCTGATAGTCTGCACAAAGTTCGCCGGCGGGCTGAGGACGTCGCCATCACGATACACTTTCCTGAAGTTGCCTCCGATGACATGAAACGAGCTCGTGAGATTAGGACCCGCGTTACCGAAGAAAATACGAACAGATTCGCCGACCTCCGCCTTGAGCGGTGCATCACGCGTCATCGCTGACTCGCGGCCGTTGAAGACAACAATATCAGGCTCCTCGCGCATGGCATTTGGGTATGAGAATTCGACAGTATCCGATTTGCGTCCGTTCTCGAGAACCTCCGGGGGCTCGTAGTAGAATTCGCTCTGCATGACGTAGTATTCGCGGTCGACGGGTGGGAGATCTCCTTCGGCTGGTTGGACGTAGATGAGACCGTACATGCCGTTCGCGATGTGCACGGGCACTGGGGCCGCGGCGCAGTGGTATAGGTATATTCCTGGGGTTAGGAGCTTGAAGTTCGCCGTCTTGGTCTGGTTCTCTTCGGCAGTCGTCAGTGCGGCGCCACCCCCGGGACCAGTAAAGGCGTGACAGTCGATGTTGTGTGGATTTCCCGACTCGTCCTTGTTCGTCAACGACAGCTCCACCACATCACCAACTCGTGCTCGGATAAATGGTCCCGGAACCATGTCGTTGAAGGTCCACTGCTCGTACTTGAACTGGCTCGTCAGCTGTGTTTCTTTGGTCGTCGTCACCATTGGCACTTGGAGGAGAACGGGGTAGTCGCGAGTGATGGGCGGAGGGACAAATGGGGCGGCTGTGAGAACCGCGTTCTCTCTTGGCAGTTTCGATATATCGAGGTCCCCGTCCTCAATGGCATCGTAGATCTTCAAGTGCTCATCTGTAACTTCTCCTGGTCGCACGAAGGAGATGGAAGGCTGCGATGAGACTGGCTCCAATGTCATTACAGGTTTTTGTTTTCCATCATTTTGGCGAGTTGCTTGCTTTCCCGAGACGGCGGAAACTGCTGTGTTTGGATTCTTGTCTGAGGAGACCAAGCTCGATCGAGTTGTATCCTTGCCTCCAGTGTACATGGACAGGCCGATAGAGACAGAAGCGGAGACCGCGATGAGAATAATACGGGCTCGCTTTCCAAAGCGACTGGTATTGGCGGCTGTTGTTGTCGTTGCAACTCCACGTGATGAAATCGATCCAGCCCCTCTGAGTAGAAGTGGAGAGGAGATGAGAGCTCTGTTTGAGAGCATGAAATTCTGTCTTTGCGACGATGCTGCTCTCCACGACGCACTCACTGGTGCGCGGAAGTAGCTCATCCTGGCAGTGAGGTTATGCGCAGGATAGTCAGGTATGATATCAAGGATGAGTCCACCTCAGTGGCTCTTTTATGAAATTTGAGGGAGGGAGAGAGTGAGACAGAGAGATGAGGTTGTTTATGTCTGCTATAATAGCAAACGTAAACGATAAAAGAAGAAAGAAGAACGAAGGAACAAAGAGGGTTATAGACGCGTCAAGCGGCAGGAGAAGCAGGAGAAGCAGGAGAAACTCACATGTGGTGGTAACCTCGACGTCAACAGCAGCCTCTCGTGGTGTGATGTGATACCCCGTTTAGGCAGTGAACTTGTGGTTCACCCACACCGAAAACGGGGTTGCACACACTCTCGGCCGGCCAAACCGCAATAGCAAATGCAGTGCTGACACCCCCGGAGCAGCGTGCCGATAGGTTCAATGGATACCGGCACTGCCCCGAACGAATCAATAGTGGCGCATTCCGCATCTATGTCTCGTTTTTGGCCCCATGTAGATGTCTTGTGGTTCAGGCACTCCTTCGGGATTGACACTGGAAATTGGCAGTGTAAGTGGACTGACCTGGTTACCTAAACAGCGGGTGGGTGGCTTTCTAAGGGTCGGTCGGGCGGAGAAGCTAGAGTAACTGGTCTAGAACAAGGCAAAAAAGAGAGCTAAGGCCCGCAGGACCGAGACACATTTTCTTTGGGGGCGTGGGCGGTTAACCCGCAGCCTTCGTCTCCAGAAACGGAAAACGCCCAACCCACCACGATGACGTTAGCTAAGTGGCGGCGGGCGGCTGACAGTTGAATACATTTTTGGCACCGGGGTCAAGTTGCCCCATTCCCCATTCCATAGAGGGAGCTGAGAAGATAAAATAAATATATGGAGTTCTCCGAGAGCTGATGTTTCTTTTCTTACCCACAGTCATCTCATCAATATTGTCTTTCATCGATGTTAGATGTTAGATATTAGTTGTTCATAGTCTCGGTCGAAGAGTGACCGGCCGGTCGGAATAGACCCGTCTTGGCAGTAGCCTCCAACCTCGCCATTAGCGCCAACCGGGGTGGCCGCTGGAGCGGCGTCGTCGAATCAGCGCGGTTTACCAAAATAAGCTGAGTTAGTTCCTACTGTCTTGGTGCTGTCAGCACGGCCCGCGAGCTGAACGGATCACCATATTATCATCCCAGCCCAATATTACCAACACTCTATTGACATATAGACAACGTTGCCACGCGTTTGAACTGTACCCCACGTTCTCATCGCCGTTTCCCCGCAAAGTGTCAGCTCTCTTGGCCGCTTCTCTGCGTAATATATTACTGTAGTATCAGCTGGGAATACCCTCCTGTCGATACGAATCTCGCACCAATGGAACCCTTGCACAGGTGGGCACGAGGGTGTGTAGTTGCGGCCCGTAAAGTAAGGTTCCCCCAATCTTTGCGTGAAATCTGTATGGGAACATCTGTAGCACAGAGGCACCTTGCTGGTATATGTGCACATCATATTAAGCTTGACGGGGAGGGGAGAGTACGGCTGACACTGCTGCGCCATTATTGACATATATACAGTCCTATATAGAAACTTATTTGCAGTCCTATATACAGCTCTGCGCACATAGGGTGAACTATAGCAGATTCCACTTATGGAGTAGTAGCTTCATTCCACATGTCTCATTTCTCAGATATCCCCAACCCCAGCGTTGCCCGTAAACTTACTCTTAACGCTACTATCTGGAAGAGGCGTAACCACATACATCTTGGATGTATACCTGTTAATTGTAGTCAACGCAGCTGTATTCGTCAAGCTCGGCCAGCCGCCCGAGCCCGTCACTGTGTTGACTTCGCACGCCCGGCCAAGGGTACTCGAACAAGCCGAGGCACTACTCGAATCAGGGACATTGTAGATTAGTCCAGTGTAACTCGCCATTGGTGAATCAACGCTTCCAAACATGTTACCTTCCAGTAGGGCACTAGTGCTATCGTATATATCGAAAGCATGTCCCTTCATATTGGAAAATAAGTTGTTGCCGGCCTGGACTGTGACCGTACCTCGAGGCTGCTCAGCATCGACATCAGCGGGCACACCAGAGCTCGTAGCGCAGGAGCCACGAGTAGCGCCGAGCTTGGTACTGTCCATGGGGTAGGTGGAGTCGAGCCAAAGCATGTTAGCAGCATGGTCGTCCCAAAGGGACATGACCAGGACCATGGGCTTAGCTAATGCCGCGCTCAGTGTGGCTAAGCCTCCTTTGTCCATGAAAGAAGTGTTGTCACCAAAAGCTGCCCTTTGCGCCACGCAGTAGTCTTCAGTAACGGAATTTCCAGAGACACCGGTAATCAAACTCTCCGAGTTGGCGAGAGCCTTGTCATCCTGGAGTAAAAGCGTTTGATATCACTTAGGCGCCATTGGACCCAGTGAGAAACTGGGTGACAACTGTCATGGGCTTTGTAGAATCAACGGTGAAACTGTCGCCAGGGCCGTAGAAGGTCAGATCACCTTGATGGTAACTGTTGAAGTCACATCCATCGGGGTCGCAGTTGCCACCATAACGGTCTGTTGAATATGTGCCGCCGCATGCATCTCCAACGCGTGAATGGTATGCACCATTGGTGCAAGGATGAGGGGTTTAGGCTGTTGCGACCTTGTTGGCCTCCCAGATATCCATCTCGGCACAGCAAGCACCAAGGGTGCCAATGTCAGCGTTTGCATCGTTGGAGGAAGCGGCCCAGCTTTCCACATTAGCCTGGTTGCAAGTTAGTTTTATAGCGTCTTCAATTGGGGAATGAACATCTTACTTCACCGTCAATAAAATTGACGTCCCGCGGACATTGAGAGTCGCAGTATCCAGTTCCGCATTTTGGACCAGCCGTGTTGCTAGAAAACTTTCTTACACCACCATCCAAGTCCATGGACGAGATGTAAAGAGCCCCATTAATACCGCAGCTAATTCCCCTTATTAGCTAATGTGATACGAAATCATGCAAATTATACTCACTCCAGATTAGATACATCGACATCAAAGGTGAACTCATTCCCCAGCAGAGTTAAGCCCTGATACTTGCTCCCCGACTCAAGTAGATACAGACGGCTGCCGATATTCGTGCTGAATTCGCCCTCAGCGACAAATTTCAATGTCAACGCATCACCATTAGTCGTAGCACCATAAGTGCCCCCTAGTCGGCGCCATCAAGACAGCATGTCGTAGCACACTCCGCATTGGAAGGGCAGAGCGCTGCATCCCACTCGTTGCCGGTGTAACAGTTGACATACCCGTCAGTGGTGTGAAGCCAGCGCCAGTTTGAGTCGATGACGACGGATCCCTGTTGACTTGTGCAAGTGCCTCCCATGGCGCACTTGGACCAGGCCATGGAAGGATGAGTTTAGGCAGTGAGGGTGCATGCTGACTGGGCGTGAGCAGCGGTCACAACAGCGGCGAGAGCTGCGACCTTGGATATCATACTGAACTAAGTTAAATCTGACAAATAACGGGCGGCCTGAAGAATATGGACAGATGAAACTCACGACATACTCTGTGGACTAGACATGATTATTATATACTTTTTGTGCCGTTCCTATGGCCCGTTGCTCATGGGCTTATAGGTGGGGACATATTAACATTCATTTCCGTTTTAAATGAATGATTCTGTAAGTGAAAATCCCTGAAAATCTCTCAATGAAATTGCAATTGTTGCAGCCACCATTGCGGAATTCATGGAAAATCAGCTTCTTGATTCTATAGGAATCATCTCATGATACGTGGGAAACCGTCGATAATTAGGAATGCGGATACTTGCCTAGTTTAAACAAGGATTACAGCCGGAGCCATATACCGAAGATTTAACAAATGCTACCGAGAACTACTGCAACCCTAATAACTAGTTCGGCACAACAACCCCACTCCGAACTGGTGTATCGGTAACATATCCGCCTCTCACCATTCGAAAGAATTATGAATCCGCGGTTGCGCGGGGTTCGACTCCCCGGTTCGGAATATTTCAGAACCATCTACTCTTAAGTAGACCAGTCAATTTTTTTTGTTTTTGTTTTTGATCTATTTTTTGCCGATTCTAAGTGTTTGGCAAACCTTACACGGATTACATAGATGGTTAATATCCCCACACTTCAGCCAGTCAAACTGGTTAAAGTTAAACATGCACATGTAAGGGGAAGATGTTTTAGGCAGATGAGGCCCTAGCCGTATAATAATCATATTATTGGTGGCCTTCTTATATTTTTTTAAGCCGCCTCTATGATCGGCGAAAGGTAGTTCTACAGAAAGAGAAAAGTACAAAAGAAAACCTGAACTCCGTTTGTTAAAATACAGCAGTGGGGATTGTCTCCACATGTTAACTTTTTCCCCCAGATAACATGAAATCTAATGACAGCCGCGCTCGTCTAATTCGAGGGGTTATGAATGAACTTCTCATATCGTATTACCAAGTGATTGGGAGCTCAGTAATGCCAACATCACGCTCTGGAGGTGAGTACTTGACCTGATCCAGCGGAACTGCCAGCTTCAAATTTGGGAGCCTCTGGAACAAAGTAGCTGTAATCATTTGTTAGCCGTGAAAGTTAGAATGCAAGAGGAAAACTGCTTACAGAAGACGATCTCCAACTCAGTGCGAGCAAGCCCCTCCGCAACACAACGATGCTCTCCATATCCGTAACCGAAGGCTGATTCGGTCCCGCGCTTCCTGTACATGTCAAATGTATCGGGGTTCTGGAAGACGTCGGCATCGCGGTTTCCGGATTGTGTGGCTGCAATTATTCCTTCGCCGGCTTTAATTGTCTGCGGGGTTCACGAGTCAGTAATAGATGCAAAACTGTGGAAAATGAGCCTTACCTTGCCACCTAGGGTGATGTCAACCTTGGCCACACGTCGAGTGGCTAGGGCAGAGGCAGTGTGGAAACGGCATAGCTCCTCGACGAAAATTGGTGCGAGAGATGGAGCTTTCTTCAGATCCGCGAGTTGGGCGGGATTCTCAAACAAGGTAACTATTCCCTATGAAACAGAAAATCGAGCATGTCAGTTAATTCTCTGAACAGTTTGTGGAATGACTAACCAGATTAATCATGTTGACCATGGTAGCGTTTCCTGCAACGAGCATTAAGAACGCCATCTGAATGGCGTCGTCTCGCTGAATGTGACCCGGCACGAGCTGGCAGAGAATATTAGTAAGAGTTATCTGGTCAATAGACAGGAGGAGTTTTACTCACCTGTTCTGTTACAAGTTTGCTGATGAGATCGCCATTCGGCTCAGAAACTCTCTTGTCAACCAACCCCCCGATATAGTCGAGGAGGTCCCTAAATGGTTCGTTAGAAACGAACGCCAATGAGGAAATACGTGAAACTCACTGGTTTGCTTGGGATGCGGCTGTTGCGGTAGCGCTTCCATTACTGCGGATGGCGGCTTGGTGTGTGAGAAACTTGAGGTCTTCGAATGGTACACCAAGGATTCCGTAAATGGTCTAAGAAAGCAACCAAATATGTCAGCATTCGATTTTTTTGCAAGAGATAGAAAACTCACGTAAGATGCAACCGGGAGAGCCAGCTTCTCCACGACATCAACCGGATTCTTGCAGCCATCCTTTATCATCTCGTCAAGAAGAGTATCAACAGTATTCTGAATGCTGGGACGCATTCTCTCAATAGCCTCGCGCGAGAAAATGTCTTCGATCATGCCCCTGTGAGATCAAAACATATTAGCCCAGCTCTAGTATTGGATTATCGGATTTGCTACCTTGACTTCATGTGGTCCGGCTTGTCCATATCAACAAATGTCGGCTTTCGCTTCGCTGCCTCCTTTCCACCCTGGTCGAGCTCTGGGAAGCCAGGACGGTTGCGTTGCTTCGAAAGGCGCTCGTCAGTGAGGACACTGCAGATATCTTTGTGTTTAACAACGAGCCATGCTTGGCTTCCATCCCAGAGCTCGACCTTGGATACGGGGTCGGTGGCTCGGAGGTGGGCATATTCTTCTGCTGGCTCTGCTCCGCGGGGGCGAGAGAAAGGAAACTTTGGCGTGCCTATCAACCAACATAATTATTATCAGAGTGACGGAGGTAAACGGACTCTTTCTTACCTGCAGTTGTAGACATGGATTTCAGGGCAGTTTTGGAGATTCTGAAGACCGACGACTTCGAAGAGCTCAAGGAGGAAATGGGTCTGAAGGCAAGCATCTTGAAAGGTATGATTCAAAGTGCAGTAATAGAGATGGGTGATGGTCTACAAAAATTTCAGTTACCAGCGACCTGCACGAGCTCATATACTTTTTGTTCCCTTGTCGACAACTAGGCAAACCGCCTGTTCCGGGTATCGTATGGCTCAGTCAGCCTTTTGCTTTGACTCTTACAACGCATGATTGTAGCTATAAAATGAGTCAATATCAAATTTGCAACACAAGTTACGAGAACGATCGGAATATTAAATCGTCATAGTGCCTGGTGGCGTCGTACCCGTTGAGGTTTCAGCCGCTCCCGCGGAGCCTCCTGCCGCCTCACCGCGGAGATGCACCTCTCACCAGGGTAAAATCAAACACGGCCGGCATTATATGCACCTCCTCCCCATCAAAATCAGGCGATTACAAACATTTCAATTCCTTGATTCTCCGCACACGGGATATAGGGCAGCTTGATTCGTGCTGATAAATTTATATAACTTCCGCCCCCGGGAAATATTCTAGCTGCCATATGTAATACGTACGCTATGTGCGGTTTCCATTATGATATCCACTATTATATACATTTCAAAATCACGACAACCTGAATCCTCCACTAGTTCTGGTCTGGAAGAATCCCTCAGGATCAACTGCGTGTCTGACCACGCGAGCCTTCTCGGCCGTGCGCAATCTACCCCAGTAATCCTCTCTGAAATACGCATCGTTCATGAACAATGGGCGGTATATATCAGGAAGAAGTCCGTTATCCACGTGCTGGTCAACGATGTTGCGCATGCCACTGTACAAGTTCTGGGTCGCTGCGTCAACTGCAGTGTCGGAGCTTGCGAAGAGGTAGGAGAAGTCAAGTTCGATAACGATGTAGTCGTGGGTCGTCTCAAAGTCCATCAAGTCCTGTAAGGCACGGTTAGACAGCGTATCTTTATTATTTTGAGATTGTACTTACTCCTCCCAGTGCCTTAGCCTTGCTCGTGATTGAACGCGGCATTGGCTGGAAAGCGATCGAACTGAGCAGTCCTGGCTCCAAGATGATTGACTTGGTAACATCAGTCCAGTGGTCATATATCGACCTCATGACTACGGCACCCTCAGTCTTGTTCGGGAGAGGCATCGTTTCTGTGGCAATAACGTATCGCTGACCCTCCAAGATAAATTGGTCGTTAAACTTTACGAGCTCAAGGTAACTCCTTGTCTTAGTTGTCTTGAGTATGGGTCCAATGTGCGTGAAGTTATCGAAGACTCCTGCCGGAGGCTCAAGACCATCGTAGAACAGAAACAAGATCCAGGTGTTGAGGAGGGTGCTACGTTCTGAAGTCGCGATGATTGCGGCTTTATCATCCAGATTATATTCGGTGAAATCACGGATTGCGGCGAGCACCTGGTCAGTCTTGCTACCATCGATGATGTAGTTTCCGCCCCAGACTTTGTGTGCCTGTGGATGCGTCTTGATTGTGAACGCTGTCACGATTCCGAAGTTGTTACCACCACCCTTGAGGGATGCGAAGAGATCTGAAGCCTGTTAGCAAATTTCGACAGTTTTAAGATCCCATGCTGACCTTGGTTTGCCGTTGCATTGGCATTGACAATGGTGGCGTTTGCAAGGACAATCTCATAATTGACAACGTTGTTCGCCCCCCATCCGTACTGTGCACTGAGGAAGCTGAGACCCCCTACTTAAAAGTTAGCAGGAACGAATGAGAAGTTGGTGCAATATAACTCACCTCCAAGAAGATATCCTCCAACTCCAACGGCGCCCATCCGCCCACCGACAACAGTGCGGCCGGTCTGCTCAATACCCTCAATGATCTCCTCCCATTTGAGACCAGGACCAACAACAACGTTTGTAGTATCAGGGTCGTATACGACCTGGTCGAGGTTTCGGGTAGAGATCAGAATCCCATTGGCAATACTGGCAAAACCATTGTTGGGCATATGGCCTCCTGACTTGACAGCGAATTGGTCATTGGTCTCATGCAGCGCTGCAACAATGTCGGCCACCTCTTGGGTACTGTTCGGAGAGAGCATGCATCTCGGACGAAGACTTGCGCATGCTGTTGACCAGTAGTTGTTCTGTTCGGTTTCGTATGCGAGACTGAAAGGCTTGTCCACATTTCGGCCGGAAGCCTTCAGTGTTTGACAAATGTCTGCAAGCGCAGGCGCCGCTGCAAGAATCCCAATCGCAGCAGCGAAGCTGGTAGAGGACCTCATAGCTTAAGTGATTGAGAGAAAATATACGAGATTCAACGCCACAAATTCTTGCCTGTCACTTCCGCAGCGGGCGGCGCCCTCCATATAAAGCCCCCCAATATAGGAGAACGCCCATCCCGGATACGTCTGTATGGCACGATCACAAGCGATGAAGAAGAGGGCTTCGCCTCGGCAGCGTTTTCCGGAATGTAAACTCACATATATTCCGGGGATGAGTTCCTTGCTCGGACGATCATCTTGAATAGGGCCTAATGGTTATGATCACAGCTGAGTGAGAGGTGGGGCTACATGGTTATAATCACAGCTGAGCAAGCGGGGGGTCTTACTTCGGCAGCCCTTCCCTAAATATAAGGGCTTCCCGACATAGGGGATTGCCTATCTTGGATAGGCCCTTATGGTCAGGCTCAAAGTTAAAGAGGTAGAGGCTCCACCTCGACAGCCTCGCCAACCTATTTAAGGCGACATGTCATATGTCACTGACGTCTTGCGAGCTATCGCATTCGCGTGCCTGAACTATCAAATCCATCTCGGTTGCGGGTAACGGAAACAGGTACCAGTAAACAAACTGTTCCTATAAGGCCTTAGTCGTTCTATTTTCACCTGTAGGGGGGAGTGAGACTCCAATAGACAAACTTGGCGACTTTAACCAAACTTGGCTTTGGGCGTCAGTGTCCGACAGGGAATTGCCGGACCTACTTACTATAAGGTTAGTGGGTTCGGCATAACAAACTAAAGTTTTCGTACTCGTATGCCGTGACAGAATCTTACTGGGGGGGATCAGTGTTATCTCGTAGTTAGGTACACCTTACTGGATGGTGGTCGTTATCACATAATGCTTATCCCTGGTAAATAAAAACGGGGCAACTATTGCGTGCCTGCAGGTTTCACACGGAGCAGATAAGAGCTCAAAAGGGGCAGCTAGCAGCTGGGTTCACGTAACGATATCCGTGTGCCACACACGAAACTTCAGGTGATTTTTGAGTTTACCTTCATTGGGATTGCCATGACCCGCATCTTACTCCAATAATGGAATTGTTATAACCGGGGCTACATCAGTATGCGGGGGGCATACCCGGGCCTAGCGCAATTCTGTTAGGATGGGGTGTTTGCGGGGTGTACGGGTAATAAGGATGCCAAGCACGTGCGTGGCGGATATCAAAATATGAGACTTGGAGGAGACCACAGAGTTCTCACAATTGTATCTGAATAGCTTCACATATAGACTCCATTAACATCATTATTTGCCCGCTGAAGACTTCAGTGGCATGAACAGTGCAGCCAGAATAACTCTACACGATTCCACGTCACGGACGGCCAATAATATCACAATTCAAAACCTTGCTGAACTTTGGTCTCACCGGCTACTACCCCGGATAATGCAGTAGAAATACCCATGGCAAAGATCTTCCTACTGAGCCTTTATTTTGGTTTCAAATAGAGACTCTTCCCTTTTTGTAGCAAGGATGATGACCTCGGCTGTAAGTCAGTTATGTTTCTGAGGCTTGATACCAAACTTTTGTCGAGCATTGCCAATTACGACAACCATATCAAAGGTCGGCAGTTAAGGGGATCAGAAGTTCATGCGGGGTATCGGCAGTCACAAGCCACAAATAAAGCTTGCTTCAGTGTCTTAAAGTCTATCAATTGCTTCCCTCGTCGAAGTGTCAAAGCACACAGCGAATAACACAAAAATAATCTACATATCTCAGGAAGTTGGGAAATTAACTATTGCCTACACCACCACCTATGATCAAAACAAGTTCGCAACAAACTTCTGCACAGCCGGCGACTTCGATGCCGCCTTGTAGCCCAGGGTAAGTGCTGCCGCCAGAGTCACATAGGTCGTAATCGCAATCACAGGAACCACGGTCTCCTCCACAACTCTTCCGATGTTCTCCTTGCCACGCTTCACAGCCACGTCGCTACCCGATCCAGAGATGTCGTACTCGCCAACCCAGTCGATTTGCGACAGCCTCTTCTGGTACTCGACGACAGTTCCGCACCAGTTGTTGGTGACCAGGCCGTCTCCAGTCTTGTACCAACTTTTGCAGCTCGAGTCGGAGAACGTCAAGTCCTTCATCCTCTCCTGGACCATGTCGTTGTAAGCCTGCACCACCTCTGGTCGCGGCTTGATGGCTATTTGCTTTCCGAGGCTCTTGGCCTTGAGCACCTTCCCAATCATACTGCTGATGTACCGCGACTGTGCCTCAATCATCAGGATAATGGACGTGTGTCCGAGATTCGTGTTTGGTCCGTATGTCATGCCGAAGTTAGGTAGAGACTCGACCGTCACGCCGCGGAAGGCGCGCGCACCACCCCTCCAGATGTCTTCGAGGGAGCGGCCGTCGGCACCGCGAATCTTGATTGGGTACATGAATTCAGTTGCGCGGAAACCGGTCGCGAGGATGAGAATGTCAAACTCGTGTAGCTTCCCCTCCACCTCAACACCTGCGGGTGTGATGCGCTGGATGGGCGTCGTCTCAATGAAGACTTGCGGCTGAGCCAAAGAAGGAAGTAAATTATCGGTCATCAGGATTCTCTTGCAGCCAGGGGAGTAATTTGGCGTAAGCTTCTCCCACAGATCGGGCCGGCCAGGAATCTGTTTCTTCAACAGAGAAATGGCCCACTCGCGCACGTGGTCGTTCTCTTCCGTATTCTTTCGCATATTCGAGTCGAAGAAGTTTTCTCTAACATCCATGAGGATAGCTCTGTATCGCGCGCGTAGGCCAGGTACGTATTTAAACGCTGACCGAATGATTGGGCCAAGAACCTCGTCGGCACGAGGAACGACCCAGTTCGGCGTCCTCTGGAATATCGTTAAATTCTTGCACACCTTGGACACCTCCGGGATGATCTGTGCGGCAGTAGCGCCGTTGCCAATAATCCCGATCTTCTTGCCTTCAAGGTCGATACTCCAGTCCCATCTCGCGGAATGCAACATCTTGCCCTCGAAGGTATCCAGCCCTTCGATGTCAGGGTATTGCGGGGTGTTCAGCTGGCCTACACCAGAGGCGAGGAAATCGCTCTTAATCGAGTACGCAGCGCCGTATTGTGCCGACTTCTCGCCTGAGACGCTGACATTAACCGTCCATTTGCTCTCCTTGTCCGACCAGACTGCCTCGTCAACAGACGTGTTGAATCGGATATGCTTGAACAAGCCCCATTTCTCTGCGACACCGACGAGGTAGGCATAGATCTCCTCCTGGCCAGGGTATTGGCGCGACCAGTTTGGGTTGGGTTCGAACGAGTAAGAATATAAGTGGCTCCAAACTGGGGCAGTTGTCAGCAATGCGCCTCGTCAGCACTCTATTCAAGGTCCTTACCATCGCAACATGCTCCTGGGTATTTATTATCAGCCCAAGTCCCCCCAACCTGGCTTCCCCTCTCGAGAATTATGAAATCTCTCGATTTGTTCTTTCGGATCATATCGATGGCCATGCACATTCCTTGAGAGTAGTCAGTACCTGCCTTGTCTCAGGTCCATTTGTACACCCTGCAACGTACCTGAGATACCCGCGCCGATGATTACAACAGCCGCATTCGCATGGCTCTTCCGCGAAGCTGAGTGATCACTTTTGTCATAATCCGGGGTCAAGACCGCGACGGATGCGAGCTCCTGTTGCGCGATGAACGCTTTGAGTAGCTTCTTGTCCATTTTGGCGGTTAATGTGAGAACACTGGGGGTGTCTGTATTGTCGCGTGGCTCGTCTTTCCTTCGCGCGCGCAAATAATAACGCCCGCAGAGGTAACAAATAACAGTTGACAGCAGCAAGCCTCAAGGGTGAGGTTTTCAGATGCTAGGGACAGAGTTGCAGTAGAGTCCTTTCTTCTTCTTGACGCTCCTTCTTGGTCTTGGTTATGTATAATACCCCCCCTGCACGTGCCGAGGAGGGATCATATGAATAGCAGTCTCCCCATTCGACTAGATCCATTTGAGGAGAGCTTGGGGTTTCATTATTGGCTGGAGCGTCGGCGAGTATTTTACACTGACTCTGTTTTGCGGGGTAAATGCACTGACAGAGCTCTACCCGAGGCAAATAGAGGTCGCTTGGAGAACGACGACTCCATCCTTCCCCACCGTTCCCCGTCTCCTACCGTGCTTGGCGCCGCACCCGAGGCAAAACCGCTCATAATTTCCATAATATGCATAAATATGTCGACCTCGTTAAGTCAGTCCGAGGCTGGGGATTAATAATGTTCCATAGACACGTCTTTTCTTCTCTACTTTCTCTTCTTTCGTCCTTTATTCCGCCGGTAGCTTACTCAGTTTGATATGGTAGCTACCGAAAAGCGATCTGTGGAAGAGCCGCCGTTCTCTACTAAAGCCAAAACAAAGAATATTAGGACGATCAAGGGTCATATCATACCAAGGTACGACGACAGGGCTCACCTCGGCTCGGTCCCTGACTTTTCGTGGCTAGGCGGCAGTATAAGGGCTGAACAGTGTCGAGGCACCATACAAGCAAGCTCCTGTGGGGAAATAAGAACCTGGGGAGCATCAGCTATAGCTCTAGAATCTGGAATTGCTTGGATTATACATATATTTCTCTACTAGTTGTATGCACTTACGTACATTTATATAGGTGCTTGGCTTGTCTCCTCTTGCCATATACCATACTCTGTACCATACTATTTATGAGATATATAAATGTGACTATGCTATCTATATATGGATAGTACAGCGCTTCACTTACGTACGCGAAGGAGCTACTTGCTTGGCTTGTCTCCTCTACTCTTACCATAGTAATATCACATTTATTGTGAAAGTGGTAATTATTATAGTTATTATAAGTATGCAATAAATATTCATACTTAAACACGTGCTATTCCGGGTTGTGAACTGGCAAGGCTGAACAAACTGGTGGCGAGGCTGAGGCAGCTACGTAGGGGGAGGAGCTGGTGAACACATATTAATATGGCTTGGCGCCTCGCAATTCAATCCAACAACTCCCATCATATCATTCGTCTACCATCGACAACGACCTACGTGACCACGAATATGAGATATCGATAGCACTACCTGCATCAATATGATGCCTCACGAACCATCCCCCATCTCCCCAACTACGCCCACCAAATTCCCTCCGCCAACGCGCAGCGCTACTCTTCCCATACCCCCGCGCACATGGTCCGCTCCTACCGACAGAACGCTTCTCGCGCCTGAAGATGCAATATATCTCGGGTCGCCACCGCATAGGAGGGGGGCAGCGGACAAGGCGAATCTGCGCATGTCCAACGGCGACACGACAGGAGATGACAGTTCGAGGGGTCACCGGCGCGGGAGGAATAAGGAGAGGATGAGCAGCAGCAGGAGGCGGAAGGTTATTTGGAAGAAGCTGCTCTGGGTGAAGCAGTCCTGTTTGTCTCTCAATTGTGACTATCGCCAGATCATGCGCTGACCCTCATAGATCCCGATAATTACACCGACCAAGAAACATTCCTCGAGCACCTTCAGCGAAACCCACGGCTTCAACCATACGACTTCTGGCCACTTGTCGCAGACTCGACCGTCATCGTCCAGCAGGTCTGTTCCGTGATAATCTTCATTGTCTGCTTTGTGGGGATCTTCCAAGAAAGAGTTTCTCCTGTCACCGTTGTTGGGACAGGCACACTCAGCACAGTTCTCGGTTGGGTAGCGTGGGACAGATGGGTTGGGCAAGAACAGCAATCAGTCTCTCGCCCCAATCATCCACCGCGTCCCATTGATGGGCCGTCTATAGCGAGCTCAGTTTCGGGCGCTGTCAAGAGTGATACCAAGCCACAAGGGGCTGGACCTGGCCTCGCAGCGTTGCCACTCAGCCCACGACATTCGCACAGTGCCAGTGCCTCATCCCTCCACTCTCAGACCTCCACCACATCCCCTATAGTTGGCCAACCCAACGGATCATCTACTTTTGTAACTTACAGCCCCGTTGCCCCCTATGGCTCAAGGTCATCCTTCTCCCCGCGAAATCAACAGCGACTAGCGACTGCGAAATCCGCTGTCCTTATCTATTGCGCACTCCTCGGGCTCAGCCCTATCCTCAAATCCCTAACACGGTCGACGTCGAGCGATTCGATTTGGGCGCTCAGCACGTGGTTGATGATAATTAATGTTTTCTTTTTCGACTACGGCGGCAATGTCGGCGTGAAGTTCCAGGCCTCCCTCTCCACAAATGCCGCTCTCATGGCATCGACTGTGCTTGCCTCGCGCCTCCCATCCACCCAGCACGTCTTCTCTCTTACGCTCTTCTCGATCGAAGTCTTTGGACTGTTCCCCGTCTTTCGCAGACACTTGCGCCACGTGTCTTGGCGCTGGCACGTCGCTCTTACGGCACTTCTTGTAATGGGGGCCGGTGGGGGAGTTGGGATGGTGGTTACTCGCGGGGGATGGAAGGCAGCTGTTGTCGGGATGACGCTAGGGAACCTCATCGCAGGCCTGGCTATGGGGGGATGTAGTTGGTGGTTAATTGGGCTCCAGAGGTATAAGAATGAGATACATGGGCCATGGGACCCGGCGAGGCCGATCATACGCCGGCACTGGGAGGATTATTAGATACCATATGATATGCATTTAATGTATTTTTAGGATAACAAAACGAGCACAGCAGCATCAGCCAGTTATACTCTTGATCCTTTGTATACATTAATGCATTATTGTCCTCGAATAGTGAATAAATAGTGAATAGTGGTCACAAATATTCCAGCTTCGCGCCCAGATCCAAATGCAGTTATCTATTAATACACCAATTGTTTACATTGCATTGCATGCAAGCTGAGAACAAGAAACCGCACTATCCCACATATGGGTGTAAGGATCAGGTCTGTGCATGAAACCCCAACCCCCCCCATACTGAACCCATTCTTGCCCTGACAGTAAGCTGGCTCAACCTTACCAACCTCCATATTCAATTCCGCGGATGGGCAAACCCTCTCATTGCGCCCTTAATTGACGACACTGATGTGAGCGATCGAGTTTCGTCCCCGACAATGTCTCTAAACCCAGAGGAGCGGCGGCGTCGCATTTCTAAGTCCCCGGGTCGTGCACCTTCCCCACCAGATGACTACTCTCCACCTCGATCATCCCGCTACGCTGAGCCCAAAAGCTCGCGATACTACGACGACGACGACGACGACGACGACCACCGCGATCGCAAGCGCGGAGACCCCTATGACTATGACGATAGGAGCTCGGCGCGCGCTCCGCGGGAGCCCCGCGACAGAGACGACGGCCCGCGGTACGCCGAGGCTCCATACCGCCCTCCCGCGTCGCATAAAAAGACAGCTAGCTTCGCGATGCCCGGCGGGTTCAGCGACGATGAGGAGGATCCCAAAATTAGTAAATATGGCAAGAAGGAGAAGGATTACTACGGCGACAAGGGCTCGTCCCTGAGCAGGCGAGATGACAGCCCGCCGCCCCGCGATAAGCCGCGCTATGCGGACCCTGAACCTGAGAGTCGATACAAGAGGGATGTGAGCCCGGCGTACAAGCCGCGGTATGCGGAACCTGAGCCAGAGCGCAAACCGCGGTATGCAGAACCTGAACCAGAGCGCAAACCAAAGTCGCGGTACAAGGATGAGAGCCCTCCATCAAAATCCAAATACGACGAGCCAGAAGCGTACAAGCCGCGCAAATACTACGACGACGACGAAAGTCCACCGCGACGGCCCAAGTACGCAGCTCCCGATTCTCCTCCACAACCGAAATATGCTGCGCCAGTTGCGCCAGCTGCGCCAGCTGCACCCCAACAGCCAAAGTACTCCGCTCCAGAGCGAGACGCCAAGCCGAAATACGTAACTGCAGACCCCAGTCAGAGAGGAGGGAATCCGAAATACTGGGACGACAAAGACAAAGACTCGGACTCGGATAGCGATGATAGCGACGAGCAGGATGGCCCAATTGGCGATCGAAGGATAGATATTGACTTTGAGATCAAGCACGACCATTACGATACAACAGTGAGGAAGCGCGAGAAGCACAAGCACCACCACGAGTCGCCAAAGTATAACGAAGTTGCGCTTGTTACCACCACAACGGATTCATCGAGGTATGCCGAGCCGAAGAGGTGGGAGTATGCTCACCCTGAGGAGAAGATTACCTACACAAGCAAGACCGAATCATACACGGCAAACCCCGAACCTAATGCTTACGGCAGGCCAGCTTATGACAGGCCATATGCACCGCCGTCATCAAGCCGCCAGCCTGACCCGAGGGCCCCCGTAAATGGTCCTGGTCAGACTCAGGTCGTTACAGTAGAGCCTGGTCGAAGAAACCGAGCTTCATCCAACTTCGGGCCAGGTGGACTTGGAGCCGGCATGCTTGGTGTCGCAGCCGCTGCTGGCGTCGGTGCCTCTCTAGCAAACGCCCCTGGTTCGCCCATGTTGGAAGCATACAAGGGAACTTACCAGTCCATGGGGCCTCTCACGATTACGTCCAAGCCGTATGCTGACAATGCAGACGTGGATATCTTAGAGATTGCACCACCTGCCTCACCTACCTCCAAGCGCAGACACGCGCGGTTCCATGATCTCGAGAATGAAGCCTCGATCTTGAAAAAGGCGCTTCGTGAGACGAAGTCAAAGGCCTACCCTGATCCGCGGCCCTTTATTGAGATTCTTCCCGCGCTCACTCATGAGCAGATTCTTGATCTCCGCGCCGAGTACAAGAAGCAAGTCAAGACACCTGACATGAAAGGTGTGAATATCGCAAAGCACATCAAGGTGCGTCTAAAGGAGGATAAGTTCTTCCTCAAGGCCTGCTACGCCACTGCGCTGGGTCGGTGGGAGTCCGAAGCGTACTGGGCAAACTCGTACTACCAGGGCTCGCAAACCAGTAGAGAGCTGCTGATCGAGAGTTTGATGGGAAGGACCAACGCCGAGATCCGTCAAATCAAAGAGGCTTTCCGTGATAAGAAGTACTCCGACAGCCTGACCCGTTGCATGAAGCAGGAGCTCAAGGAAGATAAATTCAAAAAGGCAGTCATGATGGTGCTGGAGGAGAAGAGAATGGATGAGCGCCCGGGCCGGTCGCTCGACCGCTCCTTAGTAGAGCAGGATGTCAGAGACTTGAATCGTGCCATTAAGTCGGAGCGAGGTGGTGAGAGCGTGATGATTGGGATTGTCGTACAGAGGTCTGACAGTCATATCCGTGAGATATTACGCGTTTATGAGGCTTCATTTCGCTCGAATTTCGCGAGAGAGATGCTGAAGAAGAGTGGGAACTTGGTGGTATGTACTATCCCGCTGGCTATTAATTGAAGATAGAAGCTAACACTCACCCAGGGCGAAATGCTGGCACATATACTGAACGGCATCATTAACCGCCCTGTCCGCGACACGTTGTTACTGCACCATGCGCTCACTCTCACCAAGTCTGACAGCTTGCGTGTCGACCTCCTTATTTCGCGCCTAGTTCGATACCACTGGGACCGACCTCATATGGAAGCCATCAAGAGAGAATACCGGAACCGATACGGCAAGGAGCTTCAAGAGGCAGTACGAGAGGGGACGAAGGGTGCGTGGGGCGAATTCTGCGAGGAGCTATGCGTGAAGAGAGTGGGAGATGAAGTGAAGCGGTTTGATAAGGTCGAGAGAATCGAGAGGGTTGAGAGAATCGAGGTGCATGGTGGCCCCAACGGGGGGTATAGGTAGAGATGATATACTTCGGAGGGATTTTTGATAGGGAAAACATATGGGGAAATATCGTTCATAGTAGGCAGAGATATACTCAATTCAAATGGCGTTAGCCAGGTCCACATCCACTGCTCTTGGAACCTTTAGCGTTTCAACCCCGGGTGCCAGGGTCACGCTTCCGCACTGCCAAATACAGATGATGTTTAAATCGATAATTTACTCAAAGGTGACACCAATAACTTCTTCCAGTAGTTCTTTAGTCGATTATATTTACAACAGGCGATCTTTCGGTGAACTCCGCGACTTAAACCGGCCTCGTTCGCGCTTACTAAGCCTCCCATACTCAGCTCCTCTTAGAACGTAAGCAGAGCAGCCACATTATCTTTTGTTCATAACAAAGGCCAAGGAAAGAGTTGGTCCCTTGTCCCTGTTTGTTTTCGAATTGATAGCCCGCAATCTAGATTCAACATGAAGAAGTTTTCATTCCGCACGTTCCGGCCGTCAAAAGGTACGTTACTTACTTCCTACACCGTGGTCGTGGCAGGCATGAGGGAGGATCCCATGTGTGGCTACTTGGGATATGCCTCGATTCATTGCCTTTTAGCCTCTTCTGTTTTAATACCTTCTCGGTATTTAATCCGACTATCTAACCCTCATGTGTGAATGGGAAATATTCGTATCACTGGGCGGCACACATACTGAGAATATCACATCAGATTCGGGAGGAGAGCAAGGGTCATCATCAAGTGACAAGCAAGCTGTTTCCTCGAAGCGGAGAGAGCAAGTTCGGAAAGCTCAACGGTATGTCCCCAGATGTCATCACTCCATGTCCCTAGCGGCTGGACTTCGCGTGGATTGTGATTCGCGTGCTAGACGGTACTCAAGAGGGTTACTGCTGCGGTGGTGCCCAATAGAGCTGAAATCTGATCAATTACAGGACACATCGCGAGCGCAAAGAAATTTACATGAAGTCGCTAGAAACAGAGGTACTACTGCTACGCACCAACGAAGCCAACTTACTGCAGGAAACCCGGAGCCTGTACGCAGAGATTGACCAACTTAAGAGCGTCCTCACCGAACTTGGTGTCCAGTTGCCCATCGTGGGTGCATCAGGCCTGGCAGAGTATGGATCTACCGCATTCCCCACCAACTCCGTGGTGAGTATCCGGCAAGGCAGCATAGGACCACAGATACACGTGGGTCACTCAGCGGCAGATACAAGGCACCGCAACGACGGATCTCATTTACCCGCAGCCCCTCCTACAGGCGGGGCTCAGCGTGTTTTTCATAGAGAAGATAGCCAGGCATCGAATGTCACTAGCAGCTTTCAATCTCGTAAGTTAGAAGGCACCCTGTTTACGTCTTCTCGCCCGCTAATTGCTACTCAGCTGCCTCTGGAGGGGTATTGTCGTCTCCCAATGCCTACGAATCGGGACAGTCTGTGACAAGCCCCGAGAGCACCGCTGACATCGACATGGAGAGTATCGGGGTAGAATTTGTATTAACGTTAGTTCCCCCATGTCCCCCTTCGGACAGAGATCCCCAGCCACTCTGTATCTAATATACTCGACTACAGCCTGGAGAGTCCCTGTCTCGGTCATATGCAAGGAAATCCCGACGACCCAGAAGCCCCCAGTGGCCACGTTCTCACAGTCTCTGCGCCTCTCCTCTTCAGAGCTCCCAGCATAGCTACAGGTCCCCACATCTGCACCACCACGCCCTGGGAGGCACCCGCTTCTGGGCTTGAACGGCTCTTGAACCTATCTCAGGGTTTGGTACTAGATGGCGAGGTCACGCCAGTTCAAGCGTGGAATTACATCAGGCAGCGCGTGGGTCCCCAGGGCATTGAGGTGGAGAGATTGCGGGCCCTGACAGAGAGGCTGCTAAAGGAAGTTAGCTGCCATGGGTAAGTTTATCGTACTCCACTCCAGCAATGGTGGTAAGGAAGGCTTGATTGCTGAATTAACTCCGATATAGGTTTGGCGCTGTTGTCGAACAAGGGGCTTTTGAGGGTCTGGTATTCGATACACTGGTAGTTGGACAGGCTTCTTAAAAGCTAGTTGGTATTTTGAACACAAAAGCTGGGGCGTGCGTGAGTTCTACTTAGTATCGGGGATTGAATCGGGGATTGAACCGGGGATTGGTCAATTCCCGTCTGAATTGTGTTACATAGCTCTTCTCATAGTGTAGTAACGCTTCACGGAAATAAAGAGGCTATTCCATTTAAACTCAGTCTTTATTGAGACTACGGTGTCAGATAAGCCATATCCCCTCACTTTGTGCTCGTTCCGTCTGTTCCATATGAGGGTTGTTCCTGATGCGACGTCTCGTTTGGCGATCCCACTTACCCCTGTCACAATGATTCCTGATCAAGAATTCCCTAATTGAGACTAGCGTGGCCTTCGAATACTAACTTCACCAACAATATGCAATGTTAACCTCCACCAACAAGAGTCTGTTTCGGACGCGCAGGTTTTGTCCAAAGCGAGGGAAATTGATTGAATAATCGGTAGCAGAGTGCTCATAGTAGGACCATGAGTGCTTCATCTTTCCCAATATGGCAAGGTAGGTGGAGGGGACATCAAGTATAAGTAATATGGATTTCGCTCTTTCTAAACCCTTCTGTATACCAATAAGCTTGCCTTTACCTTTCCTATCAGCATTTAAATATTGATCACTTTCGGTTATCTTCCATTCCATCACCATGCCAGGCCTTTTCCAAAAGATTCTCTTATCAGCTGCCCTGCTCGGGCTGGCAGTTGAAGGCGCTCCAAGCACAGCAACCAAGCAGCAGGGCAATGGCCCGAAAGCCATTTACTTCCTAACCAACAATGCTCAAAATGCTGTCGTTGCGCTACCAGTCGGATGCGATGGAACGCTATCTCGTGGATCCGTCACCGGGACTGGGGGTAAAGGATCAAACTCAATTGATATGGGCACAAACTTGCCCGCTGGCCCAGACGCATTGAGTAGCCAGTCTGCACTCAAAGTGTCCGGACAGGTAAGGAAGTACTGCATCGATGCGGTTTCAGGCTCTAACGCTGCTTAGTATTTGTTTGCTGTGAATGCCGGCTCCAACTCCCTCACTATGTTCTCGATTTCCGCCAAAGACCCAACAAAACTCACCGCACTAGGCCAGTCTGCTTCCGTCCCAGGCGACTTTCCTGTCACCGTCGCAGCTTCCGCCAAGAACAACCTTGTGTGTGTTGGCACCACAGGAGCCAAATCGGGAGTCTCTTGCACATCTTTCTCTTCGCAGGGCCTCGGCAAGATGGACGCCCTTCGCCCATTCGGCCTCGGCCAGACCACACCACCCGTCGGCCCATTCAACACTGTCTCCCAAGTTTTCTTCTCCGGTGACGAGTCTGTCCTCTTCACAGCTGTCAAGGGCAACCCTCCTGCGAACAACACAGGCTTTATCTCTGCATTCCCAGTCAACGCCAAATCTCCCTGTGGAGGCGCAATTACTACTCTGTCGACGACCGAAACGCGCAGCTCCCCTGCCGGCACCGCTGTCCTGTTTGGCTCCGCAGCAATTCCTGGCAGCACCTCACTCTTTGTGACGGACGCTTCCTTCGGTGCCGCCGTCCTCGCTGTTGACTCGAGCGACAAGACCACCCTGACAGGGAAGGGCGTCATCGCCGATCAGTCTGCTACGTGCTGGGTCGCCATATCCGACGTCACTGGAAATGCTTATGTTACCGATATTGCTGTGAACCACATTGTTGAGATGAGCACTAAGGATGCTAGCATCATCAGCTCTACTGATCTATCTGCGAACGGCGGCACTGGACTTACCGACATTGCGTCGGGAGGGAACTTTTTATATGCCTTGAGCGCGGGGGATGGAAAGGCCAAGGCGACAGTGACAGTTTTGGACGTCTCAGGAGGAAAGGTGAAACAGGTCCAGTATTTCGATGTCAGCTCGACTGGCGCGGGCAAGAATGCGCAGGGGATGACATTGCTTATGTGATTTCGTCCAGAGTGCAAAAACATCATATATTGGATTAGAAACCCAGGGGGTAAAGGGGAAGGGGGGAGGGAGAGTCAAGTATTAATATTGTTGTTAAAATCAAATTCTGTTGTTCTATATATGGATATCTACATTGGCATCCGCCTCATCTCTGCTACAGTCCAGTATTTCCTCATATTCTCGGCACCCAATGTCTTGACCTCTTGGTCTAGATGAGTCCATAACACTGTTCCCCAAGAGTCCATCTTCGTCTTGAGCACCCTCAAATCAAAGTCGGCCTCCCCAGTCTGGCACTGTTGTAAGTACTCCTTAAACACGTCCAGGCCATCGTGAATCTCCTTGTGCTGCCTTAGCAACTCCGCAGCACCCTTGTACTTAGGGCCGTTCTTGAACTCTGGCATTTTCTTGGCCAGAACAGGGAAGACGTGCATCTCCTCGATGGAGTGATGCGCCGTGAGATGCCCACAAAATTGCAGGCCAGTGGTGATGAACTGCTTGATGGACAAGTTCTTTGGGCGTTGATTAGACTCGCAGGCACCATATAGAAGGTTCCAGGTCCTTCGGAAATTATTGTGCTAGAACGTGTTAGCTTAATACAAGAAGTGGCGGGAGTGATAATGCACTTACGAAGTATTCCATGTGTTCCGCCATGCCGTTGTAGGCCGCGAAGTCCGCTGCGCTAAGTGGCGGTAATTTTGGCTCTTCTTGTGGCGCTTCGGCCGCTGCTGCTTCGTTTTTCTCTACAGCTACATTTTTGCTGTTTGACTCTTCTTGTGTCGCCTTCATTGGCTCTGCGGATATATTCGCAGCCCCTGTATCCGACATGGTGGATGAGTATGGCTGTGCACGCAATCTACACGTGGGGTATATGTGTGGGGTACTGGGCAGTACAGGGTATCTTAATGCCGGAGTGCAACGTGCAGTGGTAGCAATGCTTTGACGATGTAGAATGGAAAAAGGTAAGATAAATGAGGCAGGACGCATTAGCAAGGTGCAATAACTTCGCCGAGTTCTTTCGCAAGTCAGCCCGTGAGATTGGTATCGAGGCTGACTGTGTTTTTTATAGATGTAAGCTTGATATTTTAGTCGCGGAGAGTTTATATAGTCGTGAAAGTTAAAGCGGCGAGTATTATATTAGTTAGTACAGAAGTTGACAGTTCAGACGAGCCTCAACTAGTAATATTTATAACATCTTTATAATCACAGGTTTTCCCCAAGCTAATGTCAGTAGCAATTAGTAAGCAGAAATGGAATCGGAGGTTTCGGCGTTACATCATCAAACCCGACGGCCCGACTATCTATCCGTTGTGGAGAGGAGGCGAAGTAAGAACACCCCATTCTCATAGCCTACTAGAGACTATCAATAATCGCATTTTCATGTGCAAAGGCGATATCCTCTCCTCATATATAGAGATATCTATCAGAGAAAAAAAAGCTATTCACATTAACAGTCTATCATACCATTAACTTTAGTCAGGCCAGTCCAAGTTATACAGATTCAACATGGCAACAATACCGCCTACAATGCGCGCTCTGGCAATTCCGTCATTCGGAAAGCCATCCACCTATGGTCTTGCGAACGTGCCAACGCCCCAGATCACGCAGCCAGACGAAGTGCTCATCAAAATTCACGCTGCGGGCGTGAATCCAATTGACACTAAAGTGGCCGAAGGAGCCTTAAAAATGGCACACAAATACACGTAGGATTCGCCAGATTTGGCTTTCTAGATGCTCAGAAATATACTCACATATCACCAGGTTTCCTCTCGTTCTTGGACACGATGCCGCTGGAACCATTGTTGCCGTGGGCAGCGCCGTCAATAGCCTGAAGGTCGGGGATCAGGTCTTTACTCGTGTGCCAATCCATGATGCCGGCACAATGGCCGAGTACTGCCTCTCAACTGCCTCGGCAACAGCGCTGAAGCCCGAGTTCATGTCTTTCGCCGATGCTGCATCCATCCCGCTAGTGGGCCTGACGGTGCTCCAAGTGATACGGCGCGCAGAGACACAGCTAGGCGGATTGAAGGGGAAAACGGCGTATGTGCCAGGTGGTCTAAGCGGCGTAGGAAGCGTAGCTGTACAGCTGCTGAAGAATGTGTTTGGTGTGAAGAAGGTGATCACGACGCTGTCGACAGGGAAAATGGAGCGGGCGAAGGATCTGTTTAAGGGAGGAGAGGGTGAGGTAGTGTATATTGATTACACAAAGGAAAACGTGAGCTCGGCAATTGGCGCTGGAAACGTCGATTTCATGTTCGATACCATGAATGGTGCGATTGAGAGCTTGCCTTTGATCCGTAAAGGCGGGGTCATTGTATCGATCAGCAGAACACCATCAGGGGAAGAGCTTAAGAAAAAGTTTGGCTCTCCGCCGTGGTTTATGGTGGTGGTGCTGAACCTCATGGATCAGGTTACTAAGTGGAGAGCCGGGAGGAATGGGGTCAACTATAGCTATTTGTGGATGGAAGCTGACGCCAAGGGGCTTGATGATTTGGGACGATGGGTAGGAGAAGGTAAACTTAAGCCACTGGTGGGGAGAACGGCCAAGCTTGAAGATGAGGCTGCGGTGAAGAGTGGCTATGAGGAGGTGTACAGTGCCAAGGGTGGGGTTGGGAAGTTTGTTGTTGAGGTAATTTGAGGTGAGAGATGGAGGTCGAGGCTCATATAATAATGTATTTCTGTTAAACTTTGTAATTCCGCACTTCGCACTTGGGTTTTTACCTATGTAGGGGGCAGGATATGCTTTAAAGGGACTCAACAATCTCACTTTCACAAATGAGAGTTCTCACATAAGAAATGTATATCACGTGATATTGATTTATTTGTGCCCACTTTTTCGATTACTGTGATATTGTCAGCAGCTTGTAATCACTCACAAATGATTTCTATTGGATGTAAACAATTCCCGTCAGATCTTCACAATCTACACTAAGCATCACCAAGCAACGTCATCGGCGTGCTTTATAGCGATGTATAAGGAATTGCAAATAACTTTCTTATGTTTCTCTAGTGATTTTCCTTCCTCTTTTCTGTTCTCGAACCACCTAGTTCCACAGCCCATATCCCTATATGAAGCTCTTCCTCCTCCTGTCGTCCCTCCTCATCGCAACAATTTCAATCACATATTCAGACTTACTGCTTGAACTCTACAGATCTCACATCTCCAAAACCTCCCCCGCAGGCCACCCACAACCAACCAATTCCTTCGAAACACTCATGAACACAGCACCAACCCTCAAATCCACCATGTCCAAGTCTCTCACCCACGCCAAGATCCTCGCGCGCCGCTCCGCCGCCCGCGGCCACGCCAACCACGGCTGGCTCGACAGCCACCACACCTTCTCCTTCGCCTCCTACCACGACCCGAAGTTCGAGCGCTTCGGCTCCCTGCGCGTCCTCAACGAAGACCGCGTCGCGGCCCACAACGGCTTCCCGACGCATCCCCACCGCGATGCCGAGATCTTCAGCTACATCCTCTCCGGGGAGCTGACGCACCGCGATAGCACGATCCAGAAAGGGAAGGAGGGCAAGGAGGGTGATGACTTCTATCGCATGAAGAGGGGAGACGTCCAATTCACCACGGGCGGAACAGGGATCGCGCACTCGGAGAACAATGAGAGCGACAAGCCGGTGCATTTCCTACAGATCTGGGCGCTGCCATGGTCGAGGGGCCTGACTCCACGATACCACACAAAGACATTTGACGAGGCGAAGAAGAGAGAGGCCTTTGTTCCTATCTTGTCCCCGCTTGCGGCAGGCAAGGGCGCCAGTGCCGAGGAAGAGGCCGCGGCTGTCCCAGCACTACCAGGAACGATACCCATCCACGCCGACTTCGTCATGGCCGCAGGTATCATTGGCGTCGGAAAGAAATTCGAGTGGACCGTCGGCGGTGAAAGCGATGCAAAGACTGTTGTGAAGAGCAGGACAGACAGGAAGGTGTATATCCACGTCCCGATGACGAATGAGGGGAAGTCCAAGATCAGGTTGGATGGTCGGGAAGACTCTGTTTTGGCAGAGGGGGATGGTGCGTTTGTCACTGGTGTCCAGGCTGGTGATGTGCTTGCCTTTGAGAGCATTGGGGAGGTGGAGGCGGAGGTTATTGTTTTGGACAGCGATTGAGCGGTCTAGTTTGTTATGTAGATTTTATGATAGAATACATGTGGTTAATGATACTCTTACTACTATCCCTTGAGACTTAGCTTGTACTTTGGTGCTGTATATGTAATTTTCGTGATAGCGACAGAGACAGAAGGGTCGGTGACATTCGACTCCCACTTATGTTTACCCACACGAAGAACAGCATTGTGATTGACCCATATAAGAAAAGGTCCAGCAAACAAATCACATCCACAATGAGCACATCAAAGTGATTATATTCATCTCATTGGACTCATATGCTATGGAATCTGTCGACCTCTGCCGCTCCATCCGCCACGTCCAGCGATGGACCACGAACTAACTCCCCTCGTAGGCCCCACATACGCACTCTAGATTATACACAGCTACACAAACAACCCAGCCCCTCTCGCGCTTTCCCCCAAAGCAAGTAATCGAAAGAGGCTCCACCATCAAACCACTCCACTGAGGCCCCATCGCATCTCAATTTTTTCCTCTCCCGCGAATGCATGCGCAGCCATCTATTGAAAGCAATTTAACTCATCTCGTCTCGTCTCCCTCCTCTCACTAATCGCGCTCCACCCACGCTTCCTTTCATGCACTCCATTCTGGTCGGCCCTCAATAAATAAACAACAGCAAGACGCAGATGCACCCCGCAATTAACGCCCCCGTTTTCTGAAAACGCGCAAAATACAAAAAATAGCAAATAACGAAGAAATCAAGATCTCGACGCGGGGAAATGGACAGGGCGAAACCAGGTATCGCCACGCCCATCGTTCTTTCTTTTGGTGTATGGGTTGATGGTACAAAGCAGATCATGAATCGCGAATTGCCGTTCAGTCTTGCTTAGGTGAGGTAGGGGATCTATTGACTGTCAGTTTTTGTACTTATTTGCGCGGCTAGAAAAGTTGACTTACGTAGGACTGTACTGCGGGCTGGTTGGCGAGAAGGCCGCTGGACTAGTCGGGCTGTACCTCGGGCTTGTCGGGCTCCAGCTTGGACTCGTGGGGCTGTACACCGGGCTCGTCGGGCTAGTCTGGTTGGGGCTCATAGGACTAGTCTTGCTCTTGCCGCCACCGAAAACAGGTGATGTAGGAGAGTAAAGAGGGCTAGCCGGCGAGAACTGTGGCGACGACGGGCTGTAGCTGGGCGAGGTGGGAGAGAAAGATGGCGAGGTTGGGGAGTAGTGCTGCATACCCGATGGCGAAGTGGGGCTGTACATTGGAGAAGTGGGAGTGAAAGCCGGACTCTGAGGCGAGAACGATGGGGAGGTTGGCGCGAAGCCGGGAGAGGTCATGCCCATAGCTGGAGAAGTAGGCGAGTATCCGCGTGGCGAGGTAGGACTGAATCCAGGAGAGCTGACGCCGAATGGCGAGGTTGGGGAGTAGCCACCTGGGCTGCGCGCGCCACTGTATGGAGAAGCCGCGCCATAGCCTGGAGTAATACCACCGTACTCTGTAAGACCGCCAAAGCCACTTGGACTCTCGCTTCCACCACTGCTGATTGGAGAGAATCCAGCAGCGTAGTCGGGAGTTCCGATGTACCCGCTGTCCGCCATTGGGGAGTCGCTGCCATAGGGAGTAGCGGCACCCTCGTAGCCGCCCTTGACGGGAAGGCCAGACATGAGACCCATTCTGCCGTTGTCGGAGACAACGGTCTCGAGCATCTTTGGGTCAAGCATGAGCTCCATCTCGCCAGTGCCAAGAGGAGCCAACTGGCCAAGAATAACGTTCTCGGAAACACCACGGCAATCATCAAGCTCACCAACGGCGGCAGCTTCAAGAAGAATTTCCACAGTCTCTTCGAAAGAACATCTCATCAGGGCACCAGTATCCGCACGATTGATACCGTGACGGGTAATGGCCATGAGATGACCACGCGAGGTCATGACATCGACCAGGAGAGCCAAATGGCGATGGTTGACGTACGAACCATCGAAAGCCAACACCTGGGTCAATTCACGCATCAAAGCGGAACGGACAGCCTCAATACCAAAGACTTCAAGAATCTGGACGAAGTGATTGGAGTATGTGCGAGTAGTGTCAACACCGGGCACAGACAAAACGGCGCCAAGGGCGGTTCCACTAGTGTCAAGGTACCATTCTTGACACTTGGGATCATCCTTGCTGGCAATCAAAGCTCCATCTTCGGTCTCGACGAGCTTCGTCTCCTTGTTCAAGAAAGCACGGTCAATACCAGGCACACCACGAAGGGTGAGGCTGTCCAGAACGTGGTTCTCAAGCTTCTTCAAGCTGACATCCTGCTCCGAGTTATCGCCGTCCTCGTACTTGCCCTCCATGCGAGTGATCATGCGGCAACGAATGACCAGCTCCTCGGCGTTGTTATCAGAGAAGATCACATTGAGATCCTTTGGATACTCCTCCTTGATCCTAACAGCAACATCGTCAACGTTGAGGCCCTTATCAAGCATCTTCTGGCGATCCAGAATGATACGTAGGAGCCATCTCGACAGGCTGTCGTGCGACTCGGAATTCTCGTCAGGAACCATGTAATGCGAGTCAACCATATCTTGATCTTGTTCAATAGTGGTGTTTTCTGGGTCTGGATCATAGTAGATCTCAGTCGCCGCAGTGACAGAGCGCAGGTTGGTATGCTCGACCGCACTTCTAAGAAGCTTGGCGGTTTCTTGACTGGGGTTGTCTCCTTCCTGGTACACAACCATGGATGGTGTCTTGATGTTGGTCGCGATATTAAGAATTTCCTTTAGACGCGGCACACCAAGTGTGACGTTCTTGGACGACACACCGGCAAAATGGAAAGTATTGAGCGTCATCTGCGTAGCAGGCTCACCGATAGATTGGGCGGCAAGAATACCGACCATCTCGCCGGGGTTGACCAGAGCATGGGTGAAGCGCGACTCCAACTCACCGACAGCCTTGTCAAACGCAAGCTTGCTGAGCTTCTGGTGGATAGCCACACGCTTGAAGGCCAGGCGCTGGCGGAGCTGAGCCTTAATGAGGAGAGTTGCGTTCTTCTGGGCCTCAATAGACAAGCTGTCCTCACCGCGGACAATCATCATCTTGTCGAGCAAGTTTCGGACAGATTCAATCACATGCTTTGGGTGAAGGTCGCTACGTTGCGAGTCATCAAGCTTGAAGAGGCGCTTTGCGCTGTCGAGAATGCGGACAACGTTCAGCGGCAGCTGCATAGACTCATCATCCTTCTTCTTGAAGTTGACCTCACGAAGCATCTTTCGGTCAACCTTCAGCTGCTCCCACTCGGCATCAAGAAGATGCTGCACCTTGACATCGCTCATGAGTTCGCTAGCGTGCTCAAGCATGTCCGCAGGAAGCGGGTTGGCCTGGTCCATAACGTCGAGGCGGTATCTCTCCTCGAATGCTGAGTCGGACATGTTGATCGAGTCAACTCTCTGCTTCTCAATGTAGACGGCATCCAGACCATCCTCTCCGTAGATGAATTGAACAATGTCACCAAGAGAGTTCCTGACGGTTCCATCATACTTGACCATGACATCTTCCAAAGCCTTGACGAGACGACGTTGAATGTAACCAGTTTCGGCAGTCTTGACAGCGGTATCAATGAGACCCTCACGACCAGCCATGGCGTGGAAGAAGAACTCAGATGGAGTGAGACCTCTCAGGTACGAGTTCTCAACAAAGCCACGAGACTCGGGAGAGTAATCATCCTTTGTGAAATGTGGCAGGGTGCGGTACTTGAATCCGAAAGGAATACGCTTACCCTCAACAGACTGCTGTCCGACAAGGGCAGTCATCTGGGAGATATTGATAGTGGAACCCTTGGAACCAGATCGGGCCATGATAACGGCATTGTTGATGTCCTTGAGAGACTGCTCGGTACGCGTACCGGCCTTATCACGAGCCGTGTTCAGTGCCTTCGAGACAAGCGACTCGAAAGTCTCACGAACGTTCATACCGGGAAGAGACTCGAGCTTGTTAGTAGTAGCTTCGAGAACCAACCCATCAACGATGTCCTTCTGCTCCTTGACAGCGCCCTCGATCTTATCAATGGTCGCCTTATCTGGAATTGTGTCTCCAATACCAATGCTGAAGCCGTTGTGGTAGAGCCAATAGTTGACCACGGTCTGGCAACCAGTGAAGAAGTTGCGAGCCTCCAGCCATCCAAGCTCATTGAAAATGATGTGGACAATACCACCACTGGTAGCTCCGACGACCTTCTTCGTAACCAGCCCAAACAAAAGCTCTCCCTCAGAAATGAGAAGACCATCATCTTTAAGAGGAGCGTCCTCGCGGTTATCATTTGCAGTGTGCAGGTTAACCTCCTTGGGGATGATCATGCTGATCAACTGTTTGCCAGTCCATCTTGGGCGAGGCTTGATAATGGCCGGCTGGGGGATGACTCCATCCCAGCTAGGGACCCACAACAGCACATTCATCATTGTCTCCTTGGTCAAGAAGACATCACGACGTGTGAGCTTGTAAACACCAGCCAAAGTATCCTGGACAATACCCATGAGGGGACCGTTTCGCTGTGGGGACACAATATTCAGCGGCACCATGCAGAGTTGGTTGACTTCCGCACGCGTCTCTTCGGTCTGGGGAACGTGCAAGTTCATTTCATCACCATCGAAATCGGCGTTGTAAGGCGATGTAACAGACAAATTAAGACGGAAAGTCGAATAGGGCATAACGCGGACTCTGTGTCCCATCATGGACTCCTTGTGCAGCGAGGGTTGACGATTGAAAATAATGAAATCACCATCGACGATGTGTCTCTCGACCTTGTTGCCGTACTCCAGGGAGATAGCTCCGGCGCGCTTGTGATGACGCAGATCGATACGGCTACCATCGTTGCGGATGATGTACTTGGCACCGGGGTGGTCGTTGGGACCGTTCTGGACAAGCTGGTGCAATTTGCCAATGTTATAGGGCGTAACCGTCTCAGGGTACGTCAAAATTCTGGCGATACTGCGGGGAACACCAACTTCATCAAGCTCCAGGTTGGGGTCACCTGTAATGACAGTACGGGCCGAGAAATCGACACGCTTTCCCATCAAGTTAGAACGGAGACGACCCTCCTTTCCCTTTAGACGAGCACGAATGGACTTCACGGGACGTCCAGACTTCTGCAGCGACTGTGGCTGACCAGCAATATCGTTGTCCATGTATGTAGCAACGTGGTATTGGAGGAGAGACTCGAACTCCAGCGCAACGTGAGCAGGGGAGCCCTCAGATTGAGCTTGACGCACATTTCCGTTTGCGCGAATGATTTCTGCCAGCTTGTATGTCAGATCGTCCTCTCCACGCATTCCCTGGCCAGTTCCGTCCATGGAAATACTCGGCCTGACAGGTGGTGGTGGGACGGGAAGCACTGTGATGATCATCCACTCTGGCCTCGCGTAGTCGCTGTTGAGGCCGAGGTCGTAGATGTCGTCAGTGGAGATATTACGGAATACCTGCAACGCCATTTCTGGTGTAATCAGCTTCTTCTCCGGTTGTCCGTTCTCGTTATCCTCGTCCTTTGGAACCTTCCACGTTCCCCACAGCTGCAACGCCGTCTGTCGGACTTCGGGTTGTGTGTTTCCGCAACCGCCGTGGCTGGGCCTCTTCGCAGCTGCTTTCGGATCCTGAGCAAACTCGTCGTCATCGACCGAAATATCGGCATCGCAAATCATCTTTGGCTTGCACAGACGCCAGATGGCTTCGAATCTGCGCTTGGGATCGCGCATCGAGGCAGCGGCTTTGAACTGTGGATTACTCTGGGAAAAATCACTAATGTCAGCACGCAATTACAAGAAGATGCCATCCCGTGCGGGATAACTAACTCTGTCAAGTAAAATCTTGCCGCAGTTGTGGCAGGCAATCTCGAGGAGTTTCTTGATCTTCTTCAGGAAACCGGGGTGGTAGACTGGCTTGGCCAGCTCGATGTGTCCGAAATGGCCAGGGCACTCCGCCATGCCTGCGTCACAGGTCGCACATTTGAAGCCTCTGTCGATAGAGCCGAGGCGCGGGTCGTTGAGTCCTTGGTCGCGTGGCTTCATCTTGCCTTCGTCCATCGTCTCGGGGTACAGGATGTGAGCCACGCTCATGTTCTTTATCTCCTCCGGGGACAACAGGCCGAACTGTATCTCCTGGATCGTGCGCAACGGCGCATCCGAGTGCGCAAAGTGTAAGTTCGCCATGATGAAGTAGTTATCGCGTTATTGACGAAAATCGCAGTGGCAATCTGATCTGTGGGTGAGGTCGAGCGTGAAACTGAGGCGAGTCGCGATCTCCGCTCTGTATGAGTGAGTGCAAACTGTCTATCGACTCTCGAGAGTGAATCTGAACGGGCTCGATGCGCAGACGGCGCAGTCGCGATGGTCGCGAGCGGCAACCCAGGCCGAGGGCCTCTTGAGTCCGCCTCGCCTTTTAGGTAGCCGTGATCTCGGGGTTGTTGGCGCGCCGGGGTTTTCGTGGGAGATGAGTATGGGAGCCTTCTTCCTTCGAAGGAGGTTCAGCGACTAGGAATGCACGGTGACGAGCGCGCGATTCCACGATGGTGATGTTGTTTGGGTCGGTGTTGATGGTGATCTTGGTCGCCCAGGAGGTGGTCTCGATGGAAAAAGGCGACAGGCGAAGAGTTGAGGCTGACAATATGCACTAAGCCTAATTTGGCACCGGCGTTCGATTCTTGGCGTTGCTTCAGAGTCAACTCTCGCAAATGAACGTGGGCCAATCAAATATCCACCAACGTTTTGAAATAGGGGACCGCGAATATGAGACTTTGTACTGTTTAGATTCACTATCAATGCAGAGTAGAGTTTAAAGTAATTTCAGGGAGAGTTGATTGAATGGTGGCTTTGTTAGTAAATATTTCTAGGAAGTTCTATATATATTCTTATTATTCAAATAAAGGATTCCTACAAAAAGAAAACTACAACAATGCGAACTGTTCCACAGAACATTCCTCAAGTCTAAATATTTTACAGAATAATATAAGAATGCTGCCTTTAAATAATTCTGGTTCCCTAGTTACGAAGTGAACAACCCCCCAAACCCCACAATTGTTTTCACCCTCTAGAACCTACCCCTATGAATAGTTCAACTGTACGTGATAATACTCTATTAAACCTAATCCCATAAATATATTCTCTAAACAGTCGTATAGACCTAGAGTGAGACTAACAGACAGTCTAGTTGTTACCCCATAAACTGTGTTCCTAGCACCACAACAAGCAATCGCCGTAGCAATTATTATATAAGCAACCCCTTAACGACGACTAAGCGCATCACACGCCTAGGACTATTGCTAGGACGATTATCATACAAACAACACCCCCGTACGTACGTTCGACGACTAAGCATATCATGCGCCCTAGATTAGGGCGTCAGTTGTTCACCCACAAACAACACGTAAATAAATTAATGTAAACATGTAAATATTAGACAAATTCACTATTGCGCCTGGGCTATATACGTATGTGACGCGTTTGCCGCCGACACCGCCCCCGCCGCCGCAGCCGCCCATGAATTAGAATTTTATCCCTACGCTCACACTCACGAATTAGGCAGACAAAGTAATTTCAGAGCTGTATATTCACTTCAGCTAGCACGCCGTTCTGTTGTTGACAAAGAGAACCCAACCCCTCGACCCAGGGCCAGATAACAGAAACTCGACGTGCAAAGAAAAAAGCAAAACCAGCAAGTCGTCAACAACCATCCAGCTCATCATCTACAGCCCTTCCCCCTCTACCTATCCCTCCCAATGAGTAGTAAAAAAAAACAAAAAGCCACAAGAACACCGTGAAGTAACCCCCCGTCCCATTCCCATCCTGAAGCCCCCTCCCCTTGCCAAGCGCCGTCCGTGAAATGCTGAAAACCCGCCCGTAAATGCCCGCCGAGTGAGTTTGAAAATGAACGCCCGAGACCTTTTCTCTGGGATGAATGCCGCCGTGAATGCCGATGCCGATGCGAATGATGAAGAAGTTGAGAAAAAAAGAGAGTCGTGAGATTCGTTGTTTGTGCCGCCGTGGTGAAGGCGAAGTCTTGTGCGTTTTCCTTTTTGGATTGATGGCGGAAAGAAGAGAGGTGTATGTGCATTGGAGAAGTAGAAGCTGGATGATAAACTGAGTGGCTGGATGTTGTTGAACTTTGACGAAATGCCGGTGCTGAAGTGTGTGGAAAAGCCATGTTGATCTCGCAAGTGAATTTGAAAATGAATTTTGAAGAATCAAGGTGTCGAACACGTAAAGTTCTCGATCTGAGTGATTTGACCTTGCCATGGCCTTTCGTCGTACAGAACAGCCATCAGGAACCCAGCGGAGAAGACGTGGACAGCTTAAAACTTCCTGCTGATCTTGAGAAGTCTGGTGCGGAACCAGATCATGAAGCTCATCCATGCGTTCTGAGCCTTGTGCTTTGCAACATAGGTCGTGCTGTTCTGGCGCGCGGCACGCTTTGCATACTTCTTGCGGCGACCTTCCTCGCTGACGACCTCCTCGTAGTTGGAGTTCAGGAAATCTTCCATCGTCATGGGAGGTTGCAAGGCGTCAGGTCCATACTTCTCCTTGTCCGCAGCCTCGGCGGCGGCCTTACGATTCTCGGCCTCAGCCTTGAGGGCCTCCTTGAGGTTCTTCTTCTCCAGGGCTCTCACGTGGGCACGGTCGGCACGCTCGATCTTGAGGGCCTCCTTCTCCTCAAAGCGGCGGCGGGCCTCGCGCAGGACCTCAAGTTCATTGAGGGGTTTCTTCTTCTCGAAGATGCCGCCCTCGGCGCGCATGTTGCGAATATGCTCCATACTTTCGCGGCTGCTTGAAGGTGAAGTTTCTTCTGTGGATTCAAGGTTTGATTCAGGTGATTTGGAAGAGTCTGTGTTCAACAGAGGAAGGTTTGAGTCTCGGAGTAGAGTTGACAAGGAGTCGGTGTTGATGGTAAGTGATAAACTCTCGCCTGGTTTGGCGTCAAGTACTGTAACTTCTGGTACAAGGGGGTTAAGCGTTCCCCCAACATTGTAATTTGACAATGTACTCCCCGACCGAACACCCAACTGCTCTTCGTCTGCGAACGACATCCTATTCCTCTCCATCTCACTCCCAATGCTATCTTGATAGCTCGCCGCCCCCGGCGGCGTGTACGGCCTCGGCGTCTGCTGCCACGGATGCTGAAAACCGCCATTCCTGTTATAACTCCCCGACGTCCGGGATGAGAACTGGCTCGTGCCGCTCACACTCCTATGGTGATACGGCCTCCTGCCGCCCCTCGCCGAGCTCGAATTCCATGTCAAATCCGCCAAGCTGTGCGACGCTGAGCCGGCATCATAGCTGCTCCTGCTGGTAGTATAATAGACCCCCAGGTCCACGCTCGGCCGGTCCAAGTCCAAACTATTCTTTATGAGGCTCTTCTCGTGCGGCCGCCCCAGTTTACGAATAACCTTATTCGGCCTCCCCGCCTTTGCAATCGCGTCGATCGTGAGGGCAGGGGACTTGGAGCCCGGCAATGCCGCCGTCGCCGAACTCCGCGTCCCATCCGCCGGGAGCGAGAAGCTCATCATGCCGGCCGCGGGGTTGATTTCTCGTTGCGCTCTATGGGCAATCGGGCGTTTTCGGTTCGGGCAACGGCTTCACAACGTCACATCAGAGTCACCAAGATCCTCGAGGAAGATGTCGCGCTCTCTGGGGCATCTGTAACGGAAGAAGCGGGATAGGCATGGGGCACTTCAATTACTCGGAGCGTGGGAGAAGCATTAAGGGACTCGCTACCGGCGAGAAGGAAGCAAGTGTATGGGCGAAGGATCGTACGAGTTGCGTAGTCATTGGGGCAGTGGTGGTGTTGTTATGCCACATCTCAGCGTCATCATAGCAGTCGATTAGCCCGAGGCTGAGTGCGGCTCCCACCTAGGCTGGATAAAGCTAGACTGACAGGACCTTGGTGGCTATGGGGAGCTTCGGCCAGATTTGGGCTTATTCTGGGCCAACGGAGGGGGGTGTACGTACTGATTGTGCATATTGGTGTCTCTGCCTCGCCGGAGCACAGCATACAGGACACAGCACATGCTGAAGTTTGAAGTGTGCCCAGCCAGAATATTTTATGAGTAGAGTACTGGACAGTTTGCATTCCATTTCCATCTCCATTTTACAATTCGCGGGGCTAATTCTTTTTTAGGCGGCAATCGTGGATATATATTGATTGATTGATTGCACCATACGAAGGCCGTTGGTGGTTGTGTGGAGTATAGTATATTGAAGTTGGGGCGGGGGGAGGAATATTGTGTGTGTGTGCGTGATATATATAGCACGACAGTCCCATCCGCCATCCCAGGCTATCGACGGCCCTGGATTGCCATCCCTTCCATTATCGATATATCGAAAATATCGTCTGCACTATTGTCTGCAGGAAGCATGATGACTGGAAAGGATGATGACTGGGACGGAATAATGTCCCCATAGCCATAGCCATAGCCGGATAACGACTCGCTCTGCTGACGGCAGGCAGTGTAACAACAACGACGAATAACTTGATTTTTGGGGATTGAGGATTCTGGCGGGAGGCGAGTGGATTAAATAGGCAGAGCCATGGGTGATGCGATTGGAGATTCCAGGCTTAGCGGCCGTTCGTTCATGTGAGAGGAGGCAGTAGCACGGGCAAGGCAGGCAGGGTGAGTGGGTGTGGGATACGGGGATGCGTTGGAAGGCGCAAGTACGGCGTAGAGCGGGTGGCATAAGTGGAATTAGTGGAATGAGTGGAATAGCTGAAAGAGAAGAGAAGAGACGAGATAGATAGCCAAGCGAGAAAGAGCGAAGAACAAGGCCGATACTCTACCGCTACTCCTGCCACTACTGCTACTACTTGCTACTACTATCCTACTACTACTACTACCGCCGTAAGCAAGCAGTAAGAGCAGTAGTATTCTTACTCCGGCGACGGGCCCTTCCCCATACAGCGGCGTGCAGGAGACGGTCCGGACCTCGGACAGATATGGGGATACGTGTGAGGGGCGTGAGAGGGGCGTGAGATGGCGTGGATAGGCGTGGAGGCGTGGAGAGGAGGCGTGAGAGAAACGGGGCTTGGCTAGCTAGGGAAGAAGAAGGGGATTTGATTGATGAGCGAGGGGGGTAGGGGGGGTGGGGGAGGGAGGGGAGGGGGGTGTGGGTTGATCCGCTAGTGGCGCTTGTAAGCGCAAGAGATTAGGAGGGGCGGCCGTTAATCTAAAGCAAGTTAACCCCTACGGACCAATGTCGTGCAGGCATTCTTGGCTATTTCTTACTAAGGGACGGAGGGACGGAGTAGAGTTACCACATAGTACAGTGTGCGTGTTGTTTAGTTGGCAGAGAAGAAGGTGCTACTGTGCCGATACAAGAGCAGTGGGGGAGAGAAGGTGCTACTGTGCCGATGCGAAAACTGGTGGAGAGAAGCTTGCTACTGTGCCGATACAAAAACTGTGGTGGAGAGGTGGAGATACAGTACTGGAAATACTCGAAAACTGGGCTATAGCACTTTATACAATCTGCCTCACACAGGTATGTTATGGTGCAGACTGACTGGACGGACGGACGGACTAGAGTAGGACACATATAGAGAGTACGGCAACTAATCAACCCACGATCTATCAGTCATCAACAGCCAATATCAATGATCTACGCGTCGACGTCGGCCCTGGAACGCCTCGCCGAGACACACAGACACGCCGCACACCAAGCGGACGAACAAAACCCTCGAAAGCACTAGAGACCTGTAACTACTGCAATGCAAACTCCACCGAGAAGCCGCTTAAAGTCACTAAACCCACACACACAGATGCACCAGAGTGAACACATCCTATACAAACCACTCACACAAACCACACGACCAACTGCCAACAGCAACCTGCCAAACAAACAACCGCCGAGACAAAATATCCGCCGGTTGGTCCCTTCGAAGTCCGGCTCGAGTTTCCCGTCTAGCCATCACATCACAATCCACACATCACGATTACAATCACGATCACGATCACGCACCTCTGTCCCGCCCTTCTGTTTCTACCTGCACTGCACGGCTTGTCATGTCCGGCATTAGCCCTCGATCCATCCCTCTCCTCGATCCCGTGCATCTCTCTATAGCCTCTCTCGGCGCGTGTAAGCAACGCGTGTGGTCTAGAGCCAACATCGTGCCAACCTGCCATCCAACGCTGCCAACCGCGTATCACACGTACCCAGCCACTACGAAGCCACTACCAAACACACAACCAACCACTGCCAACCACTACGAACCACTGCCAACCACTGCCACAGACTGTCTCGATCGGCGTGGACTGCGGATGACTGGAGTAGACGACTGGAGCAGGCTGGAGTAGAGGGTAAGTAGGAGGTAAGTACTGCCCAAGACGTGCTAGACGTTTACTAGACCATCAGCGGAAGTAGAGTAGAGTAGAGTACCTGTACTATCTAATACTTTGTAGAAATCAACCCCAGCATCGTCCGCGAACCCCATGTAGTAACTTCTAGTATGTGCATCATCCATCGTTCATCTCATCATCCCATCTCCACGTTCACTCATACATTCAGTTCGTTGCAGCGGGTTAGTATAGTAGTTTCCTTGGATAGTTTCTTGGATAGTTGTGTTATTGCTGTTATTCCCTACCTATTCCCTTATTATTCCCTAGTCGTCTTAGTCGTCGTCTTAGTCGTCGTCTTAGTCGTCTCGTTCTTCTCGGTGACCACGTCTGGGATGCGGGTATTACGCTGTACTTCCCAAGTACCCTCGGCTGCATCATCTCGCCTACCATGCTGCAGAATCGGTACTCCGAGGCTACATGCAACATTCCCGATCCCAGCATCGTCCATCCATCGCCAATCGCCCATCCCATTCCCCGAGACAGCCGCCGCCATCTTTCTTTTTTCGCTCCATCCATCCACGACATTCCGTTCGTTCCTTCCGCTTCCCATACGACGTACACGAGGCCGTAGGGATGTGAGAAAGACGTGCCGGCGAGACACTGCATGCTGCTCGCTATGGCAAGGCAATATGGCAATATGGCACTTCTATCAGCACGCATTAACGCACACGCATCTACGGACATAAACAGACATCAACATACATACAGCACGCATAAACAGACTTCAAACTCGCATCGATCGTATCACCCGCTCTCTATTATGTCTTACTGTATTTGTGTTATTCCGCATTTTTATGCACATACACATTCACTAACACATTCACTAACACGCTCACTAACACATTCACATACACATACAGTAACCGGACACCAGTAACCGGCGGACAGATTGTATGTACTGTAATAGCCCTGTAGTAGAGCCCTGTAGCCCTTGGTTAATGTCTCCTCCTAGTCAGCCCGTTATAGACCCGCGGCTTGCCCGCCACCAACTGTAACTAATTAACTAACTAACTAACTAACTGTTCTGTACTGTACTCTACTTCAAAAGTACAACACACACACTTGCATATCGCATGTGTTGTGTGCATATCGAACCACTCCACACCACACCACCACACCTCAACCGGCCCTCCCCTCCTCCTAACTCCTTGTCCGCATTCCCTATTCCCTGTCCTTGTTCGCTATATCCTTGCTCCGTTGCTCCATTTTACTCCCTGCTCCTTGTAAAAAATGTCTCTAATGTCTCTATTCTCTCCAATGTCTCTGTTGTCTCTAATGTCCCTAATTGTCCCATTTTATCCTCCCCCAGCTAGTGCCGCCCATTTGGCTGTTTATGGCTTGTTATGGCACCGTATGGGATGCGATGCCATGTCTAAGGCTTGCTATGGCCTGCTCTGGGTTGGCCATGGGGTTCAGAAGCTTAACCCCTTCTCGACACATTCTTGTGGAATTACTCAACCTCGACTCCCCCTCCCACTAGACCGTTCTATTGTGGCGTTGATGGTGTTTCGATTGATTTCGTGTTATCTGTGGGTTTTATTTCCCCCCTCCAACCTCTGATCCTCTTACGGCTCTTCAAACTGCCCCTCCTCCCTCCCCCCCTCCCCTCGACGCGCCCACCACTATCCACTATCTTGCTACTCGACATATATCCACTCTCCACTATCCTCAACGTCGCACAGTATCGACTCGTCTCTCCCTCTTATACCTCTCCCCACTTATTGAAGCTCTCCACTTTTGCCCAAGCTTCTTCTTTGAACCCCCCCTCCCCCATGTCTCCTCCATGCTCTCCCGCCCTACACTGCTATCCCCCTCCCCCCCTCCACCCCCCCCCATCCCTCCCTCCCCTACCTCTACCCCCCCCAGGCCTTACCCCCCCATCGCCGTTACCCTCTTGGCTCTATTAATACCCTAATTTTCCGAATATTCGCCATTCTTTTCTGTGGGACTATCCTACTTCCACTACTGGGTCTACCCGCATGGAGCAACTACTCTTTTCTCTCAAGCCATAGCCGCTACCAGTTGACATGACACGTCGTTTTATTCCCTCTGGTCTCGTCTCCTCCACTCCATGTAACTTTGCCTTGCCATGCCCTTGCCATGCTATGCGGCCATTACCGTCGGCTCGGTGACCCTCTGCCGTTATTGACCCCCGTCTATACATCCCTCCATCCACTACTACGCGCTCCTTCCCTCCCACTCCCACTCCCGCGCTCCCTCCCACCACGCTCCTCCACATCTACTATATAGTCTTGCTACTTCCCGCCTCATCCCCAATCTTTCCTCTCCCCTCTTCTTCCCCCTTTCCTTCTTTGAAGATGTCTTGTTAAATATACTTTGGGGGCGTTTCCTAATATCAGTCAGTCTCTTCGTGTCACAACCTTGGAAACAGAAAAACAGAAAACAGCAAAACACGGAAAAATATACACGGTCGTTTGGATGCAGATTGTGGTTTATGGTCAATGGTCAATGTCGCTACGATTTCCTTGTCCTCTGTTATCTTGAAAGCGTCAGTATTCGTCAGTTATCAGTATACCTGCCACTGCGTAATACACAATACACACTCCAGGCTGGAAAAGAGCTTGGATTCCGCGTTCTCCCGACTTGCAGAGAGAGAGTGAGCCATCCTGAGGAGCAGGAGCAATTCTGGGTTGCACCTCGGTGAATCATTCCGCTGAATCATTCTGAACCTTCTTATTCGCGCTTTGATTGCAGAGCTTTCAATATAAGTGCCAAAAACAAGACTTCAAATTGCTTTCACTGCAACTTCTCTCCCAGGCGTGCTTCGTTTTGAAACCTCCTGCTGCTGCAGACTTTCTCAGACATCCAAGAGCCATCCACACACGTTCACTACACAATCCACACCACCAATCGACTGTCTTCCGTGGCCCCTCGACTGCTGCTACCCTGTTTGCCAGACGTCATCTTCCCGCTTTTGTCCCAGCCAAGGGCGTGGACATTTTTCTAATTGGGCATCTTCTTCCAAATATATATGATGCACGTGACCGAATTTCTCAAAAATTTGACATTCTGGGAATGGTATATCCTCCTATTTTGGTAAGTCGATATCTAGATCGAGATGAGCTTATCTATCAGCCATCTTGTATTTCCCGTTCCAGTTTATTGACCAGAAAACAAGGCCTTATCGATATGTACGTCTGATCGTTAATATTATCGGTCACTGCTTGTACAGATCGATACCGAAACCTCAGAACCCCACATACACCAAGGAAGATGTAACGGTAGTCATCCCTACGATAGAGAGCAATCTCGAAGAGCTTCGCGGACCAATCTCCAGCATTCTTGCCTGTGACCCCCACGAGCTGATCCTCGTCACCACCTTCGGCAAGTATCATGGCCTCCTCCAGTTCGCTGCCTCCTTCGCGGATCCACGTATCAAGGTCTACGATACAAAAATCGCCAACAAGAGAGTCCAGCTACGAGAAGCTATCCCTCGAGTCACCACTCGCATCACTGTCCTGGTAGATGACGACGTCACGTGGCCAACAACCATTCTTCCATGGCTTCTGGCGCCGTTCGAGAGGGAGGACATGGGATCTGTGGGCGTATGCCAGCGTGTGCAGCGGGTTCGTACCGGGGATCTCGCAACCCGTGCCTGGAATTGGCTAGGGGCTTGCTACATTCATCGACGCAACTTTGAGATCTCGGCTTCTCACTTCTACGATGGTGGAACTTCGTGCATGTCTGGCAGGACCAACGCTGTTCGCACCGAGATTCTCAAGCATCCGCTATTTTTGGATGGGTTCTGTAAGGAGAGATGGGGGAAATACCAGCTGAATGCTGATGATGATAATTTCTTGACGAGATGGCTGGTCAACCACGACTGGAAGACGTGGATTCAATACGAGCGCGAGTGCGAGATTGAGACGACCCTGGAGAATGACTGGTCTTTTGTGAGGCAGTGCTTGAGATGGGCGAGGAGTAATTGGCGAAGCAACTACACAACGTTGTTTATCGACAGGAAGGTTTACTGGTAAGTGGTCATATTGGCGATGGAGAAGTCATAATTAACGCCAAATTAGGGGCCAATGGTGGACTATATACGCGCTATACTTCGCAACGTTCACGTCTTTAGGTCTCATAACCGACCCGCTATACTTCTACTCCTTTTACTGCGCTTCTCGGAATTGGGAGCAGGCCTCAGCATGGACCGGATGGAGCCTGGTGATCGCCTGGTATATTTTCACCAAACTCGTCAAGCTTACAGGCTTACTTCGTCGTCATCCTTCCGATATCATTTATGTGCCAGTCTCAGTCGTATTCGGCTTCCTCCACGGATTCATTAAATTGAAGGCTCTGTGGACATGGAACGAGGTACGTCGATCCTGTAAGGGCTGTGAAACTTGGGACTAACGGGAATCTACAGACATCATGGGGCAATCGACCAGATGGCGATATTGACAACAGCGAGCGCATGCAACCGACGGCAGTGCCTGCCGAAGTCATGATAAACCCCATGCCTGGAACGCAATCCCTCGTCCGCTACAAAGACGAGGTACTGATCTCCCGTGTCCCCAGCGGACTCCGACTGTCAAAAACATCGACATTCTCGGAAAAAGAACCTCTATTACTAGGATTCGACGACCTCTGACTCACGCAGTCAACTCAGATTCGCTGCGCTTGTTTTGCCTAAGCCTCCCCGATTAATCTCTGGAGCGCCCATTTGCGTAATTCGACGGCCAAAAAAAATTCAGCGGGAACCACAGCACCGCTTCGCGGGAAGGGGGGGAGGGGAAAAAAGGGCCACACACCACAAGTCTGGCCTCGAAAAAAGTTATATTTGATATTTTTGGGCGGCATTCTGCGTTTGTGTTTTTACTACTACTACCGCCGACCCAAATTGTGATCACCCGGTCCCCTCCTCATCGGAAAACCTTTTGTCGTTCTGGCTGGGGCCTTCCAATGAGGCCAGATTTTTTGGCCGTCTGTGGTCCTACGATGATTGGCTCTGGACTATTTTTATGAACTATTATGGACCTTGACGCGCGACGGACCGCTTCCTTAGCGGCCGTAGTTATTATTATTTGTTCGAACTATATGTGTTTCCAAAAAAGCGGATTTTGCAGCATTTGGCCTCCCCCTATCCTGCATGACGGCGGGGGAGCTTGTCTAATATTGAGCGAATTGAAAGCATGTTCTTACCTTCTAGATAGCTAGCTTACGCATGGATTTTTTTTGGGCGGGGATTATATTAATTTAGCTCGAGTTCATTATGAATAATATCTCCTCTCGAGATGCTTGAATCTCTGAAACAAACTCCCCCTGGACACTCGGCGCAAGCCACAAAAAACCGCAGCGCGCCTTCGGTCAATGAAACGACGTGAGATGATCTGCAACCGACGACCCCTGGCCCATGGAAGGCCGATGGAACACCATAACATAACAACAGCTCAGCTCAGCTCAGCTCCGACAGAGAAAATAATTTTTTATTTTCTCGTGACACGCAGAATTCCCAGGCAATGCACCTCGGACGTCACACACACCGCCGCCGTGCATCATCCCCCCTCCCTTTCCTTTCTCTCCTCAGCCAGCCTCCCATACCTACCTACTCGCCAACCCCGTCCGTCGTACTCCCCAATCCGCTTCCATCCGTATGCAATGCTCGCGCGCCCAGCGCCCAGCGCACCACATCGCATCTCCACCCCGTTACAACCCGCGCGCACGCACATCCCGCGCGCGGACGCACAGCATACCGGGCCGTGCCACGACCGGTGGAGGGCGATCGCGTGGGCGGTGCGCCGCGGCGGTTCGTGTCTCAGCCAGTAGTAGCATCTAGTGTCGTGTCCGCGCTGCGATGCGTGTCCAGACGGAGTCTCCGCTGATGCTGCAGCGTGGTAGTGTGAGTAAGTGTTAGTAGTGCTAGTCTTGGTAGTGGTGGTAGTGTCAGTAGTGGCAGCACGTGCTGCAGCGCAGACGTACGTGCCCTGGGCTAGCTGGGGGTGCGCAGCCAGGCGAGAGATCCCGAATCGCGCGGGAGAAGCTAGACAGGGCCAGAGGGGTGGGGGGGCCGATAGCGGGCGTGGGATATGGGATGGGGTGGTTCGGAGGAAGCGGTTTGGGGGGAGAGGTGGGAGGACGCGGGCAGGCGAGGCGACAAGGAGGAAGGAGGTAGGAGAGTGGGAGATTGGGAGATGCATCGTGCGTGGTGGCCTGGGCGTGCTGCGTGGGTGCTGGATGCTGGACGGGGGAGGGATCTTGGAAGGGGAAGGGATGCATGGATGGGGATGCACTGCACTTGCACTGCACTGGGAGGGATGCGGCGTTATAGTGGTGGTAGGGCGCAGTAGATGGGGCGTGGTCGGCTTTGTGGCCCGGAGGGATTGGCTTCCCTTCGACGATCGCGATTGCCACGCTATAATGCTCGAAGGGGGATGAGCGTAGCGCTGTCTAGCGCGCAGCTGGAACGTGCGAGGGATTTTTGATACAAGAAGGTACCTTCTAGGCCGGAAATCACGTCAAGATGCCTGTTTTGGTCCGGAGTATGGCGAGGAGGAAGAGACCGACAAGCCTCCTCGGCCGCACGGTTATGCGGGGGGTAGGGATGTGTAAAATGAGGATCATAGCGCAGGATGTGGGCTTTCTGGACCGGCAGAGAGCGGTGCTGGAGAGACCAAAAGAGAGGAAAATGAGAGAAGAACAGCTGTTGGAAGTGATATTGTAGTTACTGAAAACAGTGTGTATCTGTATGTACAGTACTGTGGTATCATCCAGAGCCGCAGCGGGTAATGCTATGGATAAATGTGACGGCGTGGAGAAGATGCGGAGAGTCGGCGGCGAAGGAAATGCGGCAGATGGACATAACGTGGCATGATATGCGGAGGATTGAAAGTGTGTAGGGGAGAGTTGTAGGGGCCCAGGGGCCCCTAGGAGGAGCAGGAGGAGGAGGACAGACCCCCACACACCGCCACTGTCCGTCCATCTGTCGTATTAACCCGTCCCTGAGCGGCTGAGGAAGGCGAGATATGAGTTTTGGGGAAAGGAACAAGGAAGGAACATGGATAGCAATGAAAGAGGCATGGAAATATGCGAACAAGGGACCGAGGGGGAACATGGGATCGAGGGAACATGGTAAGGATCATGATCATGGGAAGGAACATGGTAACAGGGGGAAGGGATCGGATGGATTAGATCGCGGAGGGGGGGTGCCGTTACACAAGATAGATGAAATGAAAAAAGGTACGGCGGATGTGAAAGTAGAGTACGGTAGAGTACGGTGGTAAAGAACGAGACAGTACATTGAACTACCCGTGTTAGTTATTCCGCGTTTCTATATTGTTATATTATATTATTATTATTATTATTGTTTTATTATTTTATATATTATATACATTATTTATCTTGTAGTACTCGCTATGTACTCTACATGAAGACCAGAATATCGAGTCGAGTAGAGAGCGGGTCTGCGGCGATATTATGGTAAGGAGGCTTGAACGTGGTAGGGGTTGGCTTTTGGTATATCGCCGGTGGAGTTCGCTATTATTATGAAAAATATTAAATATTATTCCTGGTATAGACATGGCCGGATACGCCTCTCGCAACTTCTAATACAGCAGATAATTCATAATGCTTCATAATAGAAAGTCCGTTATGTTTGCCGAGGCTACAATGGACTTGGAAAGAAGCACCCCGTGTCAATATCAACACCTGTCAACCGCCATCTTCAGCCTTTCCAGTCACGTGCCCGAAATAATTCCCAGCCCACCCCAGCCTCGTCAAAGATAAGATGTCGGCTGAACGTCAGCCTTCTCTTACGGCCAATATTCAGAACAGTGGCAAACATCAGACGGAGCAGGAGACGAGCACAACCTGCACTAGTTTTCTAGTCTGCTACTCACGGCCTGAACTGAAACACGAATCTATGCATCCCCGCCCACCGCGATGAATCTCTCCCTAATCGACCCCTTCGTCCTCTCCCTTGACTACCCCGACACCACCACCGCCTCGCTGCGCAGCGGCCACAGCACGTGCGCGCGCTTCAACCGGGCAGGCGACCTACTTGCATCGGGGCGCGTGGATGGTGTGGTGACGATTATTGATGTGGAGACACAGGGCATCGCGCGCAAGCTGAGAGGGCACACAAGGCAGATCCAGAGTCTGAGCTGGAGCAAGGATGGGCGGTATTTGTTGAGCGCGGGGCAGGATTGGAAGGTTATACTGTGGGATTTGGAGACGGGTGGGGTGGAGGGGGAGTGGAGGTGTGGTGGGATGGTGTATTTGGCCGATTTGTCGTCGGCAGATGAGTAGGTGCTTGCTTTGGGAGATGTTGTGAGCACAGCTAACAGACAAATAGTCATCTGGCTGTACTGAGTCTCTTCGACAACCAACCCCTATTAGTCGACCTACGGAACGATACCAGCTACAAGTTCTCATCGGTGCCAAAGCGCACGCGCGAGGAAAGCGAGAAGCTGAGCGAGAAGCAAGTGGCTCAGGATGCAAAGCAGACGACAACCGTGGCCATCTTCACGGCATCTGGATCACATATCCTCGCTGGCACATCGAAAGGCTGGCTTAACATAATCGAAACCGCGACACGAACGACAATCTACTCAACTAAGATCAGTGCTGGCGTGGTCATCTACCTGCGCCTCACCTCATCAGGGCGCGACATGGTAGTTAACGCGCAGGACCGCGTGATCCGCACAATCCACCTGCCACCACTAGACAACGCGACACTGGATGCCGACCAGATCCACCTCGAAGTCGAGCACAAGTTCCAGGACGTGGTCAACCGCCTCAGCTGGAACCACGTCGCGTTTAGCGGCTCGGGCGAATACGTTATGGCGAGTACATACAACAACCACGACATCTACATTTGGGAGCGCAATCACGGTAGTTTGGTCAAGATTCTCGAGGGGCCCAAGGAGGAGCACGGCGTGGTGGAATGGCATCCGAGCCGACCGCTGATCGCGGCGTGCGGGCTCGAGAGCGGGCGTATCCATATCTGGAGCATTATCAGTCCACAGCGGTGGTCGGCGCTTGCACCAGACTTTGCGGAGGTGGAGGAGAATGTGGAGTATGAGGAAGCAGAGGACGAGTTCGATATCCACCCTGAGGAGGAGCGGCGGCAGCAGATGCTTGACGGAGAGAATGAGGCTGTGGATGTGCGGACGGTGGATAGGAAAGTACTGGGCGAGGAATGGTGGCGCATGCCTGTGCTGCTTGATCTGGGGGATGCGGAGAGCGAGGATGAGTTTGTGATGGTGGGGACGGGGACGATGAGGAGGAAGAGCCCGGGGACTGGGGGCAAGAGGGAAGAGGCGCCACTAACACCGAGGGAAGAAGAATTGCTGGAGAGAGAGAATCTGGCGCTGGCTAAGAAGGTTAAGAATGGGCGAGCGAAGAAGGGTGTGAAGGGTTAGACTTAGAGGGTTTATGAAGGGTTCATGAGAATATTGTGGGCGATATTGGGGGAGTTACTGGTGTGCCCGGGTGCACAATGGATTAATGTAATAAAAGGCGATGGCATGTATATATTTCCGCCTTTCAGCATTCACTCATTGACAGTGATAATCCTTTATGTTACGGAAAAAAGTATAACATTTGTTCTTGAAGCGAAAGTCGACCCACGTGACAACCCATCACGTGCGCTGTTTGCCATCAGTGACTTCTCTTCCCTGCCGTTCACCAGCGATCGAAGGGAGCCCACAACGCAAAACATCACCGTTGAATCTGCATACGGCCATCAAGGTATCCGTATACGACTACTTTTGCCAAAACTTTACTACTGTGCCATACCGCACCAGAACCGCGCATCGCGCATCGCGCATTCACCCCGAGGCAACGCCCTGCGTGGGCCGATACAGGCAAAAATGGTGTACGATTGGGAGAACAAAGAGGAGCTCTGCTACCGCCTCTACATTGAGGAAAAGAAGAGCTTGGAGGAGATTATGGAGTTTATGAAGGAGCACCATAAGTTTGCGCCGAGGTGTGTACCCGTTTACCCCCATGAGCGTTACAGCTGCCCTACCCCGACAGCACGCTGCGTTGCATGTTCTTGCGGCCTATATGTACAGTGGACTGACTTTATATGTGTGGCTACAGTAAACGGGCGTTCCAAACACAATTCAAGCGCTGGGAATTCCCCTCGAAACAAAACCCAGCGCACAAAAACGTCGAGCTAGTGGCGCGAGTGAAGGAGCTCTGGGAGCGCAACGTATCGCAACGCGAGATGCTGCGCGTGCTGAACGAGGAGGACGGCTTCGACATCAAAGAGCGCGAGCTCATGCGCGTGCGCGCCAAGAACCGCTGGCTGCTGCGCGTGCCGAACGGGATGAAGGCCAAGAAGCGCGAGTCGGAGCAGGACGTGATGGACCAGCTGCAGCAGGCCCTGTTTGACGACGGCTCGGGCAGCCAACAGCAGCAGATTGAGGGCGAGGTGGAGGAGGGCGAGGCGGGGGCGGCGCCGAAGAAGGAGGGGGATAGGGCTGTTAGTCCGGAACTGAGCCCGGAGGTGCTGGCGAAGAGGATGGAGAGGCTGCAGAAGCTGCAGGCGGAGAGTGCGGTGAGGTGGCTGAGTAGGAAGAGGAGGAGGAGGACGAGGGGCTGGGCGGGGTTACCTGCTGATCCGCCTGGGCCGCCGAGGTTCCCGTCGGAGACGACAATTGATGAGAGTAAGGCGTTCTTGAGCCTCGACAGCGCCCTATACCGGGATATCAGAGCGCGGTTCCAGAGGATCTGCGAGGAAGCGGATGTTATTAAGAAGACTCTCGCGGGGCCGGAACGTTGGGAGGCTGTGAAGGCCAGGCTCGTGCAGGAGAGCCCGCATCTGCAGCAAGTCTTCTGGCAAGAGACTGACAACCAAGAGCAGAAGAAACTCGCTCTGGATGTCGTTTGCACAGATGTCACAAAGCGGATGCGTACGCTGGAACGCAGGATGACGATCGCTGAAGCGAAGAATGCCCTCGGTATTAACCCCGAGGAATCGCGGCAGATCCGCAACGCCTTCTACCAGACTCTCAAGGCAGACCATTTCACGAGCAAGCTGGAGGCGGGAGACGACCATTGGCGCGAACTCAAGCAACAATGGATTGACGAATCCGAGCTCCTAACGAACATTCTCGCACCTGGTGAAGCGGACCCGCAGCGCCAGGAGAAACTCAAGGCGATGGAAGTCCTTTGCAGAGATGTCATGAAGCGCCTCCGCGACGACCAAACCAAGCGTGACCCTACGAGGAAGAAGAAATTCGACTCGAATTTCACGGCTGAGGTCCCGCAAAATATGGAGAGCTTCACTAATGATCGCGAGGAAGATATCCCACAATACCCAATGCCGGGTCCTCACGACGCCCTGGTACAGGCTGCTGCTCATGCTCAAGCGCAAGCTCAGGTCCAGGCCCAGGCTCAGGCCCAGGCGCAAGCACAGGCACACATGCAAGCCCAAGCGCAGGCCCAGGCATTGGCTCGGCATAACCAGTCTCACCTTCTTATGACAGACCACGATGACATGCGAATTGACCCCTCGCTACTGCTTGCCACTGCCAACGACCCATCGCTCATGGATTCCCACCACGACCACCACGGCTACGCCGAGCAGCAGTACGCGGACCAACAGTACACAGCGCAAGCGGCGCAGGCAGCTTTTCCGAACCCAGCGAACTCGATTGCTGTTTACTTCCGTCTTCACCCCGCTTCTGATATTCAGCCGCCTTCGAGACTATGGGTGAGCACGCTGAGCAGCGTGTCGGTGGACGAGCTGAGGCAGCTGGCGACAAGCAAATACCCTGGCACTATCCCGGTGCGCCTAGAGGGGATTGTGAAGGAGAGTAATGGGCAGGAGATGAACCTGCAGATTGACCACGATGAGGAGCTTGATGCTTACCTGGCGGCTATCAATGGGGTGAAACCCATTTTTACTGTGCAGTTGATGCAGGGCTGGAAGAACGAGTAAGGGATGGGATTAAGAGGATGGTGTTTGGGTCTTCGTGTTACACTTGGAGCATAATAAGGCAAGGATGGATATCCTTGTCATGGTGGGATTCAAGGAGTTTGGCTTAAGAGCCCCGGTTTTGATGATCAAAGTTAGATGTACAATTGCTCTCATGTTAGCTTTAGGATGTTAGAGTGGGTTGGCGGCGGCGGAGTTGGTTCTGTATTTGCTAACTGGGCCCTGTCGGGGCGAGGAGTCGGGATCCTGGCTATATCATTATAATTGCTTGTATTAGAGAATGTATATATCTCAAGTTGGATTATCACCAATACTTCTTTCATGAAATGATATCTGTAGTTTAGATCACACTGACAAAGATATGACGCTTATCGCGTTCTCGGCTAGCTATGATGTCTTCTGCAAAATCCCCATAGTAGCTTCGACCATCATCATCATCATCGGCCGAACGGATCTAGGGTGCCAGCTGAGTGACTATCCCTTAGGTTCTCCGGCATATTGCCATGCTCCGACATAGCTCATAGAGCTTCCATTCCCGACTTCTTCAACGCAGCCCGCTCAGCCACCGCAATGCCCGCCTCACACTCCCTCCTCCGGACCTTGCAGCGCAGCACCCCAGCGCCCCAACGCTGCCTGCGCCGCACAGCTACACAGCTCCAGAGACGACATGCATCGGACTCCAATACCCCCGAGTCGAACATAGGCTCCTCAAAGCCTCTTCCTGGCACGACGCCGCCGCCTGCGGCGCCGAGAACGAGCCCGCCGAGCCAGGCTGAGATCCATGGAGCTTTCAGGAGCCAATTGTACGGCAGTACGGCGGCGCGCACGGCGAAGGAGCGTATGGACCGGGAGAGACATGCAGATGAGCGGCAGGAATGGGCTGGGGGGAGGAATATGGCGACTACGTTCGGTGAGTTGTGCTGTGGGCTTTCTGTGTGGCTGCCCTTGAAGCATGGCTAGCTAGGGCGGCAAGCGGAGGCATTGAGGAACATTGCTAACGTGAGAATATAGTTGTCCTCGCCTCTTCCTTAGCATGCTACTACATGGGCACGAAGAACCCAGCTCCTGCGTCGCCTTCCTCTACACTCCCTCTTGCGGCGACGAAGCCACCGAAACACAATATTGCGCCAACAAACCTCGAAGCTGCTTGGGCGGATTTCGTCGCCATTGTTGGGAAGGATAACGTCAATACTACACAGGATGATGTTGTCGCTCACGCCGGTTCTGAATGGTCATCCCATCTCCGCAAGGACTCTGAGAAGCCATTCCTCGTCGTTTATCCCAGCACCACTGAGGAAGTCAGCGAGATCATGAAGGTCTGCCACCTTAGGAGAATCCCCGTAACGGCTTATTCTGGCGGAACATCTCTGGAAGGACACTATACGGCTACTCGTGGGGGAATCTGCATCGACTTCGGACGGATGGATAAGATCCTTCAGCTTCACGAGAAGGATATGGATGTTGTTGTCCAGCCGGCAGTTGGATGGGAGCATCTGAATGAAGTCCTTGCTGAATCGAACCTCTTCTTCCCACCGGACCCAGGACCAGGAGCCATGATTGGCGGCATGGTCGGAACTGGCTGCTCTGGAACGAACGCTTATAGATATGGTACCATGCGTGAATGGGTCCTCTCCCTGACTGTCGTAATGGCCGATGGAACTATTATCAAGACGCGCCAACGTCCTCGCAAGTCGAGCGCTGGCTATGACCTCACCAAACTGTTCATCGGCAGCGAGGGAACTCTAGGCCTCGTCACTGAAGCTACATTGAAGGTAACCACGAAGCCAATTGCCACCTCCGTCGCTGTCTGCGCCTTCCCATCCATCCGCGACGCCGCTGAGTGCGTCTCCCGAGTCGTCGGTGACGGAATCCCCATCGCAGCTATCGAAATCCTCGACGACGTTCAGATGAAGTGCATCAACGCCTCCGGCACCACGTCGCGCACCTGGGCCGAAGAGCCAACGCTCTTCTTCAAATTCGCAGGCACCGAGAGCGCGTGCAAGGAGCAGGTACAGATGGTGCAGAAGATCGCGAACAAGCACCGCGCCAAGACGTTCGAGTTCGCGCGCGATGAGCAGGAGAAGACGGATCTGTGGTCCGCGCGCAAGGAGGCGCTATGGAGCGTCATGGCTCTGAAGCGCGAGGAAAGCGACCACGTGTGGACTGGTGACGTGGCGGTGCCGATTAGCAGGTTGCCGGACATCATTGAGGAGACCAAGGATGACTTGAAGAAGATCGGGCTGCTAGCTGCGATTGTGGGGCATGTTGGCGATGGTAACTTCCACACGATCTTGATCTACAACGATGCGGAGCGCAAGAAGGCCGAGGCGTTTGTGCATCGCATGGTGAAGAGGGCTGTGGAGATGGAGGGGACCGTGACGGGAGAGCATGGGGTGGGACTGGTTAAGAGGGATTACTTGGATCACGAGCTGGGGGCGACGACTGTGGATGCTATGCGCAAGGTAAGTTCCATCCCTTCTTCGGTTGAAGATTGCTTTGCTAACGGCGTATGCGTAGATTAAACTTGCCTTCGACCCGCTCTGTCTTCTGAACAGCGACAAGGTTGTGAGAGTTGAGAAGCCAAAATCCGGCGAGATGTTGGTTTGGTAGAATCGTAGGTGAACAAGAATGTACAGTACAAAATCTATGTAATTATATACAATGGCATCTATCAGAAGTTTTTCTCTGTTTTCATGGCGTGATATAATTTACAATGGTATTTATCGATCTGCCTTGTTCTGTAGCATCTTCAATATCCCACCAAAGTGTGACCGCACATGTGCTTGCCAATAACCCGGTGCTAGATAATACAGTACTAGCTTAGCCCATCTGGTTTCTTTGATAATTTCCTTGGCTACTTTAACTTCAAAACTATCGAGAAACGCCAAAGTGGCGCAAGATATCACTGGGAGATCAACCCACGGCGCAGAGCCTCTTCCTTGACTTCCTCCACCCATTCCCCGCAGCGACGTAGCGGCTTGGTCGGATCCTTTCGCGACCCGTTTAGATTCATCTGGGCGGCAGGCGGAGAAATCGATCTGCACAGTTCGTCCAATCCCCCCACTGCCGACTGCGCAATTCGTCCAACGTATATCTGTGACCCAGGCACGAATAACACATCGGTTTCTTGCTTCACCCCGGATCTGGTTTCGAATGTCATGCCCTGGAGGATAGTCCCAATGACGTGGAATATCTGACCGCCTCCATCCTCCTGGGTCTCAACAAATAGTCGAACGTGATTTATGGGGCCCGAGCCTAGAAGCTCTACAGTGTAAACACTGTATGACATGGCTAATGCAATCTGTCAGCGGGTCCAAGTTGGCAGTTCAAAAACACAAACCTTGGGATTTTTTTGTAAACGTGATGATGAAGGGCGTTGTAAAGTCCGGGTTGCGGAAAAGCTTCTGGGACAGCGATGGTGAGCGAAAGTGGTTGCCTCCACAGTTATTCACCGCACGCGAACTGTTGTAAGATCCACCGTATAACCATTTAATCGCCCTAAGAATTTCATCTATAGACGGAGTTAAAATAAAAAGTTAGAATTGCTACAAATCATATTCTACTATATATTATACATTTACCAGTATCGTTATTGTGGCCTGGCTGTGACTGCCTCATCCATATAGCAACATGATATACTGTCTACCAAATAAAACCGCAAACCTCCACATATCGGGCAATCCCTCGCATATCACGGTTATTTTCTTAATGCCCATGTGCCGGTTTCAACCTCTCCTTACTATATAGCCTTCTAGATTTCTTGCCTTTATTTACACCTCGTCGATTTAAGCCCATCCCTTTTAAAAACCATAACGTCTCTCCGGTAGAATAAAGTCCATGACCTAGCTATGCCATACTGGTAGTTCTAAACATCACGAATAATAAAGTATGCGAACTACAACTAACACCAATCAAGAGAATGAGACCGACTTAACGCCCCGTAGCCCTTCTAAACCCTTCAAGCACACTCTGTATCTTCTCCCCGTCTCTTTGCTCCGAAATTTGTCTCCCGGTTTCTGATCCTAGAATCTGCCTCGCGAGCAAGATTTTGGTTTCTGTTGGCGTGGCGTGCAGGGAGCTAATGCTTTTGTATACGCCTAAGAGCGGGTAGCCGACGAAACCGAGCATTGCTGTTTGAAGTTGTTAGCGGACGAGTCCTGTAAGCTAACTTTGAAGCCACCTAGGAAATAGAATAAACTTACCTGCCCCAGGCTTGAAAAGGACTCCAAGAGTTCCAGTTACGAAGCCTTTCGCAAACCCCGCTGCGCCATCTTTTACCGCTCCCTTTGCGGGCGCAGTTACAATTCCGGTAAATCCGTCGAAGAAACCCACTGCCAGGCTCTTGACTCTGAAATTAGCAGCTATTTTTTCCTCTATAACTTTGTAGTAATTTTTCTCACCTTCCCACCCACAGCCATCCCACTCTTCCAATCAGTAATAGCCCCCCTTTCTATCTTCTTATCGCCATAAAGCATCGGCATGGCATGGAACCCATCCGCCATCGCGACCGGTAAATCAAGTAACATACCCTTCGCAAATCCTCCTCCCATCTTTCCCAGGCCCTTTCCAGCAGCTCCAGCTGCTGCTGCCGCACCAGTATGCCTGCGTGTTGTTTCCTTTCTGGCATCTGTACTTCCTCCTCTAAGTGCTACTTCGTTCATGTCGGTGTGGCTGTTGGCGGAATCCTCTCTACGCAGTGCTTGCGCTTTTTTGATCTCTTTATATGGTGCTGTGAAGAGGTTTTTGCCGTCCGATGTGAGGTCCATGATAGTGTCTATCAGGGTGGAGGAGCCGGCACTGAGGGGATCCCAGCGTTTGTATTCAATTTCTATTTTATTAGAAGAGTATCTGCCACGAGTCAAAAATGATGCAAGATTTCCAGGTGACTTCTAACTCACAGTTTAATGTTCTTCATCTTCAACTGCTTCTGCTCCATTAAAATAAAAGCCGCTTCGTCGGATAATTTAAGCTCCTGTTTATTATCCAATTGATATTGCCAAACCGCTGGCTGCCTTGGAAGTATATCGCATTGCATCTTCTTCATTGGAAGATGTCGGTGGAAAGATTTGACTGCTTCCTGAACTCCTGACTCTTTTTCCATACTAAGTGCGATCCTCTGTGCGGCAAGTAGTGTCTGAGGCTCGAGGAGTTTGTGAATTGCGGCAATTAGATTCGCACTGTCGAGAGATTTGTAATCAATTGGACGAGGGCCTGCCCCTGCTGCGGCAACTTGTTCACCCCAGAAGAATTGACTTGAATTTGTAAGCAGCGACCTAGTTGAGAGTGATGATTAAATGTTATACTTACTCTCCAAAGAAGGGAACAATGGCTGTTGGCCGACTATTTCTCAGCCCACAAGCTGTAGTTCCGGCCCCGCCATGGTGAACCACCGCGGAGACTTGTTGGAATAACCATTCTATTATATCGGGTTAGCTAGTTCTTTTTCTCCCTGAAAGTAATACTTGCCATGCGGACAGTCGTCGATAAAGAGCACGTTGGGATCTGAGTAACCGTTGCCCAGCTTACTCCAGCCTTTGGACACAATCGCTCGAACACCAGCTTCGTTCACAGCACAAAGGATTATTTCCGTCATCATCTGTGGATTATTCATCACGATGCTGCCGAACCCTATGTATATAGGGGTGGGACCGGACTTCAGAAATTCTTCGAGCTCAACTGGTGGAGTGAAATCAGGAGGGTCGCGAAAGAAGAACCCGCAAACGTCTGTGGGGTTAGAGTGTCAGCTAGCATATATCGACTTCAAACCCCAAATTATGCTAAATAGATTTCTTACCGATATTTGACGGCCAGTCCGCTGGTGTACGAACAAGTGATGGTGACCAGCAATACGTGAAAGGCAACTGCAAATAATCGGCGAGCCCCGCCCCCATCATTGCCCTGATCGGTTCTAAGCTCAACGAGTCCTTCCTCCACATGTTAATTATATCCACTAATCTAAATCTCAAAGTTAGCACTGTGTCCCTTTAAACGCAGCAGTCGTGGAAAGCGACAACGCACCCCTGCCAAGTCATCAACTCTACTAGCCCATACGATAGAAAATTACTAGTTTCCACATCTGCCATTGAAGTCTTCACAATGTTTGCTAGGGGATGTGGAAATTCTCGTGTTGGAGTCCATGGCATAGTGAACATTAAATGTACCGGAATTCCTAAAGCCTGGGCGCAATGCAAATGCGCAAAACTTGGTGGGTTAGCAATAATCGCTTCAGCGACAAATGGCCTGTTCGTTTTCGGGTCCGGTTCTATACATGACCTCCAACAACCCTCAAGCATCTCTAGGATCATCTTCCGTTTGCGGGCGATTTCGCCGTCGCGAAGGCTGGCAAACTTTGGGATTATTCCGGGGTTGTTGACCATGTAGGCCATTAGCTGTTCAGGATCACCACCAATGGGGAAGAAGTCTAATCCCGATTCTCTGACAAATGATTCGAAAATATTGTGTGTTGCGAGGCGGACCTTATGACCGGAACGTTGGAGTTCCTTCCCTAACGCGATGAAAGGCTGAACATCTCCTGTCTTGGCTTTAGCACAGCTCGAAAGTTTCAGGGTTGATTGATATGACCATACCGCGACTTCCAACGACATGCATAACAATATGTAACAGCGGATACTCGGATTGCGAGTATGTAGGCGAATGCAGAGTCGAGAAGTTGTGTTGCGACTCAAATGGTGATACCTGTTCCGGGATTCTCATGGAGGAATTGATGAGCATGCTAACCCTACCATTTTCTGTGCCTAGTCTATCAGCATTGTTCCAAAGTAAGGGCGAATTGCGTACGCATAACCTCTGCAGAGATCCCGCCATCGGCAATGGTGAGTTGATGATACGCTGGAGGCGCTTCGTGGTCAAAATTGGTAGAACTATCATCGGGAACCACCTCAATACCATCGTAATGAGGAATAACAGACGCGTTATCGTCGACCAAGGAGTACTCGATATTAGACTGGTTCTGGAAGGCGGAATGGTAGTATGCTGATGCGTGACCAACAGATGGTGAGCTTGCAGTTTCACTGCTAGCCTCGCTAGCTTTATCCATTCTCAGGAATTATCAATTGATTGCCAAGTTAGAAGTTGTATATCTGTACCCAGTATCAGTAGCAAATTCGATGCACTTTAAGCTTTGAATGGCATTCAACATAAGAATTAGAAGGTAAATCTGTGGGCTCAACTACACTTACATCGCGAAGTATTTTCGCTATGTCTTCGGCCGTTGCCACCTCACACCCCCGACACGATGGCCCCATATAAACTCTGGAAAAAAACTAACTTCGGATTCATCCGTCATGACCATGCAGATCAGCTGGTCCACCGTCAGTGATACTTGAGGTGGCCGATAGCTAGTTCCTCTCGCATCTCGTAATCCGAAGCAAGTGCCGCATCAAGATACGATGTGATCTTCATCCCCAGCAGCGTACGTCCTCCACCTCCTTCCTGGCGTCGTTCCAGAATCACTCCCCTGCGCTAGTCGACACTGCCCATCCTTGTCAACAACCTCCCTGATCTCCTCATAGGTAGATCGGAGGTTTCGGAGCCACGTTACCAAATTGCGATGCTAGACGTACCGATCTTTGTGGCAGTCACTAGTTGTCAGCCACGGCTGCCAAGCGAGTCTAAACCTTATTTTTCGCGTTTGGAGCTAGCTTGCCTTGAGGAGTCCGAGTCCGAGTCCGAGTCCGAGTCCGAGTCCGAGTACGAGGCTTACTTTGGAAAGGGCAGTGAGTTCCATGATTTTTTTAACTTGAGCACAAGTTCACTCAGCGTCTAACGAAGCGTCGTAGACTTATTTGGATGGGACAGCCTTTGCAAATACGAGAGAGAACTGCCAGCGCCAAGATATCCACGCGTTCAAGCATCAGGACCTCCAAGTCCATGCAGGTTCATCATCACTCCTTGAGGCTGCTACGTATGTCACATACGGTATGCGTCTCCTAGCAGGGACTAGTGATGTTGATTATTACCTCGTTTGCAACGCGTTGTACACAACCATGAGGATCTTGCGTACTTTCTTGTCACTATAGCTTGGTCCTAGCCCCAGGACCATCTGGGCCATTGAAACATCAGTAGAATCTTTATTTAGGATAGCCTCTAAACTTAATATGAAGAAAAGCATCTCACTTTTGTCATTCAGAGTTGCGCAATGCTGACGAGGCACAACTGACAGACACTCCAAGTACACGCGGTCTGAAGAGTCTCACAGGAAGTCAGACAGATATAAAGTGCAAAGTCTCTGCGGTTCGAGTTTTATTTCTGAGCCCTAACCTAAATCAACTCCAAGATTTGCCCTATATTCGGATTCTATTTGTCACCTCACCACTGTCAAAACACGACCACCCGTTATTGTGCAGCGCACCCCTATTTTTAAGAAATGTCCCATATCCACACGTCATTAAGCTCCCACTATGGGTCAACAACGGAGACAGCTTCTCCCCCACAGTACCAAGTCCATGACATTGAAGCCCACGAAATTGCCCCCTCAGCATCCACCCTCAATCGAGAAGATAAACCAATCGTCATTCCTCGTTAGCCCACCTCTCCTCTAGTTGAACCCTCTACTAATTCAAACACTAGAATCAACCAACCTCTTTTTCATAAAATCATTCTCCCCCTTCACCCGCTGCTACCCACCTTCTCTCTCTACGCTTAGCAATCCAATCACAGAGTTAGTGCCCTAGCAGCATTACCGTGAATCCCACACTAATACCTTCATCCATCTAGATCAGAATTCCTCGGTTTCATCGACCGCCTAAACCATGTTTTTATCTCTCTCCCCATCTTCCAACTAGCGCACATAACAGGGGGTGCTCTGATGTCTGTGCAAGGCGTCCTCCCTGTACAAGCGGTAGGCGGCGTCTTACAAGTGACATCCGTCCTAGCATCAGCGGGAGTATCATTTGTCCGCGTGCGGAAATTCATGAAATCTACCAATGAGGAAATATTTACCCCTAGGGGTTTGGTACGTCCTTCTTTAATCGCAATTAGTACATGCCTGACATTGTGTTATCTTAGGTGTGTAGAATCATGACTACTAAAAAGATGATGGCGGCAATAAACTTCTCCGAAGCGGATGTTAAAGGAAACCTCAAGCTCCCACCTCTCGAAACAGTTCATGATCTTGGTTCCCACCATCGACATAGCCTCCCAGCATCCATTCAGTCTGGCGAAGGCCAAGCAGCTAAAGATCCTCTTAAAATCGGGTTAGGGCTCGAAGATCCCCGCCTTCTCCGTCTCAAAGCACTAGAAGGGTACATCGCACCCCTCACTTTTGACGTCCCTGCACCCCCTCCAGAGAGTTGGATGTCAAAGATGAGCCAGAAACCTTTACGATGGGCGAACGAGAGGCAGATGAAAGCACTTGAAAAGACGCAAGCAAAATGCCACAAAAAGCGCGATTCTAAAGCCTCCGCCGTTTCAGCCGCTACGCTTCCTTCCGACAACGCGATTTTTGAAATCGACAGGCAGATAGAAATATTGCACAATGGCCAGGAAAGTTTCATTCAGGGATCGAGACATAAGAGTGAAGAGTTGGAAAAGTTGGAAGCGGCGAAGAGAGAAGAGGAAGCAAATAAGGAGAAGAAAGTTAGGGAAATTTATAAGGGGTCAGATAAGAAGATGGAGAAGGTTTACAAGAAAGAGGAGAAAGTGGCGAATAGGATACTTTGGATTGTTGTCACAAAAGCGGATAGCACACCCGTAGAAGAGGAAAGCCTGTTTAGGGTAGATAGTAGGACGACCACTCTAGGCGGAAGGGAATAGAGAACGGACATGGGGCTAAAGTTTAGGTTTTGTTTTAGCTTGTTTAGGACTTAGTGCTTGGGAATATAGACTGTGCTTAAATTGAAACTTGAACTTCAAACGGCAATGGCTTTCATAGTTAATGGTTTCAGTAGTAGAGGGTTGAGGTTAAGTTATTAAGAGAACTTGAGCCTTTACAACCCCACTTTGAGTTGCGTATCCCTAGGCGATTGCCTAGCTTGTGAGAAGTGGATCATTCTATTATATTAGAATTATGCGCCCTGTTCTAGGGAACGTGCATCCGAGTACGAGCGAGTGCAAGACATAACCGACTTTCTTATACGCGTATGGGGAAAATGTGAGGTCGGATAAGCTGAACCCGTCCTAAAATAACGAATGAGTGAATAATTCAAGGCTAGATTAACCTTAAAATAGTATTGTCTACGTTGCGTAGTGACGTACCACTCTTATTAGTTGCGAAAATGAAGGTAGTAGATTCTATTTCCAGATTGGAAGACATAAAAATATGATAGCCGCCCTAATAGGAATATATATATCTCCTTAACTTCTGAATCTTAGTCTTTCTTGCCATCATAACCCATTGAACTGCATCTGCAGACACTACCTTCTCCCTCCTCCGGACTTGTCTAATAACACCAACCTTGACGATCCTCGTTCGCATTGCACTCTGTTCTATCAAACATCATGGCAGTTGAAAAGTTTACCTTCTATCACTATGATCCTTCATTTGTGGCATCCGTCATATTTATTGCCCTTTTCGGCATTTCAACGTTTGGCCACTGCATCCAATTGCTGATGTTCAGAACTTGGTACTTTATCCCGCTGGCTATTGGAGGAATTTGTTAGTTATCCCGCAATCCTGTCGATTTAAGACCTTTAAATAACCCCTTTCCTATAAGTTGAGTGCGTTGGCTATGTCGGGAGAGCGATGTCTGCGAAAGAAGCCTCTGGCGAATGGACTATGACTCCGTATATTATGCAGAGCCTGCTTCTTCTCTTGGCCCCAGCCCTGTTTGCGGCTTCGATATACATGGTCCTTGGCCGCATCATTCGGCTGACTGACGGCGAATCTCATTCTATTATCAGGGCCAGATGGCTCACAAAAAATTTCGTGGCTGGGGATGTCTTGTCGTTCCTTACACAGTCTGCCGGTGGTGGCATGCTCTCTAAGGCAAAGGACGAGAATGCCGTCAAACTAGGCAATTGGGTCATCACTGGCGGCCTTATTATCCAGATTATGTTCTTCGGTGTTTTCATCATCGTCGCAGGGATCTTCAACTACCGATTACACAAAGTGCCAACAAACCGCTCTTTGTCTGCCAATATTCCATGGCAACGTTATCTCCTCGTTCTGTACGCAGCTAGCGGCCTCATCATGATCAGGTCGACCTTTCGTGTGGTCGAGTATATCGGGGGGCAGGATGGGGTGCTTCTTTCAAAAGAGATATACCTCTACATATTCGACGCGGCACTCATGTTTTTGACTCTGGCAATCTTCAATATTTGGCATCCAAGCTCAATCATCTCGAAAGCGACTATGCGTCTATGGAGTTCTTCCAGCCAATCCCAAGATGTTGAACAAAATGCGAGTAGCAGCAGCAATTTCCAACTTCGAAAAGTAGGAGAGATTTAAGGGTTGAGCTGAGGCGACGAGTTGTGTGAAGTTCTACTCCATTCCTGCAATAGGGGCATCGGCACTGTAGATGCCAAACCGGGCTCACCTGATCATGAGGTGGGACATGGCCCTCCTACTCCTGGATTAGCCCTGGGGCACGGCAATACGGCACATGGAGTAGCCATAGTAGCTAGTTTAATCGAGCCCTCACTTCTGATCAATTAGACCAATTGCAGTGATTCATCCATTCTATAATAATTATTATATACCCAAACGCCGCTCCGAAACCCAACATTTATACAGAGGGACAGTTGAGAACAATTATTAAGCTGCAGTTAGAGAACGTCAGTAGGACGAACGAATAGAGACTGAATTGAAGTATGGCTCTAGCTGCTTTATATTCATCACTCTTTGTCATCGAACTACAGAAGTCCACACCTAGGCGGCGCAACTATAGGAACGAAGTCTCAGCCTCGTCATGGAACTCGCAGCAACCAACAAGTCTTCCCTCAATCCGTACTGACCCCGTTATATCAAATCAGTCCAAGTCCCATCAAACCGTGCTGTCAGCTCCTACTAAAAAGGGCTGGATTTAGAGAAGAGGTTATATTAAGCTTCGATATGAACACTATTAGGCTGCGTCATGGGGGACCGATGGTTCCAAACCAGCGGTCTGAAGATTTTCCAACCCGGACCACGGTCTGGGTTGGAAAATCAGGGTGAACCGCCCAGACCGTTGGGGGACTGCTGTGGGTTAGAGGCTTTAGACCGGACCACGGTCCGGTTTCAAAATTTGGGACCGGACCAGACCATGGTCCGGTCTGGGGTCAGTACCCCGTGGCGTAGCCTAAACACTATGTGCCTAAGCCCTTGTAGATGGAGCTATGATAGGGCTGCCACTAAAATTTGCCGTCTCTAATATTAAAATTCAATATTAGAGAGACGGCAAATACCGTCAATTACGACGCCAGCCGCGAATCGTGGCCTAAACGGAGATCGCGCTGACATTAATCATCGGACGTAATCGCTTTACTCGTATTCGCTCGTATTCGCTCGTACTCACTCGTATTCGCGTTCACTAAAACAACATAATAATACGTTTTTGTCGACCATCTTCCTCAATGTTGCAACTGTGACAAAAACAAACCTTTTAATCTACCATTTAAAACCTCGATCTCAGGGGTGTTGGGCACGTTATCGAAGAATCTGATGTGAGAATAGCCTAGGTACCATCCGCTATCATTGTGGTTTGCGAGTACACCCCAACTATCCCAGAAGCACATCGCACCCTGGCGCGTCAACCTAATATCGCTCCTCACTCGCACATTCGCATATATCTTCCCACATGGATGTCACAATGCATGAAAGTCCGTCGCTGGCTACAATTACCCAATGCTCGAGGCGATCCCACCGCAAAACGAGGACAGGCTGCATGATTTGCAAGGCTAGGAAAATTAAGGTTGGTGTTTTCTCGTTGTGTTCGTGGTTTGTTGCGAGTGATTTGTCTGCTCACGAGTCGTTGAATGGCACAGGCGGCACCATGGATCTTTGAGGCTGAAATGCCAAGCTGTTCTGTCGTTGACAGTTGCCTGCTAATTCGCCATCGTTATTCATTGGCTCATGACTTGGAATTCTGCGGCTCTCACTTGAGCTGCACTCCCTCTTTTTGCTTATGCGGGGATTGAGAATAGACTGCATATATGCATTGCTGACTCTAACGTCTCAATACAGTGTGATGAAACGAAACCGCATTGCAACAACTGCTTAAAGCGCTCCGTGCAATGCGAGTATCCGACTCTGCCACCAACATCGTCCGATAAAATTCTGTTGTCGGCAAGTGATGAGCAGGTAGCAAACAGCCCCGAATCGGCCTACGGCGACTCCCAGCTCAGCCTAGATCTTGTTAACATGGAGTAAGGATAATGGCATCTCAAAAATCATTGTTCTTCCATCTCTGAAATGTTTATCTTCCTCTATGTACTCTGAAAATAACTCAAGACAGTCTCTTATTTACCCAATCAGTTCACCTCTAAACAGTGGTTAAATATTAAGCGCTAACTCCTTAATCTTCTAGACTCCTACACCACTACACTACATCCACTTATCATACCCTAAGAAGAGATCCCGTGCAGAGGACGTTGTGGCAGATGACTGTTTGCGAAATAGGCTTTTCCAATGAGTTCGTCCTACGTGGTATCCTAGCAATTGCGGCGCTTCATCTGGCTAGCCTACGACCTAGCCGGAAGGACTTTTATATTTCAAGGGGTATCATGCACCATGAATTAGGCCTGCGCAGGGCGACTAGCTTGCTCCCATACATGGACAAAGAAAACTGCACCCCGTTATGTATCTTCGCTGCCCTTGCTGGCATCTTCGCTATGGCTCGTCCTCGGACACAAGAAGATTTTCTTCTTGTAAACGACAAAGGCCTCGCTAACTGGATGGTATTAATGAGAGGCATGAGTTCTATCATCGGCTCAGCAACCCCAACGCTGTTCTCAGGGCCTCTCGGGCCGATGTTTCAAAATGGACATAGGCGATTCCTGTTGCGATCTCCAGAGCCGCCCATGGACAGTTCGGTGCATGGGGAAGAAGTGAAACTGCTGCAACAGCGTATTCTCAGTTCATGCGTGGACCCCAGGCTTATAGAGGCGTATATCGGGGCCTTGACTGAACTGCACATGTCACTCAATGTTCTTTATACCTACGCCGAGACGTATGAAGCAAGTGACGCTTTTATTTGGGTTTTTAGAACTCCGGAAGCATATTTTGTCTTACTTAAAAACCAGGATCCAGGAGCTTTGTGTATTTTTGCATTCTTTTGTGTCCTTTTACACCAGCTTGGTGCGCACTGGTGGGCTAAGGGCTGGAGCACTCATCTCATGGATCAAATCTATCGCCTGCTCGATGACGAGCACCGCTATTGGGTGCAGTGGCCGATTAAACAAATAGAAGGAATGCGGATTCCAGAGGCTTTGTAATAGTTAACGGGGAGGGATGCAAGGCGCGGTTATCGAAAGCGTGGTTCTGCATGTGCCACTACGGATTTTCAGGTGCGCCGAGGAGTGGAGCCATGTAGTGGTGTGGGGTACTGGACAACGTTTCAGAGTAGCGCGCGCCGATAAGAATAAAGAGAAGCTGTAAGCTGTTGAATTCTCACTCTGGTGCTCGGTGATAAAAGAGCCATGGCGACATGGCTGCAATCAGTCAGGATTATGAGCCTTGCACGGAAAATGCAGGGTAGGTACTTGCCCTGCATTATTCTTGGTATACAAATAAGCTGGCAACTATTTGCCCAAGGTACCGCTCAACGACACTTTGTCAGGGCACAATCTCGAAGCTCGCCGGTACTAACATTTCTTAACTGGAATGGAGTCTGAAAATATCCTCCGTTCAGGTACCCTTATAGCCCAACATACCCCGCACAATATTACAGTACCGCCATCGACCGAGAAGCCGTTGGTGCTTGAACCCCTATCCCCACTTTGTCCCCGCTTTCATGGTAAATAGTGGTACCGTGGTACTATAGTTGCAACATGCCACGCCTGTGAACAATAAGTTGAATAACACATAACTACAGAGAAAATAGCGCTCCAATGCCGGAGCTGCAGGCAGATCAAGAACGGGGTATGCCGTGGTGCTACCTTATACGATGCCCGGCAAATCGTATCTGGCCTCGATCAGCATCGAGGCGGAAGAGCGTCGTCACAACCCTTTAAGATGTGGGTAACTGTACCATATCATATGACCATAAGAGAAATATATATTCATCACACAAATCATCTACTAGGTAACAATTTACTACACTTTTACGAGATATCCACAGCATCGTGAAATATTTGTAGGGTAGGTCGCAGATAGACTGCCGCCGCTCCGATTCATGCTATATTTGAAAACAAAGCTTGGCGATGATAGGAGGCCTTATTTCCTCCGAAACCGCCAATTCTCAGGCAGTTTTCTACTACCATTTATCCGCTGTGGAGAAGATTATTGTCACGGGCCAGCTCTGTCCTGACTTATAGTACTCTCACATTGACTTTATTTCTCCATTAATATGGACTTTTTCGAAATATCTTCCGCTACCTTAAAGTTCATGTTAAGCATGGCCAAGATCGGATCTCTTCCCCGCAATTTAATCTACTTGACAGGGACGGATTATTGACCGACTCAATGCTTGATTATAACCCTAGTAGGTCTTAGAAGCTTCCTTCAAGTATAAGTTGAAGGCCTAGGCCGCCAAGATACGAAGCTTTTTAATCTCTAATTTAACCATCTTCCTTGCATCGAAACCCGTGGACATCATAATGGCAGCAAAAACTCTTTTTAGTCTTGCGTTGGCTTTCGCTGCGGTGGTGAATGGACAATCCATCACTATTAGCAATTTCAACGATGTAGCCTCGGCAAAGGCTTCATATACTTCGATCACAATATCGTCGATGGCTGTCCCTGCTGGAAAGACCTTGGATCTCACTGGATTAAAGACAGGCACAACTGTCACCTTCACTGGCACAACCACATTCGCATACTCGGCGTGGGTAGGACCCTTGGTATCAGTGTCTGGCACGGACATCACGGTCACAGGCACTGGTACATTGGATGGCAAAGGTGCCAGCTACTGGGTGAGAACATTCACACGACGTCTGGTCAGAGACGTATGCTGACATTCGTGACTAAACAGGATGGCAATGGTGGAAGTGGCGGCGTTAAAAAGCCAAAGTTTTTCCAAGCCCATAACCTAAATGGAAAGTCCAAGGTACGAAACATTTAGTCGCCTCTTACCATACTGTCCTAATAGTTGTGAATAGATCACAGGGATCACCATCTTGAACTCTCCCGTCCAGGCATGGTCTATCGGAAGCTCCACAGGCCTTACAATCAGCGGCGTTACTCTAAATAACAAGGCCGGCACCGCCCTCGGTAAGAACACCGACGCCTTCGACATTGGCTCTGTCGACCAGCTGACTATCACCGGCGCCACCGTGTACAACCAGGATGACTGTGTCGCTATTAACTCAGGCACTAACATTGTCATTTCAAACATGAACTGCAATGGTGGTCACGGTCTGTCTATTGGATCCGTGGGCGGACGTGATGACAACACAGTCCAGAATGTCCAAATCAAGGACAGCACCATCACTGATAGCGCCATCGGTGTCCGAATCAAGACCAATGTCGGAACCACCGGTCTGGTGGATAAGGTCACCTACTCAAACATCAAGCTTAGCGGCATTACTAAGTACGGTGTTATCCTGGAGCAGGACTACAATGGCGGAGACGCAAAGGGAACCCCTGACAACGGTGTGCCTATTACCAACCTGTATGCTGCTTTCCTATTATCCCCCATTATGAGGATGTAATCTGATAAACCTTCCCTAGCGTCCTATCTGGTGTCACTGGTACCGTCACCTCCGCAGGTATGGACTTCTACATTGAGTGCGGATCCGGATCTTGCTCCAACTGGACCTTTACCAACGTAGCTGTTACTGGTGGTGGCAAGACATCGAAGTGTAACTACACTCCTTCTGGCTTCACCTGCAAATAGAGACTCGTTCCCTGGGTTTGAGGAGAGTCTCTCAACTTTATAAAAGATAAAATACGGCAATAATCACATATTAGCTGGCGGATATTCTACGGCGCTAGAGGTGATAAACTCGTATGAAGTTGAAATTCGTGGCTCATTAATTTATCCAGCCGTCCCACCATTATAAGTTACATAGTCGTATAAGCGTAAACATTCCTCCCGCCAACTCCAGATCCCTCCCCCCACCTATTTGCCAAGCCAACATCAGCAGTACAGCTTGTTCTTAACCAGCGGCCTCACCCTGTCCTTCTCTGTCACAATGACAATATGATCCGCCTCCCCCATCTCCCCTATATATGCCCCGCAGTATATCCTCTTCCCCTTAACCCCTTTCACCACAGCCCTCGACATGCCGTTCCCGAGCCCCAACTTTCGCATCAGGTACTCCAAGTCCTCCAGCTCTTCCTCCTGCTCGACACCCTTCTCAAACGGTCCAAACTGTGGATAGTGTAATGTGCGGCTGCTCGCGCGTCCTGATCGCATACTCGACGCATAATTACCGTCGGGGCGTCTCACGGCGGCCGCGGGACTCGTGCCCTTGGAGGTAATGTCTATCTCTGGAAAGTACGAAGAGTTCGGGGTGTGTGGCCCAAGGTAGCACCACCACAGGCACCCTATGCACCATGCAAGAACGAGAAATGCCGATCCGCCGAATATGTACACCGTCCATGCCTGAATGAGCGCTCGGTAGCTGACGCGCGATAGCTGTGCATCGACTCTGAGATCATCGGGCAGCGTATCCATGGCAGCTTGCTGCCAGATCTCCGTCGAAAACTGCAGCGGGATAGACAGGAAGCCGCGCAGGACCGCGAGCCCGCCATCAGCGTACGAGTTGAAGTCCGACCTATACAGGCTCAGGATCCAGAAGATACCGTATTGAACCGTGTAGGAGGTGCAAGCGTTGGATGCTTCGCTGTTGCTTTTGAAGATGGGGGTCGTGGAGTTAGCGCTCGAAAATACAGGGGCGGTAGAGTTGGCAAAGGCCGGCTGATCTTTCATCACGATGCCGAAGTAGGTGCGTATTATATCTGCGTCGATGGCGGTTGCTTGCGGAGAAGTGAGGCGTTCAATGCTCAAGATAGACATATTTTTTGCGTCGTAGGCGACAGTGGCGTAACGCTTATACATAGAGGTTGTGGTGGCTTGGTCCATAGGGTACTTCTCCGTCCAGGTTGTGTTCTGGCCGCAGTTTCCGACTCCTGCATCTGTGGGACATACAGTCCAGCCTGAAATGTGTCATGGGTTAGCTTTTTCTTTATAAAGAACAAGTGCAGGCTAGCAATAGATGAAGGTAAAAGACAGATAATTGATATGTGGAATACGAACCAGAGAGTAGGTCTGGGCCATGAGTGGCTATACAGACATAGAGTCCGTAATTAGAATATCCAATATGATCGATATATATTGTACAGTCCTCGCTTTTAAATTTATAATTGGCTGGTAAGTCATAGAACTCTACCTGGTATCCCGGGGCCTGGTTAATAATGATGCTCTCATACTGCCCAGCACCTAGTTCATCCTTGAATAATGTGGAATTCTTGTCTCCGCTGGCCACCCTTACAGTGTGGAGTCCCCCAGGCAGAAATACTGAGAGGCACGTATCACCTTCGCACTTTATAGGTTCCATATTTGCGACAAAGCGGGGATCGGTGAGGAAGCCGTATGTATAGCTGCCTGCGTACACATTGATCAAAGCCGGGTTAACATAAGGGAGAAATTTGATGGACAGGGGAGCAAGGCCAGCTATGACAGGGACCTGAGCGGCGGAATGAACGGCTGTATACATATTTTTGAACGTCACATCAGCTGTAGTATGTTAGCTAGTCTCTTACTGGGTGATATTTGGCAGGCCAGGGGGACAGACTGATCAAGACTAGGCCGAGGAGGGTGACCAAGCCCATTGCAATAATCCTGCAGCAATATCAGTAAATGTGGCAAAGCGCCTCAAAATAGCATTGGGTGTCCAGCAGATGGCTGGATGGTGCACACCCACTTCTGCAATGCCCAGAGTATATGCCCACCCCATACAGTGCATAAGTACGCCACACCGTGCAACGGCGTGGCTCTGCTCAGCACCAGAAAGCTGGTCAAGGTAACACCCTGCGGGCGACATGCCAAAGACCACCGCAGCTCTTCGTTCGCATCGGTAATTAAGCTCCATAATAGGTACGCCACCACATGGGATAGCACGTTAATAGCCATCACCGTTTTCCCCGGCGACAGACTCAGCGCTTGAGGGACAGCTCTTTCACTCACGAGCACCGTGTATGAATAGTACACCGAAAAGATCGTCGAGACGACAGCGGCAGCGCAGGTCAACCAGGTCATCAGAAACCGCTCTCTTTTTGACTGGAGAGGGGACTTGGTGCCCACGCTGCACCTGAACGTCTCATGCTGGCTGAGTATTGGCGTCCGGGCATCTTGATGACCCGCGGCGGTGGAGGGCGGGGAATCGGTGCGCCACAAATTATCCGCACTGTCGTTTAGCGTGCCTCTCGACGCCCATGGCGCATTGTGCGTTCTAGAATCCGAGATATGTGGCTGGGGCGATGGGTTTCGCTCGTCGGCGACGTCGAGGTCGGGCGGGTTGTCATAGTGGTGAAGGGAAGGCAACTCGATGTTGTACCATGGCGGCATCTTGACGAGAGAGTGTGAGAGTCTCGGTGAAAATCACAGCCAGCAAGGGGTTTGCTCAGGCCAGTTCAGACGTTTTGGCGAGTGGCAGATCAAGACGACATTCTCCTAGTTTATAGCTTCGGTGAGCATTATGAGTGTTTGGAAACTAGCCCCCAGTATCATGGAGGCACCAGTTGAAAGATACTTTACTCGCTTCACCAAGCTCAACTATATGCCGTGAATGATCCAGAGACAGGCCTATATGGCAGGTGATTGGAGAGTATGTAACCCAGGGTTGAGGGTTGAGGGTGGCATACAATGGTGCCAGCTTCTGCTGATCAATTCCAAGACAGGAGCAACCGACGCTCTACCCAGAATTCTATCCTGGATAGAGTTTGTCTATGGGCCAGAGGCGCGATGGGCTGGAACAAAGATGGGGGGTAAGAGAGGACAAACCATACGCCGAGGCTTATGTAGAATAGATTGCATCCCAATATAGCAGGCACTAGACGCCACAGGTGTACATCTCGGACAAAAAGAGAAGACACAGCCTCACGGATCGGCAAGCATCTGTATGGCTGAACTATGATGGAAGTTGCACATCGATGCCATTAGCGTAACAGTTCGACAGGTGGTCCTGTCCTTTGGAAAGGGTGTAATTCGCACAACTGCGCTGTTATTTCTGATATCGGAGAAGAGACAGAGGACACTGAACAGAACTGGTGACAGATTTTGGCCGCCCACGTTCGAGATATTCCCAGTGGGCTGCCAAGATATTTCCAAGACACCTCGTATAGATAAGAGTATAAGTACTGCATTGTGACGAGTCCAGAACTTACTTCGGTGTAGACACATTGTCAAATAGATTATCAAATAGCATCGCGGCTGGCTAGTCTCATGCAATGTAACTCTAGCTTAGCAGGGGAAACGTAACCCACCCCCTCCTCAAATTCCCAGAGCGGCTTGAGTCTGCACACCGAGAGAACCCAGCCAGGCGGAGTACCGTATTCATATCATTATCCTGCATTGAGGCGCGATATTCGACCAAAGAGACATATGATTTCCATCCCAACTGTCCTCTGTGGCGTAGTAAAGTTAAAATCGACGCAGATGGCGGCGGGCTGTTAGTGTAGTGGAAGGAAGCGGCCGCCCGCACGTCCTACAGGAACTCTAATTGAAGGACGTTGTGGTGGTCCCCATGGCGGGCTTTGTGGAGGCCAGGCATGCAAGCCTATCTACCAGTTCAACGGAGAGTTTCTTCAACGCCACACCGCCACTACAACACAGCACTTGTATACTGGATCCAAAGCGAATGCGCAAATCATCGCTACGATCCTTCATCACAGGATGAATAGACTTAATGCCCAACTAACTATGGCACTGTATGCTCGTCGCGAAGAAGCTGCCTATCCAGCCTACAACTCATGTCCATCAACGCCAAATCTGCCTTATCCAAATCGAACCGATTCCACTCCCCTCCAGCCGCAACTCCAGCTCTACTGGGCATAACCCAGCTAAAGCGTACGGCTGGCAATATTCCTTCCTCCACCCCAGTTCCACTTCCTTCCAACTCCCGACCTTTCCCCGCTAGCCACTAGAAAATACCACCCAAAACGTCCATATAATTCGGAAGACCGCATCACGCAAGGCGGACCCCCCAGCATCCCAGCGACGCGGAGACACAATCCAAATCCGTCCGTCGAATCAAGACCCCTTCTCGACTCTCCCCGCCAAATGTGCCACGTTGGCTTTGATGGCGTCGCTGACGGCTCCGGCCCCTGTGTACACGTACGCGACAGTGTCGCTCCAGGCCTCGGGATGCGGGAGGGGCATGTCAATGGTGTCACCCCGGCGGATGTAGCCCGAGAGCATGATGGCGCCGAGGATGGGGAGGTACTTGAGCGCGTAGTCCATATCTGCCGCGCCATGTTAGCTGTGTTGTGTACAAGGTAGTTGCGTGGGGTGCTAGAAGTAGGTAAGGCTGAGTGTCACGAGGTGGAACTTACGGATAGGCATTACCCTTCTCCTTGGACCAGCTGCTCTGGGTTCTGGTGTCTCTTTCTCTGGCGTCAAAGACTTTGATGCAGGTGCCGGTTGGGGGCTAGGCGTACTCGCCGGTTCTTCAGGGGCTACCTGCGCGGTTGCATTTTTCTCACCATCATTTTCAGCCCTCTCATCCTCCTTTGCATCAGCAGTCTCTTTTTCTTTTTCTTCTCCTTTCGTCTCTTTTGTCGTAGTCGGCCGCGAAGCCTCGATGTCAGCTTTGCTGAAGCGACGCTGAATGAGAAACGGCTTTCGCTCCTTCGAATAAGGGACGACGCGAGCTCGGATTACGACGTGGTCACTGTCACTCTGCGGGATAGTGATATAGTTCTCATCTTCTCCAGTATTTGACATGAGGGACTCCCGGCGTCCTTTGTTCTGATTCGGCACGCGGCTGTGCATGGCCCGCACGAAGACGTCGGCAGAAGCTGCATTGCCCAGGTAGACGTGACCGTATTCTCGGAGCCGCCCCGGAGGAGGCTTGCCCAGCCGTCTGGGAGGGAGATCGGGGTTGGGACGGTGCTCGCGGGAGTCCGCTGAAACGCTACTCGCACGTGAGAGCTCGCTGCTGTTGGTGCCGGCGAGGAGCATATCGCGGGACTCTTCGGCAAAAGAGCGGCGCGACTTTATGGGTGACGAGCTGGTTGAGAGGGGAGACGAGGCGTGGAGTCCGTCGAAGCGGGTAACGAGACCGGCGGACGAGAGGTCAGAGTACCTACGTGAGCGACCTGGCGTGAAAGGCGGTGGGGAGGGCGACACAGGCGACTGGAAGGCCGTATGGAGGCCGTTTTCGCGGTAATATTTGCGGACACCGGCGAGAGATGGTGTAGCAAGGCTTGTTGCTGAAGTTGGTGTCTCTGGAGGCTCACGGTATGGAGAATTTGAGCGGAATGGGTATGGGCTTCCGCGCGGACGTTGTACAGGCTTGATATGAGTTGTTGATAATGGCCGAAGGTTATAAGGGCGCTGACGGCGGGGGTTCTTCAATGTTTTTGGTTCCATGAATTCGACCTGGCGCGTTGTACCTACCTGCTTTGCTGCCTGTGCATATTTGGTTTCGTTTGAAGCCATGCTTTCTGTGGAAGGTTTTGTCACTTGCGAGCACGACGTAGAAGTTCACAGTAGAAATTCGCGACGGAGCCCAAAGAATGAGCAGCTTATTTCTACACATGTAAACAAGGAGAAGGAATTTCTCTCGGACTTCCATTGGTAGCTTACTTCTTTATGAAGAACAAAGGGCTCAAGACGTCACCCAGTCACATGCGGAGAGAAATGCAAGGAACCACACTCGAGAACAAAGAAATAATTCAAGGCACGGCGGCGCCGAAGAGCTACGTTACCATTCCCACGTGTGAGGATGACGATGATTGAAACCTTCATGGTCATCGCTTACTTGCTCTGGTCTTCTTTGAAGATAGTTCTCTTTGAGGGAAATCAGCCACGACGGGCTGTTTGGCCTCTGCACCTCTCCCAGGGCGGCATATAATTAAGTACCAAACAGAACAGAAACGGCAGTCCAGACGAATCAGGGTCAATACGAGATAGCCAGTGCATATGAACCTCCGGAAGCCGAGTTACATATTCAGCGTTCTATTGGCAAAGGCCGTGGATTTACATGCACAACATCAAAGGGTGTTTGAATAGATACTTCAAAATGATGAATAAATAAAACAAAAATAAAATAATCAGAGTTGGCAGCTCAAGGCATTTCAGATTTCAGATTTCAGATAGAGAGTCCCAACTGAATATACTCAACAATCCTTAAATCTATATTTTTTTATAATTATCACATTCGAAGAAAGTGATACTCTTGCTAAATTCTCACTTCGCCTTCTCCTTCCGTTGCCTTAACGTGAATTTGCTTAGTCATCAATACCACTCATCTCACCCAGCCTTGTCCAACGAGGCTACTGATTTGACGGCGCGCATTTACCCCAGCTTCCGAAAAGGACAGCAACATTCAAGCTCCCCCTCCATCCTCCACAACCAGAGTTCCTTTCTGAGACATGAGTGTGTGATTTTCTATTTAATATTTGTTTTGCGTTGATACCCCTCTAGTTGCGCTGCTCCTCTCATCATGGCGAAAGACTACAAAACCCAGAAAGAAGACTTCGTGTCGAACCTCACAGGCGGGTCAATCGGCGATATTATCGCAGTAACAGCCGTTGTTCCTGTATGCCCCCAACCCCGCTATTGATGACCTAGCTGATTGAATATCAGATATCTATCATCGCCTGGTCTGCTCTTCAAGCAAGGCATCAGTTCTTTGCGAAATACACAGCCATCCCCTTTGCCGTCGACTTCTTCCTCAATGTCGGAGCTGTCCTCCTCGCGACCACGCTATACTCTCCCAACCCTCTATTACTCGACATCCTTCTCTTGAGCCCAGCGATAATACTGTCATATTTCTACACCATACCTACGAAGAAGAAGGCCAAGCCCCCCCAGGCGAAGAAGGTCACCGCGTCAGAGACATCTCTTGACCCTCTGCCCCGCAAGCCATTCCTCACCATATACAGAGGATGCATGATGATCATAACATGTCTGGCCATTCTCGCTGTGGACTTCCCGATATTTCCTAGACGATTCGCAAAGGTCGAGAACTGGGGCACATCGCTGATGGACCTCGGTGTTGGTTCGTTCGTGTTCTCAGCAGGTGTCGTCGCTGCAAGGCCTGTTCTCAAGGAGAAGATTAGTGGGAAATATACTACGCTGGGGTCGCGGTTATACTCATCATTACGACACGCGTTGCCGCTCTTTGTGCTTGGACTGATTCGTCTCTGGTCGGTCAAGGGACTTGACTATGCCGAGCATGTCACGGAGTACGGGGTCCACTGGAATTTCTTCTTCACTCTTGGCTTTCTGCCACCGTTTGTCGCGATCTTTCAATGGGCATTCCAGCTGATCCCGTCATTTGAGGTGCTGGCTTTTCTGCTTGCTGCTGTCTATGAGATTGTTCTGGACAATACCGACCTTAAGGCGTTTGTTTTGACAGCCCCTCGAACAGATCTCTTCTCAAAGAACCGAGAGGGAATATTCAGCTTTATTGGGTATCTGTCGATATTCCTGGCTGGACAGGGCATTGGGATGGCTGTTATTCCAAGAAATATCTCACCAAAGGAACCCACTGGAAGCGTCGCTCAGCGGAAGAAGCTCCTTATTACGCTGGTGACCACATCCGTCGTCTGGAGTCTCTTATACGTGGCTACGACTCACTATTACGGGCTAGGACTCACCGTGTCTCGTCGACTTGCAAACCTACCCTATCTTCTGTTCGTAGCAGCGTTCAACTGCATCCAAACCACAGCATTCTGCGCCATTGAGACGTTCTACTTCCCGGAAGTCTACAAGGCCACGGACAAGAAGACTGAGGAGCGCAACTACAGCCATGCGACGAGCAGGATAATGACCGCATATAACCGGAACGGGCTGGCGCTGTTCCTTGTCGCGAACTTGCTTACCGGGCTGGTTAATCTCACGGTTCCGACTCTTTTTGTTGAAGATGCCGTGGCTGTGGGCATTTTGCTGGCTTATGGGGGTGTGATCACTGGATTAGCCGTGTTGTTGGATGTGTATGATATCAGTATCAAGTTGTAACAGTGGTTATTTATCTCCAAAAGTATTAGTTGTTGCAATATTGTTGTAAGCTTAATGATAATATATTAGAAAGAGCTGAGGTGGAACAAGTTGGACACACGTCACACAGCTTCTAAAACCCGGATGAATCGGTATCATAATTATTCGGGAAGATGTAGCTTGCACCGGTAAGATCACCATACTCACAACGGCTGAATTGAACCACTCTATGAACACGTTTTCAAATATAAACCTCACCTCAGCTCCCTCATTCCGCGGACCCGGGACAACGCCACAAGAGCATGGCCATGACTCGAGAAACGCAGTCTTCAGGGGAGCAAACAAATAACACCAATCGACAAGACATAGAGGGGTATAATAGCATATACTGGCCAGATATCATCCTGCACTTCACATGCACACACTCCAGAATCACACCCAAGTAAGACAGGCCACCCCCTGCCAACCACCATGCATATCTATTCTGCGTGCAGAGTACAAACTCCGTGTGGTTGTGCATGCAGGGGTCAATGCATCGCATTTTCTATTTTTGGCTAGCGACCACCACGCGTGGTTGGCTCCGCTAGATGACAGTAATATGCCCAGGATACCCTCTAATTGCACTCTTTGAACACTTGCATGAACAACCACGGCCGTCATCTCCCATATCAATGCAGGTAGGAGAGACTGACGATGTAGTTGGAGAAGATATTACTTTTTTTAAAGGGGGAAGGAGGTCGCTCTTACGTGTGTCATACGCCGTCGCACACGCCGAAGGGCATGGTTTGCGAAGCGCTGGAGCATGGACCTTGTCGCGAGTTTTTGAAATTTCTAGGGGGAAGCTTTTCTTTTGGGACGGTTTTATCATCAGATGAAGAAGTGCGTTTGTCAATTGAGATCCGGGGGATCTAGGTAAGGTACATACCATACCGATTCCAGCGCGCAAGGCGTAGGGCCATGGGCCAAAAGGGAAAATGGCGTTCCCTTCGCGCAAGTTTCAGGATTTGTTGACGGGGAGATGCGATGAGATGGGATTCCCTCCAGCGCCAGCCTTGCGCCACTCTTCCAGTACAGTACTGTGCTCTTTTCCTTCTGCTACCGGCGAATGTGAGAATGAGCTCATACTTTCTTCTTACCGGCCAATTCACCGAGCGCGCGCCTTTTCGTTCCTGAGTGGTGTGGCACGGATAAGGCCGAGGGAAGCTTCGCATGAAACAAATCTCTCCAGCAGTGGGGCGCGCAGTGGCGATTCGTCGAGATGAGCAACACAAACAACTGGGGCCAGGGAGTACTGCCGAGTACGGCTACGGAGCAGGATCAACTGCGATCATCGGGGTGGAAAACGCGGCAGCCTGGTAGTTCGTGACGGTAGAGAGAGAGTCTTGCTTCCCGTGAGATGGGGCCGCACGTTGTGTTATTGAGCACGAGAGCGCAGGGAGAGGTGGTTCCACGGGTACAGGGAAGCACAGGCATAGGAGCAAGGGAGTGGGGGGAGGGAGGTTCGAGTCATGAATGAATGAGTGTATTGAGACTCTTCGGGATGGTGCGTCAGGGCATTAGGCAGGGCGTTTATAGTGAGATATTCGTGAATATTGGATGAAGGTATTGGGTGCGGGTGGTGAGTGCGTGCAGTAGAGTGGATGGAGTATTGTATTGGCGGCCACTGTAGTTCTCCGTAGTGCCGGCAGAGGAAGCCGTGATATTATATCATATTTGTGTTGATATCATATTTGTATGCACTGTGGAACTAGAGGGTATAGTTGGCTAGTTCGTGTAATGCGCCAGAGAAGCGCAGAGAATTGTGACTTCGTTGAGGCCAAGAGTGAAGAAGGAAATGTGCTTGCATATACTTAGTATAGTAATCTAGTGGAAGAGAATGAGGTTAATAACACACCACAACAGTAAACCCTTACCACACTTATTTCCTTATAGTATATTCTAATGAAAACTATCCCCTAGATCCCCAAATCCCTAGATCCCCAGATGCCCCTTTCTTTATCCTCTTCATTGCATCTGCTTTCATTCATCCTTTCATCCTTTTTTTTGACCCCTTCCCTTCCTCTTCATATCTGACAGATTGCTCTAAGCCGCGATATCATTTATCCGTGCTTGAAACAGTTAACTCGTACCCCGTAACTGTACCTGGATTAACGCCAGCAAGGTTGTTCGCTGTCCATTTTGTGTTAGTTGTGTGTTAGCTGTGTGTTAGCGTGTTAGTGTGCTAGTTTTGTGTGAGTTAGTGTGTGAGTTAGTGTGTTAGTGGTGTGTTAGTTGCTGTGTTAGTCACTTTGTTAGCTGTTCTTAGCTCTGTGTCCGGTGTCCCGTTGTCCCCCTTTACGCACCAAACGCTACCACACCTAAACTCCACTCCTCCCTCTTCTCCCTCACAATTCGTCGCTTAAGTCGCGAAAAAGGGAAATTACAGCGGCCGACCGCGAAACAAACTCCAGTCGCTCTTCCCCACCCAACTCCCTCCCACCCCCCCCCAGCAGCCAGCCATCAACGCCAGGCCGATCATACCCTCGAGCGCAGGCTTAATTTTAACATCTTCAACGCCTCCCCCGTCTCTGACTTCATTCACTCTCGTTCTGTCTTCCTAATTCATCCAAGGTCTTCCAATATACCTCATCTCTCACTCTATCCAAAAAGTCTTAATCGCCCTGTGTAAACAACCCTGAACACGCCCAAAATCACGAAAAGTCGCGGATACTGTACAGCTGCTAAGGGGGTGATCTGCTTGCATTGGTTTCACTGTTTGGGCTGCAACATCATGGTAGCTGGAGGTCCTCATTGGTGACAGAGGCGACACAATCGCTGATCACAAGCAATTGGACACACCGTCAGATCTAACTATTTGACTCCGACGAGAGAAAGAACTCCGATCTGACGAGATATCCAACGGCCACCGACCCAACTACAAACTCAATCTATCGCGTTGAGCAGGATCATGTCGTCCGCTGTGTCGCTGCAAGCTCCACATCAATCAACCACGATAACCTCGCTCCCGCAGGCACCATCGCCATCGACGCGACAGTATTCATCACAGGCGCCCCAGCCGAGAGACCAGGCGTACAATCAACAGACCGGAAACGCGTCGCCAGCGTCGACAACGCGGCGGCCATCGAAGCGGCCAAGCGGAAATGGCGCATCTCCTGTAACCCAGCAACAACCACAACAATACTATTCCCCGACAACATCCGCGTTTCCGATGACGGGCCAACAACACCAATCGCCCGTAGTTTCCGAATCCGCGAATTCTCGCTCAAACGTGACGGCCGCAGAGTACCAACGTGGCATGCCGCCGGTCGCGCCGCCGAGAACCTCGTCAAACCAGAGATCCTCGGGTCCTGCTCTCGCCGCAGCTGCCGCAGCAGCCACCACCTCGACGGACCGGCCGAAACGGAATGCACAACAAGCTGACGATCGGGCAATTCACGCGGCAAGAGTAGCTGCTGCTGGCGACGGTGCTCACCCTGACCAGCGGGAGTCCCGGCAAACTAACGGACACCGATCCAAGGCTGCCGATGACAGCGCGCTTGCAACAGATTCACCATCTAGATCGCGTAGGCGCACACAGCAGCCAGGGGAAGATTCACCGCACAGGTCGAACACCACGCGTGAAAGCCGTAGCTCCCAACAACCCCAACCGCAGAGTCGGCAACAAGACATGGGCAATTCGGCGAATGACGCGAATGGCCCGATAAGAGAGACTAATGATGTCTTGAGCCGTTTGGTCATAAGCCAACCTGAGGTGGATCTGGATAGGGAACGCGAACGCATGGCTGAGGCTGTACCGCGGGCTTATACTGGAGAGGCTTCTTCTCCTGTCGCGGCCCCCAACGCTGTTGACAACGATGGAAACGATGACGGCCGTGCGGGAGAGCGTAGAAGACAGGACCATAGCACGAAACGAGAGAAGACGACTAAGTTCGGTGAATACTTCCTCGGAAACACGCTGGGTGAGGGCGAGTTCGGCAAGGTCAAGATGGGCTGGAAGCAAGAAGGCGGTGTACAGGTAGGCTTTGAATCATGCTTCGAGGAGATTGTAAACTAACATACCTCAGGTTGCTATTAAACTAATCCGGAGAGACAGCGTTGGAACGAATCCTACGCGACTTGCCAAAATCTACCGCGAGATTGCGATTCTACGTGAGATTTCTCATCCCAACATTGTGCGCCTTCATGAGATGGTGGAAACCGAGAAACACATTGGCATCATTCTAGAATACGCGTCCGGCGGAGAGCTTTTCGACTACATCCTGAACCACAGATACCTGAAGGACAACGCGGCACGGAGACTGTTTGCTCAGTTGGTCTCGGGGGTTGGCTACCTTCACAAGAAGGGAATCGTCCACCGTGATCTGAAGCTGGAGAACTTACTACTGGACCGCAACCGCAACATCATCATCACTGATTTTGGCTTCGCCAATACCTTCAATCCCGTGGATGAGCTCGGGGAAGAAGTTGAATATGGCCTATCGAGCCGGGATTATGTGAGGCGCATGGAGCTTGACAGGATCCTGCCTGGTGGCTTCCGACGAGGCGATCTGATGCAGACCAGCTGTGGAAGTCCGTGTTATGCTGCTCCCGAGCTGGTCGTTAGCGACTCCTTGTACACTGGCCGCAAGGTTGATGTCTGGAGTTGCGGAGTTATCTTGGTATGGACTAGCCCCCGATTGCGTCAAAATATATAACTAACAATTTCTTCAGTATGCTATGCTTGCAGGGTACCTTCCCTTCGATGACGACCCAGCGAACCCCGAAGGCGACAATATCAATCTCCTCTACAAGTATATCGTGTCCACGCCTCTGACATTCCCCGAATATGTCACCCCGCATGCCAGAGACCTTCTCCGACGAATTCTTGTCCCAGATCCAAGAAAGCGCGCCGACCTCTTCGAGGTTGCGAGACATAGCTGGTTGAGTGAATATGCTCATGTTGTGGGCTTCATTACCAGCAACACCACCTCGCCAGCAGACATTGCCAATACAACCGTCAAGGAAGAACGTTCGGACGGCGGACCATTACTTGCCCGCAGTGCGTCGGTCAGAGAGCCAACGAAGTCGCAGAAACCTGCACCGGCTGTTGGAGATCTTGCTCGAAAGCATGGGAACGTCGACCAGGACGCCGAAGACCACACTACCCCCAAAGCCAACAAGGATGCCAAACGCCGTACATTGCAGGTCGAATACGTGGCACCTCGACAGCAAACCGTCAGAGGAGAAGATATCTCATCCGCTCCTCAACCAGTATCCAGAACGCGTGCTGGTGGTGATGGTCAGGGCCATGTCGAAGGAGGACAAGAAAAGAGACGGGTCGCGTCTTCAGAGAAGCCATTACCCCTGGCACCCGGATCCGCACGGGACTCCAAGAAGCCCCCCAGCTCGCATCGCAGCCAACCCATGGCCGCTCCATCCAGGCCTGGCAGAGAACCAGCGCGTTCCACCTCCGAGAATGCATTCATGGCACCTTTGCTTGGGCAGGGTATTGCAAGGCCTAACACTGGTGGTTCTATGACGTCCACTCAAAGCGGAATTAATACGACACATTATAGCCAGACAGCTGCTCCAACCGTTGCCACCACCAACGCCCACGGCCGCATGTCTCAACCCACTACGAGCAATGGGCAGCGATACGATGTCTCCCCTGAAGGTGAATCCGACTACGGACGTCCAAGCATCAGCCAAGGAATTCCACCGAAGTTCGCTAGACTTTCTGGCATGGAAGATTCAGCTGCAGACGCTCCTCCAACTCGCTCGCACAAGCGCTCGAGCACTATTGGTAGCATATTCGGACGCCATGGCTCGATATTTGGTGGCAAGACAAACGCCGAGAAGCCGAAGAAGTCCTATCCGCCAGTGAGCTACCCTGGCCCAGCTGCGGCTGGTGGCGAGGTCAGCAGGCAGTCGGTTGATTCCAGCCGCCGTTCTATTTCCTTCGGGTTTGGCAAGAAGAGGAGTGGCAGTGTTACTGGATCCACGGGCGGTGATTCTGACCAGAAGAAATCAACGAGACGATTCTCGCTCCTTCCAGCAAACTTTTCGTTGAAATCTATTGGTATTGGGAAGGACTCCGACTCTGCAACCCCATCTGAAGATGGTCGCTATTACGATGATGGAGTCGATCGTTCCGCTGCGTATGGCGAACCAACACCGCCGGTTGAGAAGCCCCAAAGCAGACCTCAGACCAACCCAGTTGCTCCTACATACACCCGAAGCCGCGATGGGTCTCAACAGGCTGCAAAGGCGCCACCGATTGCGACCCCAATACACCAACGTTACGCATCAGCAACGCAGCAGCCTCCTCCATCCACAGCATACGACGGGCAATCTGACTTCGGGCCTCGCCCAACATACCGCCCGAAGACCATAGATACCCCGCCACCCACGGAACCAGCGCACTCGAGCTATCCAAACCTGGCCAAGAGCCAGACACGCCAGGCGGCGCAGAACGCAAGATATAACCAGAACCAAGGGTATAACGATTACGATTCTGACCGACAGGCCGGCAAGGGTGGAAGAGGCGTCCTGCAAAAGAACAACCGCAAGTTTACGGAAGCGTACGAGGCCGATGGTGGACAGGACCAGGGAGGGTACGGAGGTAATAACCACACATCTGGCAGCAGCGGCGCGGCCAGAAAGGTGATGGACTTTTTTAGACGGAGAGGACGGGCGAGAGAAGGTGAGATGTGAGCGAATCAGCGAGTCAGCGACAAGAATTTCAGAGGAAAAGAACGAGAGAGAGAGAGCAAGCGAGCGAGGAGAAGACAAAGTTTTGATATATTTCTTGGCAGGCGGGGCGTGAAGGAGTCCTATTTTTTGTGCTTTGCTCTTATTTCGCCATTTGGGGATCGCTTCTATTTTTGCGTGCGAGGGACGGGGTGGGGGGGCTGTTGTTGGGCGCGATGATTCATTGTGCGATTATAATAGGCGGGTGCCTGGGCATGGGACGCGATGCATTGGGGAGGGGCGGAATGCATGTTTTGATATTGGGTTTTTTTTCGAAGTTGTGGCAGGAGGAGGAGAGGAGGGAGGGGAGATAGATAGTGTTGGTGGTGTCAGCGTGGAGGAGAGCGAAGACGTGGGAGTAGATGGAGCAAGAAGGATGTACTGTTTAATTGGCTTTTAATACCCCACACTACTACTGCCTTATATAGTATATTGCAAGTGTTGGCGACGATCGGTGTGTGTCTGTAATGGAGTCGTCATCTTTTCAATTCTCATCTCTCATCTCAGTAATGTGTAGTGCTTACTTCATACGTGTGCATAAATATGATTGTGCTAACAATGTAAACATGAACACCACATCACATGACCACGTAATCTCGCGTAGAGTCATTCTGTGGCTGAGCACATGTGGCGGTGCTGGGCTTGGCTGATGAAAAAGTGACGTCATCGCCTCCTTCCAGGGGAAATTGGAGATATGACAGCCACCAGTTACGCCTCTTATCAGTACGTACCTTGCGCTTGTCATGCGCTTGTCATGCGCTTGGAATAGGCTTGTACTTTCTTGGAATCACGCTAAGCCCTATTTTGTGTATCCTTGCTTGTTTCCTGTCTTGGTCTTGTTCGCAACGAACTGAACTAACTTTCCTGTCTTAACTTCTTTCTTCGCATCAATTCCTCCTTTTCTTCTTCTCTTCTTCTCTCCTAACTGTCTCTCTTTCTTCTCTATCTACCAAATATCACAAATACACTCCTTTTTATCTGTGAATTTATCACCCTCAACACACCCCGAATCGATGAAGGAGCCCCCGCCTACCCAAGCACCAGTCACGGACCGTCTACGCTCATGGCTACACCCTAAACCTGACGAAAACGAGGGCACAGAGCTGCCCACGACCCTCCCTCCCACTACCTCACTTACCACCTCCACGACCCATAGTCACCATGACTTCAACGGCGGCGAGAAGAACATCACCTTCGCAGACAGCAACGGCAATGGCGCAACCCACGAAAATGGAAATGGCCACGCCATCAACATCGCATCCCTCTCCGGCACAACGCCACAGCCCGATACGGAGGCTGAGGGGACGGGGTCTGTCGTGAGCGGCACCGAGGAAAAGAAGAAAAAGAATATTGCCGTGCGCTTTGCGCTCACCACCAAAAAAATCGTCTGCTCGAGCTGGCTTAATGTCATCCTCGTGTTCGTGCCCGTGGGTATTGCCGTCGAGGCTGCCCACGCTAGTCCGATCATCATCTTCGTGATGAACGCCATCGCTATTGTGCCGCTGGCTGGACTGTTGAGTTACGCGACGGAGAGCGTCGCGAAGCGCATGGGTGACACCGTCGGAGCGCTGATGAACGTCACATTTGGAAACTCGGTCGAGCTGATTATTTTCATCATCGCTCTGGCCAAAAACGAGATCCGCATTGTACAGGCGTCCCTTCTTGGGTCAATCCTGGCTAATCTGCTACTGATTCTTGGCCTTGCCTTTTTTATTGGTGGACTGAGATTCCGGGAGCAGATTTACAACAGCACGGTTACGCAGATGAGCGCTTGTCTGCTCAGTCTGAGTGTTATGAGTCTTCTGCTGCCTACTGCTTTCCACGCTGCCTTCAACGACCAAAATCAGGCGAAGGCGGATAAGGCAGTTGTCAAGGTCAGCAGAGGCACGAGTGTCATTCTGCTGCTCGTATATGGACTTTACCTTGTCTTTCAGCTCAACTCGCACGCGTACTTGTATCAGAGTACGCCACAGCACATTATCGATGAAGAGTCTGCACCTGGGCCAGTGGCGCTCTGGATGGAGTCTTCAACCGATGACTCCTCCTCCAGCTCTAGCTCTGATGACTCTGATGACTCGAACGGCACAGCCGCTAAGATCAAGCGCGCTATCAAACGTGGAGGCCGCAGACGCCGCAAGTCGAGCGTGAGCACCGCCAACACATTTGATCGCGCCAACCTATCCCGGAATACCTTTTACGAGGAAACCGGCGGGCCATCCACGCTGCCCACGGGTGCTGCCGACGCAGACATCGAGGATAACTCGACGCCCCTACGTGCAAACAGCAGAAGTCGCCACAACAGCATCAATGAGAAGCAGGAAAGGTCGTGGCGTAAGGAACGAAAGGAGCGCAAGCGCCAAAAGCACGCCGAGAAAAAGGAGCGGAAGAGGGCAAAGAAGGCCCTGCGCGAGCAGGCTGAGATGGAAGAGACCAAAGAGCCCATGGGTGACTACGAACCCCGCCGCGTCGACTTCGCCGTCGCAGACACGGAGATCCAAGAACCCATCCCCAAACGCCCGTTCCTGAAGAGCATCCGCCCCGCCTTGCCAAAGACCCTCTCGCAGAGCGTCTTCACCCAGCCACCGCCCTCGGCCTCGCCTCACCCCGTAGCCACACCAGGCCCGGTCCCACGTATCCGCTACGGTATCCGCCGCACGAACTCTCTGCCATTACGTCTAGACACCCCTGCCGGCGTCGAGGCGGCAGCGGTCACCCCTAACCAGCTCATCCACGCGTCGTCGTCGATTCCTATCCACCCCCATACCGAGAAGGTGGAGGAGGACGAAGATGACATTTCCCGCACCACGGCTGTTATTCTCCTGCTCGTCTCTACTGGTTTGGTTGCCGTGTGCGCCGAGTTCATGGTTGCTAGTATCAATGATGTTACTACGCATACTGCCCTCGGCGAGACGTTTGTGGGATTGATCATCTTGCCTATTGTTGGTAATGCGGCGGAGCACGTGACGGCTGTTACGGTGGCGACGAAGAATAAGGTTGATCTCGCTATTGGTGTTGCTGTTGGAAGTAGTATTCAAATTGGTATGTCTCCCCCCTTCCGCCTTATTTCTGGGAAGTAGAACACTGGCTAACATTTTTAACAGCACTCTTTGTGACCCCTTTCATCGTTCTCCTCGGCTGGATGATGGATAAACCCATGTCACTGTACTTCACCCTCTTCGAGACGGTATGTCTCTTCGTGTCGGCCTTCATAGTCAACTTCCTCGTCTTGGACGGCCGCAGTAATTACCTTGAGGGTGCGCTGTTGTGTGCCGCATATGTTATCATCGCCGTGGCAGCATTCTTTTACCCAGCTCTTGGGGACCAAAGTTTGTTGGGCGGTAATACTGCTGCGGGTAGTTAGATGAGTTGAGGATGAGGTGGATAGATGGGGATGATAGGGTGGGGAGAAGGGGGGTAGGAGATGGGTTGCTTTGAAACACTTATGTGAATTTCTGTTCTGTAGTTAGTTACTTGAACTGAATTTGCAACGGGCAACCGATAAAACTACACTCTTAGTCGTGGAGAGTATACCCTTTTTTGAATACGCTGTGTTTTCATGATTTGCCTGGAATCGAGTAGTGGAAGTCTCAGACCAGACCAAAAGATGTGTCTGCCTACCACCTAACCAAACCATGCGGCGACATAAAATGAACAGACTACATCTTGGTTACCGTTTGAAGTGAGTATGTTGCATCTTACCACTATTTGTATGTCTTGCTACCGCTTCATTATTGCTGTCGTTGCTGTGTTGCTGTCGGTGCTGAACCCTTATTCTCACCACCAATACTGTGCGTCTCTCCCTTGCACATTCTCATATGTACGCTGCGAACTGTCCTTTATATAATGCTGGGATCGTTCACTTAGGCGCGGGGGAAAGCAAGATAGTGAGATCTTACTTCAACGACGCAATTAAACTTAGTACAGGTAATGTCTGCAGAGCAGCAAATTATCAAATTAAATAGTAGATCGTACAAGGAAAGTGATGTTCGTTCAGTTCTAAATGTCGGGTACTCGACCACATTCAGGGGTAGTCGTCTGTACAATTTCACCCCACGCACTGAATATCGCGGGCTTCCACTTGACAAAAAACAACACATCGTTCGTCGTAATAGATATCCAACATTGCAAAAAGGTAGAACTCCATTCCAGTATCCAGAAGACTTACGACGCAAAACAAAAAATTCGACCCTGATGGGGATCGAACCCACAATCTCTGCCTTTCATAAACGTGAGGTCACGTTAGTCGGAGGGCAACGCGGTACCTTTTCGCCACAGGGCCAGATAGTTGTACGATTTCCGAACTATAATGTACTATACCCCACTACACCCCGCCTCTCCAATCGAAAACACGAAATTGAGGATTTGTAAAATCCTTGTGTTGGATTCGCAACAACCTCCTCATACGCAACTTGGCTCCTGTGAGCAGATGCATGGAGGACAACCCCGGGCGCCTCTTGGCTCTTAATACACACCATACTCCCGTTTACCTCTTGAGATGGCCGGAAACTATGTTGGTGACTCGGATGTGAAAGTTGGTCTTCCTCCTTTGGATCACGTGAAGTACTTGCCGCCCCCTTTTACTCCCCTGGCCTGCAGTTGCTAATCATTGTTCAGTCCCTTGAAGCTGTTCGATATTGCTAGAGAGCAGGGAAGACCACTGTATACCTCGGCGCCTATGGTGAGGTATAGCAAGGTAGGCAGGATTGGACGTTGGGTTTCTGGACGGTGGCTGATGAACTGGATAGCTTGCTTTTCGCCAGACAGTGCATAAGTATGGCGTCGACCTGTGCTGGACACCGATGGTATGCTCTATTCTGTCATGGGCTATTAGCAAGAACCATCACTTACGTTCTTTCCGCAGATCCTGGCAAAAGAGTTCAACAGAAGCGTCTTCGCACGAGACAGTGGTATGGACGGCCTCCTGACCTCCTTTCCCTGTCACAGATCCTAACCATTTACAAGACTTCACACTCCCCCCTTCTCCGACATCAGTCCCAACGATCCTCCAATTCGGCGCCAACTCTCCCCTCGAGTTCGCGCGCGCAACAAGCACCATGGCACCCTTCGTCTCAGGAGTGGATCTCAACTGCGGCTGTCCCCAGTCCTGGGCATGCGCGGAATGTCTGGGTGCCGCGCTGATGAACAAGCGTGAGCTCGTTGCTGATATCGTCAAAGAGGCCAAGGCGACGCTGAAGAGTGATGGGTATGAAGGGCGGAGGACAGTTAGTGTCAAGATCAGGATACACAAAGACCTACGGTACTCCCCCCTGACAGCCCAAATACCCCACAAAGAGGGAAGAAGGACTAACAAAACCAGCCAAACAATAGACTTCATCAAAACCGTCCAAGACGCTGGCGTCGACTTCCTCACTATCCACGGCCGCACCAAAGCTCAACGCTCCTCCGAGCCTGTCAACACCGAAGCCCTCACCCTCCTCCGACCCCACGTCACCGTTCCCCTCATCGCCAACGGCGACGTCTCAACCCTCGTAATCGCATCTTCCATCGTCGCTGAAACAGGCGTGGACGGCGTCATGTCGGCGCGCGATATCCTGGCCAACCCGGCCCTGTTCGCGGGGCACGATACCTGTCCGTGGGAAGCGGTTGAGCACTTTATGAATCGTGTCGTGAGGGCGCCGATTCCGTTTAAGCTTGTGGTGCATCATTTGAGTCAGATGACGGGTAGTGCGGGAGGGGGTAAGCCGGCGTTGCTGGGGAAGGAGGAGAGAGGGGAGCTGATGGAGTGTCGGGATATGATCGAGGTGATTGACTTTTTGGATCGGGTTAAGGGGATTACGCGGCTTTAGATGGGGGCATATAGATGAGAGCATATAAATGACAACAATGAAGCAGAATGAAATGGATATGGCTTGTACATGTAGATTATGCTTCTATTTTGTTGTACATTCCGGGCTAGATTTTTTAAACCGCCCATATGAGCGCCCTTCACCCCTCTCCCTCGCCAACCACCACCTGAAAACACCACACCTATAAATACAATCGTACATCTAAAGACATGCCGCCATGACTTCGATCAAAGAGTGGGGAGAGCCAGACCGCCGAGTCCAGTAAACCAAAGCAGACCCCTCGGACCAAAGCGCCATCGCTGGGGCGCAACGAACTCCCACCTCCACACATGCTATATACATACAAAACGTGCCTTACAATTACAGTACATTTCGGCTGCCCCTGCTGAAATACGCATTTTCCATAGCCGCGAAACCTAGATCGATCCCCGTAGCCACAAAGGAAATCGCTATGCAAAGAATGCCGACAAAAAAGGGCCCGTTTTTAGTACTCGAAAAGAAAATCAATGAGGATCGAGCTCCTCATATGTAGTCGCGTCCGCTCTTCTGCAGCTCGATGAGCCTCCAGCCGCGGGTCTCGGGGTTGTTGACCTCCTCTGGGATGCGGGTCACGCCGATGGCGTAGGTGACCAACTGGACCTTATCCTCCATTCCGGCAGCGAGTTCGTTGGACTTGGCATTGCGGTAAACGTGGACCTCCTGTGTCCTGCAAGTGACGATGAAGACGGGGACATCTCCGGGCTCCAGCATTCTCGCGGACATAATGTCAACGTGCCTGATATCAAGGATTCTTCCGTCAGACTTCAGGCCAGCAGTGGTGTACTGCTTCGATAGCGCGTCGTAAACCGAGAACTGTGCTGCGCTGAGCCACAGTCTAAGGGTCTCGGTGTCGCCCTTGACGTATGCGTCGAGAACTTCAGGGAGAATATACTCGCGCATCTCACGGAGGAATGGCTCGAGCTGGAAACCCGGGTCCATCTCGCGGAACTTCTTGATAACCATTGCCGTCTCGTTCTCGGCGAAGAAGCCGGCAATGCGGTCAGAAATCGATCGCGCAGTCGATACGAGGGGGTTTTCGGATTCGTTGTAGGCAGATTTCATCGAGAAGAGACCCTGCATGACCTTGTTTGAGTCGCGGAATTCGCGCCACGACTCTTTCCAGGCTGCATCCTTGTGGAGAGTGACATTGGTTCCGGCACTACAAATTGTTAGCATCAAGTTTCTAGTATGTTAGGGTATGGTCGTACTTTGGATCCTCCTTGGCGACCTCCCGAGGACCTGGAACGCCGCCATTTTCGGCAAGCTCTCTGGCCTCTCTCGCCTTCCTCCTCTCCTCTTTCTCAACCCATCCACCATATCTTGAGCTGCTACCATCATCGATGACATTCTTCACGTTCTTGTATGCCTCAGTCTCGCGAAGCGGCCGGGTTGACTTCTCAAGCACGTCTCCGGTGGCGTTGACCGTCGACCGAACACCCTTCACCACATGTGTGTCCCAGGTCCACGCAGCTCCTTTACCCACGGCACCAGCAGTTGTCTTCAACACCTTCGCGCCGGTAGACGAGACTCTGCTTGTGCTGGCCTCGTATGCTTGACGCGCACGCTTTACTGATTCGCTCTCCGTGAATTGATGGGCGGAATCCGACAGGGCCTTGGTTCCCTCGTTCCACTCCTTGGAGGATTTGAACTCGGACTGCAGTGTCTCGGTGAACACCTGCCATGGCGACTTCTCTCCGTGAGGTGGAGGAGGCGGTGGGGCTTCCTTCTTCTCTTCTTTATCGCCCTCGGACTTCTCCTCGTCCTTCGGCTTCTCCTCTCCAGCTTGCTCGGGGTTTTCGCTGGCCTTCTTGGCGGCTTCCTCGGCAGTCTCCTGGGTGGCAGATTCCTCCTTAGGGGCCTCCTTCGCCGCGTCCTTGCTCTTCTCCTGTCTCAGCGATGCCGACTGATGGAGAGTTCGCCTAGATCCGGGGGAGGTTTGGTCGGCTAGAAAGGATTCGGGTAGGAATTGGGACCTGAGTGGTAATAATCCAACACGTAGAGAAGATGTAGAAGTAGAGTGAAGACCGGCAATCTGCGCCTGGCTGATAGTCTGCGTATATGCCGCGATTCGTGTGTTCACAGGTCTTGCCGTAGTCGCAGCCCTTAAGGGAGCGCTCAGCGGCGCTCTTGCCGACAGCCGTAAACCGTTCATGTCGCCCTTTTATGTTCCCTTTCGCAGGCAAAAAAGTCGCTAGATATGATAGATGCCCACAAATACAAGGCAGTGCCGATACAGGACAAGAGTCGCTGGGGTAAAGAGAGGATTGGGGGGCAACTCGGTTGTCGATGTTGTGCCTGTGGCGGCGCTCCGATATATTTTCCCCGACTACCAAATTGACAAAAATCTAAGGGCGACGGGACTTGCCGGCTCGGCGCTAACGGAACTGTACATGCGATGTAAGTTTATTGATCAAGTCCCTCCTCACGAGACATTCCACATCGCAGTCAACAACAAAGCACAATGAGTAGGACGGCAGTCAGACGTGTGGTGGCCCTTACGGCGCTCTCTGGAAGGGCAGAGGCTCCCGCCATCGCCAGGTCCGGATTCCAATGCCTGCAGCGACAGCAATTTTCACAGGCCCCCCGACGCCGAGCAGAGGGTGACCAAGAACCCCCGAAATCAGCTCCCTTTAAAGCAGACTCGACCTTCAGCCTCTCATCCGACAAGTCATCCTCCAGTGCCCCCAGCCCTGCCAAACGCCCCGCCCTCAGCGACCTCTCCGCCATCTTCGAAGAAGGACAGGCCTCGAAGTCGAGCTCGCGATTCCCCAGCCCAGCCGGACTGTCAGCATATAACAACATGAGCGCACAGCAGCGCTACGAGGAGCCGCACCACTTGCACGTGTTCGCCACGAAGCACAACACGCACATTACGGTGACGAGGCCCAACCGCGACCCGATCATCTCGATGTCGGCAGGGAACATTGGGTTCAAGCACTCGCAGAGGAAGCACTACGATACTGCGTTCCAGTTGGCGAGTTATGTGTTCGGGCGGATGAGGGATACGGGGTTGTTGCCTCAGATTAAGAAGTTGGAGGTTATTCTGAGAGGGTTTGGACAGGGGAGAGAGGCGGTCACGAAGGCGATTTTGGGAGTGGAGGGAATGCCATTCAGAAACAAGATTGTGAGAGTTACAGATGCTACGAGGCTGAAGTTCGGTGGTACGAGAAGTCCAAGGCCCAAGAGATTGTAGGCTGGGGATGCTACGAGGCTTGGATTGGGTGATACGAGAAATGGCATGGCCATGGATGTTGTATTAGAGTGCTGGCTGGAGACACGGGGATGCGGTTGGCTCATCACATGGCAGAGTTCACGCTGTATTTTATAAATATGTAACTTTTTACTAGAAACGGAAGAACCCTTGGGTATCAAAATCTCATAAACGCCGTCCGCCCGCCTCCCTTGCTAAAAGAATGTCGTGGTTGCATATAGGTCGTGAGGAAAGTAGATCAGATACCTCGTGGTAATGGAGCCCGTTCTGCTGGTGGCACCACTCGCCCAGATGTATCCCTAATGGGAGCTTTTCCCTTCCCCTTCGCACCGTTCCTTCTTTCTCTGTCGTGCTCATACTCGTCTTCGTCTGTCTCGTCGCTAAAGCTACGACGGTATTGCCGCGTAGGAAGCATTCTTGAGCTTTCATTTGCATCATCCTCTTCTCCATCAACCAATTCTCCATCTGCAGTGTCGTAATCTGGAGGAGCGATCCATTCTTTCGGTACGACACACGGCAAAGCGATACCAATGCTAGCTGCCCGGTTGAGCCACCCGGGCCCAGGTCTCCCGGTAAGCTTCTCACACAGGTATGATGTGAAGTGGTTGCAGTTTCGTGTGAGGATATTGTATGAGGTTCCTTGAAACTCCTCGGAAGCTGCCTTGATGATGGCTTCTATCTCCTCTGCTGGTGCCAAGGTGAAACCTTGGAGGACCTCGCACTTGAACGTGCCTCCCGGTGGCTCAGACTGCGGTCTTGTCCAGTATACGCCCGTCATGCCGCGCTTATCGTGCCCACCGTATGCGTATTCCTTTCCGTTGATGACGACGCCAGAGTGGAGGAGCGAGGAGCCGATTGCCCACAAAACTGTCGAGAACTTGCCAGGCTACATAGTACAGTCGTCAGCGTCGTGCCATAGAGATCACTTTCACCAAACAAATGTGAAATAGGGCTGCAGGATAACATACAGGTAGCAGATCATAGACATTGATCATGACTTCGGTCTTTTGCAGCGATAAAGTGTGTCGATGTCTCGAACCCGAATGACGCCCTTTGGAGGGTTTGTTGGGCGGCATGGTGGCGGGTTAAGCTGCAGAATGCGGGAAATGGTGGTGAGATGTGGGGAAAGACAACTATTAGAATTGAGAAGATGATGCCCAGAATCGGTTCAAGGTGTGGTATGTATCCGTTTCTAGGGTTTTGAGGAATGTAGGAGCTTGGAAGTGATGAAGGGTAGTGAGGTATGGAGGGTGCTGTAGGTGTCTCAGACTGTGCTTGGGCTTATCGGCGTAACTCACTCCACCTTGCGTACAACCTTGACAGGAAGATCTAGGACGATCGGGTCGTATCAACTATGATCCGAGAGACCAAGATTAATCCGGAGAGCGATGCTACTGGCCGGTATCGCATCAACTATGATCCGAAGAACCAAGATTAATCCGGACAACGACGCTACTGGAGTGCTACTGGAGTGCTAACTGGAGTACGTACTTCTGTCAAGCTGAGCTCTGATTTGCTGGTGTGAGGCTGTTCCCAAATCTGTTGTTCCCACACACGAAAAAGCTTCTGCGGTGCAGCTTTTTGCCAGTGTGGGAAGAAGCACCACCAAGCACTGCACTATCCCACCTACCACTCGTCACAAAACCCCTCCTTCCCACTACCCCCCCCCCCCTCCTTCTCTCCCCCCAGTTAGCCCCTCCAACCGCCACCATAACACCACACACTACTTCCCCCGGTGCTTTGCGCATCGCTTCTTCTTCTATATTTCACCTTTTTACTCGATCTGCAGCAAGAACTGCAATCGTACACACGAACCTGCTTAGCTGCACGGTTTACACTACTCAATCCAGAACTTACGCAAAAAGTCGTAAGATGCCACCAAAGAAGGCCGCAGTGGAGGAGAAGGTCCTCTTGGGCCGACCTGGCAACAGCTTGAAGAGCGGAATCGTATGTTCGACCACTGCCACCATCACCAGCCAGCCATCGCGATGATCAAATCATAAAAAGTAACGTCGTTGACGAAAATCTCAGGTCGGCCTTGCCAACGTCGGAAAGTCCACGCTCTTCCAAGCTATCACCAAGTGCTCGCTCGGAAACCCCGCCGTATGTTGACCTCACACCTGTCCCTCACATTGCTCTTGCTAATAAGAGATAGAACTTCCCATATGCCACCATCGACCCCGAGGAGGCGCGCGTCATTGTGCCCGATGAGCGTTACGACTGGCTCTGCGAGAAATACAACCCCAAGTCCCGCGTGCCAGCCAACCTGACAGTCTACGATATTGCTGGTCTGACCCGTGGTGCTTCCACCGGTGCCGGACTCGGAAACGCATTCTTGTCGCATATCCGTGCTGTCGATGCCATCTTCCAGGTCGTTCGCTGCTTCGATGATGCCGAGATTATTCACGTCGAGGGCGATGTCAACCCCTGCAGAGATTTGGACATTATCAGCGAGGAGCTGCGCATCAAGGATATCGAGTTCACCGAGAAGGCGCTCGAGGCCATGAAGAAGCTTACCCGCCGCGGTGGCCAGAGTCTTGAGGTCAAGAAGCTCAAGGAGGAGGAGGCTACTATTGAGAAGGTCCTCGCCATGCTGAAGGATGGCAAGGATGTCCGCAAGGGCACCTGGACACCAAAGGAGGTATGTAAATCGGTTTTCATCTTCCCCCCCTTATATGATGACAAATGGTCAAGAGACCAGATATATAACCCAGCTCGTCGAGGCACAACGTGCACTATGAGATAAGAAACATGTTCTGATTACAACATCTTCAATATTATATGATAATACATTGGCGTCTTGGATACTGACCAATAATACAGGTCGAGCACATCAACCCTCTGTTCCTGCTCAGCGCCAAGCCCGTCGTGTACTTGGTCAACCTCAGCGAGAAGGATTACATCCGCAAGAAGAACAAGCATCTCGGCAAGATCGCAGAGTGGCTGAAGGAGCACGCCGCTGGAGACCCAATTCTACCCCTGTCCGTCTGCCTCGAGGAGCGTCTGACCCGCTTCGAGACCGAGGAGGAGGTCCAGGCTGAGCTGAAGTCCCTCGGCGTCGAGTCCGCCCTCCCCAAGATCGTCGTCACTATGCGCAAGGTCCTGAACCTTGGCAGCTTCTTCACCACCGGAACCGATGAGGTCCGCCAGTGGACTATCCGCAACGGCACCAAGGCACCCCAGGCGGCTGGTGTCATCCACGGTGATTTCGAGAAGACTTTCATCCAGGCCATCGTCTACAACTTTGAGAAGCTCAAGGAGCTCGGTAGCGAAGCTGAGATTAAGGCGAAGGGACAGATTCAGACCAAGGGCAAGGACTACGTGGTTAACGATGGTGACATCCTTCTGATCAAGGCTGGAGCTGCAAAGAGCTAAATCTACATATCTTAATAAAGAAGATCTGTCGTGGTTTCATGCTTTTTGACGCTATGTCTTTTGTATAGCTGAGGCTGGCTTGGCTTGGGTTGCGTCAGCGGAAATGAACCCAATCACTCGCATGGAATGAGGGTATTCCGTAGAATATACGGGATAAGCAGCCATAATTCAAAACGTATGCCATAGATTCAAGGCAATGAACTTAAGAAATCAAGATGTGTGCTCATCTCGTGGATTGTGCGACGTTATATTATGATGCGACTGTGCGGGGTATTTAATACTACGTCGCAAATCAATCATTTTTAAAAGAAAGGCTCGATAATATTGATCTGGCATCATTGAATTAAACAGACTCACCCCAGAACCAAAATATGAATCCTATTTAACTTCATTTAGCTTCATTTAGCCCATATTATAGTCTTCTCATACGCTTTGGTTTCGTCGCTTGGCGCTAAGATACCACGTTTGATAAATTCCAAAAAGGCACCCAACGCCACGATAGCCTTGCCCCGCCAAACCCAAATTCCCTAGCGCACACGTTCATAAAGAACCAGCTGCATCCATCGCCTTCTCCCACCTCACCCCCACCCAACTCAACAACCTACAAACTTGCATCTCTACTCGTCGCAAAAATGGTGAGTTCACCCAATCCTCACGTACAGTTCAGCATACCCCTCTAACCGTGATCCAGGCGACTCAAACCACCAAGCAGCGCCTCGCGCTGTCCATCATTGACTTCCTCAACACCTCCCTCAAGGACGGCACCCTCACCGCCGACGATGCCGAGTCCATCGAGATCGCCACCAACTGCATCTCCGAGGCTTTCAACGTGACGCCCTCCGGCCCATCGACCGAGTCCCAGTCGCTCCTCCAGGTATACAGCGTCTACGAGAACCTGCGCTCCAAGACCGCCGCCTCCTCCGCCGCTTCGGCAGCCGCCCCTGCGCCCACCGCAGCAGCCCCAACCGACGAGGAGAAGAAGCAAGCTGAGTCCCTCAAGAGCCGCGGCAACTCCGCCATGGCCACCAAGGACTACGCCTCCGCCATCGACCTGTACACCCAGGCCCTCGCGCTCGTCCCAGGAAACCCCATCTTCCTCTCCAACCGCGCAGCCGCCTACTCGGCATCCAAGGACCACGAGTCCGCGCGTGCCGACGCAGAGGCCTCCGTCGCTGCGGATCCAAAGTACACCAAGGCGTGGTCGCGGCTCGGACTAGCTCGCTTCGCCCTCGGCGACGCCAAGGGCAGCATGGAGGCGTACGAGAAGGGGATCGAGTATGAGGGTAACGGAGGAAGCGAGGCGATGAGGAGGGGATTCGAGACGGCGAAGAAGAGGACCGAGCAGGAGGCTCTCACCGGTGGCGGGGATGATGATGAGCTGCCAAGTGCGCGGGGTTTTGGTGGCGCGGGCGGTGCCGGGGGAATGCCGGATTTGAGCTCGTTGGCGGGCATGTTCGGCGGTGGTGCAGGCGGAGCTGGAGGTGGTGGCATGCCAGATCTGAGCAGCATCATGAGCAACCCAATGTTTGCGTCGATGGCCCAGAACTTGATGAGCAACCCGGACATGATGAACAACCTGATGAGCAACCCGCAACTACGGGACATGGCGAGCCGATTCGGCGGTGGTGGTGGCGGAGGGGAGGGTGCCGGAACCCCAGATTTGGCAAGCTTGATGCAGGATCCCAGCATTGCCGAGATGTGAGTTTCCCTTCCGTGCTCGGGTTTGAAGATAGATGCTAATACAGGTCCCCAGGGCGAGGAATATGATGGGCGGTGCTGGTCGTGGCGCCGGTGGCGCTGGGCGCGGAGCTGGAAACTAACTTTGAAGGGCTGCGACTGGAGTATGAGGATATGATGCCACGACTTTCGTTTGGGTACAACATAAAAGAGCATTGGATAGAGAAATACTTTAATGTCCCATAAGTGCTATGCTGAATTTGCAAAGTGAATGTATGTTTGGATTATGTTTGGATTTGCGCTTCAAATCGACTTTGGCAGCCTTTACGTGTTTGAACCCTCGCCACGATCACCCCGGCCTAAATGTTCACCACAACACATTTCTCAAGAACCTCGAGCGCATACAGATAGACAGTACCAAATCTAATGATGCGCCAACGAGAATAACTACTGAAACCAAACTTTTCTGTAACCTAAAGACTACAAAGCTGACGTTCACCTGCGCTTCGCCGCCAATCCATTTATACCTCTAAAACCTCTAAAAATGTTCCCTGACGCAGCTTGTATAGACCGACAAATGTCAAATAGGATAAGAATGTGAACAGTAATTCCAGCCTTTTTCAAACGGTGATATGAAATTGAAACCCTTCCCTCCAGACGCCCATATGAACCTGCTATAATTTCACCACCCCTTTCGCTGTTCGCTCATATCATAGCGATATCCCGCCCCTCAGGTATTCCACGAGAGCAATCATGCTGCCTCGAAAGATTTCTGTGTGTATGACCAGGAGATTACAGAAAACGGTCGGCAGGCATGGTGGAGAGACCCATCGGCGGTGGCCCAGTATCAGTCGAACCGTCCTGCGATTTACTCTGCTCCGACAAAGCAGAGCCGCGACTGACCTTGCTCCTAAGCCTCCAATGACGACCGCGTCTGGATGGCCTCCCTCGCGACGGACTTCGACTGTCCGAATAATCGGGCGGCGGATCACTTGGAGCTGTCACGCGTCGATGGTTCTATTGTTATATTAGCATATCATTAACACGAGGTTACAAACTAAGATGTCGTACTGCCTGGACATAGGGGGTAAATGATAGTTGTATCTCACCGGAGCTGTTTATTCCACTCCCAGACGCCTCAGTCTCGTTCGAAGAGCCATTCACATAGTTTGCTGGGTCGCTCTTCGTATGATTTCGACGCCCATACCGTGAGAGTGGGCGCTTGGAACTTGATCTCACTCCCTTGGAGTCATCATTCGTCTCAGCTGTTTCATGGAAACCGTTTGAGAAAACCTTGCTCTCGCCTTGGATTTGAGTACCATGCAAACTCCCACTACCAAAACTGCCCTTTGATTCTGGACTTTGGTTCTGTTCTTGTGTGGCAGTCCTTAAGCGGATAGGCACAAACTCCGGACTGTCCGCCTTGAGTTTGGTTTTCTGCACCTTTGATCCATCGGTTGAGGCTACTGAGCAGTCCTTCTCAGAATGGTCTGTCTTTTTCAATGCTGCAGCAAGAGTCGTGGTTCCCTTTTGCTTTTGAACATCGTTTACAATGGTCGCGTCGGAATTTTTGGGGCTCCCAGGAGACGAAAGGCTCTCTCCTGGCTTCACAAGCAGCTGCTTCGACCAGAGGTCAGTGTACTTGCCCTTTGCATGGATAAGTTCGTCGTGCGAGCCGTTTTCGATAATTTCTCCGTCTTTGATAACCAATATGCGATCTGCTCTCATTATCGTGGAAAGGCGATGGGCAACAATGAAAGTGGTTCGCCCTCTGCACAGTTCCCTAAATGCGTCCTGTATCAACTGCTCCGTAGCACTGTCAACTGCGCTAGTTGCTTCGTCAAGAACAATTATCTCTGGACGTTTTAGAATTGCCCGAGCAATGGCGATGCGTTGCTTCTCGCCACCAGAAAGTCGCACCCCATGACTGCCAACCACCGATTGATAACCGTCAGGAAACGAAAGGATTTTATCGTGGATAGCAGCTGCTTTGCAGGCTTTATGGACGTCTTCAATACTAGATCCCAGTCTAGCATAACGTATATTATTCAGGATGGACTCGTTGAAAAGGTCTGGATCCTGGGGTACCACTCCAATTTTGTCTCGAAGACTTCTTACGGTCACATCTCGGATGTCTTGCCCATCAATCTTTATGCTGCCATCAGTAACGTCGTAAAATCGGTCGAGAAGCTTGAGTATCGTTGATTTTCCACTTCCGGTTTCGCCCACGAGAGCAATCGTTGAGCCGCCGGGGACGGAAAAGTTGATGTCTCTGAGGGTCTCCTTTCGAGCCTCGTAGTGGAAGTGTACATCTTCAAAAACCACTTCACCTTTTTTGAAAACCAATGGCTGTGCATCCTCCCTGTCCACGACGGTAGGTTTGGCTCGAAATAGTTCCAGCAAGTGCTCAGCATCCATCAGGGCCTCGGATATTTTCTTGTAGGCGTTACTGAAAAATGTCAGAGGCCCCCTGAGCTGCGCCCAGTAGGTCAAAAGAATGACGAAATCTCCAGGTGATCTCTCATGGCGCATGACTTGGTATATAGCAAGGAAGCATGCACCGACGAGACCGACTGTAAGGGCGAAGATTTGAACAGCGCCGACAAGAAATATCCCCAACCGGTAGTCCTTCTCTCGCCTCAACCGATTCTTCACATTTGACGAGTACCGATTTTCTTCATACGGGATGTTGTTGAAGTAACTGGCCGTTCGCCAGTTATCGATGCTCGTGTAAACTGATATCCACTCTTTCCGGTAGCTTTTCATGTATTGCCTGCGTTTGTTGGTCGCCAGTGACACTAGCTTCGTAGTGCAATACACAAATACGACACTCGTAACAGCTAGGATGAGTCCCATGTATGGCCCAAAGAGGTAGTTCAAGTATATGCAAACGGCGGAGAGATCAATCATCATGGGCATAACTTCAAAAATCATCATTTCCACGAGCTTGGTGACTGACTGTCCCTGGTTAACGGCGCGGTGAATGTCTGCAGAGTCTTTGCCTTCGTGGAAATCCGACGACAAGCTCATTACGTGTTGATGAGATGCAGTACTCAGTGACTGTTCAGCGTATTGTTCAAGAGGTCGCCATAACCAAAACTGCACCCAGCCAATGCAGCTACCGGAATTCAAAAATGTCAGGGAGGCATATACTGTTGCCGCAACCCACGGAGAATTTCCTGCAAAAAGTTAGAAATGTCAGGGATCTGGAATAGGCGACCAACCTTTGACAAGAGCGTCGGTGACCACACCCAGCTGTCGTGGAATCATCATGTTTAGAAAGTTGCCCGTCAAAAGACAGGCCCCTACTGCAACAGCGCGAAGTTGCATTGATCTATCATGGACTGGCCAGACATGTGGAATAAAAATCTTGGAGGAGTTAGCAAATTGCAGTGTATTGTATTTTGAGTGCACTATACCGAAAAGCCTTTCACATATGCCCACCAGTTGCCGTCCGTCTCTAATCGTTTCTGTACTCGTTCCTGGGCTTTATTGCGTCGCTTAGCTAACACATCATCCTCGTCAGAGTCGGACGAACTGCCGTCCTTGGAATTATCGTTTGCAGTTTCTGAAGAGTTTGTTGTAGCCCCATAGCTGGAACCATTCCCATTTGCATCCCCGTTGGTCTTGGAGTTACCTGGCAGCAGAGACTGGCGCTCTTCATCGTCTTCGTCGAAACTTTTGCGGTTTCCAAGTGTGATGTAAAAGGATAGCAATATTACCAGCGTACATATCCGTACACCTTGAATAGACAACGAAATCAAGTCGAACAGTCCATACTTGCGAATGAAGATATTGAAAAGAATGAAAAGCGCGATTTCAGATACAGCAGCTATCGCTGATGCTCCATAGTGAGGATACCACACGGGCAACTCAAACTCCAGAAGCGCCGTAGTCAGAATTAACCATGTCAGAAAGGATGAGACGAGGTAAACCTGCCAGAGTCAGTATATATTTGAAGGTAATATACGTCAATGACTTACTGTCTCGTGTTGCTCTGCGGCCCATGGCTTATCGACGAGCGTCCGAATTAAGATATTGACAGAATTGGCAGCCTATATACCATGGTCAGCATTCGTATCGCTTGGTAGTTGCTCGAAAGACTCGGTTTCCTCCATCTCAACATGACAAGGGGAACTTACATATGTTCCTACAACCAAGACCATAAGTGACAGAAGGGCTCGTCGTTTGTCATGTTGTTCGGTTTTCTTCTTGGCACCTGCCGGCGTCGTGCAAAATCCAAGCGTAGATGTAAATATGAAATACAGGAGCGATAGTGCAGGGTAGCCGTAGTGTAAGACTTCCACAGCCAGAGTGGCCTATTGGGATGATTTTAGCATGTAGTCGATAATAAAAAGCATCCTGTTCGGTGGCTGGGAGATTTACCTGATGCGGACGTGTTGAATCCATTTCAATTGGGCTGCCAAACGGCAGCGGTATGAGTAGTTTTCCTGCTATTGATTGGGACGGTTGAGACCAGCGGGCTTCCTGTAAGAGTGCTGTTATAGAGTCAATTCATGAGTTGATGAAAGAGGTCTTCTCGCGGACGAAGGGAGATAGTAGAGATTGAGGCAGATAAAGAAGAAAGAAAAAATCTGTGGCGCGTTGGGGAATTCAAATGTTATGTCTCAGTGGGCTGGTTACACGCAGGAAAGAAGGAACGTATGGATGTTGTGCTTGCTACCTTGGTGGATATTCCCCTCCTGAAGGTGGGTGAGACTGCCGGTTCTACGCGAATGGGATATGCGAGCTACCCACAATTTATATTCAGGCAGGAATCCCCTCTTCCTCTTAATTTCCTTCTTGCGTATTATCCTCTTTTCAACTTTTGTCGTTTTATTGGATTACTGGCGTGGATTTTGACGATGGGGAATTCTCGAGTGATAAACCCTTGGTGAGATCTATGGCCTCGTTGGTGGCCAGCGGCTGAGCGAGACTGAGGGCCGAACAATGGCGACGATGGCCGGAACCAACGTTGATGCAGGACTATTAGTTGAGTCACATTCCACAGAATTCGGCCTTAATCTTCTTGAAAAATAATGACTATAGTACTAATTGGGTTTGCCACAGTCGATGTCGAGAGCACAGGTTGTTGAACTTGTCAGCCTTGTTAGATAAGTCGCAGCCTGATTTTGCCAGAGGGCTTCCACAGCAATGGCCTTCAAGCTCCGTGTCAACGCGCAAGAGGGGATTGGACGGCACTTTTATAAGATGCCTTGGCCAGCCAGGCCAGTCATTCGGTGACAAAGCGATAAGGTGATCGACCATAACCGGTGTGGACTTCCTGGTTCCCGCCACTGCAACGCTGCGCCATCGGCGCCCATATGGAGCACAGTGGCAACAGGGTGATATGCCAGTGAGAGGTGGCCCCTGAAGTTGGCTTTTCTAGGGCCGCCTATGCACCAAACGCAACATCGGCCGTATGTACAAATGCGCTGTAATGCATCTGCGCCTACATATGGTTTGATGTTGTTGCACAAGCGTGCTGGGAGCCGTTTGTGAGCTTGCAAGTCTCCAAGATACAGGTCTATGAAGAGTATACTGTTATCAATATTGAGCGAGCCATCCTCATGCCCTAGCGGTAACATGACACATTATTACCCAGTGGGATGGATTCCAGCTTACTGTATCCCGATGATTATCTCGTCCGGCACCCATTTTTGATTTAGCGGCGCCAGCCAGGAGTCCCAGGGCGGAGGATTTACCGCTGGAACCAACAACCAAACCCCACATTGGTAAATACTCAAGCAATGGGAGGAGAGGTTCCCTGCTCTGTTCTTGTTGAACCCCAGGATTTGGAAAATTTTAGAGATCCCCCCTGTGGCGCGTGGCCATAGCAGCTAGCCGAAAGTTCCCTGGCAGTGGATGGTCTCTTGACCGCTATACGCCCATTCCATTGCCTTGCATAGATAGTTACATTTTGCGATGGCTCTTTGGCGGGACATGGCATAATTAAGTGGAATGCAGTCCGTTCTCAGCCTGTCTGCAGTTTAATTTTTAGCGCATAGCATCTGCCTGTATATGTTCGGCCACAAGACATTCCCATTCCCAGATTTGCAGGCCATTGTGACCCAGCCTGCAGATCTGAACGACGGCATCAAGCCAACCGATTTTTCTCCAAAGATTACACACCGAGAATCCGCAAATCGGATTTGTACCTACTTGTATGAGGTTCTAGGCACCCTTCACGCGCTAAAATGCAGAGGTAGTCTCAGCATATTGTGCTACTCTAGATCTGGCATCACGATCGGAGTCGTCGCACGATCTAGATGTTGGGGGAACACTCGTCAGGGACAAAGCGGCGTTGGCCGCTGTCGTTTCCCACTGTTGCCTGGGCCGGCACAGCCCCGACGGTTCCGAGAGCCTGTGGCCAACAACGCTCGATTGTTGGACCTTACAAAAGCGATTGCGCTTGTTGGAATGCCTGCAACTATTCGTACTATTTGTCCCCCTTTAGACAAGTCTTGCAGAGGCTGGTAATAATGTGATACCATAAGTTCAACGTGAACATCGTATGGAGGCCATGTTTTCTAGAACATAATGAAACGATGTTGGAGATCTACACAGCTTCGCCACTAGAGTGTTGGAACTATGACTGGTGATAGAAGCACATGGTAGACCGTATTTGTTGGATCCCTAGATGCACATGTCATCCGAAGACATCCAGCCATCAAGGTGTGGATGTAGGCAGTCTATGTTATCATAATTCCACGCTATATCCACAGCCCCCAAGCCACCACCAAAACCTGCTGTCACCGACATAGATTACGTTTGTCAATTTCTTGACGAGAATGGAAGCCTCCTCCTCTCTCCCGCTCCACAAAGGCAAGGAAAAGCAGCAAGTATGGCGAATATCTCAAGGCTTGACGTAGTACCAGAAACGGATGTTGTCGGTCCGGTACTCGGAGTTGCTCTGCAGCCGGATCTGGATCCAATTGACAACCATCTTGTCCACTGTAGTCATTCATCTGTGTCCTAGCCAAAGGTTTAATCTCAGACTCAGGGAATGGACTCTACGTTACCGTTGATATCCGACGTGGCGACCATTGAGGCCAGTGGCACCGCCTCTAAGCCCACGAAATCGCCGTAGACATCGGAGCGACGGGAGTATTAGAGGGGAAGGGGGGCGGCTGATTAGCAAGAAGTGGTGGTGCAGTAGCGGCGGGATGTAAGGGATGTTTATGCTGGTCGTGGGGTAAGTCTTGGCTGTGGGGTTGGGTTGGGAAGATGATTTGACGTGTAAGAGTAGCTTCCCTAGAAAGTGTTCAAGGGCGAGGTAGAACGAAACAGCAATTCAATAACAATGAAAATTGAAGTGTGGATATATCATTGAGCACACATTAGTTTCTCAGACTGTACCCTCGTTGGCACAAGGCGATTTTGGATTCCACGTGGTATAGAAATAACCTCCATATAGCAAACAAAAACCCCCCTGATGCGCTCAAATGGAAGGCCGCAGCAGTTCCACTTCCTCTAGCAAAAATATCCCGAATTCATATACACCCCTCTAATATCCCAACCCCCTCGCAGCCTCTCAGCCACCCACTCAAGAGTGCCTGTTGTACCCAATATCGTTATCATCCATATTCAACGGGTTCCTCGCCTCAGTGTTCAACCCCACGTCTCCCGACCCTGGCGGTGGCGACTTCGTCAAAACATTGGAACCACGGCTGGCTGACACATCCCGGAACGGACTCCCACTCGGCGACGCCCGGCGCGAGTTAGGCCTGCCATACCCTCTCGGGGCGCCGTAATCAGCAGAGACGTCGCGACCATGCCCTGCTTGCGCGACCTGCGGCTGCATGAGCGGGAGGTGCGCCTCACTGGCTGAGGCGCCGAGCTTGGAGCCGCTGGCGATGAGCATAGCCTCACGTTGCTTCTCGGCGAGGCGGTTGCGGGAGCGGGTGCGGCAGCACATGAAGAGGACGGAGCCGAACATGGCGCAGAAGGCGGCGGAGAGGCAGCCAGAGACAATGATGCCGGCGAGGTCAGGGGGTTGGGACTTCATGCAGAGGGTGAGGCCCTTGGAGTCCTTGGAGCAGATGAGGCCGTCATTGCAGCCGATCGATTCGGTGGTAGTGGGCTGGCACTGTGTGGATGTCGGCGAGCCGGCCTCGTTGGTGTAGGTCGCACACTCGGTTGTGTCGATTATCTCGGTCTTGAGGCAGGTGAGGGAAGTGGCTTCCTGGGCCAAGGCAGTGACGACCGGGACGGTTGCAATGGTCACTGCGCCCTCTTGAGCGCGACGAGGAGCAACGGTGGGAATGGCGGTTATTTGGGGTATGGCGGACGCGAGGGGAAGGAGCAGGGCCGTGGCCACAGCCGCAATTATAGAGGCTCCGCGCATTGTGATGTGTGAGGTCGTGGGTTATGAAGGTTGATGTGTATGAATCGAGGCAGCCTCGCGGACAGTTTTCGTTTCAGAGTCAATCACCGCCGATGGGTCCGAGGGTGAGGCCCTTTTGAGGAGGATGCAGCTGTGTAAACGGCGAGGAGAACTCCGAGACTGCTATAATCCCATATCGTGACGACAGGATAAATGGCAAACAGATGACCGGCAGTTGGAGAGAAAGTATGGGAAAGAGCTGAAAAGGAGAAGATTGAGGGCCTCGTAACCACGAAATGTATTTTAGGACCGCGCTGACGGGGGAGTGTAAGACTTGTGGTGATGGCCAATCAGATGACGGCTGGGGTGGGAGTGGAGTCCTGCACAAAGGGTTTCGCGACCGATGTCAACGATGTCAGCAGGATGTTTCCTGTCAGTGTCAGTGTCAAGATAAAGTCATGTGATGTAAGTCATATGATTTTGTGGGTTAGAGGGGGGGAGATTTCAATAGAGAAGGTTGAAATATGAACTATGAAATATCAAGGTTTGAACAGCCGTGGGATGAGGAAAACACAAATTATCACTGCGTTTGTTCCCCTTGCCTCATAACTTTCGGCCGACGAATTTCGAGGTAAGGTGTAAGCAGCTTAGCACAGCACAGCCCCAGAGGCTGACGTTTCGGGTGGCTGGCATGGATGTGGCTGAGACAGGCGGTGGATGCCGAAGCGAGATCGCCAGATTGGGATTGGCGTCGGCAGCCATCTCCCCACCACTCACCACCTACCACCCACTTTGTTGTCCACACACCAACGTCGCAAGGCTGAGAACATGAGACAGAGAGCGACGACGACATGTGAAGATTGAAGATGTGATAGATGTGGTAGGGACAAGCCGGCGAGATGCATTTATAAGACCAAAACTCTTACGATGAACATGAAGACCAGTCATTCCTCACTCAGTAGAGAAAACACGCCGAAGAAACAACGTCGTCATTGTGCGATGCGTCCCTGCTTCATCCCTTGATTTACGTATAATTCCCAACTAGGAAGATATGAAGCTCAGGTCCGGTCCTGCGACTATACAAGCTTCCGCGGTGTGACTCTATTCAGACAGCCGATGTTCCTACACTAACAGCGACTATAAAATGCTGTTTTGAAGACACTCCCTTCTCTCCTTCCCCCTCTAGGAACCACCAACGTATTCAATATAACCAAACCTCAAGCTCGCTGCCACAGTAGCCAGAATGCCTCACGCTGTTTACGATGCTGACCCAGAGGACGCACGTCCCGTGAATGTGCCTCCTGTGGACCACGAGGTCGAAGAATGGAATGATAAACTGAAAGGAAAGAAGCTTGGAGAGAAGACCGATGCCAACTGTCAGACTTGCGCCTTGGCCTTTGCAGTATTGCCCACTAACCACCTTCTACAGACCTTTGCAAAGTTCGACCTGCCATCGGTCCAGCGCATTATATCGTATAACTGCGCATACACTCTGGAATACTGCCGGGACAGGTCAATATGAGAAGAGCTTATTTTAGGTGCTGAGCTGACGAGAATACAGGTTCAATATCTACCTCGCTCAAGATGGAACCGTCCTTGGTGTAAGCCGTGGCTAGATAGATTGCACGCTCTATAGTCTACGTGTAATACACGTGAGGAGAATCGAATCTATTCATCATTCATTAATTCTAGATATATTCTATATATTCTATGATAAACTAGACGTGCATCTCCCATCCGCGAACACTTCATTGGTCGGGACTGTCGGTCCGCATCATCGAGGCCGACTGTGGTGAGAGAAATCAAGCTGTGTGGACATACGTCATCACTATCATCATCCTCCACATGCTCTACGCCTCTCTAGACGCCCTCGACTTTAAATACTTGCCCACCCTATCCCCGCCTCTTTCTCTCGTAAATAGTCGTATATTCGAAAAGGTGTCTACAAATATCGAAATACTCACTTACACTAAATCCCAAAACCTTCAAACTCGACCTCTCCACGCAACTACCGCAGCCAGAATGCCTCTCGTTGCCCCACAGATCTCAGGGGATGTGGTGCCTCAGACTCAAGACTGGACGAACAGGCTGATGGGAAAGACGATTGGAGACGAGAACAGTGTAACTGTGAGTGCCAGATATGTGTGCCTCCGGGGGAGAATCCATCACTGACTTGCCACGCAGACTTTCGCAATGTCCGACCTGCCCGAGAACACACGGATCATCCCCGAGGGCCAGCCCGCGGCCTTGGACTTCCAAGAGAATAGGTGAGTACGGCCAGCTCGATGCTCTGCGACGAAGGCTGACTGGAGAGAAATAGGTTGAATGTCCACCTTGGGAAGGATGGGACGGTGCGCCAGGTTACCCAGGGATAGATAGGATATCCGGGAAACTGAGCCGCGAAGGATATATGTAAAGTGAAATAAAATAAAGTAAAAAATTATCAATTCTTGTCCTATGCTCGAATCTTTTATATGTGTATAGAGTAACCTGTCCATGAAATTGCCATCCCACATCTCCATCTGCCCCACCAAAAGCCATGCCTTCCACCAACCACGCTAAACGAGGGGCAACGATCGCGGGGTCAAACCAGCACAACACAACACATCCCTCACCAACCCACACGACCTCACAACAACCCCAAACCAGCCATCACGATGTTTAAGAAAGAGTATGTTACGAAACAGCTTCGCAGCGTGCAATGAGGCAGATCAGCTAACATCTCGAAAGCATCTCACCCGGCTCCAAGTCGAAGGTCAAGTCGTCCATTCAGCGCGCGCTGAGGACGCAACTATGCACAACCTACCCGCTTCTTACGCCATATATCGATGAGGTTGTGCCAAAGAAGGAGCAGTTGGATGCTATGAAGATGTTAGTTCTACCCTTCCTCATCTCCATCTCGACGTCGACCTCACAACCCGTTACGACATCGACCCATTCAATCAGAAAATCTGACACTGACACACTACAGCCCTGAGAGAGTAACCCTCTACCTCATCAACGGCGAACCCGTATTCTTCCAACACATGACCGATCCCCTACTTCCTCACCTCAAGCTCGTCCACCGCTTCCCTCAAGCCTTCCCACGCATACGGATCGACCGCGGCGCAATCCGCTTTGTGCTGTCCGGCGCAACACTGATGGCACCTGGAATCACAAGCGACGGCGGCAGGTTGCCAGGAGATGATGGAGAGGAGTGGGGCGCAGCAGGAGAGCATCTGGAGAAGGGTGCTCCGGTGGTGGTGGCAGCGGAGGGGAAGGAGGAGGCATGTGCCGTGGGATTGTTGACGGTTGGCACGAAGGAGGTGGAGGAAGTGGGCAAGGGACCGGTGGTGGAGGAGGCGCATTTCTTGGGAGATGGGTTGTGGAGGTTGAATACTGAGTAAGGTGTTTGAATTGGCGGAGAGCGAGATTAGAAGAATTGGGTAGAGATGGTGCTTGTAAATGAGCAGGATCTATGATTGGGAAATGAGATGTGCCATCACTGTGTGCTATGTCATGGGTAGACGCATATTCTTGAGGTTAGACAATTAAATGCTTTGATGTTCTTGTTGTATTATCCACGGGACATCCTAGTCCCAGCAGGACGATTCCTATCTTTGGAATTTTATCCACCAGACATCCTACTCCCAGCAAGACTATTGCCATCTTTGGTATTCACCCCTGCACCCCGTAACGCCATCAATGCCCAAACGCCACCATCTCCCAATCTATGCGCCCTCACCCATCTCCTGATCCTCGGTAGAACCAAAGACATCATCAAACGTGCCACCCTCCACATCCTCCCCAAACACCTCCTCATCCTCACCTCCATCCTCCATCTTCACATCTTCCGTTTCATTCGCCTCCTCATCCTCACTGTCATCCTTCTCCCACACCTCCTTGACACCCCACGGCACGCCCGTCAACACAAACTTCTCATTGGGCAACCTGACACCCCACTCTGTCTGTCCCACAGCTGGCAGCCGAATCTTATTCCTCGCCTCCGCGACCTCCATCAAGAATTCCTTACTTGTCCCCCCCGAGCTGAGTTGGTATTGTAGGCGACTCTGAATCGCGAGCTGCACGGCGCCCATGCTGACCTGGCCATCGGCGTCGCGCAGGTTGCTGCCGGCGGGAGGGTCGCGCGCGCGATTCTGCTGGGAGATGTACGCGTCGGAGGAGAGGTGGAGGGCATCGGCCAGGATAGCCGAGGTATGGCGGTAGGCAAAGTCGAGGAGCTGGAGTGGCACGCGCTCCTGGTAGGCAGAGATGCCGAGCGATGTGAGGAGGAGGTGAATGAGGCGCGCGTCGCGAGGGCGCTTGTCGTAGCCGGGGATCTGGGTAGAGACCGTTGGATGCGACGGGAGTGGGAGAGGTGGTGGCGTGGGGAGGCTGCGAGCAGCTTGCGTTGGCACGGAGGGCGTGGCGACGCCGTTGGTTTGGGCTTCCATGGTGGAGAGTGAGGTCGGTGATGGTATTGGGGTGCTTGAATGAGGTTGAAGATTGTGGTAGTTGGAGCTTCCAATGAGGTCGGTGCGCCAACTCCCCTACTTCGCAGGTGGCGGGATGTCTTGCTTGAAGTGTTGTATTCACCTGACGGCAGTGAGAGTCCGTTGATGATATGTTTGGTGCTTGGGCGGATTGGCTTGTCGCAAGATGTGAACGCGACCTCACTTCTGGATTTCGGCGATGCGGAGAAACGAATCGCCGGTGGGCCCACAACCGATAAGCCAGTCCAGGAGTATTGTGCTACCCCACCATCCGCCCCGCCGCCGGTGACGGATCAGTCATAATTTGTTGAAGGGATCACAAAAGACGTTCAATTGCGACTCACTGTCAACACGCCATTCTGCAAGATGGAGACGACACTTCCGCTTCCTCTCGTTCCCTCGCTGGATCTTGCGTCCCAGCCGTACTTTGAGACTGGCCTGCCCCGAAAGCAACTCAGCCATCTGGGAAGCATCTTCTTCGTCGCCAAAAACGAGACGTTCGACTTGGTCTTTGGATTCCTCCAGGGACACACTGCTGTACGAACATTTGTCAATGCCGCCGCTCTTGAAGAATCGGATATCTTGAGCCTTCTGGATGCCGGCGCACGCTGCGTTTTTGTCAAGGAGGAGCAAGCAGCGTCGCTGGAGAAATATGGCGACCGTATCGGCCTGGTAGCAACAAGCGCTGCATCGAAAGTGCCCGCTGGAGGCGCTTTGATTGATTTCGAAGGAGATGCTGCTGCGTCAAAAGCACTTCTGAAGAGCTTTGTCGACCAGAAGACGTCACCAGTTTTCCTGGTTACACCAGAGGAATCAAAGGCACAGGAGACCGTGACTATCGCACAGGAGTTGGGAGTTGTGCCAATCGTGCCAGCGACGGCGTTGACGATGGAGAATAAGGATACGGATGGGAAGTTGTCTGTTCCAGCGATAATTGGGTCGCAATGGGCGAGCGACAGGGCCGATAAGTTGATCCCGACCGTTGTCACTGACGAGAAAGGGGTTGCACTGGGATTGGTATACAGCAGCCAGGAGAGCATTTCAGAATCGCTGAGGACAAGCACGGGGGTTTATCAGAGCCGAAAGCGTGGGTTATGGTACAAGGGAGCTAGTTCGGGGGATACACAGGAGCTTGTCAGATTGTCGCTGGATTGTGATCAGGACTGCTTGAAGTTTGTCGTGAGGCAGAAGGGAAGGGGATTCTGCCACCTACCACAGCCGACATGCTTTGGGGAGTTGGGGGGGATCTCCAAACTTGAGAAGACTTTGCAGTCGAGGAAGATCTCAGCTCCAGAGGGATCATACACGGCGCGTCTGTTCTCGGACGAGAAATTGTTGCGGGCAAAGATTATGGAGGAGGCGGAAGAGCTGTGCGACGCGAAAACGAAGGAGGAGATTGCCTTTGAGGCGGCGGATTTGATTTATTTTGCCCTCACAAAGGCTGTCGCTGCTGGCGTGACGTTGGCAGACATTGAGACAAGTCTGGATGCCAAGAGTGTCAAGGTCAAGAGAAGGCAGGGTGACGCAAAGGGACAGTGGGCGGCGAAGGAGGGGATTGCTGTTGCGCAGCCGAAGGAGGCAGCCAAGGCTCCCGCTGAGGTGAAGAAGGAGGACGGGCCAATCCTGATGAAGCGATACGACGCTTCTCAGATTTCTGAAAAGGAGCTGCTGGACGTGCTTCAGCGTCCGTCGCAGAAGTCCAACGATATGATTATGGGAATTGTTAACCCTATTATCACGGCAGTGCGGACGAGAGGAGATGCTGCTGTTTTGGAGTACACCCACAAATTCGAGAAAGCCACCTCCCTTACATCGCCAATTCTTAGAGCGCCATTCCCGCAATCGATGATGAACCTTCCACAGGAGACCATTGACGCGATTGACATCTCGTTTGAGAACATCCGCAAATTCCACGCCGCGCAGAAGGAAGATAAGCCTCTGGAGGTCGAGACGATGCCAGGGATCATCTGCAGCAGATTTGTGCGCCCGATTGAGCGGGTTGGTCTGTACGTTCCAGGTGGAACTGCCGTGTTGCCCAGCACCGCTCTGATGTTGGGTGTGCCGGCCATGGTCGCAGGATGCAAGAGAATTGTCATGGCGACCCCGCCGCGTGCTGACGGTAGTATCACACCTGAGGTGATTTACGCTGCCCACAAGGTGGGAGCTGAGTGCATTGTGCTTGCTGGCGGTGCGCAAGCCGTCGCTGCGATGGCGTATGGAACGGAGAGTGTGCCAAAGGTCGATAAGATCCTTGGACCAGGAAACCAGTTTGTCACGGCTGCGAAGATGCACGTTAGCAATGACACCAATGCGGGCGTCAGCATCGACATGCCTGCTGGACCGTCTGAGGTTCTTGTTGTGGCTGATAAGTCTGCCAACCCTGCGTTTGTTGCGTCTGATCTCCTGTCGCAAGCCGAGCACGGCGTCGATAGCCAGGTCATCCTAATTGCGATTGACCTGTCGGAGACTGAGTTGAAGGCGATTGAAGATGCTCTGCACGAGCAGGCTATCGCCTTGCCGAGGGTGGATATTGTGCGCGGCGCCATTGCCCACTCTGTCACGCTCGTCGTGAAAAGTCTTGAGGAGGCAATGAGGCTTTCAAATGATTATGCGCCAGAGCATCTAATTCTCCAGATCAAGGATGCTGCGGCTGCTGTCGACCTTGTTGAGAATGCTGGTAGTGTGTTTGTAGGCGAGTGGACGCCAGAGAGCGTTGGTGATTATTCGGCTGGTGTCAACCATTCTTTGCGTAAGTTTGTGATCGAGCAATGTCCCTGTGATTGAACGATGCTGACTGTGACAGCCACATATGGCTACGCCAAGCAGTATTCAGGTGTGAACCTCGGATCATACGTCAAGCACATCACCAGCTCCAACCTAACGGCACAGGGGCTGAGGAATGTAGGCGGCGCGGTGATGCAGCTGGCAAAGGTGGAGGAGCTAGAGGCGCATAGGAGGGCGGTGGGGATTAGGTTGAAGTGGATGGATGAGAGGGGGTTGTAGTAGATTTGAATTATATTTTTACGTACGTCAGAGTGGGATAATATGGGATATGTCAACGTCCAACCGGGTATATTATATCTAAGAACTCTCCGCAACTCCTTGAACCCGTATTTCCGTCTTCCGACCATCCCGTCTATGCCTCTATCTAAAAAAGTCCCTCCACAACTCCTTGAACCCATACTTCGGTCCCCTCTCATCCCTCACCACTGCCTTCTCCCCCACAATCCGCCACATGACTCCCCGATCGCGCTCTTTGTTCCAAACTTTCCCTTCCTCAGGTTTGTCCCCACCCCCTACAACCTCCCTCGCCAACACCATCGCAACATCAGCGAAGCAAGACGCCATCTCCCTCTCTAGCGCGTAATACGGCTTCTTCGCCAGGTCAGGGGCTTGGAGGTTATACGATCGCGCAGTTGCGTTGAGCTCTGCGATGGCTAGGGTGTGGTATGACAGATGCTGGCGCTCCCACGCTGGATCGCGGAGGGGTGGGAGGTCCAGAGCTTGCGGGGGGTCATCCGCGATTGTCTGTTGAGTCGCATTTCCCTGAGGTGATATGTCTCCGGTGCTCGCTTTTTCTAGAGGGGGATCCGAGGAGTCAGGGGCTTGTATGTCCCCGCCTCTCTGCTCCCGACTCTTCTCTTCGAGCAAATCCGAGCCAGGGGGTTGTATGCCTCCGACTCGAAGCCCCATCTCAGCCCGCGCGTATGCCTCCGCCCTGCGAACTTGTTCCTGAACGCTACCGCTAGTAGCAACCACTACCCCAACCGCGTGCCTCGTCCAATCCTTTCGCAGACGGGCACGGAAATTGGCTGCCGCGGTATGGAGGGCCTGCTGCTTCTCAATCCACGGTGGGACGAGGGCCTGGCGCTTGATCATGTTGTTCATGATATACTCGGTTGTGTCAACGAAGGGGCTGTCGACTCGACGGTCGCGGACGGTAGAGGTGCCACGGGGGATATCCTGAGGGGTTAGCGTGATTTGCGATTTGAGTAAGTTGCTTACCTTGAACTGTCCCCGAGCGATGGCATCCTCGATACGCCGGTTTGCGAGGGACTCTAACCCACGGAATGACGTCGGCATAGAGCCAGTCTGGACGCCAGAGCCAAATCGTTCTTTTAGGCTCGCGCGCAGCTCCTCCCGTTCCTTTAGGGACATGCTGCTGTCGTTTGCGGTAGTATATGAGGTTGTGCGTTCTTTTGCGTTTGAGATCCGCTGGGCTGGCGTCTTCTTCGGGGCGCGCTGCAGTCGCATATCCACGACTGGCTTCAACGGCTTATGCGCATCGTGTAGCATGCGGAGAATGGCGTCTCCCTGCCCCTCCGACCCCGTCCATGGCGCTGCAACGGCGATATCCCTCGTGCCGCGACCAACAGGAGGCGAGAGCTCGGCTTCCGTGAACGCGGCGAGATTGTCGCTCTTGAACTGCTGGCCGGCGATTTTGTCGAGGAGCTCTGCTTTTAGCTCGTCCGAGAATCCGGCCGCTTCAATCGCCTGCTGCCCGGCACGGCCGCCATCGAGGAGGGCGTCTTCGGTAGCTTGGGCGAGGCGCCGCGACATGGCGCCGGGTTTGCCATCGTCTGTTACCGTTCTGCTCGACGCATCATCTACCGCCCGTGATTCTGACTCGAGACGCGATCGGTAGGATATAGACCGACGCGATGCGTATTGTAAGGGACGACGTAGGGGTGATCGGGGCATGAGGAGTTGTAAAGGGAAGTGGCAATCGGAAAGGTTATGCGATAAGGTTTTCCGTCGATGATAAGACATTGCTATCGCGTGTGCCTCCCTAATTGCTATCGCGCTTTACCATTGTTTTGAAGCTCGGCCATAACCTTGCTAGATTCCTCTGTAGTTGATTTAGCAGCCAAGATGATTTCCTGCTTGAACTTCCCCATCGCTACAATTCCTGTCGCGCATCCCCGTCGCTACGATCTCTGTTGCGCATCCCTGTCGCTATAGTTCCTGTCGCGCATCCCCCTCACTATAGTTCCTAATGTACATCCCCGTTACCACGATCTCTATCGCGGATCCCTGTTGCTATAGTTTCTATTTATAATTTTATTTTACAGTATATGTCATGACTAGCAACCCCTAAAGTTGCAGTTTCCTTGGATACAGCACGATATCCTGTCATAGCCATGCAATAAAACTATACTCTAATTCTTAATGTTTGTTAGAGAATACTACTTAAGAAACTCCTTTAGATCTCTAGCCTAGGATAGTGCTATAACGAAGATCATATTATGCAAACTATCCTCGAAAGTCTTATATACAAACCACTTCATACGTTACATCGTCGTCCACCTTATGCCGTCTTAACCGGCTGCTTCTTGAGCTTCATATTGTAAACCAGCTCGCGTGTCGCCTTATCGTTGCCCTCCAGCGGCGTGAAATCAACGATCAGCGAGTCCTTAACAGCAAAGACCGAGTCGTTCTTTAGGTACTTGTCGTCGCTAGAGAAAATCTGGGTGGTGATGGGCATATATTCATCGTGTGTAGTCTCTTCGGTCAGCTAAACATATTAAGCTACGACTCTGGGGCAGAACTTACGATCAAGTGGATGTGAGCAGGGCGCATGGGATGCCTATCTAGCATCTTCAAAATCTTCCCTGCCGGACCATCATCTGGGACAGGATACGGCGTCGGCTTAAGACAGTAAAATCCATACTCCCCGTTCTCATCTGTGGTAATGCGGCCGCGCAGGTTGCAGTCGTCCTGCTCTGGGTCCTGCTGCTCGTAGAGGCCGTTGGTAGAGGCCTCCCAGGTGTCGATGATGACGCCAGGGATAGGCTCGGCGGTTAGAGAGTCGACAACCTTGCCATGCATGTAAGTGACGATGCCGTCGGCGACAGGGTTCTTGATGATGGTACCGCCGTTGGGGATCATGGGGGCGTCATGGCGGAAGAATGGGCCTAGAATGGCGGTTGCGGTGTGGGCGTCTGGGGCGTTGGCAGCTGCGGCGAAGGTGATTTCGTCGACTAGACTGGAGTTCGTCAGATTTCGAAACCAAATGTAATATAATGCCCGGGGGGGTTGATGGGGAACAATGTGCAAAGGTGGAGAGACACATACGACTCCAGGCCGATGACGTCGCAGACCAGCTGCCCCTCGTTCCTGCGGTCATCGCTCATCTGGCCCGCCCAGTTGATCAGGTTCACGCCCTCCATCCACTCATCGACGGTGAGGTTGACCTCACGGGCGAAATCGTGGATGTGACGGATCAGAGGGCCGATGATCTCGCGGGTGCGAGCGGAGGCATTGGGGCCTGTGGCGTCGATGACATTCTGGGTGAAGTTTGGGTCAAACTTGTCGGCGCCCATTTTGAAAATGGGGTGATGTTTCTGAAGCTGGAAGCTATGAGGGGTATCTCGAGAGGAATGTGCTTAAGATACAGAAGAGAGAAAGATGAGATATAGAGGAGAATGAATACACGATGCTTCTAGAAGCTTAAGACATAGAAGAGAGAAAGATGAGATATATAGAAGAATGAATATCGCGCGATTTTGTATAAGGTATCAGACTAGTCATAGTGAGAATATTACTATCCTTCTAGGTTGAGGCTGGGGTTTGCCCCTCGATCCTATGAACCCCGCATTTTCCAGCGTTTGCATCCGTGCCGTGCGGGGTCGGAAGTGTGGAAATCCTCGGCTTCTTGTCTAATTGGTGGGGAGGCCATTGTTGACTCGGATTTCGGACTAAGTTTAATTGGGGCTAGATGTGGCTGGCTTTCTATGGCTTCACGGAGTAAGAGATGTTGCACCGTCCGCGTTAGAAGTAGAGTGCGGAGTAAGACCGAGCGTGGGGTACAGAGTACGAGGATACGTTTGTATAAAGATTCGAAAAAGATTACATATAAGATTAATAGGCAGTGTTCGGCACGGATACGAATATACCCGTAGTATCCGGGTATATCCTCAAGTATATACCTACCCGGCGATATTTGAAGAGTATCTAGCGTATCCAGATACTCTCGAGTATATATCCAGATACATGCTAAGAGTAGCTAAGCATAGCTAAGGCTTCTTTTTACAGACGTCGTCTTAACGTTATGCTTAAACTATAACCTTATAAGCATACTAATATCCTTAATATCTAGTTATTATCTATTACTTAGACTATTTAGTAGTTCTAGTAACCTCTATAGCCTTAGAATAAGTCTATAGTAATAGTAGTAATATTATTATAAAAAAGCAAAATAGGTTATTACTACTAATAATTATTTACTTTACTTATAGAATTATAGTTAGTTATAAGAGGCTAATAGTAATAGTAATAATAATAAGGTAAATGAATAAGTATAGTAGGTATAGGGAGTAGAGGGAGTATAGGGAATATAGAGAGTATAGGGGGTTAGGTCGGTTAGGGTATTACTATTCTTAAAGGCTTCATTTTTATATGCTCTATTTCAGCCTCATGTATCCGGATATATACCCTACTCTACCTGTAAGATCTTAGCTGGGTATATACCCTACCCGTGAGCATCACGGATACTACCCGGATATGTATCCGCCGAACACTGTTAATAGGAGACAGATTAAAGAAGATTCGCGTCTAGCATCTAGGGCACGTGACGTTGGAAATGCGGGGTATCCCTCTTCCTCATTCTCAACAACAGATCCCCTTTTTATGTCGGATCTATCCAACTGAGCAAATCTCCGGGAAACACAAGGAATTGATGTAGCCATGTCCGATGCTCTTAGGAGAGTGACGCCGGAATCGAGAAGGCGAACAAAGAAGGCATGCATCACGTGTCAGACGAAGAAGCTCAAGGTATGACGTTGCGACGACGCCTGCTGCGCGTCAAGATTAAGCGCTACCTTTATCCAGATTTCGCCTGACCATTATGGTCAGACCACATATGAAGATATACAGAGTGTTATATATGTATACAGTATACTAATGCACCATAGTGCAACGGCCTCCAACCATGTGCCAGCTGCTCCTCTCGCTCAAACCAATGCATCTACTCTCCTGATGGTGCTCGTTCGCAAGCCAAACATCAAGCCCGGCAGTCTACGGCCTCGACTCAGCCAAACTACCATTCCAATCCGATACCGCAGCTTCCGTTGCCGTCTCCTAGGCCTGGCAACGGCAACCTCACAGACTCCCAGCTCGAGAATAACATTCGCCTGAACCATCCGCCGTTGGCATCAAGCCGAAGAGAAGGAAACTCGGAACCTTCTTCGCAACAATCGGCCCAGACGCATCGCCAACGTCAGATTAGTCAATACCCTTCGCCGGGTATCAATGTTGCAAGCCCGGAGCTGCCACACTTAACGCAAGCACGATCTGGAGGACGGCCAGCGGCAGAGGCTAGTTGGAGTACGAGTCAAGGCAAAGATGAAAGGGAGAGTTTGAGTGAGCAATCAAGAATGTTGCTGGATGGAAAGGGAAGGCTGCGTGAGTATAGTTCCGCTGATGATAATGAAGGGGGCTGATGAGAACCAAGTTTATCTGGGCGACTCGGCAAGTCTATCATATTTAGATACGATTAGACGACTGGTGGAAAGCACGCTGGGACCCAGTGAGTTTACGAGAGATAAACATAAGCAAAGGATTTTGGAAGGATTGATATCTACGGCAAGGCCGACGCATGTGCTTCCTGATCGAGAAGCGGGTGAATTTTTGGTCGATTCTTTTTTCTCAAATGTGAATCTTCGGCTTTCGAGACCATAGGAATTCGCTAACAGTACTACAGACTGTAGGAATTATCTATATCTTTGATCGCGAGGCTTTCAGTCTTGAGGTCGCCAAGATATATGAGAATCCCCTGCAAACCGAGCAGTCTCGTCTCTCAATCCTAAATCTCGTATTTGCAGTGGGATTACAGGGGACGAAGAGTTCTTCGGCACATAGCTTTAGAGAGTCTCAGATTCTCAAACGTTTAGACGGCGGGAATACCGAAAGGGCTGAGATGTTTTACTTGAATGCGACGCATTTAAATGATCCGGTTTCAGGCTTTGAGGACGGGGATATTACGTCCATACAGGCGCTGCTGCTGATTACGGTGTTCATGTTGACGATAGCGAAACGAAATTCTGCCTGGGCTTATTTAGGTACGTGTTACTGCTAGGTTTTTGTGTTTATGACTAATGGGTTCAGGCATGGCGGTTAGATCAGCATATGCACTCGGTTTGCATAGGAAACAAACGGCCTTTGCGTTTTCTGACGCCGAACAACGAGTCAGGTCAATATATTCTTACCTTTACTATTCTCTAAGACACTGACTGCGTCCCTTCAGGAAGAACGTCTGGCGCAGTCTTTACGTCATGGACTGTTTTCTCTCAGCCATGCTTGGCCGACCAAATGGCATCAATAGCCGCGACGCCGCCGACTTCTTCGACGACACCGAAGAAGACCTATCCAGCGACCTATCCACTCCGTCCTCAGACGCCCTTGAACTCGCCGCCCTCACTGCCTCTGTTCGCGCCTCCTGCCTCGTCGCCGACATCCTCTCCAACGTCTACGCCGAGCGTAAAATCAGCGTCAAACTCGCCCACCAAATCTCCGCCAAGTTCCAAGCGTGGAAGAACTCGCTCCCGCCAATTCTGCACTGGCAGAACATCAGCCTGCCGAACGAGGACCCCAGAATCACCCTCGCGCAGCTACATGTAAATCTCGGTTATTTCCATAGCATTATCCTGTTGACCAGACCGTTTCTGCTGCAGAAAATTATCAATGAGATACGCGCGCCGAGCGGGAGCCAGACCCCTCGGAGCGAAACTGGGAGTGAGAAAGCAGAGCCCTTTCCGGGTGCATGTGTGAGGAGCGCATTATATAGCATCGACGCCGTCCAGTTAGCGTTGTTAAAGCGGGCACTCCCACTGCGAGATCCATTCGTGATGTAAGCCTTGGCTATCCTAACGCTCGATCTCCGAACAGGACTAATATATTATTAGTTATTGGCTCTTCGCTGCCTCTCTCATCATCTTCTCCAACGGGTTTTGCACCGTCTACGGCGACAAGGCGCACGCCATGCAGACGGCGCTAAACCTGCACCGATACCTAGCTGAACTCGACCCGGTTGCGCGACGCAACCTCCAAATCCTCAATGCCTTCAAAGACGCCATCGCGTGCGACACAGTTGTACGAGTTGCGCCGACGATGGGCAAAGCGGCGGGGGAGGATATCTTCTCCGCCTTCTTTGGCGGGTCCCAGAGCGGTCCTTCGACTGGGCTCGGCGCGGATGGCAGCATGGGTAACACCATACAAGCGACAGGCATGCCGCCTGGCGCAGAGTGGCATGGTTACCAAGCGCAGGGGATGTGCAGTAGTAGGCCGGAGATTATGATGCGGCCCGCGGCTGACCTGACGGGGACGGGGATTAGCCCGCCGGATTATAGCCTGGACTTCGATGCGTTCCTGACGAGTGTTAGCTCGGACCAGGCGTATGCGCAGGATATGTGGATGCCGCTTTATGGGACGATGGGTGTTTAGTTGAGCTTGGTTTAGAGGAAGATACACGCGGAGTGAGGAAGCGACGGTTCTGAGAAGTGTGAATGAGGATGCTAGAAGTGAGCTGTTGATATACCCTAGATGAGCGGGTGGTGAGCTGGGGTGGGTACTGTGCTAGGGATATCGTCGTTGTGGGCGGGTAGTGCGTGGACTAAGAATGCAACGGAGGCCTTCTACATCTACTAGCTCGAATGATGCAGAGCCTCTGCCGGCGTCTGTATGGTGATGTTGGATTGTCCGAATCCGGGTTGAATGAGCCATATTTAGGAGATGTTGCTCTAAGCCATCTAAGGTGTGTAAAACCTGTCCTTTTTTGCTTTGCCTGCAGGCAGTTTTCTAGCATATACATATGTAAACACTTGCTAGATGTTGCTGATGACGTCTTCCGAGACATCTAGGCCTGCTCCCTTCCGCAGCCCCACTGAAGAAACCCACCAAAGTGCCAATTACACGGTTATAGATGTTCTACCGGATGATCCACTTTACGGATAGCAGTATGTTCGGCTCTTTTAATCTTGTCGAGGCTTATCGGAATCTCGTCTTCAGCACAGGAACCGAGGCACTGAAGCCGCATAGAGGAACAACGTAGAAAGAGGGCGTTCCAGCAGACGTGGCGGAGATGGAGTTGACCGGGCTGGAAGAGGTACTACGGCAAGAGCACGTACGTGATGCTGTGCTTGAGGGATACGAGAGAGGATTGAAGGTAATGAGGGAAGCTGTCTCTACTGCGGAGTTGAGGGCCGGAAGTTTAACCACACCGGAAGTCAATGTGGGCGACGATTTGCAGGTAGAGTACATACAAGCTAATTGTCGTTTATACCCCGGATGTTCAGGATTATAGTGCTATACCCCGGATCTATACCCCGGATGTAAAGTATCATTTCCCCTCTTTCTATCCTCCATTCCCCATTCGCGCTCGGACCACTCCGGGACTCCAACCTTGAGCCGATGTGGCGATGTAATGATTTTGCTTCCGAACGGAATGTGTTCTGATTGGTCCTTCGGATGTCTGCTAGTGCCTTCTAACCACAATAGTGCTGCGAAGGCATTAGAGTTTGTAAAGCTACCCGGTGCTAACCCCACCACACTAACCTCCACTCGTAGTCCTCGAATCAAAGATAACCTAAAACTATTCGACCTGCCCACTCTTCATCATGCTTCTTATACTTATTCTTTCTGTATTCCTCATCACCACACCCCATATTACTGCTCTTCTCAGCTTCTTCAGGAGCAAGACAACTCCTGTGCTCTGCAGAATTTTGTCTGCGTCTATTATTCAACACACGAGCGTATCCATTACTCTAAATCCAACAGTACAACAGTCGACATGGGTTCCATAACAAATGCCGGCGACAACTCTAAGGTGGATGTCCTTGTCGTTGGTGCTGGCCCAGCTGGGTGAGTGATAATGCGATTGCAGTCGCTTTCGTACCAAGAACATTTGACTGACGGGATCTTTTAGCATGATGGCCGTCACTTGGTTCGCGCGGTGTGGAATCAAGGCCAAAATCGTCGACAAGCGTGGCACCAAGATCTATAACGGCCAGGCCGATGGGTTGCAGTGTAGGACCTTAGAGATCCTCGATTCCTTCGAGTTTGCCGACCGCGCATGGAAGGAGGGCAACCATATGCTCGAGATCTGCCTCTGGAACCCCGGACGGGATGGTGTCATCCGGCGCTCAGATCGCATCCCAGATACTATCCCCGGCATTTCGAGGTTTCAACAGCTCGTTCTTCACCAAGGCCGTATCGAGCGCTTCTTCCTCGATTCGCTCAAGGACCACAGCGATATTCGCGTGGAACGCGGCGTGTTACCCCAGTCGTTAACATTTGATGAGTCAAAGGCGGAAGATGATGATGCCTATCCTATCAAAGTCACCCTTAAGCATCTAACGGAGGATGAAATCAATCCTCCACAAAGCAATGCAACAAAATGCGGAGCAGCACCCTCCGATGGTCTTTACCGTAGCAACATGGCTCCAGATGATACCGAAGAACTCCTGAACAAGACCGCCAACGACAAGGTAGGCACACAAGAGACCATTCAGGCAAAATATATGATAGGATGCGACGGTGCACACTCCTGGACGAGAAAGCAGCTTGGATACACTCTCGATGGTGAACAAACTGATTACATCTGGGGTGTTTTGGATATTATCCCAATCACCGACTTCCCTGACATTCGCCAGAGATGCGCTATTCACTCGGCAAATTCTGGATCAGTCATGGTCATCCCACGTGAAAACAAACTTGTCCGCCTGTACATTCAAATGACCACAACTGAAAAGGGAGGAGAGCCCGTCGACAGAACCAATATCACCCCGGCCATGATCTTAGAGTGTGCCAACCGCACGCTTGCACCGTACAAGCTCAGCTACGAGTACTGTGACTGGTGGACAGCATATCAGATCGGTCAAAGAGTTGGCTCCAACTTCTCCAAGAACGAGCGTATCTTCCTTGCCGGTGACGCGGTTCATACCCATTCTCCAAAGGCTGGCCAGGGGATGAATGTCAGCATGCAAGACACCTACAACCTATGCTGGAAGATCTCAGCGGTTTTGAACGGCACCGCAGACCGACGAATTTTGAAGACGTACCAATCGGAGAGGAGACGTATCGCACAAGATTTGATTGCATTCGACCACAAGTTCTCCCGTCTCTTCTCTGGACGTCCAGCAAAGGATATGATGGATGAGGCCGGTATCAGCATGGAGGAATTCAAGAACGCCTTCGAGAAGGGCAACTTGTTCGCTAGCGGCGTGGCTGTTGACTACGGAGCAAGTTTAATTGTTGCTAAGGACGGTAGCAGTATTGATCAGGGCGACGGTACTGACGTGGGAGTTATCAATTCTAAACGCGCTGTCAGCAAGCAACAGCTCGCTACCAATGTAAAGCTCGGCATGCGAATGCCCAGCTTCAAGGTCCTCAATCAGTCCGATGCTCGCCCATGGCACTTCCAGGAGATCCTACGAAGCACTGGTCAGTGGAGACTCGTCGTCTTCGCCGGCGATGTTTCGGACAAGGGACAGATGAGCCGAGTGCAGAAGTTGGGCGAGACCCTCGCGGCTAACGATTCCTTTATCTCGCGCTTCACTCCCGCTAGCAAGCCGATCAACTCTGTGATCGAGATCTTGACCATCCACAGCGCGCCACGTGCGTCCACCGAGCTCCACGATTTCCACGATATTTTCCACCCATACTCGAAACGTGACGGCTGGGACTACTGGAAGATCTACGCAGACGACATTTCGTACCACGAGGGCCACGGAAAGGCCTATGAGAACTACGGTGTTGACAAGAAGAAGGGTTGTGCAGTTATCCTGCGTCCGGATCAGTATGTTTCGTGGGTAGGAGAGCTTGAGGATGTTCAGGATATGGATAGGTTCTTCTCAGGATTTATGAAGATGTAGAATTAAACGTTTCTTTTAGGATAAATAACGAAGGAAAATCACTTAGCTTCAATCTAAACATTTGTACAACACTCTGATCCTCGTACACAAGCATAGAAACCGTAAAAAGTATTTACACTTTGTGAAATACGTTAGTGATACGATAGTACTAGCGTACCTTTATAGTACTAGTACCACACTAGAGATACCACGCTAGACACAAGTTTCTTACTGGGTTTGGCATCGTTGGCTGTCTGTGACTGGAGACGCGACCGGTAGGATATTAAGCGCCGCGATGCGTATTGTAAGAGGGGACGACGTAGGGGTGTTTGGGGCATGAGGGGTTGTATAACGTGTTGAAGTGGCAATCGGGAAGGTCATGCGACAAGAAATTACTATCGCATTGCATGTCCCTCTAGTACGATCCCTATCGCGCTATCCCATAGCTATAGTTATTATTACTACTCTAGTGGCGGTTTGCGGGGTGAATCTGCCTAACATCCGGACATACGCGGGAAAGACTTTCCCTGTTGTCCTTCGATCACTGAGGGTCATGGAGATTCCTGACCGCATTTCTATAGAAGTCCTTGAGACAACCTCGATGTGTCCTGCTCAGCCTGAACATACATACATAAGCTATATACCCTTTTACGTTAGAGTCGATGTGCTCCGCGGGATAGGAAGTGGAAGTTGCGCTGACAAGGTTATCTCGTACATAAATAATATAGTAGGAGACCTATTTCTCTTTAAACGGGACAGCAGTACCGTCTTCTTCGTCTAGTTCTTTCTACCGACAGGGTTGGCCTCTCGTCTCAGCACACCGCAAGCGGGACACCACATACGAGCTATGAAATCCTCGCTGCATTTTCACTTACACACCTAGATCTCTTCTTGAGCACATATATCGCCCGCGACTATACGTATCCGCGTTTATTCACTGGAACACCCCCGCACGAGCCTCTGGAGCCAGCTCCATCCATAATTAAATATGGCTGCTGATTCTTGTGATGGCGATCTACAGACAGCTGGGTCGACAGGAGAAGCTGATCAAAGTGATGCGGCTGGACGTACATGGCAATTGTGTTTAGGACAACAAGATTGAATATGATGATTTGGAGGGCTTCAGAGGTTCGCTATCCAAGGGCCTATCTCTTACCGAGTTCGTCGATAGTGAATACTGTGACCCGCGCAGCTGCCAGAGAGGGGCAGTGCTGTTTGCAGTTGATGAGGGTTATGCTGCCCGCCGAGAGTCGATGATCGGACGACAACTAGGAGGATAAATACACAGAAATGGTGCCTCAATATCGTTTAAATTAGTATTGAAGTCATTTTTATTTATTTTGGGACCTTTCAACTCCCAACAGCACTGTACACATTATCTCGACCATGGTTCCGAGCGTTGGAGCGAGCTCATAACTCAGCTACACCACGCTATCGAAGATTTTGTGCGAGAGGTCGATGCAGAAGGGTGCTGATGGAGTTCTCAGGAATTGAATATACGGAAGAGAGATGCCCGGAACGTTAAAATTTGTCCTTAATTAAGTTGTGCCACAGGTTTGACGCTCTTCACAACCCGTGCTGGGCTACCAATCGCAACACAAAACGGCGGAATATCCTTTGTCACGATTGATCCGGCACCAATCGTACAGCCCTCGCCAATAGTAACTCCTGGCAAAATAGTAACATGACCGCCAATCCAGCAATCGTCCCCAATTGAGACTTCTCGCGCATATTCAACGTTGTCTCTACGAGATTCGACTTCCGTTTCGTGGGTTGCTGCGAAAATGCTGACGAAAGGTCCAAACATGACTCGCTTTCCGATTGTGACCATCCCACAGTCGAGGATTACCATGCTGAGGTCAACGTTAGTAGTCTGTCTGCCTTGAAACCTTCAAAAGAGGATAGTGACGTATACTTGAAATTTGCGTAAAAGCGGTCACCTAGACGAATATTACAACCGTAGTCAACATAGAAAGGAGGCTCAATGTATGAGTCAGGCCCAATCCTGCCTATTAATTCCTCCAGCACGCGGTTACGATCTGCCTGAAGCGAATCCATCGTTGCATCATCTGGGAAATGAGTGTTGTATTTTGTAGTCAGTCGTCTTGCACGGAATCGAGCATCCATTAGCTCCGGGGCAATGCAGTTGTAACTATACGACGTGAGTGAAGAGTCCTTGCGCGACCACTACATGTGTGACTGACAGCATCCCAGAAATCATTCTTTCGTAGTCTTCGCACCATGGCACATTGTGCATTTGTTTTGCAATAGCTATCATAGCTTCATTTTTCTGCTGGCTGGCCATCGTGTTCTTCTTTGTGTTTTGCGCCGTGAATATTCACGGATTTGGAAGTGATTTTTATATAACTTTCATGTGTAGAAGTAGCATGAATCGCCTGTAATAGTGTTGTGCCTACACAAAAAGCTAAAACAGCCCACCGCGGAAAGACGGAACATCAATCTGCGCCACTGACACTTAGCGGGTTGCTCATTATTAGTGGCGGTAAATCTTCGGCATTTTGCGGTACAAGGTCCGTTCTTCCGACAATATTCACGGATTTAGAAGTGATTTTCATATAACTTTCATCTGTAGAAGTAGCATGAATCGCCTGTAATAGTACTGTGCCCACACACAAAGCTAAAACAGCCCACCGCGGAAAGACGGAACATCGATCTGCGCCGCTGACACTTAGCGGGTTGCTCATTATCAGTGGCGGTAAATCTTCGGCATTTTGCGGTATAAGGTCCGTTCTTCCGACAAGCCGCAGCTCTACGATATTGACATTCTTTAGAGACATACCGTCAAGTCTCCTCACATTAGTTGTATATAAAAGGAAGTTTCCTTTTATATAATAGTTTCTCAACTTAGACATTCTAGGACAAAACAAGCCCATCTTCATTCTTGGTTTTGATGCATATTAAGAGATGGTGAATTCAGTTAATAAGTTCTGGGAGGAGACTTCTCCTGGTAAATACGAACGCAATGTCGACGAACTTGAGCAGTTATATACGACGTTGGCAAAGATGCATGAAGGTACTGGCCACACTTTCTTCGCAATTACTGCTTGTGTTACACTCACAGTTCCCACCACAATCGGTGAGAGTCTGTCATATTTGGAAGCACAAATCGAGAAAGCATTTCGACACTCATGGAAACAAATGCGATATGATCATCCAACTCTAGCCGCTCCTGTGGTGTATGATCCTGATACGGAATCATGCAAAAAGGTCTATCAGACACCTCAAAACGCTTCTGAAGTTAATGACTGGCTCGAGGAAACGTTCAAAGTTATCGACAAGGCACAAACCGGTCAAGAGTTTGCTAACTCGGATCCACCCATTGGTCGATTCGCAACTTTGTATCTAGTCACGCCTCGTCACGATTCTCATCAGTCCGAGATGACAAAGGAGCTTGTGCTCCACAGTCCTCACGACATAATCGACGGCGTCGGCACGCTTATGCTTCTTGATAATCTCATCCGTGTAGCCTCTGAAGCATTCTCGTCGCTCAGCAGCCAGTCCGAAGTCGTCTTCGGAGACGAATCAAAGAATCTTTCACCACATCTCAGAGTTGCGGGTAACATCCCGCCTACACGTAATGCTGCCCAAGAAAAGAAGCTTCAGGAAATACAATCTGCCAATGCAGATGCCCGCAAAGATGCGGAAATCCTCACCCTCCCGTTCAATTCGGTGCCAGAAATCGCAGGGAACTCTACGCGGATTGCCATTAACTTGTCGCCCACAGACACGCAGGCGGTTTTGGCCAGGTGCAAGGCTCTTGGTGTAACTCCTACGCATGCATTTCACGCTGGGATCGCCCTGGCATTAAGAGACCTGCAAGAGAAAGGTCAAGAAGAGCGCAAGGCTAGATATATCGGCTACTCTCTCAACAACCTACGACAATCCTGCAAAGAGCCATATAACTCACCGCAGCACGCCGCTGCTGTTTATCACAGTGCCTCCGCCTACTCTTTAGTCATTGACGTTGTCATTCCCGCGGTTGGGCAATCCAAGATCGCCACTAAGAGTCTCAATGAATTCGAGTTGGCTTTGAATCAAGTTAAAGACTTCTATCAATCCTGGACACCTAACGCCGACTTCCTCAGTATGGTCCCCTTTATTGCTACGGGGAAATTACCTCCTTACTCGCCTGAGACTGGCCCTGTTCCTCCTCCCGACCATTCACCTTCCGTCTCGTTGTCTAGCATGGGCGTTCTTGACCGAATCATAAAGCCACAACGGGGGGTATTCAAGGTGGAGAATCCGTGGGTTATTGGGGCGGAGTATAGGACTGGGATGGGATTGTTCTTGAGTACATGGGAAGGCGTGTTGTGTTTGGGCGCAGGCTATAATGATGCCTATCATAGCGAAGATGAGGTTTTAAGGTTCTTAGAGAGCGTAAAGGATATTGTCTTGGCTGGGCTGGCAGTATAATCGGAGTTGGTATTAGGAATGCATAGTAGAAGGGCTCACTAGCCAAGCGATGATCCTAAGCAATTGTCTTCGCTTCTTCCTACCTGCTTGTCCATCCTATTTAGCTTAGGATTTTGTGTTAGTAGCCCTAGGGTCAGTTCTGAAGGACACAGGGCGAAAGGCTAACAGGATCCAAGATCGACGAATTTCTACCGAAAGCAGCAAGGCCACACTATTAGGAATTACTGTACCGGCCCCAAGGAAGCTTGCAGTGCGTCTGTATCCGTCCTTATAGCGTTTATGCCATACAGCTTGCAATACTAGTTCTACTACCACCTCGAGCATGGGTCGCTGATGTCTAAGAAAGCAGCATAGTTCAATACGGTTGTTGCATGGATATAGTGGTCATATGAGAGAGCCTGTCGCGTTGATCTAGGGAGGTTGCTGCAGAGTTTAAGAGAGGGTAGTGCGCAAGATGGGTGTAACGCTAGGTCTTAAACGTATAAGACACATAGAGGTTTTGTTATATAGTTTACTTATCAGAGGAGGCAGGGGATTAGACACAAAGGCTTTCGTAAAAGTTTGGTTCGCGCCCGGAAATCACACTCACTTGTGTTGGAATATGCTTAGTCACCACGCAGCTGAGCCACGTCAACTCACATCGTCGATCACGGACATATAGATTTATATATTCCTATGATCTATCCTACTATTCTAGATATCTATCTAATATATTATTATTGATGCTGTTGATACCACTGTACCCGTCACCTGTGATTTGCTTCGTCCAATGCTGTTCCGCTACTCAACACACCCGAAGTCCAACAACTTGGCTTATATTAGCAAAGTCACAGCATAGCAACTCTTAAAGCCTCCTATCGGCGGTGTAGTGACGTTGGAGTTTATAGTCTTGGCTACTCTTGGCTATTCTTGGCAAGTATCCGGAATAAAGTATCCAGATACCCCGGATACTCAAGTATCTGTGGGAATCACTGAACAGCTGTATTAGAGTAGCAAAGGGTTTTGAGCAACGGGAGGGTTTAGTTGATGCAACGGTGGTTTGACACAAATAGCTGTTAAATTGACGTATTGCCCTTGTCCTCGATGCTTTATCTGATCTCCTCAACGACTAATTCGAGATAGCATCGAGCTGCTCGACTGCAGGGCGAAGTGCCCACAAGTCTCCTCCAGGAGGTGTTTGCAACTTACTAACCGCCTTTAACGCTTTGAGGTTCCCAGCGTCAGCTGCGGCATGCACAATATCACTCGCAGCATAACCATAAAACTCAAGCTCTGGATATACCCAGGCGGCTGCTCCGCCAGTAGCACCCGCAACGATAAAATCAACAGCGCCCTGGATGCTCTGACCCTGGGGTCCTTTGTACTTCCACAGATCGACGCCGACTTTCTTGCCAATGTCAGCTATCCGTGTATATGCAACGAGATCGAACGTGGAGTAATGCCAGCTGCGAGTTCGGATGAGTTCCAAAGGCTGCGAGCCGTTGGGACTGATATAGGCATCGATACGAGCCTTCATCCCGACAGCTTCTTGCTTGGCGACAGTTTTATTTCCAACGAAAACGGCAATGCCTGCCTTCTGCATAGACGCAAATGTGCCGTGGTTATTCGCGGCTGCACTTTCCTCGATGCCGAATGGGCTGTTCGCGAGCCAATCTAGGAACTCAACGTTCCACTGCTGGAAGCTGCTCTGGTCCGTTTTAGTCCAGCCAGGTGCACCAGAGGCTAGGATGGCAGCAGCATCTAACACGGCCGTATATTGTTGCGAGAAATCGATGATTCCAATAGCTCGTCCAGTATTCTTACAAGGAATGATTTGTGCGTGGTTAAGATTCGGATTCATGCGTGTCTCAGGGGTCAAGAACCAGGTGCGAAGAATACCAGCAGCATGCGTTGCATATTCTTTCTTCCCAGTGTAGTACCAAGCGAGACTAAGGATATATGAAGACTGGAACATATCCCCTCGGTCTCCATGATCCGTGTAGTTATCAACTTCGGGATTGCGAATTCCGTCGCGTTGGAGATAAGGACAGCCGTCCGCAGTATCAGGGTTTGGCCACCAGTATGGTGCTTGACTGGCATAGTCATGCTTGTCACCACCTGGGGGGACAATTGTCTTACTTGTAACAGTATAAGGTCCTTTTGTGAGCCAGTCATCCGCTTGTGCAGTTAAATGATTTAACGCAGTCTTTAGGTTGGGCAATCCAAGCTTAAGCAGAAGCTTGGTTTCAAACAATCTAAAGCCATCCAATACTGCAGTATCTGGCCATAGTCCCCGCTGGTTCAATGCGTGATTGCTGGGGACAGGTGGGGTAGCGGATGCACCCGCAAGAGGAGCGAGCAACAAGCTCGCGATGACAGCCCGGGTCCACGAGAGGCTATGGTTACGGTGTTAGATGAAACGGCCGACATAGAGGGATAAGTGAATATTTACTGTTCTATTTGCACCATTCTGTCCATTAACGAAATAACAACTAGAACAGGACTGCAACCAGGAACTGCTGTTAAATATGAGATGCGGGGATGTGCAAGTTATTTTGCAGGGGACTCTAACGAACCAGGGTAGCTGACTCATTAAGCTAGCTCAATCGCGATATTAGATAATTTCCCACCAATTGACAACATGGACTACGCGATAGACGCGGACAGAACTCATCAAGTTCCGAGATGTCGGATTCAGTTCAATAGAATAGCTTGAATGGGCGAGCTTGAATGCCCGCAAGGACACCCTTCCGCTGACTCCCATACTTTGTCACCGGTAACCACCATGCCGAGAACTCATGCAGAGCTCGGATAATCTGCTGCCACCAAATGCCGGTTTTACAACAAGCTGGGCCTTGCTGCCACGGAAGGACTGCAGTTGGACTTAGAGTGACGAGTTGAAGATATTGGTTATTGGTGGAAAGATTGGCCAGCTCTCGAGGGCAATTCCCTCGGACAGACGGAAGATTTGCCCATGATGAGAACATGGCTTGCGCTTCCAACGCAAATATATTGTATTCCGTCGCTCTGTTCATGCTCTACCTGGATATCTCGCACGTGATCTAAGCTGCCAGATCACGTGCCGAAAGTATAGAATAACGGACTTAAAAAACATTCTAGAAACTGGCTCTGAATTGTGTCGTGGTGGTGAGGCCATCCCACACGTTCCCCAAAGTTTGGATTAAGCTGGTTCGCATAAGCGCGGTTTGCGGCTCGCGTACTATGGTTCCATTGTTTGGTTATGACCCGGATGTCAGCTCCAAACTCCTCATCACTCTCATCGTCAGCCCCCTCGTCCACCTCAAAGCATGCAAGGTCATCCGCCAACTTGGTCTTGACAATGATGACCGACATCTGCTGCCAGTTAGAGATATGGAGCCGTGGGGTGTCAACTTGGGCGCACGCCTGTGTATGGGGATAATGGCAAGCAGGAGCGAAAGCGGGTGAAAGTCTGTAAATATGCTGCATCAGGAAGCTTTGATGTGGACCATACATCTCTATCGCAGCTAGAAAGTTTGACAAACAAGAAGGAAAGCGCACTATGGCCTGGCCCCGACGCTGGAAACTGGTCACTAGATTAAGGTGGCAGGCCTAATATCTCCCTAATTTATGAAAAGCGGAAAAATAAGATTTCGTATTTATGGGATGGGGTAAAGTTCGTCTGCGCACGTTTCAGCTACTGTATTATGGGGCAGGCAGCAGATGGTGTTCAGAAATCACGATCAATATGTAATAACGTAGTAAGTCTCCATATTCGGGCTCCAATTCAAGGGCTTCCGCCTCTTACAATCGAACATCATAACCTGACGAGCTTTATACAGCATGGCCTAGAATTATGGCCAAATACCAACAGCCTCTCAGCTTGTTTATGGTTAAGTTTTAATTCCTAGGCGGCTTTTAGGAACTGCAAGTCCCGTCTGGCGAGAATGAGCTAACTTTGCTATGGATGGATTCGGCAGCAGAGTAACATTGAGTAATTTGAGCACTGTCTACGTAAATGGCCGCCTATCTCATTGTGTGGCCGAAGACCGATCATCTAGGTTACTTTCAACTTTCTCTGTCCCTCCAACCACTCTTCTACACTTTTCTCTAAGCTCTCTTGGCTGACCTCACTGAAAACATCCACACCCCAACGAGCTGGGAAGTTGTACCTGCAGTTTCGATTCATCGCCGTGATTTTATCAAATGCATCCTGGGGAAGTTTAAAGTCTAGGGCAAAGTGTCAAATTTAATCCAGCGATTGGGCTACTTAACACTCTTACCTTGAAAGTTGTCTTTGATACGCGATTCGGTGATACTCTTTGGGAGCACGACAGTGCCTCTTTGGACAGCCCAGCTGATCAAAAGCTGAGCGGGTTGCCTGTTGAGATCCTTGGCTAGAGAAACAATGTCTGGATCGTCTACAGCCCTTGGGAGACTGTATATATTATTTCCAAGTGGGCTGTACGCTTCCACAAGGATGTTCTGTCTCCGGTCAGCCTTCCATACAGGAGATCTTCGAGGAACTTACCATTTTATTTAGCCATTCTAAGAGTTCTGGCTGCTGGAAATACGGATGTGCCTCGACTTGGTTGACTGCAGGCGGAATAACTGCGCTGTTTACTCTTATCAACAATTGCCCAGAAAGTAGAGCAAACTAACCCTACCTGGATAAAAGATTTTCGATCCTGGCTCGTGTGAAATTGCTAACACCAATACTTCTAACCTTTCCCTTTTTAACCAGAGCTTCCATGGCCTTCCATGTATCAGCTATAGGAACATCGATGACTTGGATTCGACCTGAGCTTGGATTAACCGGAAATCGTTGAGAGGAATGGGCAAATGCAACCGGCCAATGGATCTTGCGAGATTTATTAGCTTTCGCCCCCAAAAAAAGACGAAAAAATTGTGTGCGAAGTATAATTCATACCAGATACAGATCAAGATAATCCGTTTGAAGCTCTTTCAATGTAGTATCGAGGGCGCGTTCGACATCTTCGTGCTTGTGGTCCGTATTCCAGAGTTTGCTCGTGATCTACCGGATTGTAATGTAAGTGACGTACCTTAACTATACCCGAACTTTAAACTGCTTACAAAAATGTCCTTCCTATTTACCCCTGACGCCTTAATCCCCTCTCCAACCTCTATCTCATTACCGTATGCAGCTGCAGCGTCGATATGGCGATATCCAGCTTTCAGCGCTGCTACAACAGCATGTTTGACCTCGTTTGGTTTTGACTGCCATGTCCCAAGGCCCACAGCCGGGATACTGTGTCCCGAATTCAATTTGAAGGAGCGATTCAAAGCCATCGTGATTTATTTAGATTTTCTAGGGAGGAATCATAGAATTAAGACGGCGGAGAGATAAGCAGGATTAGACAGAGAGCGATAATAGGAAATCCGACCTTCTATAAGGTCAGCAGTCGCAGTACTCGCCACGGACCGCATTATACTAGGCGAATGGGAGTGTCCGGTTGTGTAACCCTGCTAGTTCACTCATGGTAGAGAATTGGCTCGGATTTGCTTGTCCGAACAATGTTCCGAGATTCCGAGATTCCGAGATTCCGAGATTCCGTTGATGGTGCTCAAGGTCTTATAGGTGTTTGCCATCGAATATGCCATGTTCCCGAACCTTATTCTCGCAATCAAATTGCCGATGAGCCAATTTGGCGCGACACCCTGAGACTACCAGTTCCGTGTCTCCGTCAAGGAATTGCTTTTGTTCTTCGCACCCAGTGAATGAGGCAAAACCTCGGCAATTCGTCGACAAGTTTGCAGAACGACAACGCTAAGAAAGCATGACCCTCTTAAAATTGTTATTAATATTGGATCACCTTGTTAACTGGAAGTACAGATTCGGTGGAAAAGTGTGTTTTCTAATACCGGTGACGAATCTGAGATATATAGTATCTCCCGACTTTGGGTTGCTCTTCTGGAATCAGAGTCCACCCTTTCTCGGAATTATCATTACACGCTATGGCACAACCTAACAAAGATGTGGTTCCAAACACCATCGTCTTAGATGGATCCAGGCTCCTGAAGGCGAAGTTGCTGATCAAACTTGGCGATGCTCAACTGAAGACTCGATTGAGTTACTTGACTGCACAAGCAGATAAGTGGTTAAAACAAGGACCCTGGTCGGTCACAACTAAAGCTATATATCCACCAAGCGGCGATAAACACGACTACGCTAGCCAGGCCCCATACTGGTGGCCCTCTGGCAGTTCTATCGGCGTTCCTTACATGCAACGCGATGGAGAACGAAATCCCGAAGTAGATAATTACACAGATCATGCAGGCCGCAGGAACCTCTTTCAAGCCTCCTTGATTCTCAGCCTTGCGTGGTATTATACCGAGAGAGAAGCTTATGCAAAACATGCTAGCAATATTATCCGCACCTGGTTCCTGTCAGAGGAGACGCGTATGAGACCGAATCTGAACCACGCACAAATTATCCCTGGGGTTAATACAGGACGACACATTGGGATCATTGATTTTGCACAAGGCTATACTAGCGTTTTAGATGCTGCTGCTATTCTAGGGGTGGGGGCTTCTGATTGGACCCGAAGTGACATGGAAGGATTCCACCAGTGGAACCTAGAATTCCTAGATTGGCTGTCGAATAGCACCTTTGGGATTATAGAAAGTGCTGCCGAAAATAATCATGGCACATTCGCGATCATGCAAAAAGCTGGCATAGCACTTTTTGTCGGCAAGGCTGAAATAGCAAAGCAGGAGTTACTCTTGATACAATCCCGTATCAAAGACGATATAAATGCCGATGGCTCACAACCTAAGGAACTTGTACGGACACGCAGCTGGCATTACTCTGTCTTCAACCTTGTTGCATACACACGAGCGGCTGCAATGGGTACGAAAGTCGGAATCGATCTCTGGGGCTACAAAGGTCCTGAAGGTCAAAGCATCCATGCTGGAATTGATTTTATTGTTCCCGCTGCTACTTGTACGAGTCAATGGAAATTCCCAGAGATGAGCTTTGCAGCATATGCTGCGTCTGATGTTATTCATGCTTCAGCTGATGCTGGAAATCCGACAACAGAAGAGGCTGTCAGCAAATTACAAGCGCCACCTGGAACAGACCTATGGGCACTGCGTCCAGCAGTTGAACAGCTTGATGATGTGTCGATTAGCAAGGTCGAGAGGTTTAATGGCAAGGTTATATAAAAACAACACACATTGATACAAGCACCAAAAATCATGCCTCTTAATTTAATACGCACTATACTTTTTCATGCATAATTTATAAATATAGCTACAAATATATCTACTACAAGGTGTCAGTGTTGCCCGAGTAGTACTCGCCGTGAGTAGTACTCGGTGAGTCCCCGAGTACTACTGTACTCGGGTGATATTTTTGAGTACTTGGGGACTCGCCGAGTACTACTCCGAGTACTCCGAGTGCTGCCAAGCCTTTGGGAATGAGGGGTAACTAGGCGTAGAATAGAATAGATAATTGAAGCTTTCTTCTACTTGAACGTTCCGTATTACTTCCTAACTGTGAAAATGAGTGGCTCTTCTCTGTCGCTAGTGCTGGCTGAGTATTAGTCTGATGCTCTAGAGCTGCCGCCCCTTATTCTAATGCTATATATGCCTTTAAGAGTTTAATTACCTGATTCTACATTAATCCTCTTTTCAAAAGGGCTATTCTACCGTACTTTATTAGATATAATACATGCTAGAATCTAATACTAATGCCTTCAAACTGATTGTAGCTATATGCTGAGCTAGCTACTAAAGAGCTAGACGACGAGCAATCTTTAGAAGCATCTTAAGAAGATGCACCCATCTATACACGCAAAATACGAGAAGCTATCCTCCTTAAGTAGAAGCTCGTTAACGCTGTCTGCTTCTACTTCTACTTCTACTTCTACTTCTACTTCTACTTCTACTTCTACTTCTACTTCTACTTCTACTTCTACTTCTACTTCTACTTCTACTTCTACTTCTACTTCTACTTCTACTTCTACTTCTACTTTATAACTTGTTAAAGCTATTATATATCTTTAGCTACCTAACTAAGAAGCTATAGGGCTCTTCTTATCTAACTCTTAACTACGCTTTTCTATAGTATATAAGAATGATTAAGAAGCTTAAAGATATAAGAAGTATGCTACTAGAACAAAGCCTAATTACTAATGCTACTTTAATTACACTAAAGAAGCTTAATGATTACTATACTCTAGCTATAAATTAGTAATAGAGTCACTCTATAATTGCTATAATTTATAATCCTTAATATAATTGTAACGTTTTTAATATTATATAGAAAGATAGTAATGTATTTTAGAAAATAAATCTATAATATAACACTTGCTATAGTTCTAGCATGTCCCTTATAAGTGTACATCCTATAAATAGGGGTTATAACGTAATACATATAGTTCTAGTGAAACCCTTATTAAAGTATAGACTAGTTTTGTTAGGTTATGTCGTAACACCTTTAACCCCTATAACTAACTATAGTAGTAGTAGTAGTTAGCTTCTAGGTAGGGTAGTCCTAGGCTACCTTACTATCCTAGTAAGGTTAGCAACCTAATTACTTCTTTAGAGTTAAGGTAAAAATTTAGGGGTTTTCACTCCTAGGGGGTAAAGCATATAACTAACTTATGTAGGGAAATAGCGTTTAAGCTAGGTATTTACCTACCTATGCTAAACACTAGGCTTTGTCTCGCTACAAATTAAACAACATTTCTGCGTATTAAACGCAATAATCTCTTAATGAAATTTCAAGTTTAAAAATGATTTTCTAAAGAATTATGTTCAGTCCGTGAAATGCTTTATCATTCATTTGAACGTCTTTAGAATAAGAGTCGCCCACCATTAGCACTCACTGTGCTTCCCGTCACCCACCTTGCACTATCACTAGCCAAAAAGGCCACAATCTGCGCAATATCATCTGGGGTTCCAGGGCGCGGTGCTGCAGCAGTAATTTTGGCACTCGCCATACGGTACGCTTCTAGCTGAGCAGCGGGAACCACGGAAACAGCTTCAGTCTCGACATAGGCTACAGAGACGGCTAGAAAGACAGTCAGCTTCAAACTTTGCTTATTCTAGAACGTGCCCAAATCAATTGTAAAAGTAGGTCCTCACCGTTAACGGTTATACCGTGTGAGTGTCCAAACTACGCATGGTCAGTTGCAACATTGCAAATCTATAGGCTCAGGAAGTAGCTGGCGAACCTCGAACGCCCAACTCCGTACCAAGCTTTCCCCTGCGGCTTTGCTTGCTGCATATAGCGGTAGTGTAATTCCCGGTGAAGGCGATCGGGCTGAAGTGCTAGATATGAAGATGATACGACTGCCTGGGTGCATATACGGCTGTGCAGCTTGTGTCAGGAAAAAAGGGGCACGCAAGCCGACATCCATAACGGTATCAAATATTTCATGTGTCACGTTCGGCGTTGGTGTTGTCTCTGGGTTTGCTGCATTGTGAACTATGTTTCATTGCGCGTAAGCCAGCAGAACTAAAAGAGGCCAGCGAAGCGCCACGTACCTAGAATATCAATCTTTTCTGTGCCCAGAGCTCTAAGGGTCTCCTCCACGATTCGTTTTGGAGATTCTCTGTCCCTTAAATCGGCGCAGATTGCAATTGCTTTGATGTCTTTGTTAAGAGCCACGATCTCGGCGACTGTTGAGGCAGCATCGGAGGCACGGGCAGGATTCCCATAGACTAGTGCAACTGAAGCTCCTCGGCGGGCTAGCTCCATCGAAATTCCTTTGCCAATGCCACGGGTGCCGCCCGTTACAATAGCTGTACAGGAGAGAAGACTCAAGGTCTTGGGAAATGACATTTTAATGAGGCACTGAAGGTGAAGAAGATGGGGTACAAAGAATTGATAGATAGTGATGTATTTGACACTAAAAAGGAGAGAAGGCAAGCATAAGCTCTTATAGAAGTGGCAATGAGTGGGAGAAATGATGGGCGTTACAGCTATGTCAGAAAAGCCGTCAGAGAAGGAGTACTTTACTTCTTCTCTGGCTCTTCATGGTTCTTTTGATGGGCTAGGTGGGTCATCATGAGACAGTGACGAGAGGAGCAGTCAGAAATTGAGAGAAGACGCGTCAGACAGTTCGTCAGAAAATAAGTGGATCCAGCTAATCGTCGGTGTCCGCACCAACGATTAATAGTAAATCGATACAATTTCCAAGCTATATCGACGTATCAAATATGAACCGAAGTTCCGAAAGTTTCTTAACAGTATAATATTTAAAGAAGGAACCACGACAGAATGTACTGATACGCTAACCGTCGGCTCTCAATCCGACCAACGCTAGGCGGTCTGCACAAGACCATTAAGCAGAAGTTAACTAAAACGGGATTTAAGTTATAATTGAGAGAGCCATAGAGTAAGAGAGGTGGAGCAGAGCTACGTTTGAAGCGACAAAATAACAATTATCCACTTCACTAGGTATCCTAACTAAACTAGCGGTATACTGTTCACGATTCAGGGCGATTCAATTGCACCAAGTGACACTGCTATAAGTTAACTAGTCCTAAAATTTTCCCTGATGTCTGCTAACACCAAGGGACACATACCCTGCTGCCTCCTCCAAAAATTCGTCATCTCCAACATCTCCTGATCTAACAGCCACCACCATTTTTTCACGAATACCTCACTAATCTCCCACCCACAAGGGTCCCATGGCTCAGAGCCCCAAAGCCGCCACTCGTCGTGTGGCAAGTCCTTACAAAGTGTGTCCTGATCCGTGATTTGCAGTGCACCGATAATACTATCACGAAGCGACGGAAAAGGTAAGATGTCCACAAAGGTATGGTGCAGAACCAGCTGTTGCTGCAATGTTGGAGCAAGCGTTGCAGGAGTTGACGCTGATGGATGGGGGCTTAGATAGGGCTGTGGCGATCCAATACAGACTAGCTGGAGCATACGGCCAAGAGTAGTGAAGGCATGCAATGAGTCCATAGAATAGAGGGCCAGCCATTTACTGTCAATAGCGGGATCCGGAAGTGGTAGTGAATTTGAGGTCTGAAGGTCGATTGATGCCGATGGCAGAGGTTCGAAATGGGTAGGAGACACAGCACAGCTGTATCCTGGTCGAGTTTCATTTGCAGAGACCAGATTTTCTTCATTGCCCAGAGCTTGTGTGGTGTGGTCAGAATTAGAACCCCCCACTTCTGAGAGATCTATGTCACGGGCTGACTCCCATGATCTGCAAAGTAGGTCTGCTCCTTTCCCAGCCAGTTTCCGGCCTAGAAGCAGCTCACGTTAGTTTTATATGTTGGAAATGAAACGTGAGTAATTACGTCTTGCTCTCTGTGAAAGTCGATCTTGTATCCTTTTGCGCTCCTTACGATCTAACACTGCGCTCCAGTCATCGCTTTGAGACTTGATGAAGGGCAGCCAGAAGGGTTTCATGATGATGATGACAAAATTCAAGGTTCAAGATGCTTGCTGTTCTCTTGATGGGCTAGGTAGATCATCATGCGACAGTGAAGAGAAGGGAGCAGTCAGAATTTGAGGGAAGGGAGTTCGTCAGAAAGTTTGTCAGAAAATCAGTGGGTCCAGCTAATCGTCAGTGTCTGCACGGACGGCTATTCTGACCCACATTTCAGCATACATTAGTACTATTATAGCTAGCTCCAAATTTAACCCCCTCATTAGGTGACTTCCCCAGGCTCTACCGCACGTGATGAAGTGGCTAAGGATGGGTGGACATTGCCTAATAACAGCGCGAGGACGCAGATTTCGAAGGCAAGTGAACTTAAGTTAGATCATAGAGATGGAATTCCCATTTCTACCAAGGGAATATATATTTTTAGTAGGGTAGACCTTAGCAAAATGTTGGATTACACTACATACTAGGCTTGCCAGATTAAACTGCAGAGACCAGACAGGGACTAGACCGCTTAGCTCTACGGCTGGAACTACGACAGAGTGAAATAAGGGCCGACTCTCTGCTGCGAGCTTAAGGTCTCGGTAGTTGACTCTCAGCAGTATAAGAAAGATTTGGAATCAATGTGAACGCAATTAGACTAATTAACAAGGTATGGTAGTAATTGTGGGTTCTCGAACCCGTCGTAACGGGGACGATTAGCTGGACCCACTGATTTTCTGACAAACTTTCTGACGAACTTTCTGACTGCTACTCTCGTCACTGTAGCATGATGACAGCAGAGGTTTTCGAGAACCCACAATTACTAAACTGGCCATACCAGACTGCATTAGACCGCTCATGTAAGAGTTTTGGTCCCAATTTTTAGACCCGGACCAGATGAAGGTTTAAGACCACTATTAAGGGCCGACTCTGTGCCACTAATCCAAGGCGGTTAGCAAGGCATAGGGAGCCAAGAACAGCCCGATCTTTATAGACAAGTCTTACCCGAAGAGTACTCTGTCAACCCTAATCGAAGAGCCTCTTTTCCATTAGATCGACAGCCTCAAAGTTGATGGATGGGAAAACTTAATGGTGAAGGCGACATTAGCGATCAGAGGAGTTGACAGCTTTACCGAGTGGAGTCAGCCAATCAAGAAAGATAAATGCAGTGTATGCGTATATTTACAAAGTTGCTACACCTCCTTAAAGATATAGGCTTCGACCGACGTGGGAAACAGTTTTCAATATTGTGGCTACACGATTCAGATGCAAGATTTTGTGTCAAATCTCTCCTAAAATGGAACAACTTTGGTGTAGCATGTTACAAGAGGGGGCTCACAAGCCGGCGGACCCAGTTACGGAGCTCGAACACAGGCGGAATCTGTTCCTAGTATCATCCTTTCTCTCGCGGGATCGAGCATTAAGGGGGGAGGCCAGATGTGAATTTCCAACGGGAGGAAGTGATCTTTTTATAGCGAAGGTGGATTTACTAAGGTGCTACCAGGCTGACTGCTCTAGGGGAGGCTGAAGTACTGCACCAGCTCTCACCTCTAAAACCCGCGTCTTCTTGGCTAGCTGAAACTCAACCTTAGTCTTAAGTGAAGTGGGAGGAGGTGGCTGGTCTACGTCGGATCTTCTCTAATCAAGTTCTAACGTGTAGCGACTTAAGAAAAGTGTGTGAAACCACTCTAGTAGAAGGTCTGATACAAGACAGGGGTGGCAATCATTAATGAGAGGACTGTCTATTTTACTACTCCTTGATCTTGCCACCATCATAGATATGAAGACACTTAGTACAGAGGCGGCAGCGCATGCTATTATAGCAAGGCTAGGTTAGGGATAGGTGAGGTATTTAGAGGGAGATCAAGCTAGTGGATATCCCGGGCACGCTGGAGCAGCTTGTATTTCCATATCTTAACACAATCCCTTCTCTCGCTCTTTGTCACCTCGTTCTTATGCAGAAAGCTTAAATGAGAACCAATCGTGCCAGGGACTAAAGCATAACGTGGGCAATGGCATAATGGCGTAATTGACACCACAACCCCCATCTTCCAACTTCAAATCATTTTTCTACTAATACAACTAACGGTACCCAATTCTAAGTTAGACAAATCAGTCAGACAAATCATCTGTAAGTAAGTCCTCCTCAATTTTCAATGTAATAGCTCCCTGTTCAACCCTTTGTGCTAGACCTTTGCCCTTGTTGTCGCCTCTCTCATTTTTAATTGGTAAAACTGCTAACTGGATTTATTGCGTACCTCTACAATGGAGTCTCCATGGAGCGAGAAGAAAGAGTTAAAAAACGCCATATTGCTAATTAGGTGGGTGGTCCCCTTTCTAACGAAACTCTCCTGGGTGGACTAGTAGATTACAAAGGGAGTAAAAAAAACTCAGATAATTAATTTGCCGGTTTGAACAGGGGAGTGTTCAATATGCTTAGGTGTCTCCCCCATCTCAACGGTGTCCTTAGCATTGACATCCGGCATCTCTTCATCCACCAGCTTGTTGTGCGCTGCGCTGTCGTCAAACATCTGCGCTACCTCCTCTAAGGAAAGATTCTTGGTTTCAGGATAGAAAAAGTACATAATAAAGAAGTTGCTGATCAAAACACAGCACCAGACAATGTAGTACTTCCAGCCTATGGCAGCAAGAGCAATGGGATTAGTGTATCCACTGAAAAGATTTGCAAGTGCATCCCCAAAACCTGTGATAACAAATGCCTTTGCACGGAGCTCGTAAGGTGCGACTTCCGCTGTGTAACTAGGGAACGCAACGCCGGGCATTTTATAAAAGGCCCCGAAAATCAATATCATTGCAATCGTTGTATGACCCATACCAGGGTTGGCGAAGTCCTGGCCAGTGTTGATTGCAGTCAAGATTGTTATAATCAAGAAGGCGCAGAACATTCCCACCGTGCCGTACAAAAATAGAGGGCGTCGACCAATCTTATTAACAAGCACAGAAAAAATATTTCCCCAGATAACCCCATTTATGTTAATGCATCCGTTAATAATGAGTTGGGTCTTAGAGTTCGTAATGCCGATTGAGTTCAAGACCAGATGTAAGTAATATGAAATCAAGGCATTTCCAGTCCATTGAGGGATAAAGCCAGCCGTGATAACGATCCAAAGTCTGCGTCTGTTTGCCGCCGTTCTGATCCACTCTTTCCATGAGCTCGTAGATTGTGCCCTCTCTATCTCAAGAGCATAATCGATCTCGGCAATCTCAAACTTTAGTAGTTCTGAGTTCTGGTCCCCTTCGGCATGATACTTTGTTAAGATCTCTAAGGCCTCGTCCCTGCGGTTGTTGTGCACTAGCCATCGCGGCGACTCAGGTACAAAGAAGCACAGGCTAATTTGAAAAAGTGAAGATATTGCCTGTAGTGCACTCGGAGAACGCCAAGACCAGGATCCAGCTATAGTCGCTGTGCCGTATGTAATCCAAGCAGCCATCAGCGAGCCTAAGGATCCAGTGCTGATCATGAATCCAACTATCTGAGCTCGCTGATCTGGATATGCGAGCTCTGAAATAAGGATTGGGCATGCGGTTTGCTGGATAGTATTACCGAATCCGATCAGAATACGGCCAATAACAAACATGGCGTAGCTTTGTGCAGAAGCTTGAAGCACAACTCCGATTAGAAGAAGGGAAGATCCAAAAGCAATTGGCCATTTCCTTCCAAACCTCTGGATAATTGGTGCACAAAGAAAGAGGCCTCCAATTTGACCATATCTGACTCCGTTTGAGATAGTTCCTAGCCTGGCACCAGTAGGATGACCGAAGAACTTCTGCCATTGCGGAACGCTTTGAATGCCGTTCAACATTGATCCATCGTAGCCGTTTGTGATATCAGTGACTATTGCACATAGGAGAAGAAGATTGAGGGTTCGCAAGTTCTTGTATGACCACCACATTTTATTTCGCTTTGGCAAGACATCTTGGAGCATCATGCCTCTAATTCCAGGGGAGGCTGCTGGGTCGATATGTAACATTATGGCGGGTTATGAGAGATGCTGCCGAGTCTGTTGTGCGTGTCGGGTTGATGTCTGCCGTTGTCCAAGCGTTGGCTTTTGCTCAGTTCGAGCGTGTGAATGTCGGCGATGGATTCCACAATATTCGAAAAATGCGGGGAGACAGATAGATGTTGACTTATTAGCTTTATCTCAGTCGGAACCCGGGGTAAAGGTCGGCCGGGCTCAGCCTACAAGGACGGTACAGAGCGCCACTCTAGGTACTCCCTCCACCCTTCTTATTCTTCTTCTTCCTGTATCGCGGGGCCCCAGCGGAATAATCAGCGTCCCTTTAGGACCTTCGACAAAAGCAGACCTATTGTATTTGATCCGAGTGGTGGAACAGAATTGTTCCTCACAACCGGGAGTGAACGAGTGTGTGACCGCTAGGGGTTGCTTATTTAACTCCGCAAATTTACAACCACGGAAGCTGGAAATAATACTTAAGCTTAAATGGACCTTTATTACTTAAATAAATCGCTTTCTAATGTATTCTTATGCTTAAGCACTTAGAGAAGTAGTTATAATGCATTATTAGTATTTCTGCAGTGGCTACTCACTAACTTTACAGTGCGCACTCACCGCACAATCTTTATATTCGCACGAAGCCTGACCGAAAAGGGAAAGTGATCTTCGGTGGTGCGAGTGTAAGCCCCACAGGGTGGTGCGAATGTATCCCGAGCCCCATCCAGGGTTTGGTACTCATTACATAAGACTGCTGGTCGTAGTCTCTCATCATCCCTCATCATCCTCCGTAGTTTGGCCAGAGCCTCGGTGTCGGGAGAAATGGCTATATTAGCAACGGATACCGCAGCGTTGCTCGGACGCTCAAATCCGAGTCAATGCTCGATGTATTATTGAATGAATTAGAGCAGATTAACTTTTGTTTGTAGCCCCGTGCAATTTGGCTGCGAGAACATGGGGTTGTGAGACATGCATGTTTTAGCAACGGATATCGAGCAATAATCGGCCGGTCAAATCCGAGTCCAAGCTCCAATTATTATTGAATGATCAAAGCAGATTAAATTCTCCCCACACAAGCCTAGCAGGATTCAAGGATGACATGTAGTTATTCGTATCGGGAATTTTATTCCACGAACCAGACCAAGTTTCCGTATTAGAAGTGCGGGGGGCATATACAGTAATTTCGTTTCCCTCTTATAAGTGCGTGGGGCATATAATTTGTACGATTTCGGTAATTCTATAAATAACACCATCCCCACTGCTCCTACGAATATTGCATCAGGTCGCTGCCTCTTCATTAGGTTTATAAATCAATTATTGCACAATGTCTCGTCTTGCCCTGTCAACTCTTGCATTCTCGCTCGCTTTTGGTGCGGTGGTTCTAGGCTACGCATTGGAGACTCGGGCTCTCAATCCCAGCTGCGCTCCTGGTGGCAACTTTGACTTTTCTACTTGGGAACTTCAACTTCCCATTGGCAGTCCGGGCAGCCCGACGACGATTTCCGAGTCAGCCCTTGAAGGGTGCTCTGGATACCAGGATCCGGGACATGATTACTTCTTCACGGAGAGTGGAGATGGCGCTATGGTCATGAAAGTTCCTGGTTCACCTTCGTCCTCCGGATGCGTGACAACTCCAAACACCAAGTACTGTCGAACGGAGCTTCGCGAAGAGAATCCTTCGAGCTGGGACCCGAAGGCTGCTAAAAACCGACTCAGCGCCACCCTCTCTGTACCTAAGGCCGATGACAGCAAACATGGCACAATAGTTGGCCAGATCCACATGGACTCGAGCGTATCAAACTATCCAGTGGCAAAGCTTTATTATAACTCGAAAGGAGACCTTACTATGGGAGTCCACAAGTCACGATCGGGTGGTCCTGAATACTACACGTCTTTTGGAAATATTCCTTTAAAGACGACTTTCAGCTATGATATTCGGTATGAGAATAGTATCCTGACCTTGGGTATTAATGGTGGCGCTGCGAAGACAATTAGTTTGGGAAACTTGAACCCGCCGTTGAGTTATTTCAAGGCCGGGAACTACAACCAAGGAAATGCTTCTTCAGAAGTGCATTTTTTTGCAGTCTCTGTGCAGCACTGAGATATCCCCGGCAAGGAAAGAGTGGTGCTACAAGTGAGAATGGGTTTGACCTTGGCTTGCTCAGTTTCAATCAGCTTTTGCGTGGCCTCTCGTTAGAACTTATCTAGTAGTTTAAAATTGATATTCCAACTCAAAAAAGGCTGATTGAATTCAATTTGCTATTCCTACTCATAATATGAATCAATTGTCGCTCGCGTGGCATAGTGATAACAGTGTCTATCTACCTGCTCCCTACTTTGCCTAATTTTCACTGCCTGTAAGTAGCCAGTAGAGTGGAACAATTATCGTCGCAGATATTATAATACCCTCTCCTTTCTCTTTGGGTTAACTCATTAACCGCTACAATGGTGAGAAATAGCTTACATCAGGAGGTTCCAAGAACGAACAGGAATAAGCCGCATGTAGAGTGTAATAATCTCGTTTCCATGGCGATATGCCAGAAGTTAACCGAAAAAGAGGCTCTCTGGCCATCTTAGAAAGACAAACGTTTTCCTCCAATCGTACAACACTCTAGATGCTGATTGAAGTGCTAAACCTATTCAAATCTAAAATAATTTGGTGCCCAGCAATTCTCACACACTGCACGTACCCACTCGCGGGGTATACCCCTCAAACCGTGCAGAGAGAAGATGTTGTTCTTTTATGATTATAATGGTAGCATTAGACAATCTTGAGACCTAAGTCGTCTAATTACTGTAATCCACTCGCGATTGGCTGGCTACGTCGTATTCGGTTTATTAAGTCGCTAGGTCTCCATAACAACCATCTCTGTTAAAATCATACCCATTTGGATACCGTTTAAAAAAGTAACATAGGTATCTGACACTAAAACCCCATGCTTTGCATTATCTTGGATTCTGTTGATCCAAGAGGTGATAATGGAGAGGATTTCAAGGCGTCTGCGGGTGGGGAGCAGATGAAGCTCTCATGTTGCATTTTCTCCCTTCCGTATCACTTCGAGCATGTCTGGTATTCAGAGTCACTTTACTTAGGGAGTCTCGAATCTGCATTTTTATCTTTATTGTTTAAAACGTCTACTTGGCGGGTCCACCCACTCGCTTCGCTCGTAGGCGGCGACAGCGAGTTGTGGTTGACACGTAGCCTCATAATTATCATCTCAATACCACCACAATACCACAAGCATGCCCCCAAAACGCGATTCTGAATATAAAACCCGTCTTGCAAATGCAATTGAGTTCTATAATAGCCATCCTAACACCTATACAATCAACTAGGTCGCTACGAAATACAAGGTTAGCGATGAAACGCTTTGACGACATATACAAAAGCCTGTACAACTAGCGCATGGAGGCCAGAATCGAATTTTTTGACGCCGTCGCAGGAAGCTGCAATATGCTAGTTCATATATGACCAATTGGCTCGCGGAATGCCTACAGATAGATCTATGATTCTATAGGCTATTATAGACCTACAGCTAGGCAAACTACCCCCCTCTTAACGCTAGCTACAACGATTCCTAAAGGCGCACCCTAAATTCCATACGATTTGTACAAGATCCTTAAACACCTAGTAGAAGCAAGCTTAGAATAGAGCTAATTTTAAAGCCTTCTTTATAGAGTATAATGCACTCTTAACTTAATATCAAATTAAGCCACAGAACCTCTAGAATTTTAACGAGACAAGCTATATAATTAGGTGCTATAAGTCTACTTAAGTTATTATGCCTATAGAAATTAAATAGGTTTATATAATCTAACTGTCTATTAAAGTATAGATGCTAACTAACTAGTAGATTATAGACAACCTTAACAATCATACATCTATAATAGTCATTAAAGCTGTTAACGCTAAAGGTCTAAATAAGGTAAGAGCCTTATTAGGAAGAACTAGACTACTAACTTCATTAATCGTTATATAGAAATCAAAGTAAAGTTTAGTTAGAAGTATAATTATAAACAAGTAAAATATAAAGATCTAAAGATAATTTAAGAGTAGTTCTCTCTTATATAAAATAGAGTTATAAAATATAGAATCTTAGAGTAGGATATCTATAACTTTAATAAAGTAGGTTTTATAATAGAAGTTATTACTACTATAACTATAGCTAATGTGAGAAGATTAGACATAATACCCGTACGTGTAAGAGGCACTAGGAATCAATTGCAATTAAATAAGGGTCATTATATAGGGTGGCAGTGTAGTAGCAGTAGTAATAGTTAGATTTTGGTGTTTTCGTGCCTCGCCCGCTTGTGTGCCTCGTTCGCTTGTGAAATACGTTACAGAATTGAACTTATTATAGCATAAACCTACACAGTACACTAGTGAAATACAGCAAATATATATAGGTTAAATATTAACTTTAGAGTTATGAAGACAAATAGTACCTCTTAATACAAACTCTTCCTCTTATATAAACTCATTCCTATTCCAGTAAACTAGATTAAAGTTAAAATCCGTTCCATCAAGCGTGATAACTCGATCTAATTCAGAAAACGTTTGGTCAAATAGCCCATTTGACATGACGGCCAAGTCATCCTCGGCGATTTCGCCCACTCCATCTCCTACACTGATGTTACCGTTACTGCTCGGATCCACGATCGGTTCCTGGACCATCTGACCTCGAGTGTGGTGCAGGTTGGTCAGCGCTGTCATGGCAGATACTGACGTATTTTCGTTACCCAAAAAGGTATGTACTGAGGAGATTGTCTCTGGAGAAAGTAGATTGTAAGATTGTTTGCCGTCATTTTTGGCATATGGGTTGATGTTGTTAAACGATTGATCTAAGGCAGGACAATGGCTACCTCCTGCTTGTGGAGCTCTCCACGTAGTAGCGGAGCTGCTTTTATCAACGATACCATTTTCATCCACAGCTGTAGAGAGCCCACAGCCATCAGCTGTGTCGCTTGAATAAGCAGTCGAGTGATGTGACGTGACTGGTTGAGCCATGACCGCTATTAGGTCTGAGGTAATGTTGAATTGGAATAGATTATCGGTCGACAAGTCGGGCTTGTTGAGAATCTTTGCGTGCATTGCTTCGAGCAAGGCAGCATATTCCGCAGCAAGATCAAGGTGTCCTTGATCAATTTCACCGGTGCTCGCCTGACGATGAGGAGACGTAGATAAATTACCTTGCCACCTGCGAGACATATCCCGTAAACTCTCCAGTAGAATAAAGAACTCATTAGTCAGGCTGTTTCCAGTAGCTTTCCAGTGTACTAGCTTGAATTAATTGCTATCCGTAAATAGTGCATCACGACTCACCAAGTAATACTCGGGCAGCAACAAACGCACAGAAAGGGAACTGTGCTACAGCCACTTCAGACCCGCCGTATGTGAGAAATTTATAGGTTATTGACGACGTCTCAACTGCGGCGAGCTGGCATGTCTCGGCGCTGCAAGAGCTAGGAAGTCGAACCATATTTCGGAGCTCAGCAGGCGGGTAAGCAATGTGCTGATGCAGTAAGATCATGGACGCGTTGTGAGTAATGTGGGCTAAAGTCAGGTTGGGATCCATTGTGACGACTGCTTGATCATGAGATATATTGGAATCTTTGAACTTTGGGGGGAGAAAGGTTTTCCAGCTATAAGAATCAGGGCTTTGGTCAAAGTGTAGTGGTTAGGAGACATACTGAACTAATCTCAGATCTAATTCCTTAAACCTCGTTAACCAGCTGCGAACCTCCTGCTTATTATGAAAGTTGACTGGTTGTTGTAGGAAATACGAGGTCACCTGGCTCAGTGACTCAGTTGCCTCGATTCGATATGCAAATGCGCCTACATTCAAGGACTCTGACGCGGGAGATGTATCAGTTAGCTTGGTCGCAAAGCCGTTAGGAGACAACGGAGAGAGCGCCTGGTGGAAAGTGATTGGGTTTCCGATCTTGGCAGCAGATTTATTCCAGATTCCAAAATACGGAGTGATAGCTCGCTCGCCTCTGGCCCATATATTGCCATCGCTAGGGAGTCGGCGGCAAACATCTTCGGATGTTAGACTCGTGCTCCATCTAAATTGGTTAGTTGTTGCTCAAGCCAGTCAAGTCAGATTGAACGGCTTACCCCGTGATGACAGAACATAGCCTATGCACTGATCAGATAATGACTAGTGAGGAATATTGTAGAGAACACACCGGTCTAAAATGAAAACGTTCCAGAATACTCTCCTTCTCTCTTCAGTCTCGGCCCAACTCGTCGAATCTCCCAGCAGTCTGAGAGCCCCGTGAAGCGCTGGCGGCGGTTTCTCATCTACCTCGATGGTGAGCTGCAGATATTCGACAGTCCTTGTCAGAGATCCAATAATAGGCCACGCGCTGACTAGACTGCCTTCACCCATCTATAATTGGGATTAGCATGGCCGACAATTATCACACCGTAACGTACATAATCAGAGGCAACAATGACCAAGGCCTGCAAGCTTTCTACTGACATACTTGTCATTGCAATCCGCGTGACTGCATCGCGAGATACTCGAACCTGCCGATCTCTCTCTGACTCCTCTAGCCGGATATCGTCTAGCTTTAGGTGTTTCATTGTGATACAGATCATGGCATGAACAACGACTGTCAACTTTGTCGCGTTTTGGGGATCCTTCAGCCGCGCCTCGAATCTAGGCTGATGAATACAGGGCAGCCATGGATGGATCTTCATAAAATATACCTGGAAGACCAAGTCCAAAATATGCTCTGAAGGTAATGATGTGAGCTGATCGTCAAATGTAGGACCCGGCGAATCGATTCTCTGTCTCTTGGCGCTATTTGCTTCTAGCGTTGTATGGTTGGATTTCCCTAGCTCTGTTAAAGGGTTTCTTGCTAAATTGCAATCGGGCAACATTGCTTCGTCAAGACATCCGTTACGGCCGCCGATATCTCCACCCATTGAATTGGTGATAAGGAGTGCTGCATGGTAGATGCAGCCGTGGGATCCAGCTCCCAGGGGCGCTGGCCCCGTTTCCTCGCCACTACCGTTGACTATAAGCCTCTCTAAGACACCTATAGAGTGTCAGCTACTGGAGCCAATGAGTATTTGCATGAGTGGCCGACCAATTCGTCTATTGAGACCCTCGATCGCGCCGTTCTTCAGGCCGGGCTTCTGCCGTTTCTTATCGTACACGCAAGGGCACGCTTCAATCGTCAGTCCTGTGCCATATCAACCATGGATACAGAAACGCACTCAGTCGGGAGCATTGAGAGCAGGAAGGCGTTTCACGAGAGCACTTTAACTTTCGATGCCGACATGACTGGCATGCGGTGGTCTCTTCTGTGACCCGGGACAACCTCCATTGCTCTGGGTCTTGATCCGTAATCGCCTCATCGGAGTCTGGAAGGATTGTAGGTCGCATCATTGAGTACCTTGAGCCTTTTTTCAACTCCAAGCTCGTTCAAATAGAGTTATGGTCACGCGCAGAATTGGAGTGCAGGATTGTGTTGAAGGTAATTGCAGAATGCGGGGAACCACACACGAACTTGTGTGGTAATCTCCGACTACCGTAATCAATCCTTCGGGCAACGGAGCAGAAGCTTCACAGTAGAATACAGTAACTAGGGTATATAGATCAATTGAATTCCTACCTAATCTACGGGCCTACGTACGCTATTTGTAGGCCTGGGGGAAACCCCCAAAACCCTGACGAGCTGGGCTTCCTGGGCTCAGCTGGGCTTGAGTCAGTGGCTTCCAATAGTATGGTGCCACTGTCTTACTCGCAAGCCGACCGGGAAGCTGGGACAATTCCCTGGGGAAAACTGTCATTTTGGGCGTAAAAGCCTACCGTATCCCACGGGAATGTCCGTTTCCCCCAACAGATTGTGCTGCGACCCCTGGTTAAAAGGGATATACGTATCGTGCAAACATATTGATCAGCGAAGCCTAGACTTCGTAACGCGGCTCAATAACTTGTTATAGTTTATCAAGTGGATATATATGAGGATTAGAGGGTATAAAGCCCTCTTAGAAGGGGTTTACATGTGTATATATAGAGCCTACATAGTGCTGTTATTAGAGTCGCGAATTCAGTTGTTTCAACCTCCTATATTGCTTACTTAATTTCTTACCAAGAGATCTTATGGTAAGTTAAGAGACTAAGTGAAGAATCCGGGGAAATGCAGCTTTCCCCGCTTTCCAACGACGTCGACTCGGTTAGTCAGCCGAGCTACTTTAGTTGTTTTTCCACCAATGAACCCTACTTACCGACTATACCTCAACGATACACCAGTGCAAGTAATGGTAATTCAAATGGGCAACCTGACGTTTAAATTGAATACAGTGTCTATAATATGTTGAGTATTGAAAGTTTCGTTTTGTCTGAAAGCGTGATATGGGCACTGTGGCCGAGCGAAATGCCGAGTGGTCTCAATTCAACTTTCTAGAGTGGCTTACACGTACTATTAGGATGCAACGCTTGTGGCCTGTTATGGAAACCAGGTTATATAAGATATAAGTTAGCTCAGTATATAATATGTAGGTCAGGTAGCTAATCAATAGAACTCAATTCCGGTAATTAGGCCTTACAGAAGTCTTTATGCCACTTAGATGTAAGACCACGAAATACATGACATGTTTTCTAATGATATCTAGGCAAAGTTAAGGGTACCATTGACGCGTCGGATTGTAGTCCTCTGTAATCTTGATCGTGACTCCCCTTTCTTCCACTAGCTTCTCCAGCTCTTCTACTGTCGGAATCTTTGGAGGACTAGTCCACGTCTGCAACAGCGCTTGCACATCGGGACCCGCCAGAATAGCACTCGCAAATACAGCTGGTACGTTCGCCTCCACGTTCCCGAGGAGCTGCGGAATCAAAGTCCGGGGAAACATCAAACTAGTGTTTCCATGAGGAGCATTGACTCTAGCAAGCCGTTCGTGAGGCGAATCGTCGAGAATACCGCTAAAGTCGCCCAGTTTGCTCACCACATACGCCGAGGAACCTACCTCAAACCTTTGGTCAGCATCAAAATCCGTGCGAGGGGCGGCGAAGCCACCTTCTATCGTTTGAAGGGACCGTAGAGAAGTGATGCGATGGACACGAAGGTGCCATGCTCCACTTGGTATGATCCATGTTTCAACCGTGACATCGCTCCATGGTGTCCAGGTTGAAAAGAGAACGTCTCCCGCCAGGGCAGCAGTATTAACATGTTCGCGCACACGATAGTGCTTCCCGTCATCGCTGAAGCCAATCATGCTATCGAATACGGCTTGATTGAAGGCCAAAGCATCGCTCTCCACGCTGAATCCGTAGCGAGAAGAGTACGCAAACTTGAAGTATTTCTCCGGCACGCCTCTCATCATCTGCGTAGTGCCTGGGCCCGACACCAGCATCACGGTATGACTTTGCTGGTGTGTGAAGACCATTCCTGCAGTTGGGTCTGCATATACTGGAGATCTGCTGGGCATGGGTAGTTCGTCCGCTGTCCAGAAGGGGTGGTCTGCTGAAAGAGCCAAGGGTGCAAAGGCCTTCATCGACCACCATGGCGAACCGGTCGAGCAGTAGCGCTCAGTCGGCAGTTGATTCGGGTAGGCGTATCCCAAAGTCAGAAGGCCGTCGTCGCGTCGACAGATAGGTTGCGAAGCCCACCATCGCAGGTTTCGCAGGTATAAGCCCTTAAGCACACCCCAAGGCAGGACCTCCTCGTTGGCGACAGCCAACGCCCCCCAGAATGCAGCTGTCGCCTGGCGATAGATCAGGCTTCGCCCATAGGGCACATTGGCACCACTATCCGCATACCAATGAACAAGATGCTGGGCATACAGCCGCGCTCGTTCCCGGAATCGAGCGCTACGAGCCTGGTCCTCAGGACGATGCACGGCGTAGAGGAGTCCGTAGTAGTGCCATGCGAAGGCGTTATACCAATCAAGCCGTCGGGAATCCTCTATATTGCCATTATCACGGAACCAGCCCTCGCCAACATACATCTCTTCCAGGTCTTGGAGATATTGTTCCGTGCCGCTTTGATCAACCGCGACTCCGACTTTCTCAAGCCCAAGATCGACCACAACTCGGAAGAACTTGTGGTTATTATTCGCGTGTTTTGTATTCCGGCTTTCAATCAACCAGTCGGCAACATTTTTCTTTGTAGTCTCATCGAAGGGGTCCCAGACGTGCTGTGGAACGACGAGTAATGCATATCCAAGAGCTGTGGCTTCAACATGTCGCTGATCCATGTCCGTGACCGGGCCCCAGTATTCCGGGTGTGCTGGGTTAGTACCGTTTTTCAGGCCCTCACGATATATGTCCCAATGCTCAAAGTGGGATCCGCCTGCGGCGAGAGGTACAAGTCCGAAGAGGGGACGCGCGAATCCTTCCAAATCGCAGGCGGCGCGGTCCCAGGTTGAGCCTGATGAATCGAGCTGTACGCGCGCCCTGCCTGCAGAGAAAGCGGGCAGCAATGGATTAAAGAGGGTATGAACAGCAGCGATTATATCGTCGCGGGTTTTGTGAGGATTCCCGGCAAGGGGATTAAAGCAGGATTGTGGCATTGGGCTAGAGTCGATGGCCATGTTGGTGGCCTCTGTAACGACAGATTCAGATATATATTGCATGCGGCTGTAGCTGAATTTTCAATGCGGCCCTCTTCTCTATTTTATATTTGTTCTCGTCGATGTCTATATTTCATAAACTCTAGTTTATACATCGACAGTCTTTTCCTACTGGGGTTCTTCGTGCGCTGTTGTGCTCATATGTGAAATGGGGAAAGACTTTGGTGGGGCAATTGGCAATTGGCTGTGGTTCAGTGTGGGAAGCGCGACTCTCTCTCTGGGGCAACGGGCATCGGCGCGATGATCGGCCGGGCTTGAACATCCCGAATATCCCGCTATAATTATCCCACCTACTACGTACAGACACAACATGAATTAACATCAACTGAAATGGGAGAGCCGCAAAGCGCATATTGATCGGCCGACGATTCACCCACCTCTCCAAAGCGACCTTCCCATCCAAAGGGGTTGGATATGGCTGCCCCGCACAGGGATGACGGAGCCATCTTCTCCTTGGCTCTGCAAGATGTGTCCTTTACAGTTCCAGCACGGGTATGGTAGGTGAATTAGGCAATAAATTTATTACTGTATAGATAATTATGGCATATATCAACGTATATAACCCGGTGATACCTCCGAACAATGCAGTTGTTCCATTATACACTGCGTTTAGGGAGCGATAGTGACTAGAAACAGATATTGAAATCGACATTGATTATAATACTACCTTGCGTCACTGCACCAGATATAATGGCTGTGGCAGATCCACCTTCATCCGAATCAGAGCGTGGAAATTCGAACGCTTTAGTCGGTCACCTCAATGGCAGCGGCAATATCACCTCAAATGGGAGTTCCTCGCTGGTATTCGAAACGCAAGAAAATCCCCTCTCCCCCGTTGCACGCACCAAGCAGCTAGACGTCGATATGCAGAAGTTGTTCGGCGAGTCACGAGCCGGCAAGATCTGGAGGACTGCTGCCCATCTTTCGCCAGCTGGGGTAAGTACTCCAACTTGAATTGCCGTATCCAGACCGACTGAACCTATTCATAGGGCTTTCCCGAACACGTCCTCCCCTCAGGCGAAACAGCTGGTAAATATATAAGCCGTGAAGCCACCTTCTGGACATGTGGGTTTTTCCCTGGCAGTGTGTACACTTTGCTCGAGCGGAGTGTCAGATTTCCCCAAAACTTCCCCATTTCCGACCCTGAGATCGACCGCACAAATTTGCACGAGCAGCTCCTTGACCTATGTCAAATATGGTCCGAACCACTGCATAGTATGGCGCTTCGACGAAACACGCACGATATTGGGTTCATCATCATGCCCGCGCTGCGACTTGATTGGGAGTTGACAGGCAATGCGCGAAGCTTCAAGTCCATCTTGACCGCTGCCGAGAGTCTAGCATCACGGTATGATGAGCGAGTGGGCGCAATTAGGAGCTGGGATAAACAGTTTAGCAATCGCTACAGCATCACGGACAAGGAAGAGAACTTCTTAGTTATCATTGATAGCATGTGCAGTATGCATTTTCCATCACGCGCACTTTAATATCGATTGTGAGATGCTGATTGATGTGTGCAGATCTCGACCTTCTCTACTACGCTGGCCATCACACAGGTAATCAGCGATACATCAACATCGCTACTGCGCATGCACACGCTGTTGCGAGAGCCATCATTCGACCTGACGGCTCGAGTTTCCATGTGTGCAATTTCCATCCTCAAACAGGCGCTATTCAGCGACAGTTCACACATCAGGGATACAAGGACAAGTCAACATGGAGTCGGTACGTATGAGGCCCCATTATACGCCTTTTCGTTCTGACCATGGACTGCTGTAGTGGCCAAGCATGGGGCATCCTCGGCTTCGCCCAGACGTACGCCTGGACCAAAGATCCCGCGATCCTGCAAGCAGCCACCGCATTGTCTGATCACTTCTTGAAGCAGCTTGCATCCGCGACGCACCACCACCCATATGTGCCACTGTGGGATTTCGACGACAATGAGCCGTCCTTATTGCGAGATACATCCGCTGGCATGATCGCTGCTAACGGCTTACTGATCCTTCACCAGCAACTTGCTACCGAGAGATCACCTTATCTGGATGCAGTGCGGCACATCGTCAAAGATACTGTCGATCTCTCCCTCGCGACAGATCTAGCACCACTTAAAGTCAATGCAGCCTCTGGCAAGATCGAAGTCGCCGAGCCCGATTGGGCATCGATATTAAAGAATGCAACGGCAAATAACAATGAGTTCGCGATATTTCGCTACAGCGATCATGGCCTAGTGTATGCAGATTATTATTTCTTAGAACTAGGCAATAAATTGCTAAGGATGGGATTAGTTTGATTTAATAGCATTTTCTTAGGGGCTAAGTTTTTAGGAAGGAAATTATTAAATCTTTGTTATTTATTCTAGACTATTGTTTGTACGTTAGGAATACTAAAATGGGGGTGAAGGTTAGAACAAACTTGCGAAACTTTTAGTACAAAACTTGTTGGAATTGAGTCTAGTAACGGTAAATAGGTCTCCTTTTCCCGATCAGAGGGTTAGGGCGGAAGATATACTGGATGAAAGGTTGTGGTTTAGGCCCTAATTGCCCGATTCGGCAAATAGCCTAGCAGAATGCATTGCCTACCGCCTTTCCTAATTGGGGTTTTTCAGAGAAAGGACTATTCAACGCCCACATTAGAAGTTTAAGTAAAAGAAAGTTGAATTGACTATTAGTATAAACTATTTGCAACTATATTTAATATATTTGATATAGATTATTATAGTAGACAGCGTTGTAACCTATGAATATATAGACTCACATTTGTACTAAGCGTAGAAATGGCGCTAACTGTTATAGCTAGGGTTTTCAGCAGCACTATCGCTAACACCCTAAGTACAGTAGTAATAAACATGTTAGTAGTTTAACTGCCCTTAAGGCAGGGTCAACATCAGGTAACAGAGTTTTCTTAGGCACCTGCTTCTGTAGGTACTAGAGAATTCCTAGGTACCTAAGAATTGCTAGGTACTAGATAGAACAGGCACCTAACTCTTTCTAGGTACCTAACTATTACTAGGTACTAGACATAGCAGGTACTAGACTATTTATAGGCACCTCCTTATAAGAACCCTACATAATGGAATAGTAGGAATAGTAAGAATAGCAAAGGAGTTTACTATTCTAACTATTCCCTTTAGTATAACGCTACTATATAAGTAGATAGTTAGTTCTTAGATAGGAGCTTTATGCTTAACTTAATATAGTATTTGTTATATACTAGTAATGTGTTTTATAAAAGCCTTTATGTCTAATCCCCTACCTCCTCTATTAAGTAAACTAACATAATAAAACCTCTATAAGTCTTATAGTTTAAGACCTAGCGTTACACTTTAAGCACTACTTCTATAAGGTACTAGCTTATATATAAAGTAATTATGTTAAAGAACATACTTAGTCCTAAGGGAAGCGTTATTAGTAGGGCTAAGACACCTATGTGTAACGCTGGGTCTTAAACTATAAGACTTACAGAGGTTTCGTTGCGTTGGTTTACTTAACAGAGGAGGCAGGGGATCAGACACAAAGGCTTTCGTAAAACACGTTACAGTATATAATAGAATACTATATTGAGTTGAGCACGAAGCTCCTATCTAAGAACTAACTACCTACTTATATAGAGGCGTCGTGCCAAAGGGGACTGTGAGGAACTATAGGAACTGTAAGAGTTCTAGCAGTTCTCACGGTTCCATCACGTGAGTGCTATTCTGGTACCTGTGCTGTTTCCGGTACCTGCAACTCCAGTACCTCCTAATTCCTAGGTGCCTAACTGTCTTCTAGTACCTGTAAACTCAGGTGCCGGACACTCATCAGGTGCCTAATAACTGACCCTGCCTTAAGGGCGGTCGAATCGCTAACATCCTCATTACTACTATATTCGGGGTGTCGGCGATAGTGCCGCTAAAAACCCCAGCTGTAACACTATGCCTATATTGTCTTAGAACATTCTGTTATAGCTAAAACATGCAACCTATATGCTATAGGATAGAATAATAAGGTAAAATAGCTTATAGCTAATTAGTAATAGGAAATGGACGTAGAGATTATAGGTAGCTTAGTTAATAAGGGCACCTTTAGGAAAAGGTACCTTTCTTAGAAGGTACCTACTACTTATATAAGGCTCCTTTTTCAGTAAAAGAGTAAAATTACAAGTTGGTAATTAGCTAAAGCTACCCCTACCTAGCGCGCTTTCTAGTGAAAGAGTTATAGTAAAAGAGGAAATAGGGGTTTGTAGTCGTAGGGTGTTTCTATTGCTAAATACATAGGGTATTAGGTTTATATAGTTATAAATATGTTTTTATATGATCCTGTCCATAGTATATGTAACGCTGGGTCTTAAACTATAAGACTCATAGAGGTTTTGTTACGTTGGTTTACTTAACAGA